TCAACAAACTCTTCCTCGCTAGCCGAACTCTAATCCAGGCGCTATTATAAGAACTTCTAAAGGATAGTGACTAGATCTTTAAGTACGAAATCGACGATTAATACCATATCTCTACTCTATTCTATATACATAAATCAAGCGTTAAAATGCTACAAATAAACCCTTAGGTTATTTTAATAGACTATACCTATAAGACCAATCGGTATAGCCTTCCCTTACTCGATATTATAGGATTTGCTCCTATAGGATCAACCTTCTACCTCGGATTTGCCTTTATATAAGACAAAAAGGAGGATATATATAAAGTTATACTTAGCTACCTTACTAAAGTATATAAATCGCTTAGTCTCGACCCTCCCTACCCCCGTACCATCCTCATAGATAAAGAACAAGCGCTTATCAATACTATTAAGAGTGTATTCCCGGAGACAAAGCATATACTTTATATCTAGCATATTAATATAAGAATCATAAAGGTTACTCGCCCTCTTCTTACTAATCAGGTCGCATAAGCCCGCCGGGATCGCAATCAATCCCAGTCCACCTCCCAGTCCACCTCCCACTAGACAAAAGCCCAGTAAGCGAAGAAGGATCGAGAGAAGGTTAACGAAGGGTGGAAAAAGATACTAAAATGTTAGAACCGTGTTATTTATACTACTATCTCCAAAGAACAGTATAATCAGTAGGCGCATTTCAAAGAGCGGTATAATAACCCCCTCTTTCAACCCTTAACCGAGTATATATAGAGTGAATAGCTTAAGGATTATCCTAAGCGCTTTCTCTATATTCATACGTCTCAATACCTTTACCTTAATAAAATTACAACTTCCCGCACTAAGAGTGCTTACTAGCTACTTAAGCAAGATCTCTAGGTATCTACCAATAACTTGCTAGTAGTGCTTCGCAACTTCGACCGCGCAGTAAACCTACAGTTCTCTAAAGTCAAGCATATAGTTCAAACCCAGAAGATCCAGAGACCAATAAAGCAAGTTCCGCCGCTTTACAACCTACTCACTAATCGGATCTCAATACGCGCAATTGAACTCACAAAAGACGTTTACAAAAGATATCTCCCTAAAGATAGTGATAAGCTTCCGATCCCCCCCCCTTTATATCTACAATTCGAAGGAAACATCTAGATTCCCATATATTCATATCATCAAGCAGTACAATAATAAGAAGAAACCGCTCGAACCAAAGCTATTTCACCAGCACTAGCATTTATACGGTATCGAGGACGCTCCACCAATTAATCCCTCACTTCTTATTCAAGATCCCCTTCGTACGTCTCGACAAGGCCGCCCCCCAAGGTGCTAGGAATCTCCCAAACACCCAGGCCAGCAGCACCCAGCAGCCGCAGTCTTCCCCTAATCCTCTCACACAGGATCGTTCTATACACCGAGATCCTTCGTCATAGGAAGAGAGCCGAGGACGAGGATAAGGACAGCCGCGGACAGGGACGGGGAAGGGGACGTGGGCGTGAAACTAGCAATAGTAACAGCGAGACTAGACGGGGACGGGGTCGAGGACGTAGAAACCGCGCATAAGAACTTACATAAGAAGCATATTCAATTTGTATAAATATACAAATACTCAAATCAATGAAAATGTACGCTTTTTTCTGATCAAAATGCATGTTTTTTTACTATATAAACCAGAATTCCTATAGTGGTGGCAGAATTATATGGCAGAAAACTCTACACTAGCAGTATACATGGCAGAATCTAGTGTCGCATCTGATTAGGAAGGCGGTACTGAATTTTCAGGCAAGGGGGGGTCCCATTACAGAGAGGGGGGGTCTCTATACCAATCCCCTATATATATATATTAATATAATTAATTCTATTAATTATATAATATTAAAGCTTGGTAAACCAAGTCTAATACATTATTAAAAAAATAATAATTATACAAATAGTGTTTTTAACTAATAAAGATGTTGGGCGTTAAAAAAGGATTATTGTTAGCTATACTCACCTTTTTAGTCGTTGAACGTCCGTATTTTTTTTTATTTTAAAGAAGAACACAACCTAAAAAAGGTTTCGCTTCAAATACACTTAATTAATATAAGTTGGCTTTTGAAAATTACCCACTCAATATTATACTATAATTTTATAAAATAAATAAACAGTTAAAAATCCCTAGCGTAACTTTTTTCTGAAAAAAAACCTTCCATAATATATGTTTCCATACCCCCCGCTTACGGCTAATAGACTTTTATAGCATATATAAAGTTAACAAAAACAAATTAAAGTTTTTTTAAATAAAAATAAATATATATATATTAAAAAATTAAATATGTCATTATTATTATTATTAATTCCATTAATAGGAATAAGTCTTATAACAATAGAGACTAATTATGGTTTAAGTATAGTAAATAATATTAAAATAAAATCAATAGCCTTAACTACAACAATAATAAATTTAATTGTATCATTAATAATGTTTATACTTTTTGATTTTAGTAGTAAACAATTTCAATTTATTGAAGAACATTACCAAGTAAGTTATTTTGATGTATATTTAGGTGTAGATGGTTTATCAATATATTTTATATTATTAACAACTATAATAATGCCTGTAGCTATTTTATCTAATTGAAATTCAATACAATCACAAAATGTATTATCATTTGTAGTAATTATGTTATTATTAGAAACATTATTATTAGCTGTATTCTTAGTTTTAGATGTATTATTATTCTATATCTTTTTTGAAAGTATATTACCTCCTTTATTTTTATTAATAGGATTATTTGGTTCAAGTAATAAAGTAAGAGCTAGTTTCTACTTATTCTTATATACTTTATTAGGTTCATTATTTATGTTATTATCTATAATAGTTATGTCTTCTATTATGGGTACTACTGATTTTGATGCATTATCTAAAGCAAACTTTAGTTATATAACTCAATTATTTTTATTTTACGGTATATTTATAGCTTTTGCTGTAAAAACACCAGTTATTTTTTTAAATACTTGATTACTAAAAGCTCACGTTGAATCACCATTATCTGGTAGTATTATATTAGCAGGTATAGTTTTAAAATTAAGTTTATATGGTATATTTAGATTAATGTTACCTTTATTACCTAAAGCTTCTTTAAACTTTACATATATTATTTATGTAATAGGTGTAATAACTATTATTTATGCTAGTTTTAGTACATTAAGAACAATAGATATTAAAGAATTAATTGCTTACTCTTCTGTATCTCACGCAGCTGTTTATTTAATAGGTGCATTTAGTAATACAATACAAGGTATAGAAGGTGCAATAGTTTTAGGTTTAGCTCACGGTTTTGTATCACCAGCATTATTTATTTGTGTTGGAGGTATTTTATATGATAGATCTTCTACTAGATTAATTACATATTATAGAGGTATGGCTCAAATTATGCCTATATTCTCTATATTATTCTTTATATTATGTTTAGGTAATAGTGGTACACCTTTAACTTTTAATTTCATAGGTGAATTTATGTCATTATATGGTGCATTTGAAAGAATGCCTATATTAGGTATACTAGCTAGTACTTCTATTGTATTATCTGCAGCTTATACAATATTTATGTATAATAGAATAGCTTTTGGTGGTTCTTATTCTGTATATTTTGTAGAAAACATAGGTGATGTTACTAGAAGAGAGTTTATATTATTATTAGTATTTGTAGTATTTACAGTATTATTTGGTATATATCCTGCTCCTATATTAGATGGTTTACATTACTCAGTTTCTTCTTTAATTTATAATATAAATTAATATAATTAATTTATTTATTTTAATAACTTTTATTGTTTTATTTTTATAATCAATAATTATGTTTATTTATCTTCTTACTAGCTCAATGGCAGAGCAGAATACTTCTAATATTTTGATCCAAGTTCGACCCTTGGGTAAGAATTGTAATAATATTATTACTAATATTATTATTTTAGCCTTTATAGCTCAATGGTAGAGCGAGATACTGTTAATATTTTGATAGATGTTCGATTCATCTTAAGGGCTTATTTTTACTTTACCTTATAATCTAAAAAAAAAGTCAAGATATATATTAAGAAAATATCCATATAATAGATAAAATACAAATATATGCCACAATTAGTACCATTCTTTTTTGTAAATCAAGTAGTATTTACTTTTGTTATATTAACAGTATTAATATATACATTTACTAAATTCATATTACCTAGATTTGTACGTACTTTTATTTCACGTATTTACATAAATAAATTATAATTATAAAAATTAGTAGTTGTATTATATATAACTAAAACATAATAATTTTTTATTATTATATATATCTCTATCTTAATAGAGTTTCATTAGGTAATGAAAATAATAAGTTAATATTTATATATATCTTATAAATAAACAATAATATGCGTCATTTAGATTTTGTATTAAGTCCATTAGACCAATTTGAAGTAAGAGATTTATTTTCTCTTAACGCTAATTTATTAGGTAATTTACACTTATCATTAACAAATATAGGTTTATACTTATCAATTAGTATCTTTTTAATTTTAACATATAGCTTATTAGCTACAAATAATAATAAAATAATACCTAATAACTGATCAATAAGTCAAGAAAGTATTTATGCAACAGTTCACGGTATAGTAATAAATCAAATTAATCCTAATAAAGGACAAATGTTCTTCCCATTAATGTATGTATTATTCATATTTATTTTAGTAAATAATTTAATAGGATTAGTACCATACAGTTTTGCATCTACATCACACTTTATATTAACATTCTCTATTAGTTTTACTGTTGTTTTAGGTGCAACAATATTAGGTTTCCAAAGACACGGGTTAAAATTCTTCTCATTATTTGTACCTTCAGGTTGTCCTTTAGCTTTATTACCTTTATTAGTTTTAATTGAATTTATTTCATACTTATCTAGAAATGTTTCATTAGGATTAAGATTAGCTGCTAATATTTTAAGTGGTCACATGCTTTTAAGTATTTTAAGTGGATTCACATATAATATTATGACTAGTGGTATTATATTCTTTATATTAGGTTTAATACCTTTAGCATTTATTATTGCATTCTCTGGTTTAGAATTAGCTATAGCATTTATTCAAGCTCAAGTTTTTGTAGTTTTAGCATGTTCATATATTAAAGATGGTTTAGATTTACATTAATACCATAGTATATATATATAATATAAATAATATATATTATTATTATATTATAATAATAATTTTTTAAAGATATAAAAATTTTATGAAAATAGGAAAGTCCAATACTTATTAGGCATATACACTTGAATATATTTATTCAATAATTATAAAAATATAAGGATATTAACAGAAACTAATATTATTATAAAATACTAAAAAGTAATAATAAAATAATAGCGAACAAGAATCCTATGTTAAGTTTTTATTTAGAATTATTAAAATTAAACAGAAACTGGCTTAATTATATCTTTAAATAATAACATTAAAATTAATAATTTAATAGTTATATATATAACAATATAGATGTGATGTATGCATCAAAAATAAAATAGAGAGTTTGATGATGGCTCTAACTGAACACTGTCCAAGTACTTGACACATGCTAATCGAACGACTAATTAGTTTAATTATTATTTAATAGTTAAATTAAGTAGTAGTGGTGTACAGGTGAGTAAAAGATAAATTGGCTACCTTAAAGTAAGGGAAAAAATCCCTTATAACCAAAGGTTAATATTACCGCTTTAAGATGATAATTTTTATCTCGGTGAGTAGTAGGAAAGGTAATGACTTTTCTAGCAATAAACCGTAGTCGTAACTGGAAAGTTGATCGACCACATTGGGTCTGAAAAAAACCCAATGCTTTTATGTACAGCAGTGAGGAATATTGGTCAATGGCCGAAAGGCTGAACCAGTAACTTGGAAGAATGTCTATGTAAATTGTATCGTTACATTCGCGATTAACTCGCATAAAATTCTAAATAGATTGTATATAATGACATAATCTATTTATAAGTCTTGACCAAACTACGTGCCAGCAGTCGCGGTAATACGTAGGAGGCTAGTGTTAGTTATCTTTATTGGGTTTAAAGGGTAAGTAGACGGTAAATTAAACTCTAAACGAGTACTTTTTTACTAGAGTTATATGAGAGAAGGAAGAATTTCTGGAGTAGAGATAAAATTTGATGATACCAGGAGGACTGTCAACGGCGAAGGCGTCCTTCTATGTAATAACTGACGTTGAGAGACGAAGGCTTGGGTAGCAAACAGGATTAGATACCCTAATAGTCCAAGCAGACAATGATGAATGTCATACATTAGATAAAATTTAATGTATAAACGAAAGTGTAAGCATTCCACCTCAAGAGTACTATGGCAACATATAAACTGAAATCATTAGACCGTTTCTAAAACCAGTAGTGAAGTATGTTATTTAATTCGATGATCCGCGAAAAACCTTACCACAGCTTGTATAGCAGATTATAAAAAATTGTTACAAGCGCTGCATGGCTGTCTTTAGTTAATGTCGTGAGATTTGGTTAATTCCTTTAATTAACGAAAACCCTCACTTTATTTATTTATATAAAGTGGTTCGCTACTACATCGGACCAGATAATAGGGATTAAGACAAGTCATTATGGCCTTAATGCTGTGGGCTATAGACGTGCCACATACGCCTTTACAACGGGATGCGATATTGTGAAATGGAGCTAATCCCCAAAAAAGGAAATAATATGGATTGTAGTCTGTAACTCGACTACATGAAAAAGGAATTACTAGTAATCGTGAATCACCAACGTCACGGTGAATTTTATCTTAGTTAGGTACTAACCACTCGTCAGGCGCTGAAAAAAGTAGATGCAGTAAGTTTGATTTTTTCTGTGTAAAGTTATATATATTTATGATATATAAATATGCAGGATAGTTTTCGTATGCAAAACTTTGATTGGTGTTAAGTCGAAATAAGGTTCGTGTAATGGAAATTGCACGGGGAGTATAAAATTTAAAAAAAAAATAATAGTATATATATTATCAAATCAAATATAGGTATATAACAAATTGGTTCAATTCCAATAAAAGATTAAATATATATATGAAATAGGGAGGTCCCGTAAGTTGGTTAACGGGTTGAGCTGTAAACTCAATAGCTATAAGCTATCGAAGGTTCGATTCCTTTTCTCCCTAATTAGATCTTAATCTAATCCTATCTAAACATTTATTATTATTTGTATAATATGTTAATAGATTTAGTTTTTTTTATTATGAATAATATATTTTTATTAAATGATTCTATTACTAATGGATTTAGAATAGAATTTGTAGATATTATTTATTTAGTATCTATTTTATTAGGTATACTTACTATAAGTAGTAGAAATCCTGTAGTATCTGTTTTATTTTTAATAGGTTTATTTGTTAATGTTGCAGGTTTATTAATTTTAGTAGGATATAATTTTATAGGATTAGCTTATATATTAGTTTATGTAGGTGCTGTTTCTATTTTATTTTTATTTATTTTAATGTTAATAAATATTAGAGTTTCTGAATTATTTAATGATACTAATAATGATTTACCTTTAGCTAGTTTAACAATTATTCTTTTTTATTATATAGTAGCACAGGTATTACCTATAAATTTCACAGAAAATAGTATTGTTTCTTATTTATCTAATTCATATTCTGATGTATATAATGTACAATTAGATAATGAATTATTTAATCTAGTTGATTTAAAACAACAAATTGGTTATGCAAGTAGTAAAGGTTGAGATAATTCATTAATAGAACCTACACATATAGCTAGTATAGGTAATATTATGTATACTAGTTATTCTATGTGATTAATTGTTACTTCTATTATTCTATTATTAGGTATGGTAGGTGCTATAGTTATCACAATAAAACAAAAATAGAAAGATAAAGCTTAAACAATTAATTATTAAATTAAAATATGATATATAAATCAAAAAGTAATTTTCAAAATCATCCTTTTCATTTAGTATCTCCGTCACCTTGACCATTGTTTACTAGTTTGTCATTATTTATATTAACAACAGCTACAGTTTTATTTATGCATGGATTCCAAGGATTCCAATATTTAGTAGCTTTAGCTGTATTTAACGTTATTTACGTTATGGCTTTATGATTTAGAGATGTTATTTCAGAAGGAACTTATTTAGGTAATCATACTAATGCTGTACAAAAAGGATTAAACTTAGGTGTAGGTTTATTTATTATATCTGAAGTTTTCTTCTTTTTAGCTATATTCTGAGCATTTTTTCATAGTGCAATATCACCTAGTGTTGAATTAGGTGCACAATGACCTCCATTAGGTATACAAGCTGTTAATCCATTTGAATTACCATTATTAAATACTATATTATTATTATCTTCAGGTGTAACAATTACATATGCTCACCATTCTTTAATACAAGGTAATAGAAAAGGTGCTTTATATGGAACAGTTGTAACAATTATATTAGCTGTAATATTTACTTTCTTCCAAGGTGTTGAATATTCAGTATCTTCTTTCACTATTTCTGATAGTGTTTATGGTTCATGTTTCTACTTTGGTACTGGTTTCCACGGTTTACACGTTATTATTGGAACAGCTTTCTTAGCTGTAGGATTATGACGTTTAGCTGCATACCATTTAACAGATCACCATCACTTAGGTTACGAATCAGGTATATTATACTGACATTTTGTAGACGTAGTATGATTATTCTTATATATTTCTGTATATTACTGAGGTTATTAGAAATAAATATATATATATATGCTTTAAATTTTAAAAATTTAAGGTCTATATAGACCTGTTATTTTATAACATAAATTATATATTTATTAAATTAAATAATAATTGTGAATTATATGCAAAGATGATTATTTTAAATATTTATCTTTTAGAGACTTTAGTTTAATGGTAAAACATGTGACTTTTAATCATTATAATATGGGTTCAAATCCCATAGGTCTTAATAGATTATTATAATCTGAATTATAATTACGAAAATGACTATAAGTTAATGGTAGACTTTGCTCCAACAGTATATGGAATAACCTATCCCTCCACAAGCGAGTGTAATTCGCACACCGAGTCGGTTCACGATTCACAATCGTACCCGAAAAGAAGCTGGTGAAGGCAGAGGTAACATATAGAGCAATCTATGTAATCCATGATTAGTATGGCTGTAGTTCACCGAAATTGAGAACGTGCTGTTCTTTTACCATTTTGTCCACCAACGTTGCATCTGTCATTCCACTTCCTCCCATACCGCTCAGGGCATTGAACATGCCAGGGCAAAGAAAGCAGATGAGAGCAACCAAAACCAGCTGGAATAGAGGCGAGGCGTACCAGCTGCAGACTTTCAAGTAGACCGCACCATGCAGCGAGACTTCGCTGGCAGCATTGTCAAAAGGCTCCGACTCGGTCGCAGGCTCTTTCATGGTCCCAGCCGTCTCAACGGCTGGGTCTTCCTTGGCTGCCATAGCGAGGAGAGAATTGTGTGCGTAGTTCGAGTGCAGGATGTTGTGGTGTGAGCAAAAGCAGGAAAAAAAAAAGAACTCGATGGCACTTCTTTTGTTTCTCTTTGGGCAGAAATGTCTACATCTATGTCAACATGGGCCCTAGATGATAGAGCGTTATCAATTTGATGTTACACTGGTGCACACGACCTCCAACCGCTAAGAAGTATAGGGAAGGACTATGACATGGCGTCATAAATAATTATTATGGCAACAGGTCGATACCTAGCACGTGCTGCACTAGATATTGACTTACCGTTGTTGTTGCGTTGTCAAGGGCCATGCACGCAAACCGTGTATCTAGCCTCGGGGGAAACAGAAAAAGGGCACAGTGATTGTAACTGTAACTCTGAAACTTTTGGCGTTCTAGGACATTTCCCCATGCCCTTCAGCTGATTGGTGTTATCGCTTGATTTTGAGTCGGGAGGATGAAATTCTGGAAGTTGAAAAATGGGGGGATATCCCGATGCGGCAATGGCGACCGACTGGCGCAGATTCCGGCATGATTCCACAAGGTTAAAGTTCAACCGCGTGCATTAGCCAGATCGGGGAACCTTGGAACCATCCCAGGATGCGGGGATTACCTAGGTACCTCCCGACCTCGGAAGCTTGGAAGCTTCCAAGGTTTGGACGGTATGTACCTACTTAAAATCGATTACATTGGTTTTGGTCTAGACTGGCAACGTTGATGAAAGAGGAAGCAGAGCGGGAAAACACTCACCATATCCAATCTAGACAGATCAAATTCAACTGTAACCATATCTAATGATGTAACGCCAACCCAGTATTCGTAGTTACTTGCAATAAATGATTACGAGAGAAGCTCCTCCGTGAGGAACTTCGCCTGTTGTAAAACGCTGTGGACGGCTAAGTGTTGCCGAGGTCGTGCGGCGGAAAAGATCCGTGTGTCTGACTTTCGACCGTTAGCTTTGTGGAATTTGGGAAGACACTCTGTCGGAGAATCGCTTGAGAATGTTTCGATCAAATGCGCATTATTGTCGAGGATGGGCTGCGCCAAGGCTAGCCCATGAAAAACCGCTTGATAGCTGCCAGGCATAGCTCCGCCCGACTCACTGCGAATTCAAGACTCAGAAGATCTGGCTCAGTCGACAAATGAGCCATAAACAGAATCAATCGAATGGCGTGATAGACGCACACTTCGGTGGCGAATTCAAGCAGCCGTGGCTTGGTACAGGTCTGATTCAAGTCGTAAAACAAATTGACGACTGACAGTGCATGTTCAATGCAGGTTCCGGTCGCCATCTGAACAAACTGCGCATCGATGGTACTCAAAACCACAGCCGGTGGAGCTTCGGGGTATCCAGGGAGGAAGATCCGATAGAGATCAAAGTGGCACCCATGCCACAAGGTAAACATCATAATGTGACGGGGCAGCCAAGAACTTCCAACCAAATTCTTCAGCCCCGTAGTCAAGATTTCTGCTTGATTTGGCATTTCGGCTTTCATTTCACAGAGGATCTCCTCGAGGCCCCCAGTCACGTCCTTCAGATGCAAGTAAGGATCGCTGCAAACAACGAGCTCCCGTGTCAACTTCATAATGTCCCTGCGAATAGAGGCCAAACGAATACACATGTTCAGTGACCCCAGCTCATTCCGATCTCGCGATGCGTAGATGGCAAATTTTTCAGAGCCAGTCGGACATAGCAAACCAAAGGAGCCTTCCAATGACGGAGGGTGTAAGTAAATGCACTCAAAGGGGCAGACTTCAAATTCTGTCAGTCCGATAGAGAAATACGACTCCAGCAACTTGAAGCACCATACAGCGCAGCGCCGGGTCTCTTCCAAAATCGGATCGAGTGTGTTTGCTCATGATTAAGACCCATGGCGGATGCCGCGCGGGCGGCTATAGCAGTCAACATAAATGCGTTTTCGTAGCCCCCTGTTGTCATTCGATAGCTGATGGCCAACAATAATGGCTTGCAAACGAGGCATGGACGGATTCTCCAAGCATTTCCAGATGATGTCTTCTGCGTTAGACACCCATGTGGCACTCTTCTCCCGTTTGACGGCCACACCGTGCACAGGCGCGTGCAAAGAGGTCAAGGCACAAATGGCAAGAACTAGCGGTCGCTCCAATGTGCCTTTGTTGCATTTTGCCAAGGTTGTTGACGGGTGCAAAAATGCATACGAAGGAACTCGACAGATATGCTCGAAGAAGTCCCGGACCAGTTCTGTCGCTTCACCATGTGACGGATCTCCTTGGGCGCTTTCTTTGCTTGGATCAAGCGGCAGTGAGCCGTCCCCAACGGACATTGTATCATGTGCCGGAAAAGCAGCATCAGGGTCTCGAGATCCGGGGAGTGGGGCATCACCTTGATCATGATCCGTATGTTCCCCATGTTCTCCATGGCCCCCGGAATTTCTGTTATGTCGTTGGGCCACCATCAATGCGGGATATGAACAAGCCCTGTTGTATCTAATGCAGTTGGCACATCGCGGGTGTGTATTTGGTGCAGCGAACCTTGCGCACTCGACATTGTGAACGAGATCTCCGCCCTCGTAGCCGCTTGTGTCTTTCGTCGGTTCTTGGACTGGACCGCGCACCACTCACTAGAAGCGATTCATTCCGCCAGGTAAATGAACACTGGAAGCCCAGGCGCTCGCAGTCGCGGCAAGCAGAGAGTCTCCCATCGCAGCCAACCTATTCATCTGTCAGTAATTTACCTCGGTTTATCCCGAATACTATCAATACCTTCCGAGCTCGGCACTGCTGGCAGACCTGTTTGGCTCGAGGGTTGGGCGATCTGAAAACAGACAAATAAGGTAGTATCGTTGGATCGGCAGTCGGCATTTTGGAGGTCGAAGATTATTCCAGCAGTAATCGTCAGAGCTCCCTGATCTCTTTGTGGTGTCATCCATCACCCTCTCATCCCATGCTGGAGCTCTCCCGACCGAGATCAAGGATGCTGAATGGCAGATAAGAAAGCATTGATCAAAGTCCCCATACTGTTGAGATTGCAGAGTAACATTTGGACTGTGTCAGTTCATGTAAGTGGACCGGAGCACACCTGGGCATGCTGGATGGATGGATGACAGGTGGGGGTGACTAATCCAAGTCGAGGCAGACTGACCGACATCCGTCTATGAATTCCCCCGACAGCCGTCTTGTCTTGTCCGGGGAAGCCCTTCGCATACTCTGGGTCTTACCATGTAGCATTGAACTTGGAGGGGATTGTGTCGCGTGGAAGACGCAATCCTTGGCTAATAAGACTCGTTGCCCAGGTATCCATTTCAAAGATCGCGTGCGCATCGTTGACAATTTCGTCTTTCCCACCCAGCGCCCCTCTCAACTTTGCCCTGTTGTTTGCATCTGCTGACATTGAAGCCGAACATGGCCGCTAATGCAGAATCCACGCGACCCAACATCCTGTTATGGCTGATGACCACGCCTCGAAAGCCATATCCTGCTACGGAGCTGGACTCAGCCAAACGCCAAATCTCAACCGGATCGCTAATGAGGAAATGCGCTTCGATCACTGCTATGCCACCAACAGCATCTGCACATTATCGCAAGCAGCTATCCTGCCTGGCACGCACAACCATGGCGTGACGTCCCTCCATTCGAAAATCCAACGGCACACTCCGAACGTCGCGAAACAGCATCGCGGGGTTTGGCTACCAAACCGTCATGATCGGCAAATGGCACCTGGGGGAAGGTAAATTACATGAGCCACGGGATTTGATTTTTGGTCCATTCTCCCGGGCCAAGGCGAATACCATGAACCCGACTTCATTGATCCGGATGGTACAAACATCAAGGAAGGATACGCGACGGACATCAGCGATTTGATTAAACGTCGAGATCAGTCCAAGCCGTTTTTCGTCATATGCCACCATAAGGCGCCGCATTGAAGCTGGGAATACCAGGAGAAACACAGGGATCTGCATCAAGATCCAATCCAGCTGCCTGACACGTTTTCGGATGACTACAAAAATCGAGCGAGGGCTGCCATAATCGCTGAAATGCGATTTCGGAAAACCTGTCTTACAAAGACCTTGGTCTCGCACAGCCTGATGCTGACCGGAGAAAAGTCGGAGAGAAGATGGCGGGTGGTATGCGGAAGGTTCCCTCGCCTCCCACGGACGATGAAGTTCGAATGATGAGACTCATTGGCAATGAAGATGGCACCCTCTTCCGCTTTGAGTCCAAAAAGGAACTGGCTGAGTTCAAGTTCCAGCGTTACATGCAACGGTATCTCCGTACCGTTCAGAGCATTGACGACAATGTCGGCCGAATCTTCGAGCTGCTCGATTCGGATCCGGAGTTGGCAGATAACACGAACGCCATCTATACATCGGATCAGGGATTCTTTCTTGGAGAACATGGATGGTTTGACAAGCGCTTCATTTACGAAGAGAGTTTTCAAATGCCGTTGATGATTCGATATCCCAAAGAGATCGAGGCTGGCAGTGTTTGCAGTGACATTGTCTGCAATGTAGATTTCTCGCCCACATTATTGGATTTCGCCGGCATCACCACGCCGACGTACATGCAGGGTCGAACGTTCCGGTCGATTTTAGGCGGTAACTCCCCCGCTGATTGGGATCAACTGGCTTATCACAGGTACTGGATGCGTAATGATACAGAACACGAAGCGTATGCACACTACGGAGTGCGCAATCATCGATACAAGTTGATCTACTGGCACTATGACGATTTGCTCGTCGATGGAGCGCGGCCAGGAGGCGAGGATTGTCGTAAATGTGAGTTGTTTGACTGTCAGGAGGACGCGCTCGAGTTGTTCAATTGTTACGCAGATCCGAAGTATGGGGAAGTCGTGATCGAAATGACGAGGTTATTGGAGTGGAAGATGATGGAGATCGGGGACGAGCCGGCTCGTGAGAAACTTGCCGGTCAATAGATTACCACCTGTTGGCCTTTACAATATCGTGGAATCCCTTCGACGGAGAACTTTGTCTGTTCAGCCAGGTGTTCTCCAACCTGGGTCGCCTTTTGCTTGTTTCTTATTCTAGCGGTTTGCTTTAGGTCAATCCATGTTCGAAATACTACCATGTTCAGTTTTATTACTTCGCTCTCCTTAAACCTACAATCACCAACCTATCAAACTCTCAACTCAACATCAGCACGCGTCACATGCTCTCTCTGCTCCAGCTTTGGATTCAACATAGTTGATGCCGTCCTGGATTTTGCACGCCCTGGCACTAGAATGTTGAACTGTCCATATATCTCACGTGGAACCAGATATATCAGTTTATACGCGTCAAGGGTTCCTTCCAATCATTGCCATGCTGATTCAAGAACAGCCGAATATTACCGGTCGCCCAGGTGCGTTCATGCAGCATTGCCAATGATGCTACATTGTACAGAGTACGCTCTACATGCATCACCCTCCGCTACTTACATCGGTGTGTCTTACGATCGATATTATTCTGTGTTCTACACGGCTCATTTGCGTATGATATTCACACGGAAGAGCCCAATCCCGAATTTATGCACTGGACTCAGCTGAGCCGCTGATCGACATAGTCTAGTCAGCCAGCCACCGATTTATACACACCACTTGCATCAACAAATATAAGGGAGCGGTGTGGGATAACAATACTTCACCTACCAAGTTATGCATCTCCAACGTCTCACATTCCAAATCCGCCGTCCCGTTACATTTCTACCATAGCATACTCCCTACGCAGAGTGAAGCTCCTGGAACAGCTGCAGGCGGAAAGCCACCCGTTACGGAACCATATCAATCCTGCAGAAGAAACAGCCTTACATGGACATGTTTTTCCAGAGAACGCTACACAATGTATGGTCTCAGAGGAGATTTGATGGCTTCTTGCTATCATCTCATTCATCCCTCTCCCAATGATACTGAGATGTTAGTAAGGTCTCACCCCTCTTCTGATCGACTAACTCGCAATTGCCCTTGCATGAGCGCAACACGTAGATCTCTTTTTCATATTTTTATGTTTTTATACATCACGGTATACCGTGCGTCGGGAAGCGTTTGGCTTATGAATTGTGTCTATTATTTAACCATTTCCCAATCTTCGACAACACCACCCATTCTTTGTCGATTTCTTGCTGATTTCCTGTATACATTCGTATATTGCGAAAGGTACCCTTCATCTCGAGTTCAACAGCTAACTACAGTACCTACTTGAGCTCATCATGCTTGGGTATGCACTCAATGGCTCGCCTCCTGGGGATGTGGTAGTTGCGGTCGGCGTTATTCTTCTTGCTGGCTATGTGCTGCAGTTCGCTTTTGCAGTTGGGTCCAAGTTGCCATTGATCAACCAAAACTCCATTTTGGATTTTGGAAGCATGAAGTCTCGTCGTTCCTACGTCACTGGTGCGGCGGATCTGATCAAGTCCGGGTTTGCTAAGGTATCTCCATTTTATCACCCATCGGAATTGATACACAGGGACTGACATATGAATTTAAATAGTCTGCCAAGGGGTTCCGGCTAGTCACAGACAATGGATGCCAGGTTGTACTCCCACCGAGATATCTCAATGAGATTCGAAATCATCCCGACATGAGCCGTGACAAGGCATCCGCGAAGGAGTTACATTCCCATCTTCCCGGCTTCGAGCCATTTCGTGAAGGATCAAAAGATGAGCGAATCATGCACGATGTCGTGCTGACGAAACTGACACGCAAACTGGGTAAATGCTTACAAGAGAACACCTGAAAGACAAGGACTAACTGAATATCTACAACAGGGCGTGTCACGGAGGATCTCTCAAAGGAGACTGCCGAGGTGGTTCGAAAATACTGGACTGATGAGAAGGGTGAGTTGAATCGCAAGTTTGTGTTCCAAGGTTGTCAAAATGAGACACTAACATCAAGACAGAATGGCACGCCTTATCTCTTCGATCTACCATCACTCCGATGCTAGCCCAAATGTCCTCCAGAGTATTCTTGGGTGAACTTCTGTGTCGAGACCCCGACTGGCTCCATATCACCATCAACTATGCCGTCCATGTGATTCGCGCGACCGACGAATTGCGACAATGGCCAAAGATGCTGCGACCTTTCGTGAATCGGGTGCTCCCTTCGTGCCGAATGATTCGATCGGATATGAAGCAGGCTCTTGGCCTAATCACACCAATCCTGAACAAGAGACGGGCCGACAGAGAAGCTGCCATCAAGGCAGGAAACCCCCCAACGCAATACAATGATGCTATTGACTGGATGGAGGATGTTGCCAAAGGTCGCCCATACAACCCAGCCATCTCACAGCTTCTGCTTTCCATGGCTGCTATTCATACCTCGGCGGACATGCTGACACAGATTCTGTTCGACATCGCTGCCCAGCCGGAACTGGTCAAGGATTTGCGAGAGGAGATAATAACTGTGACACGCGAGAATGGTTGGAATAAGATCTCATTGTATAAGTTGGTGCTCATGGACAGTACAATCAAGGAAAGCCAACGACTGAAGCCCGTCGCAATCAGTAAGGTTCACCGTACATTTCCCTTGCGTTCAGATATTGACTGAGTACAGCGCCAATGCGCCGTCTTACCACCACCGATGTTGAGTTATCAGACGGAGTCTTCATCCCCAAAGACACCACCATCTTGGTCTCCGCGAATAGCATGTGGGACGAGAAGAACTACGAAAACCCAGAAAAGTTCGATGGCTATCGTTTCCTCAAAATGCGTGATGTTCCCGGACAACAGACTGCTGCTCAACTGGTTGCGCCTTCTCCAATTCACTTGGGCTGGGGCTTCGGGCAGCATGCCTGTCCCGGAAGATTCTTTGCTGCCAACGAAATGAAAATTGCTCTTTGCCAAATCCTTCTCAAATATGACATCAAGCTTGATGAGGCACGTCTACCACAAGTCAGGCGATTTGGAGTATCTATGACTGCTGATTCGACCGCAAATCTGCTCATTCGAAGACGACAAGAGGAGGTGTCCCCGGAAGATTTAGGATGTCAAGTCTAATAGATTGGATTTCGACCTGCGATGTTATTACACATTGCGGCACAGGAATAAGCGAAGAAAACAACAGTGATAAGTTTCGAAGAGAACTGTTATGTTACATGAGGGATGGAAGGGTATAATGCATAGATAGAAATCAAATTGCTCGTGTCTGGCAGAGTATCGATCCGACTCCAATTCTATCAAAGGACGTGATAGGATCCCAATATGGCTACGGAATACTGATGCAAGAAACCAACATGTTATCCATCCATCCTACGTAGCCAAGTGATGCAGTTGGCGTTCATCGGCGCTAGAGGGGTCGTTGTCACTTAATGCCCTTGCATTATTGCAGATACGACTGTAGATCTATCTCCCACCGTCCATCAAGGGCAGAATGGGACGGGATGTAATGGCCCCGTTTGTACTCCGTACTTTGCTGCTTTATGCAATAATTGCAAATCGCCAACCTCCCTACTCCTAAATTGTGTGAAAGCTTTCGATACATCCCGGGCCCACACACATACATGTATGTGGACATCGTGCATGGAAGAAAAGAAAACTCTCCAAAAATCCAAACTGCACTTGATCGGTTCAATCTCTCCTAAACTACCATTCAAGATTACCGTATTTCCCACTACATGTTAGTTCCGCACAGAATTCAATATCCTCGGTAGTGGCTGAGCCCGGGGAGCTCTGGCGAGCTGGCCAAAGTTCCTTGTTCTGGCGCTTTTCCTCGTCTCGATGGTTCCTGAGAAGGCCCCTCACGGTGTTTTGGAAGAATAAAGGAGCGCTCTCGAGGTCTGGATGAAGTTGCCCATTGACAAATATTCCAGCATCTAGGTTCTTTTGAGCTGCATTGCAAAGATGTTTGTCTTCGTTTAAAACACGCTTGAAGAATGAATCAATGTACTTGAAGTCTTCATCAGATGCTTGCTGATGCCGATAGACCTCATATTCCATGGAACAAGTCCCTGCCGAAGTTGGAACGCATCGCATCAGATAGAAAAAGTGCGGTCTACAGTCAAAGGCGTTAGTTCTCACTGTTATGCTTCGGTATGAAGGGGAACCCACGAAACTGTCATGCAAGCATTTGGGAAATAATACGTGCTGGCATTCTTGATGTCATCTTTCACTTTGTCTTGCTTCGGACGGGAGAAATGCTGGATGTGTCCAGCTTTCGAGACGGTGTAGTAGTATGACAGGTCTGCCAGCTTTGCCACGTCCGGGTGAGCCACAGAGCAATGATAACATTCATTGTAGTTGTCTGCCAAGGCTTTCCAGTTGTAGTTTCCATTCATGTGCCATGTGTGGTCGAATTTATACCGGCCGAAATCAAATTGCCCGAATCTTTCTTGTGTGTCGACACCTTGGAAATCGTCTTCCCAAGGGATTGGTGTTGGGGAGGAGTCGAGATTAACCCAGATAAAACCTAGTGCGTCAACATGAATATGAACTGGGAATAGGCTCTGTTCCTCTTTCTTGAATCCTGGCACGTCGTCAAATTTGGGCGCTTTGGTCAATTTTCCATCGAGTCCATATGACCATCCATGATACTTGCAAGAAAGGATCGGGAAATTGCCCTCATCTTGGGAGACAAGGGGAAATGCACGATGCCGGCATATGTTGTGGAAGCCGGTCAAGTTCCCCTGGCGGTTGAGACAAAGCACAAATGAAAAACCAGCCATCTCAAAGCGATAGAAGTCTCCTGGCTTTTCGAAACGCAATTTGTGAGTAATCAAAATCCATTTCTTCGAGAAGATGGCCCTTCTCTCTAACTCATACATCTCTGGCGAACGGTACCAAGAAGCCGGGAGAGCTTTGACGGGTTCGGCTGGGGCCTTTGGTGCTCTGTAGTCATCTGGTTTGTAACCAAACAGCGACGAGATTGTTGAAGTCATGGTAGGAGGTCCTTGCAGGATATTCCACGATCGATAGAGAGTTGGAGTTTGCATTCCGACCCATCTTTGACAAGACGTTCTTTTATTTGAGCAATCTTGAATGTATGGTGTCCTATCACGCGCCCGCGACCATCGAGCTTAAATGCGATGACGGAGCCATGAGACGTGCTCCTCGAGCGAATGGAACCAACAGCGAATACAACAGAAGTCCCGCAGTGTAACAAACCCCGCAGCTCACGATGCTGTTTCGTTGCGGTCTTTTCAGTGGGGGGAGTTAATGTCAAGTCATTGCTCATCCAGAATGTAAAGATGACTGTGAGCGGAGGGTATGGTGCTAGACCAACCACCCTCTTAGGTGACATAACTTTGATGTTTTGACCTGTCATTTTGTGATTGTCTTTCACAACCTTGGAAGTATCTCGCAAACTGTCCTGGTAATGAAAGTTTGGCCTTGGCCTTGGGCTCCAATCTCCCATTCCGATGTCAGGTGACCTCCAGGGGGAGTAACGGACTATCTGTTTGTCCGGGACCGGACAGTTGAACCTCCCAGAGGGGTAATCACTTCTCCTCTACACAAGTGCTTTCCAGGTTATAACTCTGGTGAAGGCTTCATTTCTCGCATTAAACTCTCATGGATCATCCCGTTATGTACAACATAGTCAAAGATATGCCAATAGTCTAAAGCAATGTTGTTACCGGGGTAAAATGAGCTATCGGTAGGGAAATATATACCTGCCCTTTGACAAAATTTTACAACGATACTCTCTCGCATACCACTTCAAACAGGACTAATGTCCACTGCAAAAGATGTGAAGCAAAGTCCTAGAATACAAACGTCACGAGGTGAGTATCTCAGCTGTCTACATGTACTCAAAGGGCCGACCTCGGGATGTCGGGAATTGCCCAGGTGGTGATGAGTCAGTTTCTCCGACTTCCCCTGGACCTGCTCATTGCCCGTGATTGTTTCCCAAACAGAGATTTACGTTCTGGCTTCATGCATCGATGTCCAAAAATAATCAAGAGACGTGATTGAAACATGAGTTTCAACAGAAAACGAGCAGCCCTGGCCTGTACTTTTTGTCGCAGTCGGTAGGTGACCTTTCCCCACTTCGATGTCTCATGCCAGTGCTAAGTGAAACCCAGGAAACGGAGATGTGATGCCCAGAAGCCATCATGTGCTCACTGCAGAGAGCTAGAGGTGGAATGTCACTATGATGATTTACCCTCCCAGAGGTCTGTGTTGGTTCACTATCCAAGGCGAATGTCCTCTCACAGGGGTAGATAGGATCGACACCTCCGGTGGCACTCGAGAAATCCTCAGCCGCTTACAAGACATCGAGACAATGCTCAAGACTCAGTCGGATCAGATCTCAAACGTTGCCAAGTCCCATATCGGTGCTTATGCCGTCCCCGAGGCCTCGCCATCAGGACATACAACTGCTCCTCCAAGAGAGCTTCCGAATGCTACCATGCCCTCGCCCTGGTTATTCTCCGGATTAAACATGCAACCAGATTTGCCAGAACTACCCCCATTGACAATTCCGGTCAAACACAAAAAATCCTCTAGTTACCTCCTGAGCTTACCCCCAGTCAAATCCCTCATCGGGGAGTATCCGACCGATTTGTTTTTCCTGTTAGAATCACGAGCTCACCTGCCACCAGAGCTGTCATTTGAGACTTGGCCAGTACCGAAACCATCGGTCGAAATCGAAAGTGATGTTGCTACTGGTTTGGTATCTATCTTCTTCGCGTCAGCTCATCATGACCATCCAATCTTGGACCCAGGCAGGTTCGAAGATATCTTCCGCCGGTTTCTGGAGAATGGGCCCGATTCGAGTACCGCATCGGCCTTATGCATGGTCGTCCTGGCACTTGGTGCTGTCGCTGCTTCACCACCAGATGCTCATACATTTCTTCATTCACCCCCGGGCATGCAGTACATGCAGCACGCCATGCCAACCCTCCTCAGCCAGTCAGCATGGTCATTTTCATGTAGTCTCATGCTACCACAGGCGCTTGTTCTTGCTAGTGTATATTTCGCATATATCGTCCGCCCTTTGCAGAGCTGGCGACTCGTCTACTCTGCCACGACGATAATCCAGTTCAAACTTTCGGGGTAAGGCCTCTGATAGCCCCAAGAAGAGAGCAATTCTGACAATAGCGCAGGATTGACACTCAGCAGAAGGAATCTTGGTGGCGAGAGAGCCTGATCCGCCTGTTTTGGTCCTGCTTTTTGATCGAGTGCGATCGCCTCGCCGAGCTGGAACTCCCCCCGAAGTGGTCTGCAACAACTGACCGACGAAATCAGTCTTCCGGAGTGCACTAACCTTGGGACGATGCAATCAACCTGCTATCTCGCAGAGATATCTATTCGTAGATTACTGAATCGCGTGCATAATTCCCTCTACCCGAACAAGAAGTACGGCTTGGCGCTATCATCCACCACATTCGCAACACCAGAGGAGTTTGCCATAGATGATATATCGTCCATAAGTGCAGTTTGCGACGAGTTACGCTCACAACTCGAGTTATGGCATTCTTCCATACCAGACATCTTTCGTCCAGAGCTCAACATCGAAGCTTCCATGCAGGAATCGAATGGTCGCCAGGCAATACTACGGATTCGGTACTTTGCCACGCGTCATATAATATACAGGCCATTTGTTCTCTTTATTGTGACCCATGATGTCACCTCCATATCCCATGATATGGTTGAGAAAGCTGGTATTTGCCTCGAGAGCTGCCGATGCTACATCCACAGCACGGCGAGGATCCTCAAAACCCCGAGCCAATACACGTGGACATTCTCGTTATCGTACGTGAGATGGACCGAAGGATGGCTGACGAGTGCTGACAAGGCGAATCTTACAGATCACTCGGTGCCATTGTGATTCTAACGCTTGCTTCACTAAATCCCGCTTTGCAACATCTGGTGACCGATATTGACGCATTGCAAAGCTTAGCTTTGAACAATATTCGGCCCTGGGCTTTCTCTAGTCTTGAGGCTGTTATAACGATACTTGAAGACGTCCAGAAAAAGCAAAGGCTTTTCTCGCGTATGAATTGCTGACAAGTTCATAAGCCGACGAGAGTGTGAGCCCGTAGGGGCTAATTTCACAGGATCGACATGATCGATGCGCTGGACATGTCTATTTACAACTCTCCCCCAGTGGGCTGAGCAATGATTTCAAGTCCAATATCACTCTTCCAGAAGCTCCCTGATGGATACGTATACTTCTCCAATGCCGTGTGAGTATAGCCAGTTGAATATCCTGGATCGAGTGGTGTGACGTAGTGCGCATTCTCAATCTTGGAAGGATGGCGCAGGTTTTCCCGGTGGCTGTCCGCATTCTCGAGCATTGATTTGCGTCCGCTGATAGCGATGTAATCGATTGTGCTCAAGTGAGATGTCAATTCGGTGAGGCCCATTGCACCATTATGAGGTACACATGGAACATTGAATTTCAGCGCCATGAGCATGACGGCCTGGCTAGTCAGTCAGAACGAATGGCCAAGAAAGGAAATGATAGACTACACTCACAAGACATTCATTAACGCTGCCAAGTCGTACGGCATCGATTTGACAAACATCGGTCGCTTCTGCTTGCAACAGCTGTTTGAAAGTGACGCGATTCTGTGCTGCCTCGCCTGTTGCGACGCCGACACCGTACGGTTTCAGAGCCCTGCGAATAGTTGCATGTCCCAAAACATCGTCCGGGTTGGTTGGCTCTTCAATAAACACCGGCTTGAACTCCACCAGCTGTTTCATGTATTCGATTGCCTGTGGAACACTCCAGACTTGATTGGCATCGATCATGATCTGGTGTCCTTGATCATACCCCAGAACCTCTCTCACTGCGGCCAGACGTTCCCGATCAGCCTCAACATTGGTTCCAACCTTGAACTTGAACGTGGTATATCCTGCCGCGATCGTCTCTTGGAGTACCTCTCGCATACGGTCTCCCGAGAAGGCCAGCTACCCGGGAGAAGTGGTGTATGCGGGAACCGCTCGATTTTCGAGCGCCTCTTGTAGGCGGGTCTCTTTGTCCTTTTGTGTTTTCTTGAGCATTTCAACGCTCTCTTCGGGTGTGATAACGTCCGTGATGTACCGAAAGTCAATACATCTCACGACTTCCTCCGGGTTCATGTCACATACGATCTTCCAGACCGGTTTGCCCAGGATCTTGCCCCAGAGATCCCAAACAGCATTCAATACTCCCGCGACAGCCAAATGAGTGACACTCTTTTCAGGGCCGATCCAGCGGTACTGCGAGTCGGATACCATGTACCTCCAGGTCTTGCCCATGTCACGAGTCAGTTCATGCATGGTTTTGTCCACGACACGTCGGGCGAATATGTCGAGAGCCATGCAGATCAGTTCGCTGCCTCGACCATTGCTAAATGCCTATGGTGAAATCGTATCAGCACGGGAATTCCACCAAGAAGTGAATCTCAGACTTACAATGCCCTCTCCGATTAGAGTTCCTTGGTTTGTTTTCAGCTGGATGTAAGGATGTGAGCCGTTGGTGCCTACATGCATAGCATCCGAGCCTACACCGTCTAGGCTCGTAGGGAATCGCAGGTCAATGACTTCGAAAGAAGTGATTGTGACATCCTGCACGTGGACTGCGGAATCAGTACTCATTATGGAATATATCTGAAAACAGTATCAAAGGAATGAAAACACGGATGGAAAAGAAATGGGGACCTGGTTCCGACTATTTCTACTCCCCATCCACGCAAGACCAAAACGAGGATAACAGCACATCATTGCATTCACCGTCTCGACAAGGCGCATCTCTTCGCAATGAAAGCCGACTGCGGGGATTTCCCAGTGGAGCTGCCGCCTCCCCCGTGGATGATCATTGGCCAGTGAGACTGACAACATATAGCCCTGGAGGTTCCAATTATTTATTCCTGCACTCTTGGCTTCTCCCAGTCGGTTCTTCATTTTGTTTTAACAGAAAAATGGTCAAATTTATACTTGTCACGGGTGCGACCGGCTTCATCGGCGCCCACATCGTCGACGTATTGCTCGCTCGTGGAATACGAGTGCGCGGCGCGACACGGTCACTGGAGAAAGGCGATTCTATGATCAAGGCTCGTCCACAGCACTCAGGGAGACTGGAGTTTGTTCAAATCGACGACTTTGGAAGGCCCGGTGGCTTGGTGGAAGCCGTTCAAGGAGTGGATGGAGTGATCCATACGGCCAGTGTAAGCTATAGTGTCTTTGATCTCGCTTGTTTCCAGTGACTAAAGACTCATTCGCACAGCCCTTCACATACAACACAAGGAACAATGAGCGCGAGCTTGTCCGTCCCGCAATAAATGGTGTTCGAGCAGTTCTGGAAGCGGCCAGCACTAATCCGAAAATACGGCGCATCGTCATTACTTCTTCCTTCGCTTCCGTCCTTGATGCAAATCGCAAGGGCCCGCTATATTTCACTTACACTGGTGATGATTGGAACCCTCTGACCTATGAGGAGTCCGTGGACCCAGCCACGAATGCCATCATTGCGTATCGTGGGTCGAAGAAATTCGCTGAACTGGAGGCTTGGAAATATGTGCAGGAACATAGCCCGACATTCGATATTGTCGCGCTGTGCCCTCCTATGACATTTGGACCGGTTGTGCATCCCGTTTCTCATGTGGACAAACTCAATGAGTCGAATTCGATGTTGTGGAAGATCGCTAATGGAGAAAACCCTCTGCCTGTTGCACGAGTGCCGTTCTGGATTGATGTTCGCGACCTTGCCATTGCACATGTCGAGTCACTACTTCGGAACGAGGTGGGCGGGAAACGATACGTTCCGTCATCCCCGGAGCGATTTTCCTATGGCCTGGCTGCAAAGATCATAGCGGAAGAGTTCCCTGATCTAAGGAGCAAAGTCACACAAGAGGACCAAGTTATTGACGAGAGCTGTGGGTTGGATGGTCAAACTGCTGCAATGGAACTGGGATATACGTATCATTCATTTCATGATACTGTGAGGGATCTGGTATCTCAGTCAGTCTCGCTGAGCGAAAGATCACCCAGCTGCCGTTGAAGTCGGATGTTTACCTAGCGAAATAAATGAGATTCTCTAAGGGTTGGTGTTTCGAGTAGTATGTCTTGTATTCTTTATGGCTGGTGCAGAATGAACAACCAATTCGAGGATGTATTGTTAACCTTCATCAGTTGTCAACTTCTAATTTTGATATCTAGATCCTCCGGGGAATAGAGAGTAAAGTTACTCGTTCAAAAATGGTTTTCGTTAACAGCATTTCAGCATTTCAGCATTTCAGCATTTCGCCAAGATGGAGGTGGTGATCCTCCTATGCCGCTTACCCCCGTGTGCCGCTTCCCCCGTCTTCCCCCATGGGGAATGCCGTTTTCCCTTCTCCACATTTGGGACATCGTCAGATCTCCTCTCTCCTCCTTTGATTACCTCGGGTTGGATTCTAGCTTTATGTGGCAACTCATGATAGGTTTCCCACCCCCCCAAGCCTTGGACAGCATGGCAAAGGATTTCTAGAGGGGCAAGGGGGTATTTAATGAACGAAATCCACAGCACTCAGACGGGACCCTACATGATTCCAATTCAAGCATATAAACCGGTGCAATGGGTAGCTTGAATCTCTCAGATCGGCTCAGTGGGAGATGGCTGATCACTGTCATCACTGTCGCAAATGCTTGGTGAGTCCTTCAAATCCTACACAGGGAATAACGCTAATTAAAGCACGATTCAGCTCGATGGCATGGTTTGGCTATGATCAAGGTGTCTTCTCAGGAGTTTTAATCTCAGCCGACTTCAAGAAACACTTCCCCCAGACGAAAGAGTCAAATATCTCCGGCATTACGTCGAGTTGTTTCTCTGTGAGCTCGTCTCCCCACTATACTGCGACTAGATGTCATTTTAATCTCGAGATCTAGCTCGGAGCCTTTTTCGGCGCTATCTTTGCGTTCACCCTCGGCGACAGATTCGGTCGAAAGAAGACAATTACTCTCGGCTTGGTGTGCAACACCATTGGTGCAGTTCTCCAGATTGTCTCCTGGCATTTGCCGCAGTTGATCGTTGGCCGTATTATTAATGGCTTTGGTATGGGGCTGACTTCGTCAACGTGCCCTGTTTACCAAGCCGAGTGCTCCAAACCACGAGTTCGTGGAAAGCTCGTGGTAGTCGGTTCTCTATCCAACACGGCAGCCTTTTGTCTATCCAACTGGATGAACTATGGTTTATTTTTCCAAGGCGAGGCCCTACAGTGGAGGTTCCCTTTAGGATTTCAACTCATATTCCCATGCATCGTGGTTGGTGCACTGATATTTGTTCCCGAGTCTCCGAGATGGCTTCTTCTCCAAGATCGACACGAGGAGGCGCTCGCGGTGATCGCGAGACTGGAGGGTAAAAGGAAGGATGTTCACGATCCAGATGTGACTGCTCAATTCTTATCCATACGGTCCGCCCTCGAGGTTGAGCGTCAAAGTCAGGTACCGATGGCGGATGTCTTGATGTGCCGCGACAAGACACAAAACCTCCGTCGGCTGCTCTTGTCCTGTGGTACTCAGTTCATGCAGCAATTTAGCGGCGTGAATACGCTTGGATATTATCTTCCGACTCTCTTGCAGGAAAGTGTTGGACTCGGAGAAGAGGAGAGTCGCTTGCTCACTGCTGTCAATGGCACAACGTATCTATTCTCCGCATTTTGTTGTCTGGCAATTATTGATCGCTTTGGACGTCGCAAGTAAGTGAGACTCAAGAGACCTTTCAATTCCTTTTCCGAGCAAACATGTACTAACATTATCTTCGAGGCTAATGCTCTATGGCTCGGTAACTATGGGGGCATGTTATCTTATTGCTGCAATGTGCCTTAGAACTGGCGAGGGCGATCCTTCACGAAAACAACAGGTAGGTGATTCCTGGGGTTCGTTTTGTTCGATGACTAATAGAAGTAGATGGGACGAGTGACAACTGCCATGTTCTTTTTGTATTACTTCTTCTATGGAACAAGTTTTGCCAAAGTCCCGTGGGTCTATAACTCCGAGGTGAACTCTCTGGGCTGGCGCACTCGAGGTGCTGCCGCAGCCACGGCAACAAACTGGATGGGCGGATTCATCGTGACGCAGTTCACTAGTGTTGGTGTCAATACCTTACACTGGAGGTTCTATCTGAGTGAGTCTACATGGGATCTTTTTTCAATGCTGGAATCTGACTTTGCATGCCTAGTCTTCGCTATTATTGCCTGGTCCTTTTTCCCTACAATCTTCTGCCTCTACCCGGAAACTTCACGACGTACCTTGGAGGACATGGACGAAATTTTCATCCGACATCCCTCGCCGATTGTGTGTGGCAAGCAAGAGCTGACCCAACGTAAGCGGCCACAGACATTTGTCGACGCAGAAAGGGATCGTATTATGGAGAACAGAGAATTTGGAAAAGAAACAGTCAAAGAGGGAACGACAGCGCACTACGAGCACGTATAATGAAAAGAGATGAAATGGAGCTATATCAATTCATCCGACTTACCGCATACGAGACTGAGTTGCATTGTCAAGATAGGCTTCAGGGCTCTTTTGTAAAGTGTGCAGATCATCTCTCATTCCCAGTTTACAAATGGATTCCATATTTTAATTCATACACCGTCTTTGAACCTGACCGACCCTCAGCCTTTGAATGTTTACAGACCAGTAACTCCGCGGAGACATCATTTCTGCCGATCATATGTCTACCTGTACCGAGTTAAGTGGAGTGAGTATTGACAAGGTTTGATGTCTTGTCTCGGAGGACGGCGTATCCGGCACCGACATGAAGTGATCGACCGTTGATCTCGGAGAACGGCATTAGCAGCACCGACATGCTGGTGGGTACAGTAGATTTCGAAAACGGATTCCCCTGTGGACACTAACGCATTGTTTCTCGGCCCGTACCCGAAACCACCCTAATCTGTATTCGGCTAAAGCGAAACTAATTATGTCCTAAGAATAGAATGACTATAAATTTCAGAACCGTTTCATTACATATTATATTGTATATTACATGAAACAGCTATACACTACCCCTCTATGCCTAACATTCCATCATTTTGCAGCACCACCTTTTCAGTGGAATCATATGCACAATATGGCACCGAATCTACCTATGTCAACGCTATGTTTTATTCGTGATATGATACAAAGTGATTCACTAACAACGTCTCAAATGGCTGACGCAGCTGAGTGTAGCGAAAAGACCATCAAAAATACTCGCAGAAACCTGCGACTGTTTGGACAAGTTTATGCCCCCTCAACTCGTATCGGTCGAAGACGAAGCATAACACCACCCATGTTAGAAGCGCTCTGTGACCATCTGCTGGAAAAACCAGGCTTGTACCTCGAAGAGATGGTTATCTTTCTATGTGATGAATTCCAGATGCTAGCGTCAACCTCTAGCATTAGGAGGGCTCTCGTATCTAAAGGGTGGTCTAAAAAGACTGCTCGGCATAGTGCGAAAGAGCAGAACGCCGAGCTACGAGAAATATATCTTCACAACCTCTCTGACTTTGAGTCGTACCATCTTGTTTATGTTGATGAATCTGGATGCGATAAGCGCATTGGGTTCCGACGAACAGGTTGGTCACCACTCGGTGTAGCACCTCGGCAAGTGTCTCAGTTCCACCGTGACGAGCGCTATCAAATTTTGCCTGCGTATGCCCAAGATGGTATTTTGATGAGTCGAGTCTTTCGCGGCTCGACGGATGCCGCTGTGTTTGAAGACTTCGTTGATGAGCTCCTTCGTCATTGCGGGAGATGGCCAGAGCCGAAATCTGTTCTGGTCATGGATAATGCATCGTTTCACCACTCTGAGCGGATTTCGCAGATGTGTGCTAATGCGGGAGTCAAACTGGTGTATTTGCCTCCGTACTCGCCAGACCTAAACCCGATTGAAGAGTTTTTTGCTGAACTCAAAGGCTTTATACGACGCAATTGGTGCTACTACGCAGAAGATCCAGACCGAGAATTCGCCTCATTTCTCGAACGGTGTATCAATCAGGTTGGGGCAAAGAAAAACAGTGCTAGGGGCCATTTTCGGCACGCAGACCTTAGTGTTGAGAATTTAGATGATTGAAATCCTCCTTCGGAGGACACCATACAGTAACATGAAGCGATCGATCCTACATTCAAACCCTTCTCTTTATCATAAACTGCCTTTGGCCGCCCGTGCGGACCAGTACGGGTGCCACATAGACCAACAACGTAAGCCACGTGACCCGTAATGAGCGTTTTGGATTTCAAAGTCCTCTGTGGTTCCATTACGTAGCGATTTCTTCACTAAGCAGCCTCTGTGGCAAAAGCTAGCTATTCAGATGAATTAGCGACTCTACTAGGTACTACTAGAATTTTTATGGGATATTCCGCAAGCCGGATAGAGCCGTATAAAGTATCCCCTTCTCCCAGGCCCTTCTTTTATAAAGGGATTAGAAAATAGAGGAAAGAGGAAAAACAAGAATGATTGAGTGTTACATACAAAATCCAATAAAGGAAACCCGCCCTGATGCATGTCCTAAGGCAAGTATATTATCTTTTATCTTGAAACGACTAGGTCGAAACTCGATAGGAAGCCACAGAACCCTTTTACCATTCAATGCTATCCATTGGCCGTGCTCAATAGAGATGCTTGGAGCCGCGTGAGATGGATTGGGCGTAGAGGAGAAGGCCACTGAATCAACCCCATCTAAATGGCCTTCGAGGGTCTGGGTGAGCGCGCCTGTCGCTGGGTCCCAGAGCCGCACTGTCTCATCCCAAGAGCCAGACGCTAGCAGGCGGCCGTCGGGCGAGAAGGCCACTGATCCAACCGAACCTGAATGGCCTTCGAGGGTCTGGGTGAGCGCGCCCGTCGCTGGGTCCCAGAGCCGCACTGTCTTATCATAAGAGCCGGACGCTAGTAGGCGGCCGTCGGGCGAGAAGGCCACTGAATCAACCCAATCTAAATGGCCTTCGAGGGTCTGGGTGAGCGCGCCCGTCGCTGGGTCCCAGAGCCGCACTGCCTTATCCCAAGAGCCAGACGCTAGCAGGCGGCCGTCGGGCGAGAAGGCCACTGAATCAACCGAACCTAAATGGCCTTCGAGGGTCTGGGTGAGCGCGCCCGTCACTGGGTCCCAGAGCCGCACTGTCTTATCATAAGAGCTGGACGCTAGTAGGCGGCTGTCGGGCGAGAAGGCCACTGATCCAACCGAACCTAAATGGCCTTCGAGGGTCTGGGTGAGCGCGCCCGTCGCTAGGTCCCAGAGCCGCACTGTCTTATCCCAAGAGCCAGACGCTAGCAGGCGGCCGTCGGGCGAGAAGGCCACTGATCCAACCGAACCTGAATGGCCTTCGAGGGTCTGGGTGAGCGCGCCCGTCGCTGGGTCCCAGAGCCGCACTGTCTCATCCCAAGAGCCAGACGCTAGCAGGCGGCCGTCGGGCGAGAAGGCCACTGATCCAACCGAACCCGAATGGCCTTCGAGGGTCTGAGTGAGCGCGCCCGTCGCTGGGTCCCAGAGCCGCACTGTCTTATCCCGAGAGCTGGACGCTAGCAGGCGGCCGTCGGGCGAGAAGGCCACTGATCCAACCGAACCTGAATGGCCTTCGAGGGTCTGGGTGAGCGCGCCCGTCGCTGGGTCCCAGAGCCGCACTGTCTCATCCCAAGAGCCGGACGCTAGCAGGCGGCCGTCGGGCGAGAAGGCCACTGAATCAACCCAATCTAAATGGCCTTCGAGGGTCTGGGCGAGCGCGCCCGTCGCTGGGTCCTAGAGCCGCACTGTCTTATCCCTAGAGCCGGACGCTAGCAGGCGGCCGTCGGGCGAGAAGGCCACTGATCCAACCCCATCTAAATGGCCTTCAAGGGTCTGGGCGAGCGCGCCCGTCGCTAGGTCCCAGAGCCGCACTGTCTTATCATAAGAGCTAGACGCTAGCAGGCGGCCGTCGGGCGAGAAGGCCACTGAATCAACCCAACCTAAATGGCCTTCGAGGGTCTGAGTGAGCGCGCCCGTCGCTAGGTCCCAGAGCCGCACTGTCTCATCATAAGAGCCGGACGCTAGCAGGCGGCCGTCGGGCGAGAAGGCCACTGATCCAACCCAACCTAAATGGCCTTCGAGGGTCTGAGCGAGCGCGCCCGTCGCTAGGTCCCAGAGCCGCACTGTCTTATCCCCTAGAGCCGGACGCTAGCAGGCGGCCGTCGGGCGAGAAGGCCACTGATCCAACCCCATCTAAATGGCCTTCTAGGGTCTGGGTGAGCGCGCCCGTCGCTGGGTCCCAGAGCCGCACTGTCTCATCATAAGAGCCGGACGCTAGCAGGCGGCCGTCGGGCGAGAAGGCCACTGAATCAACCCAACCTGAATGGCCTTCGAGGGTCTGGGTGAGCGTGCTCCATTCTTCCTCAACTTGTGGTAACTGACATATCCACGTGGGAAGCGACCGTTTGAACTCTCTACGTATTATCCCCGTTCGGGGTGCAAATACAAGTCCTGCGCAATAAACTTGAAGCGGGGCCTGATCAACTATCTGGCGATTTTTCAGAATAAAGCGCTTTGCATCGTGAACGAAATCTGAAATCAGAGAAGAGTCGTCACCCTAAATCTGTCAGTGCATATCATCTATGATTATCTTCGGAACTTACCGATATGGCCGTTTGGAGCAGATCAAGAATACCTGATACTGCTGACGTAAGGCGCAGTAGGCTCATTGCTTCCACCCAGTGCAAAAAGTGCACCTGGAGAAATCGATAAACATTGTGCATCATGCTAGGCAAGTCCGTGCATTGTACCAGATGATGCGCCCAGTATCGACAGGCGTATTTCAGTTCGGGAGGTATATAATGCTGAATCGAATCATTGCTAATTTCATTCCATTGTATGCCTTCACTTGGCAGTCTGCAGATGTTTTTTCTCTAGGCTGTCCTGCATGATCTGACGGCATCGTTCTGCAAGACGCTGGTTTGCGTACTTTCCATTGATCCAGAATTTGCTTTCGTCTTCGCGGTGATCCAAGAGAAAATCTCGGAATGACAGATGGAGGATCCTGACTGGTGTGTCGAAATTGTTTGGTACACTGAGCACCGAGTGGAGCTGGTCTAATCGACATTTGACATCATCTGACTCTCTGTCTATTAGGTGGCTAAGGGAGTTGATCGAGAGCGGAGTGGCAAGAATAATGATCACCCCGACTATCTCCTTGAACTCTTCGAGTAATTTCCGTGACTCTGTTTCATTTTGCCCAGTGAGAAGTTGCTTTAGCACGGGAACATAGGTGCTGTCCATCTTAGACACATAGGTTGATTGGTCTGTCAATATCGCCTCAAGTCGCTTTTGAGGGTTCCATTTTACATCACTGATAAAACGGCATATGGTAGCAGCTGCAATGAACAAAGGGACGGCCCTATCAACCAATATCTTGGTAGCTGCGGCTCCCGGCCAGTCTGGTGGAAATGAGCGCCTCTGTTTTAGGCGTAGGAACTGATCCTCAAAATACAAGGATATGTCATGCTCTATCACTGGCTTTTCGATCTCATGGAGGACCATATCCTGGTGGGCATCGGTGATCCCTTCGAAGCCCAGCCTGATCGGCAACTCAGGTCTGCTTGTCAATAAAAACCGTAGTTGCACAGAAGTTGACTTTCGAACTTGGGGTAAGAGCCGGAGAATAATCCCTATATCATCTTCTGAATCGCATTCATCTAGAGCATCAATCACGATCACTCTTCTTTTGATCTCTTCGCGCTGCTCAATATCAAACAGTGGATTCAGTAGAAGCTTTTCAAATTGCTCTCTCAACACCTTTTCCGAAATATTAGGGTCATCGTCCATTGCCTTTTGAACTCGAGGCAGCATTTGAGGTATTCGGTTGACCATTTGCTCGGTCAATGTTGGGAAAAGCTTTTTTGCTGTTCCTCTGTCCTCTTCACCTCTCCGAAAGAAGAAGCTGGCCCCGAGAAGCTGCTGCTCTTGAAGACGGCTTGCAACTGTTTGGGAGATTGTTGATTTCCCTGTCCCTGCCATGCCGTTCAACCAAAATATGCATTTTCCGTGCGGCGATTTTGCCCACTCTTCGATTTCTCGAAGTAGGTCGATCCGGGTCCCCGGGAGACATTCACTATGTTGGTTGCCGTAGGAGTCGAATGCTGCTTGTTTTGCAATCTGTAATCTGCTAAGGTCCATCTTTTTGTGTATCGAGTTGGTCAATCTCCTAGATCAGCGTCAGAGTTGGCCTTTGATATCAATAATTAAGAAATCGGGTTTCGGTCCGGAGCCTACGTTTGATCAACCTGCAAGGACAAAGCAAATGTTGTTTTGTACGACTCAAGCTCCATGATAGCAAAATCTACCTCCGACCGTGCCAGTGGCCATTTTAAGGCTCGAAGGCCCCATTTCCTCATCTGCTTTTGCGTCGTTTCCGGATTGATTCTCTCTTTCAAATTTGTAAGTGCTGAGGAGCATTTGGCGATATTGTCGATCAGGTCTTGCGTAGCAGTAAGTTTGTTGCCATCAGATCCACGGATCAGCTCATCGAGCGAGTGAAGGACTTGTGAAAGGGCGGCGACCTTCTCTTGGAAACGCTGAATATCCTGCTTCGCGCTCTTGACGTTATTGAGATATTTTCCACATATTTGTAAGATAACTCCGGTTAACTGGATAACTGCGATAACACTTGCTGCACCCGAAAGTGGATCCATGGTTAACAAGCCTTCCGCGGTATTAATGATATCAAATGTACAAAGTAAGATGTCGCGAAGGATGATAGACAAAAATGGAGCTTACGCCCCTCAAGGAGGGGTAGGCATCAAAGTGAGGCTAAGAGTAAAAGTGGACCCTGATTGGCGCTTGTCCGATCGTTTAAGCCACGCAACTACCACAAGGGGTCGTTCGTTTCTGTCCATGTGGAAACTCTTGCAACCATTGGCTGAGCCCGACACAACTGGGTTCGAAATGGCATCAATAGAATGTTACGAATAAGGGCCGCTTGGGAGAGTGAGAAGATCGGTCGGGGCCTGTGAGTGTGTATTGGGGTTGATGATTTGCAGAGACCCGCTATCAGCTTCCATAGAATTCCGTTGAATTCTCGTATTCATTCTATAATATACGAGCAATATATAATACCATGCTCAGGCGTTTTACGTATCCATCAATTTAATGCCGCCCGCTCAATGATTGATCTTGCGCTAATGCAGCCGATTTCGAGAACGACTATATCGCTCAGGGTTCAGATGTAAAACAGACCAGGTCAGAAGGGAGGCCTAGATGCATGGTGGGGAATTATTGCTGATCGAGGTATTCAGCCATCGACAGCAGCCGCCGATGGTAGAAACAACCTCAACAATGAGCCCACACAACATGAACGACCCGAGATTGTCATATCCAATCAATAAATCAGCAACAAATATTGCTGGTGGATTACTGCGGTACTGCATCCTCAATAGTCCAACGCATTTTTTGAGTGAATACGAATAACCCTTTGACTCGATATCTTCCGCAATTTGTTGCTGATCGTTCCAAGCATTACCGTAATGATAAACATCAAAAAAGTGATGCGCTAAGGCGATTCCATCATTGTTGCAGGCCCCTTCATATCCGTCACATTAGCCATTCCTGTACATATGGTTGCATTCGTTTTCTTGTTTTGAACATTAAAAAATAATTCTAGTCGGTTTACGTGACTTAACAAGCGCCAAGACATTTAGCAGCTACACCTAGCCTCTAGCGCAAATGATTTTAAATCGTTCTCAACCAGACAGGAGCAATGAACATTGACATTGGACGTCGTGCAATGTCAGTCTGGGCCATGAGCAGCAAGCTGAGATCAAGCAAAAAATATTCAAATCGACGCTATATCAGCTCTATCTGCTGGAGATTAAAGAGTGCAACTCCCTCCTTGCCAAAGTGTTGGATGCCTGAGGCATCACATGTATGATAGAACCCAGATAGTTTGCCTGCGCTCTCTCTCTCTCTTTCTCCTCTTCGTCCACTCCGAATACATACATTGTTTCTCATACTGATTTACCCTGTATCTGTCTTCCATGAGGTTATGAGCCTCTCTCTTGCTAGTTCGGACCACTAGCAACTCGTTTTTCTGAAGCTTTCACCCGGATCTCGTCGTCGATCCCGTCCCCGCAGGAACCCCACTTTTGTGCGTGAAAACTCTGCACGGACCCGGATCAGACCAATCAAGTCCAGGAATCCTTCGGCCCGCCGGCAAAAGCTCCGTTTAGCTTTACAATTCAACCATGGCTGACGTCGACACGGACAATGAGGGGGACACCAACCCTCACTCTCTCGATGCGACAGCTAACCCGTTGAACCCCACAAACCCCGCTTCGCAGAGGCAAACTGCGAATGCTTCTCAATCACGAAATGATCCAATCCCATCATTGAACAATCCGATCCGATTCACCGACATTGATGACGACGACAGTGATGATGAAGACAAGAAACCGTCTCACCAAGGACATGGTCTGCCTGAGATCGCGATGACGAAGATACAGAAGGTTAGGATGCTACAGCACAACGACACAGACCCTAGCGGATGGAAGCAGGCTTTGGCTTACCAGCTAATCCCCTACGCTTTGGAATGGTTGCTTGATAGCGAGATACCTCGTCCTTCAAAGTCGCACCCTTCGTATGAAAGATGGAAGTACTGGTCTCGTCTCGTCGCCAGTTGGATGTACAATCAGATCGATGTGACACTTCAGAACAAGCTCCGGAATTTGTCAAAGATGCCGAAGTACGCAGACAGCCTGTACGACGAACTCATGACGATGACGCAAGGAAGCGATCGGATCCAGACAGCTTTTCTGGAGATGCGCAAGTTCGACAAGATGAAGCGATCGGACTACAGCTCGGCAAGCGAGTACATCGAGGAGTACCAAAAGCAATACCATGTTCTTGCTAGATTCAAAGCAGAACCCCATCCAGTTCACGCATTGTCACAAGTCCTTGAGAATCTGGAACTCGAAATCAAGAAAGTACAGTTTATCAAGGAGGAAGTTGCAGGTCTTATACCCGAGAAACTGAGTCGTGACAAAGTGGAAGAATACTGGAGAGCTCTACAAGCCGCAGCTGACATGGAAGGTGTCACAAATGCAGCTCAGTCCGCAGGCAGAGGCCGCGGAGGTGGAAGAGGTGGTCGTGGAGGAAACCGAGGTGGCCAAGGTGGTCACAACACCGGTAACAACAACAACGACAGCACCCAATCCACCAAAGATGTCAATGCAGTCGACAATGACAGCAATGCCAACAGTGGCAGGAAGAAGAAGAAAGGACTTCGCAAGCAGCCTGCTGACGGCAAAGACATTCATGATTACGCGCGAGAAATGCGCAACGGCAAACAGAAGGACGACAACGAGATGTGCGCCTTCTGCGGTTTCGGACCACACCCAGCTAAAAGGTGCGCATACCTCAGCGACAACCCACCAGCTTCGTGGGAACCGTCAGGCAATCTGTGGGCCTATTCGAAACAAATCCAAAAAGCTCAGCGTCCGGAAGGCCAGAACAACATGGTCGTCGCCGCTGCAAGCTCTATCGACAGGACGAACGACTGGTTACTCGATACCGGATCCAGCAAGACGTTAACACATGATCTCGAGGATTTCCATACGTATCAGCTGGATCACCCTGACCTAGCCTATGCGTACAAAGACTACTCTGGAAAGAAGGTCATCACGCTTGGTCATGGAGAAATCATGGTGAGGGCTGCTCTGCCTGGCCCAGGTGGAAAGACGTACACATTCATGACAACTGGATACTACAGTCCTGGGGGACATGGAAAGCTCTTTGGAATGCAAAAGCTTCTGGAAGAGCAGGATATCTCCTATGACACACGCACTAAACACCTGACAAATAGCTCGGGAGACATTCTCGGCTACGCAGATACGTCAGATGGTGTACCATACCTTGTTAGTCCAAACGAGATTGATCCAGATTCAGATTCGGATAACGATGATCAAGACATTGGTTTTGTCAACAAGGTAACAGCTTACGAAGTGCACCGTCGTCTCGGTCATGCCGGAAAAGCTCGCATTGCTGCTACATTGGAGCATGCAGAGCAGCTGGATGAACACGAACAGTACGGTACAGAGCATTTTGACTGTGACGCCTGTTTTCGTGGCAAATCAAAGCAAAAGATATCTCGAGAACCACAGGCCAGAGTGCAAGACGCAGCATGGAAATTCCACGTCGACACCCAACCAATGAAGCCTACAGGGCCAAACGGAGAGAACTACTGGTTGCCAGTTGTTGACGATGCTACTCGTCTGATCGAGGGGATTATGCTAAAGACCAAGAGCGATGCTTTTCACAAGCTCACTGCTTTTTGTGAGAAGATGAAGCTGCTGACTGGCAGATACCCTGGTATCTGGAGAATGGACGGCGGCACAGAGTTCAAAGAGTTCATCAAATGGGGTGAGAAGCGAGGAATGACTTTTGAGATCACACCTCCATACACCGCAGAGCCGAATGGCACAGTGGAGCGTTTCGGTGGACACATCAACGACATACAACGCACGATGATTCTAGATGCAGACACGCCGGAAGAAATGTGGCCATACGCGACAGAGACTGCCATTTACATTTACAACAGACTGGTCAATCCGAAGACCAAGATCTCTCCACTGACACACTGGCGTCAAGAACTCGACATTCCAAACCCAGAGCCTTCACTGAAACATCTCAGACCATGGGGATCCACCGTATACGTGCACATTCCTAAGGCCAAGCGTGTACAAGCTAGGAAAGCTGCTCCTAGAGCCTGGAAGGGCATGCTTATGGGCTATGAGGGGGATGGTGGACATGTTTTCAAAGTATGGGATCCTACCGCGAGAAAGGTAGTGGTATCCCGAGATGTTGGTTTTCCTCAGCCTGGTGATGAAGACGGTATGGGACCAATACCGGTGCAGCCTACACCTGGTCCTAAGGATCCAGATGATGACAACGATGACGCTGTTGGATTCATGCCTATCTCGCTCAATCACGAAGATAAGGACTCGAAACCTAAGGAGATGCAACAACAGATTGTAAGGACACTACCCATGCAGACGCCTACGCAAAGGACTGTACAATTGCCTGTCACACCATCAACAATTCATCTTCCTACAATTCATGGGAGTGTCTCTACAATGCCGGAGACACCGCGTGGAAAACCGCAACAACAAAAGACCATTGCTCCGCCCCCGAAGCGACAGCACAAGCTTTTTCAAACTCGCCTTCCTACTGTGCAAGAGGAGCCTCTTATGACGGGAGCAAGGCTCACCGATGTCACGAATGCACCCTCTGGAAGCATACAAGAGGTAGCGAAGCAGGATGCACAGCAGATCTCTAACATGCAGCAGAGAAGAGCTGATTTCGGAAAGAGACTTCGAGCTTTAACAGATAACGTTTCTCGCATTGCAGAGAGTATGGATGACGTTCGCAAAGAAGCTCGCGACATTGAGGAAAGGACTATCTCTGAACAGAGCTCTGAGACAGCTAGATCAGACGATACAACGCCTTCTCCGGAGCAACGGAGAACAGGTTATCAATACCCCTTCTCGTCTCCAATTCAGCAAGCTGTTTCTCCACAGAATGAGACACAGCGCACTATCTCTACACAGCAAGCTAGTGTGTCACCGAGTCGTGAGATCACACAAGCTACAGAGGCAGTATCAAGCAGTGAAAACACACCGGTTACAGCGAGATCTGAGGTGTTACCAAGACATGAGATCATCTCAATTGAATCCTCGCCGGACCCTATCACCCGAGACCCAGCCACGCCGGCTCCTCCACCACCACGACGTTCAAGACGTGCGAACATCGGGATCGCCCCTGATCGCTATCACGATCCACAGCAGAAGCATCTCGCCGTCGAGTACGAGAAACGAGACCGTGACATTCAACGAGCTGCTATGAGAGCAAAAGCGAAGGAATCAGGCGGTAATAACATGACGGAGGGTGGAGGACAGGGGTCTGCGGGACCTGATGCAAGTGCAATGGCAGCGACAGACATCGTCGATATCAACGAGCCATTTCTTCATAATGGCAAGCCACTACATGCGAAGGACGTCGATCTACCTTCCACGTACAAACAGGCGCAGAAGAGCCCTTTCTGGCCTCAATGGGAAGATGCTATGCAAAAACAGCTTGATGATCTCGCAGCAAAGGGCACATGGAGTCTGATTCTCAAACCGCCAAAGGCTAAGATACTGCCGGGTCAATGGAGATTCACAGTCAAAACCAACACCAGAGATGAAGTCTACGGATTTAAAGCTCGCTGGGTTGTGTGCGGCAATTTCCAGGACAAGGACGACGGAGAAACATACGCCCCTGTCGTCGCTGAATGTATGATCAAAATCGTATTCACATTGATCGCGATCTACGGTCTGAAGTGGAGACAGGTTGATTTCACAGCTGCATATCTCAATGCATCGAGGGAAGATGCTAAGACAGTCTACATGAGACAGCCCACCGGATTTGAACACTCCGACGCCGAGGGTGACAAAAATCAATGGGTATGCACGCTGAATCAAGCTCTGTTCGGACTGAGAGACTCAGCATACTTGTGGAACGAGGAAATGGACAGCAAGCTTCGTCAGATTGGCTTCCATCCGCTCGACGATGACCCCTGTGTCTACGTGAAAGGCAAGGGCATGGATCTTACTATCATGATGATACACGTGGACGATTTCATTATCGCAGCGCCGTCAGATGACGACATTCAACAAGTTGTCAATAAGCTCCGTCAATATTATGATATGAAGGATCTTGGTGAGCCGAAGCAGTATCTGAACTGCGCGCTCGACAGAGACTACGAGAATCGGACAATCACTATGACACAGACAGCCTATGTGCAGAAGGTGCTTCGTACTGCCAATGTGTCTGGATGGAAAGATACACCGCTGCCCGCTGCATGGAGAGAAACACAAGCTGATGCTACAAATGTACTAGATGATGATGCTTTTGACCAGTACCAATCCATTGTTGGGATGTTGAACTGGCTGGCCGTCAAGACTAGACCAGATATCCGCTTTGCTGTGACAAGACTGCAACATAGGCTGGCAAAGCCTACATTCGCAGATTTCGAAGCAATGCTGCATGTCGTGAAGTATCTACGCCGACGTCCAGACATCGGGATCGTACTAGGACGTACCGATGAACTTCGCTTCTATGCACACACAGACGCCTCACATGCAGACTGGGATGATAGCAAATCCACCGAGGGAAGCATCTGGTATCTTGCTGGATCACCAGTGATGTGGTCTACTAAGAAACAGACGATCACTGCCAATTCGACAACGGTTGCTGAATGGTGTGCGCTGGATCAACCCTGCCGAGATGCGATGTGGTTAAACAAAGTCGCACAGTCGTTTATGCTACCCGAACATCGACCGATGGAGATTCACACAGATAACATCAACTCACAACTTCTTCTTTCAAAGAAGGGAGGCAAATCAGCAAATCGGTGGCTAACATTGAGATGGTTCTTCGTCAAAGACGCAGTTGCACAGGGCCATGTTGAGATCCTACGTGTTGATACGAAGAAAAATGCTGCAGACGGATTTACAAAAGCTCTAGGAAAAGACCAATTCGAGGCCTTTACTCGGCTAATTGGGATGACCTAAACATGCACTGACAAGATGAGTTTTTACTATGTATGCTGGAATTGGAGGTTTTGATAGAGGATGCCATGCAGGTTCTATGAGGGGGATGTTGGATGCCTGAGGCATCACATGTATGATAGAACCCAGATAGTTTGCCTGCGCTCTCTCTCTCTCTTTCTCCTCTTCGTCCACTCCGAATACATACATTGTTTCTCATACTGATTTACCCTGTATCTGTATTCCATGACAAAGCGTTCCATCTAGACCATGGGAAGGCAAGGCGTCTTCCAATTGAATTTGCCCGAAACACATGGGATGATGACATAGTCTCTTTCGTGAGGCACTCATTAATGTCGAAAGGTATGTAGCTATCTCACTCAGTATCATCTTCCTTTTTCGGACGGTATCTGATCGCTTATCTCAGACATTGGAAAGAACTTGGCATCCAAGGCGAATGTCCCTATCACTTCACGCAGGATGAACTACATAGCCACTCCGTTGATGCCGAGGGCTGGAATGAGGTCCAGGATTTCTTTAACAGTATAGATGATCTTGTGAAACGAGATGGATGGGCATATCCTGATACGTTCGACGCTGCCTTCAATTTCTTTTCAGAGCTTCGAGAACGCGGCCTGAAGAATATGACGGGCAAGGAAAAGAGAGCTTTTGACAAACAGACTCGTTGGGCCAGAAAACAGGGCGATTCCCGGGCCTACGGGACATCACAACACCAGCATAATAGGAGCATCTACCACGCTTCACGTTGTCCAACCTTTAATTTGACTCTGGAACAGAATTCAGACTAAAATCATCTCCAAAAAAAAAGAACATACTTATGCGTCATATTTCCAAGTTGCATACTGTACAAGCTGAGCGGAAAAGAAAAACGCCAATTCACCGCACCCATCGCCCACACCGTCGTCTACACCAAGTCGAGAACAGGCAATGCTTTTTTCACATTCTCAACCCAATCACGAAGATTTTCTACGAAACTCCGAGCAATTCCAGGTTTGATCCCTTTGCTGACGAAAAATTCCGGATTCTGATCCTTGTAGATGTGCTCAAGCTCAAAGCCATCAGACAGGGTTATATCGCACGCTTGTCGAAATGCAGCTTTGAGAGTTTCATCAGATACATTCGATGCAAGCCACTCACCATATTCTTTGACCGCCACGTCCTTGAGACCAGGAATCTTCAACGAACTCACGGGTTTTGGCCCAGCTGCCTCAACTGCTGAAGCCGTTGTCGCCACCCCAGGGGGGTGAACATTTATGTTGATCGGCGAATGCGACATTTGACTGCCAAGCATATTACCGCCTTTGCGCTTATTTTTTTCCTCCCTCTGCTGGTCTTCCATAAAGAGCTCATCTCGGATTTCATCTGGGACGTCCTTGTGCGTCTCCAGGACACCACCTTTCTCGGCATAGGTGACCAGACGTCTGAGTGTTTGCGTTCGGAGTCGATAATGCTTTTTTCCCTTTGGGTCTAGCCAGCAATAAGGGCCCAGGTGGCATGCGGCTGAGTCACATTTCATCAAATCATAAACACGGCGCCAAATAGATTGCTGTCCGCATGCATTTTCTTCAGCATCCAGCTGGGCATCGCGATCGCCAAGCATCCTCCTTGTGACGGAGGATTTCCCTCTCTTTCCACCATTTCGTCCGGTGGGTGGGGAATCGCAGTCTTCTATATAATTGAAACAGACTCTCAAACTCAAACTTTTTTCACGGCAGAAATGACTCGACCACATCCTGAGTTGTTTTTCAATAGGGGCCCAAACTATTTCAGTTTTGTTGAAGCGCTTGTTCAGATCACGCTGGGTACGGTCGCTGTTTGACACGATGATTGCCGTGTCATCGACCCTGACCCTTTTGTTACGGGAGACTTTCTCTTGGAGAACGGTGTGTAGCTTTTCTTCCAGGAATAACGTCCAGTAGGCGCCTGGAGCCAAAACAACATCTTCTTCCGTGTCTTTTACAATGGTTTTGTTGTTGAGGGTGACTCGCCATTCTTTTAAAATAGTGGATGCAGTTTGGAGGATCCTCGTCGTAGGCTTTCTCCGACTGCCATTCGGATTCCTGTAGGAGAGGTAGAGTACTGGGCCGAGGTTGGCTTGCGGAGCTGGGGTTATCGTCGAATGGGATGGACCGGGAAGGACTGCAGTTCGAAGATGTAGCAGATGGGCTTCGGAAGTATCCCGGGGTAGGGGGCGAATATTGTGAATCCTGTTCCCATGGTTCGTATTCTTGGGCCTGAGAGATGTAATCATCATGGTAGGGGCTGCCGTTCATATCTACGCACGATCAAAGCTCTGGAGGTCTGTCAGCATGAGTGGGCCGTGCCAGTTTTCGAAAGAAGTCCAATGACGAACGAAAGTTGAGATAGGGATCGAGTGCCATAGGGAACATAAACGAGAACCAGCTTAGCCTACCAAGGTTAGTGTTCTACGGGGTCTTTGTCATGTATGTTGATGTACATAGACGACAACAGCTACTGTATGTATGTAGAAAAGTTAAGAAAGCGAGTGGGCATGGATGAGACCAGATCGCCAGATCGCCGTTGCCATGGCAATTGACTTGCTAGAATGTTCCATGGACGAGTACGGTAATTAACAATGACTCATTTGACACATAATCTCAATACGTTATATACTACGATACAGCTAAACAGGGGTAAAAGTTGAGTTAGCCTTATATGGATTAGCGTGGTTTCGGGTACGGGCCGAGAAACAATGCGTTAGTGTCCACAGGGGAATCCGTTTTCGAAATCTACTGTATAGATGAAACCACATAGTGACAGAATTGCGGGCTACATAGTATATCCTGTAATTACCACGTTCAGTCAACTCTCTCACACGAGAAGTCATTTTATCGCACATATACAATATCCGAATAGAGCTCAAAGTTTTGTTAGCGCTCTTCTCATGCCGCGCTCAGTAGCTTACTTTCCTGATTTATTGGGAAACGGCACTATGGAGAGCCGCTGGTGAAGATTGCATACCAATCGGACGCTCACTGTAGAACGATGAGCTAGGGCAGCACATATGGGACATTTGCATGCTCACAATAGCTGAAAGGAACCAGCCCACAACAAGTGAAGCGGACTGTTTAAGTGGACGGTACTATGGGGTGAGATGCACTGTGACTTTATCCTTGATGGCACCGTGTAATAAGAGATAGTTGGAACACCGCTATGGGTTGTCAAGTATATATATTCCTTGCTAGGCTCACGCCCACTATTTGCAACGCAGCACAATCATAGGGAACCAGCTTAAAGTGGGATCGAGCCGGAAACCCGGGACTCAAATTCATCGGTTGCCTGCTGGAGCATGGCCTTGAAGTCATAGTAGACTAGCTTGTCCATAAACGCCTTGGTGTGCTCTTTGAATTTGTCAAAGTCCTTGCCTATCTCTCGGTCCAACCCTTTGACCTTTTGCCCTTGGCGGCGACTGCAGCGGACAAGCCACTGTGAACGTTCTCGCCGAACGGCGTCATACGCTTCGAACGCAGCTGTCAGGGCCCTAGCTTTGCTGACGGCAACACCATGGGTTTTGAGCTTTGTTGCCGCTTGCTCGAGAACAGTTGATAACACCAGCGCGTCCTCTACGCCCATGCCCGCGCCAGAGCCATAGTGTGGGGTGGAGCCGTGAGCAGCATCTCCAGCGAGAGTGATTCGGCCGTAGGCGTAGGTGGTTAGAGGGTGGTCAAATGTGTCGAACATGGCCCAGCGATTAAGCTCATCGGGCAGAAGCGCTACCAAGGATCGTACGGTAGGGCCAAAACCAGAATAGGCCTTTTGGATATCCTCCTTGCTCCCAAGAACGGTGTGTTTTTCGCCCTGGGGCCATTCTCCATCATCATGAACGAAGGCTGCCACGTTCAAGGATTTAAAATTGTCCACGGGATATGCCATGATGTGGGCGCCCTGGCCCATATACATCACCATGGTCTTGCAAAGATCGCCCATCACCGGAAGAGCTTTGTCCATGTCGACAAGACAGCGATAAGCACTTTCGTGGGCGTAATGCGGAATAGCGGCCGGATCGTCTTCCTCTCAGGACAAGTTGACGAACGCACGAGTTGATGCCGTCGCAACCGATGACTGTCTCGGCGAAGTGTTGAGTTAGCCTCTTTGGTTTGGTTTGTCACGGGGCGAGAGAAAAATGTAAGGGAGCATACCAGCGTCAGCCTCGGCGGTCGTGGCGTCGCAGAACTTGAGAAGGAGCTTCTCGTTCTCGCCAGTCTGCGCAATCGTGTCCAGGCGCTTTCCAAGCTTGATCTGGTTGGGTGGCAGTAGTTTAACCAGTTCATTCAGGAATTGCCCACGATGGGTTGTCCTGGCTATAGCCTCCCCATCAAGGCAGATTTCAACGTCAAACAGCCGATTTTCGGGCCTGGACCTTAGATCCTCCTGGGCGAGTCCATCAATCCACCGTACACTTCCTCCAGACCTGATTGAAACGTCATCCAGACTTTCAGCGACTTTAGGGTCTATGGCGGCCATACAACCCACTATGTTGGATGTGAAGCCCATGCCGGCCCCGATCTCTTTGAGCTCATGCGCTTGCTCATAGATCGTGACGGGGATGCCCCGCCTCACGAGTCCCAGGGCAACGTGGAGTCCAACAATACCGCCGCCGACGACGGCCACGTCGAAAGGTGCATGGTCACCATGGGCGTGTGGCAAACTGCTGGCCATATTCGCAAGGAGTTCGGTCGATGTCACTTGAGGGGCAGGGATAAAGTAAATTGATCAAAAGGATCAGTGAGGAATATGAGTGTGGAACGGCAACTTCAGTTACTGTCCCAACTACATCCAATACTTATAGAGGGAATGAGAAAGGGGTTCTTTAACTGTACCTGGCGTGTTTCTGATCACTTACAAGGGTATTGAATACACGGAGAACCGAGAGACCGATTGTCTCAGCTTCGAATGTCTCAAGTGTCCAGTTAAAAATTCCCATACGCACTAGGGCTCCATGATCCGACAAATATAGAACTGTCGGCTTTGCTCGATTCTTGTACTCCGAGTTATTCACAATACGGGTCTTCAGGCTTCCGTTCCGGATGGACCATTCCCAAAGAAGCACTGTTCTCATGAAGAATTAGCCAATTATAGTATACGTGTCTCCATTTTATGCAGAAACCTAGACAATTTTGACATTTTCTTAGAGACAATCGGTCTCTCGGCGTGGACTCTTCCGTTCTCCACATGTGCGGAGAAAGCCCTAAGGCTTATAGGCTTCTACATATAAAACCAACAGATGGGACAGGGAACGATCCTCTTCGGATCAGATTTCTTCGGGGTATCTAAGTACAGAACCTGCACATAGCAAACTTCCTTTTCCCTTTCTCTTTTCCTGTCAAGAGGTCCATTATGTTGGAAGACGTCATCCATTTAACCCTCCACAATCCCATCAGGACTGTCGCTGGGCTTCTCATAGGATTTTCAATTATCTTCTGGGCTGGGCCTCTTCTTTATGGCTTTCAGTTTTCTCTGCGAAAAGTTCCCGGGCCATTATTCGCTAGGTTCACGAATCTCTGGGAGTTTCGTTCTGTTTTTCGAGGACACTCTCATGAGGACTACATCCACTTACACAAGAAATACGGTCTGCAGTCCCAAACTTTCCTAATCACCATAAATAACCTTGGAACCTGGTGCTGATTGATGATGAGTGCAGGCCCGGTAGTGCGTGTTGGTCCAAAACGATACAGTATTATCCAGCCCCAAGCCGTCAAAACAATCTACGACATCAGTGGGAAATGCGCGAAATCCAGTTATTACGATGGACAAGGCAATGGTGATGATCTCTTCACGATGAGGGACAACATTGAGCACCGTGATCGACGCAGAAAAGTCGCGTCTCTATACTCTATGTCGGCTATGGTATCTTATGAAGATGCCATCGATAGGATGACGACACTGTGCATGAGAAAGCTGGATGAGTTTGCAAAAGAGAAGCGGCTCATTGCCATACCCAATTTCATGCAGTTCTATGCCTGGGATGTTATTGGCGAGATCACAGAATGTAACCCCCTGGAGCATGAAGGCCACGAGTAACAGCTAATATTGTGACAGTTCGACCAGAACTTCGGTATGATGGAGAACATGGGTGACACTCAAGGCGTCATCAGTGAGATTCACACCGCGAACAACAACATGGCTCGACTGGGTCTATTACCAGAGCTGCAAAAGCCATACCGAATACTTGAGAAGCTCATCTTTGGGGGCCATCCCATGGCCAAGGTGATCAACTATATCACGAGCCAGTGTCAAACGCACCGAGACTCAAACACTGGTGCCAAGATGAAATCCCAGTACGATACATTTCTACGGAAGATACTCGAACTAGAAGCTGCACACAAGGTCGAGATGAAGAATGTTTTTGACGCATGCGGATCTAATATTGGTGCGGGATCTGATACAACCGGTATCAGTCTCAGTGCGGCTATATACTATTTGTACCGGAATCCGGACAAGTTGGCGAAGCTCCGGGAGGAGATTGATACGATGACATCCAATGGGCTTATTTCCGATCCTGTGACATATAGTCAGGCAAAGGATATGCCATATCTCAATGCTGTCATTAAGGAAACGCTTCGGATACATCCTGCTGTTGGCACAATCTTGCCTAGGGTTGTGCCAAAGGGTGGGATGACCCTTGGGGGCTATTATTTCCTTGAAGGAGTGAGTCTTCCATACACCCGCTACTGTTGCATTTCTCGCGTTCTCTCTTTCCTTTCACACGGCGTTAAGTATCATTATCCTATTACTAATGTAATATACACTGCAGACACACGTTGGGACAAATGCCTGGCCACTTCATTACAGCGAGGCTGTTTACGGGCCGGATGCCGACCAATACCGACCAGAACGCTGGCTTGAGGACAAATCAGATCTTGAGTATAGGGATTCAATGATGTTTGCAGTAAGTTGTGCAGCTAATTGCCCTGACATTCCACATTTGGCATCTGGACAGTAAAGTGTTGACGCATAATATTAGTTCGGAGGCGGATCGAGAACCTGCATCGGCCGAAACATTACTTTGTTAGAGATGACCAAGTTCCTGCCTCAGATAGTACGCAAGATTGACTTCAAGTTCGAGGACAGAGAGAAGCCCTGGGACCTGTCTTGTTCGTTTCTGGTTTATCCTAGCTACAAGTGCTGGGTAGAGTTGCGGGACAACAAAGATCAGAAATAGAGCTACACTGAGAAGGAGGTCGTAACGCAATAGAATAGTGAGGCTTTTTCATGTCGGTTGGTTCGTTTGAAAAAACTTGTTGTATGATAGGAACTGAGGTGAACTAATACTACATGAGAGCTGGGTACCCAATCACAAAGCGCCTAGGCCATCATATCATGTCATACAATATACAATATATGTAGGGTATATCGTGTGTATGTGTCGGAAAAATACAATCCGTTTGGCTCCTTGGCCGAAATAGTAACCCCAGCCTCGGCATAGTAGGTGAGGACAAACTCCATCCCGCGAAGACATAGATTTTGCATGCCAGAAGCACTGATCTTCTCACTAGGACTTTCTCAGCTGATCTATGTTGTAGGCAGGTTCGGCCCCAAGTGATGCCTCAGGCAATTATTTATGCCTCACAGATCAGGCATCAAAGGATATTCCGCTATGCCAGTCTGAGACAACGCAGCTCCATCGCAGCCATGAGTACCTCGTCTCCTCCTACTCCGCCATCAAAGGCCTCAACAGATGATGAACAGAGATTCAAAACTATTACCTTACCCTGGATTACCGCCCCGGTGGTTATCATCCAGTCGCTCTTGGCGACGTTTTCAACTGCCAGTACAAGGTCATCCGGAAGCTTGGCGAGGGCTCCTACTCAACGGTTTGGCTCGCCCGGGACCTGAAGTAAGTTCATCTTCTACATTTCCTACCCGCGAGGCTATAGATTATCGTTATTCATTTCCTCTAAGAAACAGCGGATATGTCGCCCTAAAGATCCTTGTGTCGGCAATTTCGGGATCGACAACCGAGCTACGAATCTTACGCCACATCACCGAAGTCGCACTAGTAGAAGGAATTCGGTATATCACGCGACTGCTAGACAAATTCGAACACCGCGGGCCTAATGGCGTCCACAAGTGTCTGGTATTTGAGCCTATGGGTCCGAGTGTGAATACTATGGTTGAGGAGCTGCCGCAGTTCAAACCTCGCAGGCGAGAAATGAAGATCCGCTATCCGCTTTAGATGGCAAAGAGCATCCTTAAGCAATCCTTACAGGCTCTTGCATTTCTCCACGAAAATGGTATCGCCCATGGAGACTTCCAGCCGGGAAACATACTCTTCACTCTTAACAATATCGACTCGACGCCAGAGGACTTGCTCCAGCAAGAGGAAGACGCGCAAGGCCGGTCGATCTCGCCCCCTATACAGAGGCTAGACGGTAAACAAGACAAATGGGCCCCTCGATATCTTTGTGTTGCGCAGCCACTAGTGCCGTTTACCTGCAACGCCGAAGGATTCAAGGTCAAATTATCCGACATGGGCGGTGGCCAGTCCCTCCCGTTTCGATTATCTGTTCCTTCTTCTTAACGAATAGCTATACTTATACCTGGCTGACCTGAATAGCATATTTCTTTACCGATCCACCAGATAAGCCCGTCACTCCAGTCGGTCTCCGAGCTCCCGAGTTGATTCTTACCGGAGCTGTTAACAATACTCTTGATGTCTGGAGTTTCGGTTGCATAGTCTTTGAGCTTATCACCGGACAACCGCTCTTTTGTATACCATACTCCGAGATGGAAGATGACGATCATCTTCTCTCCCTCACCGCCCAGCTCGGCGCCCTGCCTAACGAGCTCTTTAAGCATTGGACGACGTCGTCGCTCTACTTTACGCCCGAGAGGAAGCTGTTCAATTGTCAGCTTGGAGGAGTCGCTCCGGGGCAGGAACCCCTTATGCTGGAGCAGGCATCCATGGAAGAGTCATTCGATCGGGCAGGCCCGGATCTTGATGAGGAGGAAGCTCACAAAGTGAAGGCGCTTATTCGATGGATTTTGCACTATGATCCCGCGAAGAGACCTTCACCTGCGGAAATCTTATCTGATCCGTGGTTCTGCGAGATTGACGTTGAGACCGGCTCGTCCAAGGTAAATGTAGTCTAGTATCTTGTGTGGTCGTTGAGCCACCCGGAGAGAAACTCCACGATCGACCAGACAGTGACTAGGGCAGTGTCCATGGGCATAGCCGCCAGTACGCCATTGAATTAGTTAGACATTCACGTACGACGGGCGGAACCTGCATCAGCCGAAATGTTTTATGTTACTTTGTTGGAGATGACCAAGTTCCTGCCTCAGATAGTACGTTGCATGTCAGTTTAATAGTTTGGAAAAAAGGTCAAGATTTCCTGATGTACTCGATAAAAGTGTAGATCACAGACCATTCACGGCTGAGATTCTTCGCTTTCAGTAATCTTGTCGTGCTGCGGACTGGGCGAAGATGACCCGAGCCTCCGTATCAAGGTGAAAGAATTCTAAATTGGTTGAGGAAGATGACAACTTTCTCTCTAATCCATTTCTCTCATGTCTTAAAGGGTTACAGGTGGTATTGACGAGGATTATCAACCGAGATACCCAGCCTTTCCCACATAGCTTCCACATTCATATCCTCTCGGCCACTGGGGAAGATGTTAGCCTCTGATGGTGTGATGCAAGAAGTAAAGGAACTCACTCATCCTTTGGGTTGATCCAAGGCTCTGTCTGACCCTCTGCGGTATTGGGATTACGGAAAATCACATTGTGTTTCTGAAAAAAGAAGAACAGTTAGCCCAGTCAAGTCTCGGTGAATCTCCATAAAGGCCTGATTGACGTACCATGCCGAGTGTCAAGTGAATCGCCCCAGGTCCCTTAACAAACGTATCCTCAGCAGCGCGGCCTTCGATCAACGCTTGTATGTTCTTCGCAACAACCGCTGCCTGTGCTGAACCTGGCCGAGCCGCCTTTTGGGCACCGGTGTCTGCAATATCACCCACAGCAAACAGGTTCGAATATTGCTCATCCAAAAACTGCATAGTGGGTCTAACGCGAATATATCCATTATCTGGATTGACGACCGACTCGGCATCCGGGCGAGAAGACTTCAAGTCAGCCACCAATTGGTTATTTGGGGTTTGACCGGTGGCCAAGATGACGAATTGCGTGGACTCGGTGGTACCGTTTGTGAGATGAACGTCAAAGGTGCTGCCATCGTTAGGGAAACCACTCGGTGGAATAGTGACTCGAGAACCAGTGATGAGTCTGATTCCCAGCTCATCGAATCGTCTATTAATAAGGTCATGGAGTCCAGAGTGGAAGTTTGGCATCACCCGCGGCCTGGATTGAACCACGGTGACTTCCTTCTCTGGATAATATTCTTTCAGATCGGCCGCCATTTGGACACCGACCGCACCACCGCCGACAATCAAAATTGACTGGGATCTCTTAACTCCAGCTTGATGCTTTTGCAGATATTCGACTGATGATGCCTTATCATCATCGTCCATGGCCGCAGGCTTGGATAGACGGGTGCCGGTCGCAACAACAACATAGTCAAAGGGAACATCTTTTGAGCCCTGCCATTCACGGTCCAGCTCAACGTGGGTGGACTTGACCGACAACACGCGAGCCTGGACTACTCCATGGGAGGAGGGATTGGGCGACGCATTGAATATCCCACTGTACGGAATAAACGCTTTGTGTTCCTGACCCGGAACAATTGCAAACCGAGGCTATGGGTCACGTTAACTCTGGAGGTTATCTGCAATGCGCGTTCACTAGGAACTTACAAAAGTGAAAAGATGGTGGAAGTGGCTATGAGGCTCAGTCAAGAGAACCTGCACAAAGACATTAGCTTCATCTTTCAAGGTAGACCTAAGTGGTAACTTACCCGATGTGTTGAAGGCACAATACGTGCGAGCTCCTGAGCCGTCGTCTGTACTGACATTAGTAGATTGTCTATGTTGGGCAGCAGGATGAACTCACACGTCCAACGAACGAGCCACCAACGACAATGATATTCCGAAGTGAGGTTGCCATTTTCCAAGATGAAGTCTGAGGGGAAACTCCAAGGTTACCCAGAAGGACCTTTTATAAATAGCAGCCCTTTTTGTAATCTGATCTGATTATCTGATTAACTCCGATAAATTTCCCCATTCGGCTAATCCCGAACCACCGGAGTAGTTTATATCCGTCGAAAAACCGAACGCCACCTCCAAGTCCCGGCATCCGACGTGAAACATGCAAATTTGTCTGGGGAAGATGTAAGCTGGGGCCGATTCTCGGATGATGACTGCCGGGCGCGTTGCGGAGAAATTGACCAATGAGAGAGAACTAATCTACGTATGGATGCTCTAGCATATTATTGTGGAGAGGTACTACAAGGAGGCCCTTTGATAAGAGAAGGCATAATTGGTATGATATTATTCAACTACCCATGTCCTGGGAACATAGGAACCACTCGAAATTTCGTAAAGAACACGGAGATCGTCCAGCGAAGCATCCTGTAAAGGAAAACCCACTTGGGGAAGAAACAATATGACGAAGACCCTGGACGCAGTCTCAAGACTTTCGCCAGGTAGAGAGTACCTGCAAGTTCAAATGTTTACGCAGGGTGCCAGGTGATGGTCTTCGTAAGCGGTCCACCGCGATCATAAGTGGCTAGCACGTTGTGGTGATCCAATGCCATGATTCCAGGCCAGAAGCTGGAGGCTGGGGACACAAGGGTTGGAGAGCTCCATTGGACACGCCCTTCGACTGGTGGGCCAGCGAATACGACCTTGATCGAGGCATTCTTTACCCATTCCACGCGGTCGGAGTCTTCATCGGTCATGAATATCGTAGCCATGGATCCATCCGCAAAAGAGGCAATCTGGGGAGAGCCTGCATTATGACCCTGTCGTGGGCGGTAGACTTCATGGCGCCAACCCCAGGTCGCGCCGTCATCATAGGATAGAAGCGCTTCAACACTGAACGGTCCGTATCGGGTGGTCTCGAATACCATGAGAAGAGCCTCGCGACCGTTATCGAAAGTTCGTGCAATGCCGCACATTCCATCGCGAAGTGGATCTTGTTCACCATGCAGACACGTCGGTTGAGTCCAGGTACTCCCTTGATCCCGCGAGACGACTAGCATGGTACATTGGTTGTTATGTGCGAATTCCTGCGAGAAATAAAGCTGCACTTCACCCTGGCGTCCAACACGCATGAAGGGTTCCCAAATGCCCAAAGGAGGGCGCTTCTCGGCTGCCTGCGAAGCATACTGCCAGACCCGGCCTCCATCCGTAGACCGGCAGACAGTGATACGGAAGTGCGTGGGGCCATTCGGGCCCGTGTCGTGATTGCGGAAAGCCGCCAGTATCGTCCCCGGAGCCACTTCACACAAAAACATGTTATCCACGTCGCCAGCAGCCCGAGTTACCTCGGAGAAGTCTTCGAACGTGCGGCCGTTATCGGTACTTTTTGCGACGCGGAGTGAGCGTTGTCCATCGGGGAATCGGGTAAAGGACGAGAGGATGGTGCCGTCGGAGAGCCTGCAGAGACGAGGGTATGTGCCATTGTTGGGAGGTGAAGATAATCCGCGTTCATCGTTGTTCAGGGCTGGTCGGCCTGGAAGTCGGACGGGGGAGTTCTGTTGATGGACATGATCGTTGAGACCTAAGGTCTTGAGGATCTTTTGGCCAAAGTGTCCAGGCATTTTTGATGTTGAAAATTCAACTGTGTGACAGAATAGAAAGTTGTGCAAGGCTACAACGTTTTCTGTTAATGCGCGGAGAGACATCGGGGGCATATGACGTCAATCCAAGACCCCATCCTGCTTACCTAATTGTTTTCTTTTCAGGTATGCCTCAGGCGTCAATTCTCATCTCGACATGTGACAGGACGTGTTCAGTAGTATGTTCATGTTTCCGAAGAGGCTGGCTCACACCATCCCTGGAACTCAGCTTTTGGGCAGACGAACGAATACCCTTTACGAACTCATTTTTCTCCCGCTCAACCATCTTCAATCGAAATGTCCCAAAATCCGAACCCTAACATATTCACTTATGCCCGTTTTGACCTTCAAGCTCTGTGCCAACGAGCGAGCATGCTGCGGGGAGTTCCATGTGCTTGCGACCCGGATAAACGTCCTGCCTCGGGGAGTTTCAACTGGGCTATATTTGTTTCATTTGAAGATGGCGTGCGATGGGTCTTTAGATCTCCACACGCTAGAACATTTATGCCAATGGAGATGGGAATAAAGCTACTGACCAGTGAAGCTGCCACGCTCCGATACCTCGGGGCTCATAGCGATATTCCAGTTCCAGAAGTATACGACTATTGGTAACGAAATCCCCCCAGACCGTAACGCTCTAGTCCTAATCTATGTATTACAGTGCTTCGTCCGATAATGACATCGGTATTCCGTTCATTTTTATGAGTGAGGCACCGGGCCAGCCACTGTCAAAGTCTTGGAGATCAGCCGGTTCTCCTCAACCTGACCTAGAGTCTGCCAGTAAAGCCAAAATTCTCTCCCAGTTAGGCGCTATTACCTGGAAACTCTCGCAGTTACGATTCGATACAATAGGTTCACTCTTTGAAGACGACTCCTTCGAGATCAAGGAATGTCTCTCACGTGGTCATATGTTACATGAACGATATTCTTTGGAGATCCCACGAGGGCCTTTTACCTCTGAAGCGAAGTTCTATGATAGCCTTGTTTCTGCGTTCTTAGAGCATGCAGAAATTCTACAGTTATCACATCATTGCTTTGTGGCACCTGTCCCTTCACGAGACGACTATCAGTCTAGCAAACAATACGAGAGCGCTGTGAACCTATGGAACGACTTCGTGACTGTTGGAGGTAAGACCGACTCGTCGGATAACAGACTGGATTATATTATCGCAGGCGACACTCTCCGTGACATTATACGGAAACTTGAACTCGTTACTACCAATTCGGAGACTTTTCCGTTATACCACCCTGATCTTAGCGTCAATAACATATATGTTGATGATGATTATAATATCACCTGTATCATCGACTGGGCATTTGCTTCATCCGTTCCTGAATCAATGCTCTTAACAACACCAGGATTGCCACAGTACCGCGACGAAATAGGTTCGGAGCTGCATCTAGCCTTTATAGATGGATTTCTTGCTGCTATACCTAGCTCGGTAGAAGAGAAGTGGATCCACAGATATCACGATTCTCTAGAGCGGAGCCAAGTCTCCTGGAGATTGAGCCGACTCCTCAGTCTGGACTCGATTAGTGATTATACTCTCTTTGCTACTGTCTGGAACTTTGCACGTGGGTCTGAACAAGAACAGGGCCTGGGCCATTACTTCTTACAACAGAAGAGTTCGCCTCACTACATCCGACTTTACAACGAAGTTCAACAGGATGATCAGCCGCTTTCGAAAATTGAAAAGAACGAAAAGGATTATTTTCGAAACAAGGACCTCAGACAGACAATAGCTAGGAAGCTAACGCTCATGTCCGAATGGAAAGCACAGTTTGCCGTCAATCATCCGCCGAGACTTCGGACAGACATGTTTGTCACTTCTCCCCAATTGTGGAAGTGGATTCAACAATTTGTGCAGGACTGGGAAGACATGCCTTGACGTTCCTATACCAGACATCACCATCTCAAGCGGATTTGCTCAACTGGGACCTCCTACACATCATTGGTCGCATCGTCTTTCGCCTTTACGACTATGTCGCTACATTTATATGCTCGATGGTCCGTACTGGGCTCTCTCAAAATTACTTCCACATAGTTTGGCGCTTAAAGCCGAGGCCACCCCCATCCAGCGGTAGCCGGTCATAGCCAGCTACTTTGGCCTCTATTGAATTGGCCAGGCCAAAAAGGTGGGAGGTAGGTGCCTGGTGGAACGAGAATCAGCATGACTCCAGGCGTATGTAAAATACATTGGACCTGGTTTTCGCAATATCTCTCCGTATTCATGGATCTTCTACGAGGCCGGCTTTATTTTGCTTGGCCGAGACCGCGAACTGAGTCTTGCGAGAATCCACCATATTGGGTGCCCAGAGGAGCTACCCCTTGACGAGGACACTATCTCACTTTCGAACGTTTACAGACGCAAAGCTGGTACCCTCGCGTGAGGAACTGCTTACTTCGTTCACGCAACATGTGATATGAAAGATGGCGCCTGGATGTCGAGTCATCAGGGAGAGAGGTAATTGAGTCCAGGGTTAAAGTGCTTGATCAAATTATAAAACAAGTTATCCAAGTAATCCAGCCCTCCCGAAGAAAAGAAAAATCGTTCATCATCAGCTTCGAGTGTCCCGAATGGTTATTGTGACATGTTCCCAAAATCATCAAGTCTCCCCTCTATTATCCAAACGATACCTTGACAAGTTTTGCGGGCTCGATGAATGAGCCCAAAACAGGCGCAATTTGTCCACCGTTGGTGCCAACATAGAGTATTTGCCGGTCTTTGCTCAATCGAACTGAGCTTGGACCTGCCAGCTGGGTAGATACTTGACCACCTGTAACGAGGGAGATCTGACCCGAAGGCGTGAGGCGCACAACGGAGTTCTGAGGGGCTGTCGGAATATACGCAATACCATCCTCGGTCATCTCGACGTTATCCGGTAGGAATCCACTTGCAATAACCTCGAAATCTCCGACTGGGTTTGCCTCCTTGTCTACCTTGACCCTGCAATACACCATTTGTGTTGTGCCGGTATAGTAAACATAGTCACCAAGTACTGTCAGGGCATTGACACCCAGAGGAAGACCCTGACCCTCCGCCGGAGCCATTGTAGTATCATTCAGCGCGACAGAATAGTCTCCTGTCTTGGTATCAACCTTCCATATCACCCCCTTGGGACTATCGGCAATGAGAACCAAATTCGACTCCCGTGACAGAGTGGCCATGCCGTTCAAGGCCTCAGCATCTGGCATTGCGACGATCTCCGAGGCCGTTGGTGATTCCAGCGCCCGGGCATTCTCCTCAGAATCGCTCTTGGTGAAATCCAACTTGTGGACCGAGAACGAGGCTGGACCTGGCTGGAACGTTTTGGCAGAGAAATTGCCCACAACAACTGCGAAGACATCGTCGTCGATCTCACTGATTCCGAAGCAGCTGGTGACGTTGGGGAACGAGTAGGCAAGGGTCGCGTTTCCGGTTGTGGTGTCGAAAAGCCAAACTTCGGGGGTGTCCAGACGTGTCAAAAGAAGGTTGCCGTCTGATCGGATGACCATATTGTCGATCCATGAGCCATTGTTGGGAAATTGAAAGAGGGTCTCGACCTTCACATTGGGCCTCTCGTTGCGGTAGGGGGTTGCCGATAACTTTGCAGTGTGTTCGAAGAAAGGCCAGGAAGCTAGAGCCACTGGAAGGATAGCTAGGCCGCTGAGCAAGGTGCTATGAAAGTGCATGTTGTGGACAATGATCGGATGGTGAAATGAACAACAGTGAGGGATGTCCTGATCAGCGATATGCTATTGCAACACGAGAGCCAATAGGCCAACGACTTGCACATGCACGGCAAATACACCTGTTATTATTATTATCCCTCTAATAATGTGAGAAGACCATGTTCGACATTCCTCGGTGGAAATGTTTTGTTGTCGGAGTTCACCCCTACATTCCTGCACAGCCATGAATTGTCCAGATGCACCGATTAACAATGGGACACAGACAGATAGATGGGTGAATGTATTCTTAATGTTATCGGCTGTCTGGTTGATACTCCATTATAATCGTGGCATAACTACACGGTGGGACAACAAGTACGTCGATATCAATATGTTTCAAATATAGAATGAAACGTAACTAGGCATATATTCGTGACTCTCGACATCCTCTACTTCCCTTGACATTGCTTTCACAGATGACTCTGGAATGGTACACCCTTGGGAAGCTGAGCATAACCGTACATGTTCATTGCCGCACCGTCTTTCTGCATCTGCTGCGCCCATTCTCCAAGACTTTTCATGAAAACTTCCATATTGGCATCACAGCTCAGATCAATCGGTTCTTCGTCTTGCGCGATCTGCAACATTTGTGCGCCAGCAGCAGGGCTTGTCTGGAAAAAGTCCTGGGGATCGATCTTCTGCTGGATTGCACCTTGTACACTCCCGGAGAGCAGCTCCTTTGGCAAGCGAGGCTCCTGGGTAATGGAGCGGCCAAGACCAACGCCATCGACTGTTTTCAGAGCCTGGACCATTCCAGACGCTGTGCAAAATCCTCCAGTCACATAACTGCGGGTACGCTTGAGAGCAGGAGTGATGAGGTCTGCAAATTCCAGGAAGAACGATTCCCGTTTCTGCGAAGACTCCCGCTTGTGCTGGAAGGCACTGGCTTCATAAGTTCCGCCAGACAACTCAACAAAGTCAAAGTTGGTCTGGTCGAGGATCTCACACAGTTCCTTCGACTCCTCGGGGGTAAATCCATGTTCTTGGAATTCCACCGAGTTAATCTTGATTCCAATGATAAAGCCGGGATCTGACACTGCTTGGCGAATAGCCTGGGCGATTTCCACAATAATCCGGGCACGATTGGCCAGGCTCCCACCGTATTTATCTGTCCTCTTGTTCGTTGTCTGGGACAGGAATTGCGCGAGGAGATAGCCATGGGCAGAATGCAGCTGAATACCGTCGTACCCAGCCTTTTGCAGGTAGACGGCTACATGCACAAAGCGGCGGATAATATCCTGAATCTCCTCCTCGGTAGCTGCGTGGGGTTTTCCAAATGCGCCGAATTTCTCCACGACCAGCTGGACATCGCTAGCAGAAACCGGGTTGGGTTGCAGCTTCTCAAATGTCTGACGACCGGGATGGCTGACCTGACCAACGATCAAACTTCCGTGCTTCTTGGCAGCCGTGGCCAATTGCTTGAATGCTTCAAATCTTTCCCCGCTGAATGGGTTCTCGAGATCAATGATCATGTTTCCTGGTGACTCGAGCTGGTTGTATGCAATCATAATGTTGCCGGTGAGGATAAGTCCAAATTGACCCTCTCCCCAGCGACGGTAAAGATTGATGAGATTCTGGCTGGGAATACCTCGAGCTGGAAGATCCGTCGGAGACCAGGAGGCCATTCGTTCTGTCAGAGCGGCCTTCAAAAAGCGATTCGAAGCTTTGCGCTGACTGAATTCGAACTGCAAAGGCGCCCCAAGAGGCGATACGTCGACATTTTCGCTGGGAAACCTTGGAGACATAGTGAAACAGGGTAATATATACTAAAGATATGTGCGAAGATATGTGTGTTCTGGGACATAAATTTACATTCAATTGAGGCACATAGCTTCTTTTATCTGCTAGACCTCCAATCTTGGTCACTAATCCAGTTCCACCCAGTTTCACCCAGTCCCACCGTGGATCGGCAGTCTTTTCGGCCAAACGTCTGTGGAGGGAATGAAGTCCGAGTGTGATCCACTTCCTGATATACCTATATTGTAAGTATCTTGTTAACTGTATAAGGTTGGAATGGTTGGAATATCCCGGAATACCCTCTAGACACTTGGTATTGGGCATATGCATATCCTGATTTAAACAACATGAATTCACGCGAGTTAATTGCCCCGAAATGTTTTCATTTTTTGATTCCAAGTTCTTCTAGTGGATTTGTAATCATATATTCCCTCATGTTGGCGTGGCATATCATTGGTCTTGTTCCAGTGTCCGAAATAAGGTCCTTATGCATAAACTGCCTATTCCGTACATAACTATATGCATCTAGTATGCACAAAGTATTCTATGGCTCAAGGATTTCTCTTCTACCTCTTCCCTTGATATCTTGGTCCTGACGAGTCTCAATAGGAGGTAGCCATCGGCAGCATCCGTGTTAAGGGTATATATTTTCTGTATTGTGCACGCCACGCTCAACGCGACATGACAATCAACGTTGTGACATCAAAATAATAAAGGTATTCCAAGCGATGAAATACAAAATAAGAAAACCAGCTACCATGATGAATCCCAAGATGAATACCAAGATGTCGGCAAAACACCGAGGCCATATAACCGAAGAAGCCGAGCCCCACCTTTTCCAGGACAAAAGAATGGCCTTTTGGATATTCAAATATTGTCTGGATTCAAACAGCCGATTCTTCTATTATCGATGGAGACTGAAAGTACAGATCGGCCACGCACGCGGGCAAAGAAAGCATGCCTGTCATGTAACTCGCGTCGCGTGCGGTGCAACGTGTTAGAAATGCAGCCCTGCCAAAACTGCGTGTCATGGAATCTCACTTGTGAAGTAGGGGTTTCACGCCGTGGAAAGTAAGCATATCATGGAGAATTGCTAGAGTTTATACTCATTCCAGGCAGATATCCCCGCCGAAAGAAAAAGGGATCGGCTCGAACATCCACAACGCCGATTAACCCGGCGAATGCGTCGGATTCCCGACTCATACAGGGACAATTTCCATTACCCGGGCACAGCTCTCAGTACCCACCGGCTCGTCCCGTGACAGCAGAGGATGCGATCCATAAAACCGTGTTCCTCGGCGAGTCAAGTCCTCTCACCTGCGTTGTGGACGAAGGGCGACGATCCCCAGACAAGGGGTACGCGTGCAGTATCCAAAAAGGCCGACTTCACTACTCCATTTCTGAGATTAGTGGCGCAACGGAAAGTAGCCAAGATTCACTGGGTCCCCGTCGCAAGCTGATACATGATCGTCTTACCCGTGAAGGGGCCTTTGTATTCCCGTCGCCTGCTGTCTGCGATACGTTACTTCAAGCTTATTTTGACTGGCTCCATCCATGTTTCCCAATTCTCGATCGGGCAGATCTGCAATGTGACTACCAAGATGGCACACTATCACCATTACTCTTTCAGTCAATGCTCTTCATTGGAGTGAGCCTGTGCTCGGATGGAGCTTTGAACACCACGGGGTTTGGTAATCGCTACCAAGCGAAAGAAGTATTTTACCAAAGAGCAAAGGATATCTATGACTCAGGTTGGGAGATTGATACGGTTATAAAGTTGCAATCCTTATTTCTCCTGAGCTTTTGGCGTGGAAGCCCAACCGAGGAGCGCGATGTTCGATTCTGGCTTGGAGCTGCCATCAGCCTGGCCCAGAAAAAGGGCATGCATGTCATGTACGTCGTGTGCCTCGTTTTATTGGGTCCGAATATACGCTAACATGCATAGGTCGAAATTGTCCTTCCTCAATACCAAAGACCAAAAGCTTTGGAAACGAATCTGGTGGGCTTTATATGTACGCTTCTCGTTTATTACTATTTTGCTTATAAGACCCGAGGTTAACGTTGCATCAGGTTCGCGATCAACAAACATCGGCAGCTTTGGGGCTGCCACCTCGAATACGTGATGAAGACTGCCAAGTCGCTGACCTTGAAGCTGTAGACTTTGAGGAAAGCAAGCCTATGGGACCTCCTGAAATATTCCGCACACCACCAGAAGTCCACATTCCTTATGTGATTGGCATGGCCCAACTAGCCAGATTATGTACGATACCCTAGAATATCAGTATCGCATTTGCTAATAACTTTACCTTTAGTGCGGGAAATAGTTTGCAGCCAGTATCTACCTGGTCGATCCAAGTTGGACCATGAAGCTCGACCAATGCTCCGTCAGCGTTTAGTTGACTGGGAGTCACGCCTCCCAAAAGAAATGCAATTTCAAATGCCCATGAGCAGGGAAGCCATGTTCCTAGTTGGCATGCTTCATATGGCCTATAAGTATGTACTGCTGCGCCAGTACTATTAACCGAAGAGCCTTTTCGGCTAACATCCCTGCAGCAACTTGTACATTCTCCTGTACCGACCCCTTTTCTTACAGCCCCCAGGCCAATCGGCGAATCCAGAAGGAAACGTCGCCCTGCATGCAGCGACACGAAGCACCCGCATTTTAGAGGACATGCTCTCAGAAAATCTGGTCCAACATGGATCAGTTCACCTGTCAGTTCTTCTCACGATCTCTAACTAGACCAATACTAACACCAAAGCAGAATCACCCACACCTTTTCGGCTTTATGTATACACACCATTCATTTCGGACGCGTCACAGGCACAGCCCGCAAGTTAGCAGAACACAGGGCGAAGTTATGCCTATTGGGGTTGAAGGAACTGCAGAAATCATGGGACTTGGAGAACTGGGTCCTGGATCTTTTCTTCCGGTGCTTGGATGATCGTACTGCTCGCGATCTCCGACTAGCAGATCCTGCTTTGCCATCGTCAACATCACAAACAGGGGGTCGAAATATCGAGATGACACCTGCGTCTCCTGCCAGTGGTCCATACAGACCCCCTTCTCCTACCGCAGGGGACGATCTCTTGCAAACTACCAACCCAATGCCTCACCATAACCCCGGGGAAGAGGCTGCAATTAACATGGACTGGTATGAGCTGTTCAACGTGGAAGGCGATGATGTTATGGGCCTTGCTGGCTCATTATCAAACCCAGACTATCTGAACCCACAAAACCTCGAGTTTCTGTATCGATTTCTATAGTGATGCAAATTCGACCACAGTACCAATTTCGATATCCAACTGCGTATTGAACATGGAGATCTGTAGAACTGCCGCCGAAAATGACTGCTTTGATGATACCGGAGTTCCTGGAGAATGTTGGCGTCTTCTTTGAACAGAATATGTGATTTTACCTCACAGCAAATGAACAGGTTTCAAGTTAGTCTGCACATACTGGCCCTGGCCTTGAGACACTGTTTTATACGAGCGAGTGCAGACAGGTGACATTCGCGCTCAGTGAGGATATGGGGTGAACAGGAACATCAAATGAGCTTGTGTGAATTCTTGGGCTCTTATAATATCGACTGTACATGAGATCAATTTGATAGGCCCAGCTCCGCAAAGATGGCTTCATTGTGCTCTCCCACCCGTGGAACCGAACCCATCTGAGCGCCACGTCCATCTCTTTCAGCTGAATTGGTTGATCCAGGAGGCAAAAGAGCCGGAATAGCCCCTACAGGAGTCTGAATCTTGGTCCATCGATCTCGCGCTTGAAGCTGAGCATGGCCCCATACACTTTTCATGTCATTGACACTAGCGTTGGCGATAGATGCTTCGTCTAACCGAGCAATTGTTTCCCCTGTCGTAAACTTCGAGAATGCATCGTGAATAATGGATCTGAGCTCATCCCGATTTTGAGTTCGTTGTGAGTTGCTGGAAAATCTAGGGTCGGTGGCCAGATCTGGTTGTGAGAGGACGCCATTGCAGAAACTGACCCATTCGCGCTCATTTTGAATGCCCAACATAACCGACTGGCCATCACCAGCTTCGAAAGGTCCATAAGGGTAGATGGCTGCATGCGAGGCACCTGCTGGCACTGGACCCGGAGCATTGTCGAATGCATAGTACATGGGGAAGCCCATCCATTCCACCATGCTTTCCAGCATAGAGATGTCAATATGACAACCCTGTCCATCTTTACCACGCTGCAGTAGTGCCGAGAGAATATTGCTGTAGGCGTACATTCCCGCAGCGATATCAGCGATAGAGATACCAACCTTTACCGGCTCTTTTCCAGTGCCTGTGATGGAGAGCATTCCAGCCTCACTTTGAATAAGAAGGTCGTAGGCCTTCTTGTCGCGATATGGACCATCTTGCCCATATCCAGATATATCGCACACGATCAGACCAGGGTATTCCCCTTTCAATGCCTCGTGAGAAAGCCCCAGTCGCGCACTGGCTCCCGGGGCCAAGTTCTGAACGAGAACGTCGGCCTTTTCAAGGAGCTTCATCAGGACGGCATGGTCCTTTTCGCGTTTGAGGTCCAGAGCCAAACTCTCCTTAGAGCGGTTCGTCCATACGAAATGCGATGCTAGACCACCCACTCGCGTGTCATAGTGTCGTGCAAAGTCTCCAACACCTGGTCGTTCGACCTTGATGACTCGAGCTCCAAGATCGGCAAGTTGTCGAGTGCAAAAGGGCGCAGCAATAGCTTGCTCGAGACTAACCACGGTAACCCCAGCGAGAGGCAGAGACCTGTGTTCAGCAGCATGTGCGCTGGAGTAAAGACGCGATGTGAGATATGATCCTCTTGCAGGTTGAACTGCGCCCGACGGGGCATGGGGCCGGGAGGCAAGTGAGGATAATAATCTCATTCCGGGGTGAGCATTGGAACTTGCCGTTATTGTGAAATTGGACTGCAGAGACAGCTAGCTGCGTTATATGTATGGAGATATTGCTCTGAGGGTTTGAGTTCCTGAATCCCCAAATACTCGGGGGGAGAGACCTCGGCCGAAACGCCGATCTACATTTAGCACATGCCAAGCCCGACGAGTCGGCTATATGCCCAGGTGGACATGGTGTATGACAGCCAGGTGCAAGGAACTGCTGTTGGGAAAGCTATTGAAGATGAAGAAAGTCTGTGTTGCATTCCGAAATATACGGAGAGAGGGAAGAAGAACGAGGAAGTTATCTGATCCTTTGACCCATATGGCCTCACGGCCCAGGCACCCATTGGTGTTTGTTGGATGCCTGATCTGACAGGCAAACAATCTTTGCCTTAGGCACCATATGGGGTAGTTACGGATGTAGATAGATAAGCCCTCACTTCTCCCTGTCCCTTTGTTTATGAGTCCCACAGCTTTCCTGATACGAATAATTCTCTAGTGTGATTCACTAGAACACTTGCTTTTGTCGATCAACTGTATAAATCAATGTTTTGCTTTCGTTTGTTGTAGACAGTTAGTGCGAGTATTTGGTTAACTTCCTTTTTGGTATATCCATGCCATTATTTAGCCAAAGTCTGCCCTATCTAACAGCCCAGTTCTGTTCGAATGCTTCGTGAAAGAACGAGTCAAAAAGTGTCGAGTCAATAGCTTCGACCGGTTGAGGTAAAGTGGTACCATAGTCAAAAGCTGGTTGCTCCAACCGGCACTCGGCCTGCATGTGACCGATAAGTTCCAATGGGATACTCACGGCACAAGCTCCCGTTGTATTGTCTGATACACGTTCGCAATCGCCAAAGTCCATGAAATCTAGGTTCGGTGCGGTACTTTCACAAGTCGTTTGCTCCGCTACCCTGTTGATGTATTGCAGTTGTTCATCTGTCATCAAAGAAGGTGTTATGGAATAGGGAAATACATCTGGTGACGAGTGGTGGTTGATTTGGGCTGTTTGCGGGGTGAAGCTCTTCTCGGGCTCGCTCTCAATAGTGGTGGTTTCCAAAACATCTCGCACTTCAATAGATGAACGCACGCTCACGGGGTATCTCTGTCGCTGCACTTGGTTCATCTGGCTTAAGTGTGAGTTTGTGGAGTCAGATGAAGGTATATCAGATGTCCAGGGAAGTCGAGCAATAACGCCCATGGCTGGAAGGTCGCGAACAATTTCAGGAAGACCACTCGCGGATGGCAGTCTCCCAATTTCTAGGCTGTAGTCTACACAAGCCGATATCAAAAGATATGCCCTCGGACACCGAATGAACGCGTCTTGCCAGCTCGTTGAGCGGTTCGGTTTAGGCGACATTGATTCATTGGAAGCCCTCTCCTGGCGCTGGGTGCTGACTAAAGAGTTTTGTCTCGCCACGCCATCACATGAAAGTAATGGAGCTGTTTTCTCTTCCAAGAAGAAGTTTTGTGTCGTCGTATAGGCAAGCTGCAAGATATGGTTGGTCCCGACGGCGACGAAATCAGTGACATCGTAGAGTGTCTCCGAGTGACGGATGATTTGACTCAACGAGTTCAAACGTCGTTGTCTTACCTCTATCTCCTCACGAGAAGGGGATAGCTTGAGGTCTATAGCTGCCAGTACGAGTGGCATGCCGACGTATCCAAGCCTGCAGTTCATATTAGCAAAATAGTTCGCGTGGCAGGGAAAAGTAACAATAGGCCACCTGCGACAAAATCAGACATGAAAGGAGTACTAACACGCTTAGCGGAAGACTGTCAGCATATCCATTTACGCTGAAGTACTCCATCACAAGGCTTAACCCGTCAATTCCGTCCCTTAGGTCATTGCTAATCTCTCGAACCAGATTGTTATACATGTCTCCCGCGTAGAACAAGTTTTCTTCTAGAACAAATGCCGCATATTGCGCCAGATCCACTCGCGCTGCGCTAGAATTACACAGCCACTAGGTTAGATTTGAAGACAATGGGGTGCAAGGAGCTCACGAACTAGTAATACATGTACGTCATATAAGTCAACATTGCAACTGCGTTATTGCCTTCTGATGTCGACGTCTTGTTTGGTGAGATTAGAGGCTGCATCGGTAGTTTCCACTCGTCGAGTGATTTTTTGATAGTTTTTATTCTCGACAAGAGGCCCTGGAATTCAATCATAGATAGTAACCGTCTTGGGATCTTTCGATGGGCGAACACTAAAGACACCAGATCTGTGAGTAGCACCGCTAGCTCACATTGATTTTGAAGGGCGCCGAATAGACTCCTCTTGGTGTTATAGTCGTAGACTCGAGATTGATACAACTCTTCACTGAAATCCTCTATACTCAGCCAGTCACTCCATCTATAAAAGCTGGAGGTCACCTGAGGACGGCGGCGTAGGCCAATACATAGGCTTCGGTCACGAAGAAGGATAGACCACCAAAGTCGTTTCTTAAGCGATATTGCCACATCTTCCACCAGCAAAGATGGTTGAGCGTCGATAAGTATAGCGTGCTCGATGGCCCTTGTGACCCACAAACTTCCAGCCTGAGGGTCTTCCGCAGAGATATAGTGCGTAAGTAAAACCGCGCCTTGGGCGTTTGCATGAGACAGCTTTTCGGTCCTCAGTTCGAATAATAGCTACACTTCGCGATCAATACCCGTTTACGGCAGAGGTGACACTGAATCTGGGGATGCCTACCTTAGCTCTGTCGTACAATTGTTTACGTGCATCCCTCCTATCGTTGAATCCACATTGACGCAATGTCTCCAAAGACACAAACTAGTATGGTTTAGTTTGAATGCGGTAGTTACCGGAGGGACGACACTTGCCGGACAGCTCGCGAAGATCAATGATTGTAAGACAAAAAGAGATATTTTAGCACCGGTAGGTTGGTTGTTTCGATAAATGCGCCAGAACTTAGCCTCGTCCAAGACAGGTACCAGCGGGTGAATGCGCTTGAAGTACTGTTGAGCAAACTCGTCGATTGCGTTAGAAGCTGGCAAACTCAAACAGCCCTTGGATGCGAGAAATGCTACATCTTCAGAAGGGAGCGACAGCAGTTGTTGCGAATCGACAAAGGCGTATTCGGTATACGGGACATTGGGGGATTGAGGTGAGCTTGTGCTGCGATCATCCAAGCTGAGACCATGAGCGCGAAGCTGCGAAGTAAGAGCTGGATGATTGGGTGACTGATGCTGACCATTGGATTTCCGGCCAGTAGTCACGTTTGACCCTGAGCTTTGATGCGTGGGAAGCGGGTTTGCTGAGCTTGAGGACCTAATAGAGGTCAGTAAGTGGGTGCGTGAGAGCAATCTTTCTGTAGTCTCACTGTTTAAAATTCTTAGCCCGAAGAACACATTCACTTCGACCGTCTTGTCGACACCGGGTACACGGAGAACCGAGGATTGACGCATCGCATCGCACTTTGCGATGGTGACACCAGGAGCAAGCCGTTGAGGCTCTTGTTGTGCGTCGCAACATTTTGTGACCTACAGTTTGTTTTGATGTCGGAATTTTGAGGAGAGAGGATGGGGCATAACAGCGCGGGGTTGAGGAGAAATCCATTGAGATCCAGAATCTGGGGAATGATCAGCGGACATTAATCTTGAAACGTTGGAAGAAGCCGACTAGCTGAAAAGCTATGTGGAATTATTTTATGCTGTCCATAACTACCACAACCACAGGCGTCTACTGGATACTCTAGCTCCATCGGCTCTGAAAGCCCAAATATACCCCAACCCTCCACCATGTAGATGGACCTTTAGACCTTTAGACCTTTACCTTTAGATCATTTCGACCATTTCGACATGTCATTTCTAATACGATGATCCCCATTGATGAAGCACGTCCTTACCCCGCATGAGCACACGCTTACCCGAGATCGGCTTCTCTACAATCCTTGCACCTGAGTGCCAAGCACATGTCTACATGTTTAAAATCTCTTTTCATGAGATCTAATGGATATAGTATGACATGACAAAATGATTATAATCTATAGAATTGCACAACGGTCCTGAGGGGGAAAACCAATCTCGAAGAAAAACGACCGAATTTCCAGCTAGCCCTATACTTCGCCAATGCGTACCTCCACCCAATTGGTCTATCATCATTTTGCCTCGTGTTTCTTCAATCGTTTCCGCATGTCCTTCAGGTAATACCGCATAGGATAAGTGCGGACGACTTTGGGTAGGAAAGGATATGTGGCCCTAGTGACACTCATAGTAACCCGGTTCGCCGCTCGTCGAACCGAAGTGGACTTCAACCCATATGCTTCCCGCAAACGAGGTGGTAACATTTCCGCAGTCGTCAAGCGTACAAGTGGAAGTACAGCTCGGACCCTAAGTGGCGCGTGTTTGCTGTAAAGCAAATCCTTCGCAACATTTTTTGCGCTTGAAGTAATCTCCAGGTTGGTAACCTGATGATCCCAATATTCCCAGAATGCCTTTCGGCTGGAAGGCCACATTCCCGATTCGACTCGAAGCGAGACAGCTAATATGGCGTACTCTCGGTACAGCGCTTCCGCTTTTTCCTCGCTCATCCGTCCAAAGATCTGCTGGTAAATGTCGGTGCCGACAGCGTAGAGGGTGGAGGCTACCCATAGTTGCAGTTTGGGGTCATTGGCATTATAGCCAGGTCCATTCACTGGGGCATGGGCACGTTCCACCATTTCAATTACGGATTCCTTCTCCTCGCGGCTACCATACGCCATGCAATATATGTATGTCATGGTGGTTCGTAGGCGATCAAGGGTGCGATAGGCGAAGTTGCTATGCTCGTCCACGCCTTTGCCGACGCCAGGCTCAGCAATCTGCAGCAAAATTGCAGCTGCGCCGCCAGCTAGCAAGATTGCTTCTTGCACAATAAGGCGGATATTCTGTGGGTTTTCAAGTGCATCCAGGAGCTGAGGGTCTGCAGCACCAGTAGCGTCAATCTGCTCGGAGGGCTTCTCGCTCTGTGCGATTGTACCATTTGAATAGGTGCCGGTCGTGACTAGCTCAGTCTTTGCTTCATTCATGTTGGATAATGTCAAGAAATAAGTGTTTCTTCCAATTGCGTATGTTGGTTGCACTGGGTATATGAAGAGCTACCAAGTGGTTTTATATAAATATCGGTGCCACCACAGGGTGGGCCTTAGGCTCATTTTATGCATATTATCAATTCTAAACCCATGAAAATACCATGATCTCTCATGTTTTGCATCTGCAGCTGTTCTGATATTCATATGATCTGTCCCCGGTACCGCGGGCCGGGCGGCAAGGTCTAAATCAGCCTAAAGGGCCAACGTTGGAGGTCTGCTTGCGTCAGATTACCTAGTACCGAGGACCGCTGTCCCGCGGACTGACACGAGGTTCTGGATACGGATCCAGTGGTGATTTCCGCTGCCATAATGGCGGGGTACTGTGGGACCTTTCATTGCGGTACCAGAGCTTAATCAACACATTATTCTTTTGGAGATCCTGAGATCTACTCAAAGTACTCTTATTATACAGAAAGCTTCAATGAGTCTGCGCCTCATTAGACCCATGTAAATTAGAATGAGTTTCCAGGACTCAGCTAATTATGTTTTGCAAACTAAACTGATATACTCTCTGCAACCCATTCAAACATTTAAGAGACATGAATTACTGTAAATGAAAGCATAGTTAGCCCAAAATAAATTACACCTGGTGGTCAATCTTCTGGGCAAAGGAGGATGTTCAAAGTACATACGAGGGACAATGCACCAATGAGGGACCGGCCGTTGTCAAGTATGTAGGCTAAAGATCAATACCACATATATAAGGGGCCTGAACAAGAGGTCAGTCCTTATCTGACGGCCCAAGGATCTTCCCCAATTATTGGTATTGTGCTTTGGGATTCCCTTGGATTTCAAAATGCCCAAAAGAAGCTACATCATAGGCGCGGACCGAAGTTTGTCCCTTGACAAAGAACATGGCACTCAACACGTGGAAAATGTCGAGGGTCGTGAGAAACTAGAACCTACTGGACGTGTCAAGTCAGCTCAGATAATTCTGCTACGGCATTGGAGGAGATTTTGGTGTTGTTATCTCTTGGGGATGGTCATCTTCCTTGCGACTTTCCTTCCGATCTTGTTAGTACATCCCACTGGAGATACCGATGACAACCTACTCGCTCGATCTTTCTAACACCACTGATTTATTTAGTTTCCTTATCATCATCCCGGCAATTGCCCAGAGACTTGTCGATGATACGGTTCTCCCTGTGTACTCGGCCGAAATTTTGAATCCCACGCCAGACGAGGTTAACTTCGTCCTTCACACCTCCATAAACATTCCGCTGAACCTCCGCGTTCGAACCGACCCATTAAGTTTGAACTTGTTTAACCGCGATGTGAAACCCATGAAGAAGTACTTGACCGTTGATATGCCAGCCTACAGCCTCAAAGGGAAAACCAATTTGGATATAACGAAGAATGGTACCAAGATTCTGGATCAGGAAGAGTTCATGCACACCCTGGAAATGGCCGTCTATAACGAGCGTTTCACTATGTCTGCGAAAGGTTCCACAAATGGCCATCTGGGCGCCCTGAAGGTGCCACTGACTTTCGACAAAGATATTGAGCTGGACGGTATGTGTGTAATAGCATATATGCCGATATAAATATTGACACCTTGCTTTGTCCAGGACTCGATAAACTCAGGGGCTTCGCTATTGATTCCGCACGGCTAGTCGTCCCGAAAGAAGAAGATGGGACTAATTTGAGGGGCACAGCAATCTTGCCCAACCATTCTGTCTTTACCTTTGCGCTGGTATATTCTTCGATACGCCCATCTCCGAGTCTGGTTGCTAACCTCTGACCTTATAGGGTAATGTGACACTGGATCTAAAAAGCACGAATATCCTAATTGGCCAAGCCACCATCGAGGATGTGCTTCTGAGGCCTGGGAACAACTCAGTGGCTCTTCGTGGCCACCTCGACGTAGGTATTGTGCTCGATCATCTTCCGACAATTCTGGCGGCACAAAGTTCGGCAATTTTGGAAGGTCAGCTCGAGCTTTCTGCGTCGGGAAATTCAACAGTCTACAACGGGGAACACATTATGTATTACGAGAAGGTGCTGCAGGGACTGACGCTCACGGCACGAGTTCCAATTGCGATGGTATTGCTGAACACGTTGAGTGGGCTCATGGATTCCACCGACTCAGGAGGTGGGAGCGGGCTTAATATCTCAAATATCCTTGAGAAGTTGGATTTGACAAACAATACGGAAGCGGAATTGGCAGTAAGATCGCTGAAGGATTTTATGGACGGCTGAGTTTCTAAGAAGTAACAATATATGAATTCATTTTCAACGGTCTGGGTCAGTAATGTGTACTAAGGCGCCGAGTAGAAAGTCGAGTTATCTTCATGCCCCACATGTGAAAATCCATTCAAGTATCTATTACCGTAGAAAGAGTCTTCAAAATAGCAATCCCACATGATACCGGTCGTGCTGCCACCGGGGAATGGGCCCCTCTTCCCTTTGAACCCCGCGTCCGCCTCTCCAACTGAGTCTTCGACGGTATATTTCCTCGCTTTAAGTGCGTTCAGTTCATGCCATTTCTTCGCAAACCCCCCTCCAAGCACGATGAGTCATTCTCCCGGCGATCCAACTCTTACTATAACTCATTCTCCGGAAGAGGTCTCAAAACACAACCATGCCGCTGATATGTGGATCATCATCGACAGGGAAGTGTATGACTTGTCACAATTTGCCAATGAGCACCCCGGAGGGATGAAGAGTGAGTGTGGTTTAAGATTGCACACAATCAGAGTCTAATTGATATCTTGAACTAGTTCTGTTGTCGGTTGCAGGGAAGGACGCAACAAAACAGTTTCGTCGTTATCATAGGGACGCGATATTAAACCGATTCAAAAACCAACTCCAAGTAGGGATACTGGACACCAGTGAAAAAACGACAAAGAAGTTCTTCAGGTCCCGCTTTTGGGCGTTAAGCAAAAGATCGTGATATCAAAGTGCAAGGGATATTTTAACATTTTACCTCGAAGCTTTTTCAGTTTTCCTCGTTGCGACTATGCATCGTGCCCGCGTAGATAACTAGCGGAAGTTGTTTGAAAGAGATAAATCATATATTAATTCACAATTTTCTACTTGTAAATGGGAGTACAGTCTGGTCACAACATGTAGTTAACTAACGTATTTCACAAGCGAGCTGCGCACCCCACCCAAAACGCGTCCGTAAATTAGCACTTAGTTAATTCAACCACCCACTATGCCACCAATTCGCTCTCAATCCTCTAAAGATTCAATAGAGAGAGAGGGTAGGATCTTATTAGCTATCCAGGCTTTTAAGAATAAAGAAATCAGCGCTATTCGCGAAGCAGCGCGCCGTTTCAAAGTGCCCGAATCAACCCTCCGGACACGTCTTTATGGGACCACTTCTCGCGCGAATTCTCGCGCCAATTCACATAAACTGACAGAAATTGAAGAGGAATCTCTTGAAAAATGGATTCTCTCTATGGATTCTCGAGGATCAGCTCCCCGGCCGTCTATAGTACGAGAAATGGCGAATCTTCTTCTTGAAAAGCGCGGAACTACCCCGGTTCTTTCGGTCGGCGAAAATTGGGTGACGAACTATGTGAAACGACATCCTCTTCTATCCTCTCGGTTTTCGAAACGGTATAACTACGAGCGTGCGAAATGCGAAGACCCGAAGGTTATTACGGAGTGGTTTAATCTTGTTCAAAAAACCATCTTACAATTCGGGATCGACCCGGACGACGTTTATAACTTTGATGAGACCGGTTTTGCGATGGGATTAACGGCGACTGCGAGGGTAATTACGAGAAGTGAATACTACGGTCGGCGAGCACTTTTATAACCTGGAAATCGTGAATGGGTGACTGTTATCGAGTGTACGAATGCTGCTGGCTGGGCTCTTCCGCCGTGTGTGATTTTTAAAGGCAAAGTCTTTATTGAATCCTGGTTCGATAGCCTTCCTTCTGACTGGCGTTTTAAAGTTAGTCCTAACGGCTGGACTACTAATGAAATTGGGATTCGTTGGCTTAAAAAGCTCTTTATTCCTACTACTTCTTTACGTACGAAGGGGGTGTATCGGCTTTTGATACTTGACGGCCATGGAAGTCATTTAACCCCGAGATTTGATGAAATTTGTGAAGAGAATAAGATCATACCAATCTGTATGCCTCCGCATTCCTCTCACCTTTTATAGCCTCTGGATGTAGGCTATTTTGCGGTGTTAAAACGAGCCTATAGCCGGCTGGTTGAATTTCGAATGCGGTGCGGATCGAATCATGTTGACAAACTGGATTTTCTTAAAGCATACCCTGCTGCACGAATGGAAGCCTTTAAATCTGAGACTGTTAAAAACAGCTTTCAATCTACTGGTTTAATCCCTTTTGCACCGGAGAGAGTGATTTCGAAGCTTAATATCCGGCTTACTACCCCTACCCCCCCCTTCTAGCCGGGGTAGTGATTGGGATCCGAAAACGCCCTCGAACTATGTGCAATTGCAAAAACAAGCTTTATCAATCAAAGCATTGCTTCGTACAAGATCAAGAAGCCCCCCGAGCCCGCTCAATTCCGCTATAAACCAGGTTTTGAAAGCCTGCCAGATCACGATACAATCCGCCGCACTACTAGAGAGAGAAGTGAGCGATTTACGCGCTAAAAATGAGAAGAAGAAGCAAAAGCGTACTAGATCCAGAAGGCAGATACCGGCGGAAGAAGGCCTCTCAGTTCAAGAAGCATCTGCATTAATTATGCAGCCGGTGGAAGCAATAGAAGCACCTATACCCCCGCCACGAAGAAGGCCTTCGCCACCTTTACAGCCAAGAACTAGGGCTTTACCAACATGCGGGCTATGTAAAAATCGGGGTCATAGGAGAGATGCATGTCCAGATAGATGATGTTTTTTTTAAATTTAATTTAATGGCGTTTTGGTTGAGATAAATGCATTTGAAATTAGTAGGTTGGGTGGGGTGCGCAGCTCGCTTGTGTGCGCAGCTCGCTTGTGAAATACGTTAACTGCCACATGTTTGATGCCTGCTCTATCAGGCCAGTTATGGCCTGAGGGCCTGAGGTATCCATGGGACAGAACCTTTGAATAGCCCTCTCCCTCTCTCCCCATCTCTCCTCTCTCTGTCCGACCTTTTAGAATCTCACGCAGTTCTCTCCATATTCCCTTTAGTAGAATCTCCAGAATTCATGAGCCTCTCCACCCAGAAAGGACCACTCCTTGTTTTTCTGATGCTTCTACTGGGACCCACAACTATCAAAATCCACTTTGGTGCGTGAGAAATTCTGCACAGACTGGATCGGACCAATTACACAATCCGGAGGAAACCCGGGCCTTCGACCCGTTGGACTAAAGATCAGATTACCTTCTATCATGGCTGATGTCGACGACACTGATGGGCTGATGGGGACTCATACTCTCGTCTCAACAACTCATATTGCAAGCTAACAGAGACCTGAGGAGCCCTGGAGAGAACAAAGAGAGAGAAAGGAGGAGCCTTCCATAAACAAGCAGGCAACAACACAGAACAGAAGCTCTCTCCTTGGCAATCACACAAGATTCTGCCCTGGTCAATCAAGCACCACACCACGTATCATGCCAACAATATCCTTGTTAACCCCGTTCATTACTTTTCCCCACATAACTATCCTCAACCCCCATGTGGCTTCCAATGACCTTCATCTTGGCTTCCCGATGTGGGAAATGTGGGGAAATGTACTGATATGACACCCCCCGCTTTTAACCTATCGGCTTTTCCATTCCGTCCCTAATACGGCAATATACGACATACACGAAGCTTTGCCTTCCTTTTTTTTGAATAGCCATTTCCACCTGACACATGTTCCCGGCCGGACCGCGGGAACAATCCGTTGCCTTTTTTTACCTTTACCTCTTGTGCTGATTCCTACCTAGTCCATTAGACACGACCGATGGCGAGCTGTTAGTCTCCCCTATTGAGTGGGGTTGTGATGAGAATCGCTCATCAGCATCCACACGGTAGGTTATCGGTAGTCTGCCTCGGTGTCGATCACCATTCCTCGGTGATAATGCATGGAGCTACCTATTTTGTACTTTGTACCCCCGCTCCCCAAAATGGAGGTGTTAGTGCACAGTTAGCTAGGACTATGTCTGTCCGTGATAATCGGTGCCGTCGTAATGTAAATAAAAAGCTAGCTGACCCCAGAGTAGAGTGTGTGAATCTCCTAAAGGCTCTTCCTGCTCAACAAATCTTTCACAAGGTTTGGCGAATCGACGCCAATTCGACTGGCCGGACAAGATATCAAAGAACTAAACGACATACATATCGGCCCATTCAACAACATGCGTCTTTTGCCAACGCTCGCCACCGTGTTCCTATTCACAGTCAATGTGACAGGAAGTCCAGCCGCTCCAGCCGATGCTGCAGCCTCGTCGGGAACCATCACCCCTGCCACGAACATTGTAGAGGCCGCCCCAACAACTTCGGCCGCCCAAGCAAACGCCGCCGTTGCTGACACTACAACTGCGGACAACAGTGCAAACGCCGTCAACACGGCTACTGCTGCTGCGGCGGCGGCGAAGGAAGAAGATACTACCGCTGATGTGGATACCGCCGACTCGACCAAGGGCAACCACGAATCTCTGATCAACGGCGCAGAGCCTGCTTTCAGTGACTCTACAGAGGCTGTGAATGATGCAGGAGACTCCATTAAAACTGCTGTTGAGTCAGCCCGTGAGACTGTTTCCTCCGCTGTCTCTGGTGCATCTGCGACCGGCACCCCAAACACCAAGTCTACCAGCTCTGATAGCAGCTCTGATAGCAGCTCCAACAACAGCTCGGGAAGCACTTCATCTTCTTCATCTGCTCCAGACTTGAGAGATGCCTTCTCGAATTTGTTGGGCGGTAGTGACATTGGTAGCGATTTTTCGGACCTTCTGCATAGCATTAAAGGTATCCTTGACCCGGGTTTCTTGGGTAATGCCGCCGATACCGTCAAATATCTCGCGATCGCTCTGCAGCCTCCGGTCGATAACCAGATCCGGACCGTGTTGGATAATGCCAACGACCTCCTGACTCCGAGCTTCGCCAAGAAGACCGGGACTCTCATTGACAATGCCAACAGCCTCTTGACTGCGGAGAACACCAAGGAGATTGGCACTCTGCTAAAGGTCGCCAACAAATTGGTAAACGAGGAGTTTATCAACAAGGTGGATAGCCTCATCGACAACGCCAACAACCTCCTCACCTCCAAGTTCGTCAAGCAGACCAGCAATCTCGTCGATAAAGCCAGCCCTCTCATTGACAAAGCTAGCCCTCTTATCGACAACGCTAGCGGGCTACTTACGGATAAGAATTTTAACGCGATTGAGTCGCTCTTAACAAATGCCAACACGCTGCTCACTACCGAATTTGTCAAGGAGACCTCCACCCTTATCGGCAAGGCCAGTCCTCTTGTCGACGACGCTAGTGGCCTGCTCACCGGTGCGAACGTTAAGGCGATCGAGTCACTCTTGGCCAATGCCAACAAGCTACTCACGCCTAACTTTGTCTCAACTATTGCTAAGCTTATAAAGCAAGCCGGTCCCCTTATCAACCAGGCCAGCGGCCTCCTCACCGACAGCAACGCAAGGTCGATCGAGCATTTGATCGGTAGTGCCAACAGCCTACTAACCGACAGCTTCGTGAAGAAAACCTCTAGCCTAGTCGATGGAGCCAGCGACCTCTTAACTCAGCATACCATTAGAGCACTGAAGTCTCTACTCAATCAGGTCATTCCTCTACTTCCCGAGCTAAAGGGCCTACTTAAGCCAGCCACCATTAAGGAAATCGAAAACGTGCTAGGCAACGCTAATAAGCTGCTTACGGACTCCTTCATCGACGACACTAAAATACTAATTACCGATGCTGTTGGCCTTCTCACTCCGGACCTAGTCAAGGCTCTAAACTCGCTATTGACCAAGGAAACGATCAACTCGATCGTGGCCCTCCTAAACAACGCCCAAGACCTCCTCACGTCCGACTTCACTAAGGCGACGAAGAGTCTAGTGAGCGGCGCCGGCGACCTCCTCACTCCGGAGGTGATCAATGGATTGAAGTCAATCCTAAAGGACGTCACTCCTCTACTGCCCGAGCTGAAGCCGCTATTGTCTAAGAGCACCATCTCCGCTATTAGCTCTCTCTTAAGCAACGCCAACACCCTCTTGACCCCAAAGTTTGTCAACGAGACCATCGGTTTAATCGACAGCGCCGACGACCTCCTAACCCCAACAATCGTCACTGGACTAAAGGATCTCCTTGACGACGTCGTGCCCCTGGTCCCCAACCTTAGGAAGTCACTACTAAACTCGACTATCATCACCGACGTGGGATACATCGTGACCAACGCTACCAACTTACTCACGCCCCACTTCGTCGTCGAGACCACGGATCTTATCGACAATGCCGATAGCCTCCTAACCCCCTAAGATCGTCAGCACACTTAGGGATATTCTTGGATACGTGCCCGACTTACTACCGGAGGTCAAGAAGTTGCTTAAGCCCGCTACCATTTCGGAGGCTAGCGCGATCTTAGAGAACGCCCATGATCTTCTCACTCCCAAGTTCGTTAATGAGACGACACTTCTGATCGATGGTGTTACAAGCTTCTTGCCTTTAGTCGAGGCATTACTCAACGCGCTATGAGAGGTCTATTTTTTATTATTTTCTTGTATTGATTACAATGAACGCAATGATATATTTCATGTTTCCCAATGATAATTGACGTCAGAAACACCAATCCAATTGGGATTCAAAAAGCTTGCGAACCACCGTAAAGATCGAATTTTTCATGAGATTCCCAAAGTCATTGTACATCCATTGGCTGAATACACCAAAATAGTGTACTTTCGGCCTCGGAATAATGGCTTGTATATCGCAAAATCTTGTCACTGATTTTCTATGTCTTGCTTTTCTTTCATTCTTCCCCCCCCCCCCTTTTCTGATGTGAAAAGACTGGAGACATACCAAAATAAGGCTTTCGGGTGGAACATATATTCCGTGAAGACCTCATAATAACAAAGCAGATAAAGATGGAATGCTACAACTTTGAAGACAACACAGGAATTTCCATCTGTCAATCCTCAATCTCCGTTCGCCAAGCTCCGATTCTGCCAAGCACGAACGCGATGCGGGGATTTCGAAACTTGGGACCCCTGAAAGACCTCGTATTCTCGCCATGTGTCTCCTTTTGCAACATCACACAGAAAAGTACTGATGGTGGGTGTTCCACGCAGTAAAGGCTGCTTGGCATGTCTCCAGCGGCGCGTTAAAGTACGAAACCGCCCCCGCCCCCTTGTCTTTTGTTTTTCTTTTTTCCAGGATAACACTCTAATACAGGGCAGTGCGATGAAACCCAGCCACGATGTCAAGCCTGCGAGAGAAGAGGGAACCCATGTCCTGGCTACACAAGGACCCGGAAGTTCTACCATTTCTCCGCAAACAGATCTACATCTACCCCGGCACAACCTTCGAGTACAACAATGGCGCTGATCACTGCCAAGGAAGCCAATGAAGCGCAGTACCCCACGACACAGCGCGCATCTATGGATGAGGCTCTAATGCCAGGATTGGTTTCCAAGGCACTGGACCGACAATGCAGGAAGGGATTTTGCGATTTCGTGGATGCGGTATTTCCGAACATTTATTACACTTACAGCACCCGGGTGGAACTTCCTTGGTTCGAGATCGCTCAGTACGACCGAGGCGCAGGAATTGCAATGGAATGGGGGGTTTCGCAGCCTTGGGACTCTGCAGATAGGCAGAGTAAATGGCAATCAACGGCAGATTCTTGCCAGTCAGGAAATGTACGGCCGCGGACTGCGTTATCTGGTTCAGGCTGTAAAGAACCCTGCTACTGTTGGCACGGAAGATACCCTCGGAGCCGCAATCCTGCTAGGGATTTATGAATTGATGAATGCAACTGGGCAGAACTCATGGCTGCTGCATTCACGTGGAATCTCACATCTCCTGCGTCTAAGGGGGGCGAAGAATCACGCGAGTGGGTATGGCCGTACCCTGCTGTTATCCTTTCGAGGACTTTTAGTTTACGAGGCCTTCACTCGCGGGGAGGCATGTTTCCTGGAAAGCGAGGAGTGGAGGTCAACTCTTCCAGAGACCCTAGAAGACGAGGAACGGCGTGGCACAAGCTGTGGTCTGGGCCAGCTCATGGACTATGCATTCAACGAGATAGCTCGGTGCCCTGGATTCCTTGCCAAGACCAAATCCCTAGTCGCCTCCTCGCGAACCACCGAGGCGGAGAGAGAGGATTTAACGGGTGCAATCAACAGCAGCCGAGAGGTCCTGGGTGATGTGGAAATCCAGATAATGGCTGGGGTTAAGGCTGATCATGAAGGGAATAAGAGAGAGTCTCGGGCTTTCTTTGGATTGATTCCCCCTTCTATCAAAGATGCATCGGTGAAATTCACGCTTGAGGGGGTTCATTCAGGGATCGCACTTCTCCGGCAGTTGTCAGTTGTGCTAATGTCCGATCGGAGTCGACAAAAAGCAGTAACACCGTGGTTAAAACTCGGTCCCTGTAAGAATGAGTGGAAGCTCATTAAGAACGCTGGAGAAATTGCCCAGGCCCAAAAAGATACTCGACTGCACCCAACAGGTCCACAGCAACAGGGCAGCGGGAAGATCTGGCATGACCGGATCGCCTTAGCAATGGGGATGCCAGAAATGGGTTGACCAATGCACGCTCAGGATAGTCTGTTTATCTGGACTTGGTCCGAACTCAGCTTCTGCGCCTGCAAGCCATAGTCTGAGTTTGTTTTGTCCATTGCACACATTTGCTCTTGGATCCTGACTGAACCCCTGTACCCAAGTGTTATTCAAGTGGCATTCCGAGGTTTAAGCGCCGCGTCTGTCGATCCTTTGTTCGTTTGACTTGCAAATGGTCAAATTTATCCCGAAAGATCGAACAACTGAACGCGACCGTACTGACCTGAGAAACTGGGCTGGGCAGTCACGGGGATGCGGTCATGTGCGGCCATGAACCCTACGTAGCAATCACATCTCAGATGACGGGAAATGACATTATCCCAGTCCACATGGGGAGGCTGGGGTCCACTTTTGCGAAGGAATCTGAAGTGAAAAGAAAAAGAAAGTTCGACATTGGGAATGCTGGTGTTTCAAATCCGGCGATCACCGGAATAAGACCTGTGACATCGCAGTGAAGTAATGCATAGTACTTTTGTGCATTGCAACAGAGCCATATTATTTTCATTTACCCCACTGGATCGGTCTTGATTCTCCAATTATATTAATTGCGTTGCCTGGTCTCGAGCCTTTGTGTCTTACTCAATCGCCGTCTGGGCCCGGACATACATGTACCATGCGGTATTCAGCGTAAACTAAAAAACCAGAGTTAACTATTGATAATGTTGTGTGAGGCATGATTTATCTCCATTTCATGCCCTTCATGTTGTGCAATTCACCATAACGAGTATATGGGCCCTGAAACATTCTTTGAGACAGAATGTTAGTTAACACTGCCCTACGAAAACCATGTGAAATCCAGATTTGCACGGATCACTACGGAGTAGGGTGTGATCGATTGTTCCTGGAGGAAGAATGCTGGGGCGCTCCTGTCACATTTTCGAAACCGGCGATCATCTCCACCAGGGGAGGCAAGTCGTCATACAATGGTTCCTCCATATGTACAATATACATGTGATGGATGCTTCCACCTTGGCAACCCACGTCTTCCAAGTGTACGATTGCTCGAAGACGCAATGCGACACGGGTACCTGAGAATCCTTGCGGGTGCCTGGAGCATCCCAGGATTCCAGCCACCGGTGCTTGCGTGGCCCCTGAAGTGCTCGTCCAGTCGGATTGGCCACAATGAATGCTAAGCATTCTGCTGGACATCAACAGAAGTGTGGTTGACCATTGGGAGTGCTCCGGATGGCCCATCAACGTCATACGAAATGGGATTGTTGCGACGAGTCGCCTACGGTTGCCGATCAGGATCGGCCCAATCATCATCCCAGCCGATCCACAGGTGTCGCCACGGCTTGCGTGATGTCGACTTTTTTGATGTTTCGAGAAAGGCCGTCTATTCTTAGTCCAAAATCCGAACGTGACAAAAATGACAAGGGCAGGGGATATATATAGGATCGGATTCGCCTCCCGGTTAGGTACCACATTGTTAGACATACCATTACTAAGCTCACCACACTACTTTGATATACTTTGTACACTGTTTTCAACCCAATTTCAATCAATCTTCGTTTCATACGTCCCTAATAATGCCGTCCTCATTGTCCTCTAGCGAGCACTCTGGCTCGGTCGAGTCGAACCACAGCCCCAGCACTTCTCTTCAAACCAAAGCCGACCCCAACATGGCCCTACATGAACAAGAACCTAGTATGTGTCCCAGAAGAATGGTCCTTTTTAGTCTTGGACACCCACTGACAACAAGTAGCCGCTGTGAATCTCCAGCCGGGATCTCGGGATACATTCTCACTTCGAAGTATCCAGCACAGGGACCGGGAAGGAAAGATCATCAGTAAGTCACCGGTTAGCATTAACTTTGGTGGGAACCGCATGCTAACCTAGCGATAGCCGATCCCGATCTCTCCAACCCAACCCGCAGCCGATTCGAGCGCCCGTTGGACACTATCCGATCGTTCGATGCAGCCATCGACGCACATCGCAAACAGCAACGTATGTGAACGGACGACCAAGGCCAAATGGTTACACCAGAACGAAACGAAGGAACGCTTTTTAATGCCAATTTCAATTCGAACACGGGGTGTTGATGTATAATTATCGTTTTATAATGGAGTCACATGGAGATATCAAAATTCGATCGTATTGCCTGAATCATGCCATTTTTATCAAGACAGTGTAGCATCTTTAGAAGGTGATTGGCGAAGACGGTAGGAATTCTATCCGTGTATATACCATTGCCATTAAACCAACAAGCAAGTATTTCAGAAAAGCTATTTAAGGTAGTTTAAGATGTGTGCCATGGTGCCATGGGGTCCCCACAAAAATCCATGTACTACAAAGTACCTTAGGAGAATCCCACTCGAATAAAATCTTTCTACAACATAGTAAATTTGGCGCATGCACATCCACAAAGCGCACCAAACCCTCGGAGTTTGAAATTGTGAACTTATATAGAACGGAGTTATTGCGAGGCCTGCAACATAAAAGTGCAGATATGCCGAAAGGAGCGTTGAACCGGAGAACAACCGACCTGATCTACATGTAGATCTTTTCTAGACTGAACTGGCCTGAACTATATATTCATGAAGATACTATGTTGTATATCTAACTTAGTAGTTATTTCACAGCTTCTAATTACCGAGTAAAATTAGACCTGAAGGGGAGAAAGGGGAAATTAAAGAAAAATCGGAAAAAGAAAAAGCCACGTGCTCCCAAGAAGCCCCACAGGAGAATTTTCACTTTCCCTTCACTTCGACTACTTGCATGTACTCTGAATCTACGAATCTATATTGTATGGCTTTTGATGGACTACTTTGAAGGGAACCGCAGGACTGCAGGACTACATACAGAATACGGAGTATGTTGTAGGTCTTTGATCGACTGCAGGCAGAGGATGTAAAAGCCGAATCCACTTTAGTGCGTGGAGTTCGTCTCTTATTATTCGCTCGGACGACATGAACCGATTGGTTTTAGAGCCCTAATGATCCTTTTTTTTCAAGAGATTATCTCCGGGCCAAAATAACATGGCGCCAGTCTAACAGTCTAAACCTATTGAACAATGGCTTCCAAGCATTTGACCCATCTTGGCCTTGTTAGCTCGGCTATACGCGTCCTTTTTGTGGTTTCAGAGACCAAATAGAAATTGGACTAGTATATGACACTATTGATCTTACTATTAATGGATATGAAGCCAAGAAACCCCCCCCATCTTGGACCTTAATTCCCCCGTTTCGCCGTTCACTCGTTTGAACTTCTTGGTTCTCTCTCTCTATCTTCTTGAATCCATTTATCCCAACTATATACACTCGCTATAAAGCTTTGCGGCATCAGATCTGCAAACCCATTCTTCACCATGAAGTTCTCCTTGGTAGCACTGGCAACCCTGGCTGGGGTTGCTGTTGCTGATTTGGATCCCATCGTCATCAAGGTACTGTCTCTATACGTGCATAGTAATGGTGGTGTATTCGGTACTAAGCCTGTCAACAGGGTTCCAAGTTCTTCTATTCTAGCAATGACACTCAATTGTAAGTGAATACGTCGATATCTCTTGAATCGGGTAGCTGACAAGTACAGCTTCATGCGTGGAATCGCCTATCAACGTAGGTTGTTTATGCCATCACTTCGACATCTCGACTAATCCTTTGCAGAGGAAAGCACAACCAGCAGTGGCTACACTGACCCTCTCGCCGATCCCACCGCCTGTGCGCGTGATGTGCCCATCATGGCGAAGCTGCGCACCAACGTTATCCGTACCTATGCCATCAACGCCTCTGCTGACCACTCGGAGTGTATGAAGCTCTTGGCGGACGCGGGTATCTACGTGATCTCCGATCTATCCAACCCCAATCTATCGATTGATCGAAGCGATCCTACGTGGGAAACCGATCTCTTTGCCCGATACACCAGTGTTGTTGATGAACTGGCCCAGTACAACAACACCATTGGTTTCTTCGCTGGAAATGAGGTTGCCAACAGCGTCAATACTTCCGACTCCAGCGCTTTCGTCAAGGCCGCCGTTCGTGATACCAAGAAGTACATCAAGAACAAGGGCTACCGCCCTATGGGTGTTGGATATGCTACCGCCGATGTGGCCGACATCCGTGCGGACATGGCCGATTACTTCAACTGCGGTGAGGCCGACGAGTCTATTGACTTCTGGGGATACAACATCTACTCGTGGTGCGGCGAGTCGACCTACGCGAAATCTGGATACAAGGATCGCACCGAAGAGTTTGCCAACTACTCCGTCCCTGTCTTCTTCGCCGAGTACGGTTGCAACGAGGTCACGCCCGCGAGTTCACCGATGTGAAGGCCCTTTATGGTGACACTATGGCTGATGTCTGGTCCGGTGGTATTGTGTACATGTACTTCCAGGAGGCCAACAACTACGGTAAGACAATCCTTTCCCCACATATGTGTGAAGGTAACTGATCAGACTTGCAGGTCTGGTTTCCGTCGTCGATAGCACCAGTGTCAGCACCATGGCCGACTTCAAGTACTATTCCAGCCAGATTGCCAGTGTCAACCCCACTGGTGTCAAGAAGGCCTCCTACACTCCCACCAACACTGCCCTGCGAAGCTGCCCTACTGTCGGATCCTCGTGGTCCGCTGAACCTTCCCCTCTGCCCCCTGTCGCCGATATCCAGCTGTGCGACTGCATGTACGATGCCTCCGCCTGCGTTGTCGCCGATTCCCTCTCCTCGACGAAGTACGCCAAGCTGTTCAGCACTGTCTGCGGTTACACCGACTGCAGCGGACTGACCGCCAATGCCACCACCGGCGAGTACGGTGCTTACAGCATGTGCTCGACCAAGCAGCAACTCGCCTTTGCTCTGAACAAGTACTACGTTGAGCAGAACCGTGCTGCCGATGCTTGTAGCTTCGCCGGGTCTGCAACCGTCAAGTCTGTGACCAAGGCCACTGGCACTTGCGCTACACAGATGAAGGAGGCTGGAACTGCTGGAACTGGAACTATTACCACTGAGAACACTGGCACGGCGGGCTCTGGCTCTGCTTCCTCGACGGGCTCGTCGACCACATCTAGCAGCGGCGCTATCAGCATGCACTCCAGCTCTTCGTTCGGCTCTTTCCAGGTGGCTGCCTACATTGCCACCGCACTCCTGGCGGGTGTTGGAATGATCGCTCTGTAGTTGAGTTTGACCTTGCTTCGTGCTTCTTCGCATTTAAACTGCGTGTCTGTTTTCCCTTCTTATCCCGACATTTTTGAAAATAACCCTCGGAGCAACACATGATCGATATAGAGAGTACGTATCCCTACTCGCACCTTTCCTTGATTCAATGTCATTGCCCGTGAAAGAAGTTGGTATCTTGTTGAATTATTTACATTGTCAAGACCGAATTTGATTTATATACCATTTCCTCATGGCCTTCCTTTTTTTTTTAGCAATTTACGTCGTTCCATATTCGTATCCCCAAACCTTCATTTCATGCTGTGAATCGTGCTGCCAGCGACCATTCGTCTCCAGCCCAGCATAGAAAAGTACACTACAGGATTAGTGCCTGTTTCGCGTAGATATGTGAGGAAAGTAATCGGGCTTCAAAGGTGATCGAGATATATAGTTGGAGTAATTACTTGTATGCTGGAAGGGAATTACTCCTGCATTCAGACCATGACATATCCTGCTGAACTCGGATGGAATTCAAGGGAACCTCGTCCTCAGAGCCATCCTGGGACACAACCAGCTGCACTTGATTTTTATTACGTGGTTCATCGGACGGTCGTAGAGCAGAATTCTGCAACTCATAACCTCTAGAATGGTTGAGATCAGTGGTGCGTGTCTCTTGAGTACCACACTGGCTCGAGAATTCTTTTGAGATCATCACGAACAACGGACGCAGGGTCGGCATGCAGGCGGAGATGATACCCGCTGAGGATTCGACGATACACCAGGTGCAGGATTTTCCGAGTGTCCAGGCAATATCCGCCGGGTCGAACTCGAAAAGGGTAGTGAAGCGATAGATGCTGGTGAAGACAACGCTTTGCGAAAGTGTCCAGTCAGTCCACTGTCGCAAACCAGTGATATGTAGTAAAAGGGGGTATACGAACAAACTACCCAACAGAAAAGTGCCAATCACGGACAGTCGCTGCGTAAGGCTAGCGTGCAATCTCCGCACCACTCGCACCGGCAGAGACAGAATGAGAATGTCGGTGACAATGTTGGGTACTGCATTTCCAATGAACGAGGCTTTGAGATTGATGCAGGTGCCGGGAATGTGCGTGTCCCAGGCTCGCGCAATCGGAGTACATTGGAAGATGCTCACGAGGATAATGGCGATGCCCCAGGCAATGGAGACCCCACCTAGGACCATGGAGGCCATACGAATCTCTCTCGTGGGGAAGATGCGACAGTACATGAGCAGGATAGACACCTTGATGACCGCTATTGTTGTAACGTAGACGCACTCGTACACCACCAGAAGCTACAAGAATATTAGCGGACTCAACTTCATGTATAGTTCACAATCCAACCTTTGCAATCGTTATGAGGTTTTCCGCCGGTAGGGTCTCAGAATGTACGCCCATGCCGTAATTCGTTACTATTGACGATTAGCATCGGAATCAAGTCCCAGGGCACTGTATCGTACAGACAAGGCCCAATCCAACGAGAGTGAAGAAAGGAACCAAAGCGGCCACGATGAAATAGTCGTCCAGGCCTGGTTTCAGGGACTTTTTCCACCGTGCCAAAAATCGTAAGATCACAAACAGGACGGCCAGGACGGTCGTCACCACCATCCCAGCCCGATAGGACCCTTGGCGGTTCATCGCATCTGGACTGCAAAAACGGTGATCAAAACATCTTTTGACCTGCAGCGGCAATAGGTTTATTTACGAAATTTAAGAATGGACTCCCTATACTTCGTACAGCCTAAAGAGACTCAAATAAGATCCACTTTTTCGTATTCGGATTCATATCCACAATTGAGAGACCGTTTTGTATACCTAATGCGTAAAAGGAATCATATATAGTTTGAATCAATTCATATATTTGACTATTGCAACTAGTACTACTCCGTACACCGCAATAAGAAAGTAAAAGAGATTTGGATGGTAAAATAAGCTGCTGTTCGCTTTGGACAAGGGGGGGGTTACGGAGTAGTTGTTTACCCAGTATGGGATTGGATTATTTAGACGCTTAAGCTTCATTCTAATAGCTCGATATGCAGAGAGGCTCTGTTTGCTAGGTCATACTGGGGACTCCGGATGTTCTTCATCTGAGACATACGATGATATCAATCTGCCATGGCAAATTAGAAACAAGACAATAACACGTGGAACAGAGTAATCAGCAAAGAAAAAAACAACAACCTTCTTGAAATATTACCGCGGACGACGGCCGCGTGGAATCTGATACAAATACCAATGAGGGCCCTTTGGTGCAATATCAGACCCGTCTCATGGAGTTGCTAGTGACACCGGGAGCCTATCGCGCGAGGCTCAGCCGCGCTCCACCGTTGGTGCCAAATGGCTGAAATCCTTCAGGAAGTATTGAAACAATCAAAAGAGCCAATCATTTCACGTACTAACGGATTGTGGGCCCTGCCTTGTCTTGAGAAGGAGGGGTTGATCATTTCCCCAACGTTTGCTGATTTTCCATTGAACGTCGAGGCATTCGTATCCCTTTCGACCTCAAATAACTGCAAGATAACTCTAACTCCATGCTTGTGAACCCAGTATTTGTCTTTGTCCCAGGTGCATGGCACACGGCAGACTCGTTTGACGTCGTTCGGGATCTGATGCACAAGCGTGGACTTGCAACCGAAGCTGTCTCCACCCCATCTGTGGGCGCATTCCCTCCAGATAAGGGGCTACACGCCGATATTGAACATACTCATGCCGTCCTCAAGGAGATGGTGGAAGCCGGACGCCAGATCGTGTTGGTGAACCATTCCTATGGCGGGATGGTCGGCGCTGGCGCTGTCGAGGGCTTGGGGTACGCGCAGCGGTCCAAAGCCGGTCTTCCCGGCGGCGTAATCATGGTAGTGTGGATGGCCGCATTTGTGACGCCCAAGGGCAAGACGTTAATGGACATGCTGGGGGGAAAACACGCCCCCTGGATGGTCATCAATGTGAGTGGTTCATCTTCGTTTGTTCCCCCTCTTTTGTACGCAACTGATGGACGACATATAGAGCCCGGATGACGGGTACTGCTGGTCCTCTAACCAAGAGACAATATTCTATAACGACATGTCTCCAGAAGCGCAGCAGGAGGCGATTTCCAAATTGAAGCCGCACACGTATAAGTCGTTCAACGAACCGGCTACGTATGAGCCTTGGCGAGAGATGCCTAGCATGTATCTCTTCTGCGACAAGGACGGAGCTATCTCGTTGGCTGTGCAAGAGAACTTTGCTCAGACTTTGGGCAACCCAGTGACTTACCATGTCGATGCATCTCACTCCGCATTCCTGAGTGTGCCAGAAAAGGTGATTGAGGGGTTGGAGATTGCGTTGAAGGAAGGCCGACAGCAGAGTGGGATTGCTGTGAACTAAGCTGGATGATGCATTATAACAGCTAATCATTGGATCATGTATTTATACACGAGATTGATGCTTTATTCGATTCTGAGACCATCAAACGGGTACATGGGCTGTCACTTGTTGGAGTAATGGTAACGAGAGCAGTAGTGATTGACCTGAGCATCAGTCAGAGTTACCTAGGTAAGATGAGTGTTTTGCAGTTTTTGACTCACCTGGCTGTTTGTACCAGAGCTCTTGTGAGTGTTCGCTGCCGGGGCATGATTGCGGTTCGAGTTTGTCAAAGTAGAAGTATGTTGATGAATAGTGTGAGGTGAGGAGATGAAGGGCAGGAAGAGGAAGAGGCAGAGGAAGAGGAACAGGTCTCTTATAGCCAGCAACGTGAAGGATCTCAAGTTTGCATGAAATGTGTCTTGGTAATAGCCCTGGAGTTCCTTGCTCATATAACATAAAGAGTTCACCACTACTTGTACCCTGAAAGGGATCTCGAGCTGCATCCAGATGACTTCTTCAATTTTGATTATTATATTTTGGATCCTTTCTGATAACCATGCCAGCAAGCTTTAAAACCGCAGTTTCCGGAATTTGTCGAGTTTCCACAGGCCATACTTCGCGATGGTGACTGTTCCCATCACACATACTGCAACAAGGACTACAAACGCGGAAGTACTCTCTTCAAAGAAGTTCGACACGTTCATCCCAAACAGGCCCGCCACAAACGTTGGCACGGCGAATCCCAACATACAGATCTCCAGTTGAGCCTCGAAAACCATGATCTGATTTCGTCGCACATCCAAGATCGAGTGAATGGTCTCTACTGTGCGCTCCAAGTCACCCAGTAAAGCATTGGCAGACTCCGCGATCGCGTCTGTGTTCTTGTAATATGCCTCGAGGAGATATTCCACTTCTAGGTGATCCTCTACCTCATGTGGTCGACCTGCCTGCCGATCCGTCAAGAACATGGTCGCCATGTCTTCATCATTTTCAAGGATTTCCCGTAGCGCCGAGCGGAACTGGCTGGCACGCTGCTGGATGGCCACAAGCCTTTTCCGGTGATCCTGCAAGTCGCGGAGAACAGCGTAAACGACATCTTCCCTCGTTGAATCCTGCAAGCTGTCCTCGACTTCTCGGCGGATGAGAACATGCTCGGCTTCAAGAGTCGCGATCACAGAGGCAAGCGCTGCATCCACTACCCGTAGCTCAAAAGGGAGTTTGGCTAAGAGACCGGAGCCAGAACCGGGATGGAGCCTTCTCTGGAGGTCCGTCATAAAGACGTCCTGCACCTTCACGTGGCAGTCCTCGATTGGGAGAAGGAAAAGAAGCACTCCATGTGCGCGGACCAGGAGCCGTAAAGTGAACATGCTGATAAAGATGACCGAAGGACGGACCAACAAATGCGGGATTCCCTCCGAGACAAGATCCACGTTGCGCAGATCGCGGCCATCTAATCCCCACTCTTTAGCAAGACCATCCCTAGTTCCTCGAATGTCAGATTCTTTGACAGAGCCATCCAGGCCCAAGACCATGCAGCGCAACTCTGTCGCATCATTTATGCGGCTTTTCGACAGCGCAAGAGACAGGTTGAACACATTTTGATTAAATGAGGCTTCTTTTTTCATATCAGGCTCCTGTATGACGTGATGTGATTTATTGGGGAGGGTGACGATTTCCCGTCTGCCGTAGCTGGGGATGTTCTGCATGGGCTGTCCCATGCGGAGAGTGCCGGAAAGGCGATGGAATTGGTGTGGTGCATTTGTACATATTGACAGTCTCCCTCTCGGCAAGGATGAAGTGATCTTGATAGTACGTGGATACATGATATGTATCCTTGTCATTGCAAGGATGAACTGCTCAGGTGAGTGGGAGCTGGACAGTTGTGCACTGGATGTGGCTTGACTGCGGCTATGGTTGTGGCTTCTATACTCCATCGAAAAGTGACCACGCACTTTCTTTCATGGCCTCACTGAAATCTTACACCTGTCTTTTTATCTGAAGGAACAAGTTACTGGAGGTACCAACTGCAAAAGTCGGGCTTGCTCCATATGCGGATCAAGCTTGATGGCACTCTATCCCTAATGTGGAGATAGGTAAGACTCTGATAGGGTGCTACGGATGGGAGGATGTAGGGAAATCCATTTTTCCTTCAAATCTAGGATCTGCTATGTGATTCAAAGCCCGGCTGTATCCACCTACGGGCCACTCACGGCACGAAGTTCTTGAACGACACCTGTTCTGCGATCAGATACACCCTGTAAACATATTCTGTCTTAGAAACATGCCGGAGCAATGCAGTTCATCACGACCAGTACCAGGAGAAATGCTAGCACCGGTTCGCATAACAGGGCCCCAAGTGTTTCCATTCAAGAGAAGCTGCACTTCAAGGGCGAGCGACCGTCGGCGAACGGTCCCATTGGCCGTGTTTAAGAGAACGGATGGTCTCCAGTGGGCGAAGGTTGGGGTGAGGCCAAGTGCGCGGCATCATCCCGGAAGATTTCCAGGGGAGCAGACCCCGTATCGTCCAGCACGTTATCGATGCTGATGAAGTCAGTTGCCCCGATTAGCCGCACAGAGAGGCTGAACTACACAAGGTTAATTAGCTGGGAGCAAAGCGAGATAGAAACGAAGAAAGGCTAGCCGTATGGTGAGGGTACTCATTTGAAGAAGGAAACGATGCCGTCGAGAGTCTAGCGGGGACCGTAGCCATTTTCACCTTGAAAGAAAGGTTAATAGCTCTATGTCGCAATCAGACCACGGTCACATACATCTTCAATCCATACCCTGCCGTGCCCGAGCTCGGCTCGCCATTCAGAAATCTGCATAGATATGGCCACTTCGTTCAAATCGCGACGCGGAAAGGGTCTCAGCTTCAGTTCTCCCGCAAACCACACGGTGACCTTCTCTGGGTCCATATCAAAGCGGCCGCTACGGTATGCATTGAGCACAGCGTGGTAGTTCACCCACTCTTCCTCGTCGACATCATCGCCATCAAGATACATGTACTTGAGAAACTGGATTCTCCATAGTACATCCGGATGTAAGTCTTGGGGCTCCGCCGGATCGAATCTATATCGTGTTAGAGAATGAAATCTCCTGAGAATAGAGCCGGCTTCCTTACGGGCGGGTTGGTGACATATTTTCGAGGGCCCACTGTATGCCTTCACGGCAACTTTCCACGTTTACGCCTTGGTCGATCTGCTGCTCAAACTGCCGGATTACCTTGGCCCGTCGACTACTAGATGGTTAGTTTTATAAATGTAAATCGGATAGGTTGTTCCGTTCCCCGGATAATCGATTCGATAATGGCTTTGTCAACTTCATACCGTGGGTAGCGCTCAAGCATCTCGTCGATGGTGACACGAGGGGGACCGTTCGTGGGTTCTTCCGTAGCTTTCTCCATATTGGAACCTGTGGTTGGTCACAAGAACCAAAGGGAAACACAAGTTGAAAAGGAGAAGAGAGCAAGGTGAGAGCAAAGTGAGAGCAAAGTGAGAGCAAAGTGAGAGAAAGACGCAAAGAGATGAAATACGACTGTATTGGAACTGGAGAGGAAAGGAAGAGAGGAAGAGGATCTAACACCGTTGCGGTAACGTGTCATCGATTCCAGAACCAAAGGAATATATACAATGACTGCGTGCAATGACGTGGTATTCTACAACTCCTCCGAAACAAAGTATGCCTGATTCTGCAGCTTCTGCATAATTCTCTTAGGGTCATACCTTTTCGCGACTGTGTCAATATACTTGATATTGTTTTCCCCAAACGACTGCAGCGGCTTCTGCTTGGCACCCGCGTCATTGACGAAGATATAGGGGAGGAAAAGATCCTCCGACTTTGCGCTGGAGATGAGCTTGGCCAGCAATGAGTCTACAGCACCTGCCACCTCTGATTGGCTGAGTGTAGCTGGGAATTGAGCGAAGATATTCGCCCCTGTACGACACATTGGTTAGAGGCGTTTCCCGGATGGAGATGAGTAAAAGCGGATACATACAGACTTGAGGCGTGGCCTCCAGACCCAGTAGGTTCCCTCCATTCTGCGACTTTCCTTGAGTTACTAGATTTGGAATCACACCCTGAGGCACATAAGAGAGTACCGCGCCCGACGGGAGAGAGGCAGCGGCTTCGAGATAGGTTGAGTAAGTGTCCTGCAGGAAAGTGGACCCTGTCACCTTAAATGAAAAGGTACCGCTGTAGGAGACACCCTCGGATGTCAGTCCGGTGGAGCCAATGGTGAGGAGAAGCTCAGTGAGCGAGCCGTTCGTTGGTGGATACATGGTGGAGGCCACGGGTATGTCGGAGAATGGATCAAAGTCTGTAGGTGCGGATACATGACCGAGATACCCGTAGAAGACCAAAGTGTAGCTGGGGTTGATCTGGATCTCCACATTGCTGTTGATGTCGGCGTCCAAAAGATACGTCGCATAGGCCGCAAGCACGGCCGGAGTGTTGGCAGTGGTGTACGTTTTGATCTCATAGTAGATATCGACGCCGGTATTGGTGCTGAGGTCATATTCAGTTACAATGCCTGCTCCAGTTAGGTGATTGAAAGGTGATTTGATAGACAGTAGCAGTCTCACCGAAGTTATTCAGGCCTCCCTTCAGACCTTTATATAGATCGGCATGCTCAGTTGGGGTGGCATCGACAATAGTTCCATTGGGTAGAACCACCTGGAATCGGGTGACACTGTCAATGGCCAAGCCGTGGGTGTTGTAGAAGGTGCTGAGACCGCCTGATTCTGTCAATGTCTTGGTTCATCTAGAATTCCCACGATGAACTTTTCACTCACCACCAAGAATGTATCCACCAACACCCACAACCGCTTCACGGCCGCCTAAGGCCGTGAGATTATACGGCTGGAGGTACTTGTATACAGACTCCCATCTATTACCAGGCCCGACAGTGACAGTTCCGCGATCAGCGCTTAAGGAAATGCTATCCAACTTCTCCAGAGCGATCAACACCCCGTCACTGCCGATTGAACTGAATCCCGGGTTGGTATTGTGTCCACCGGAGCGAATGGCGAATTTTGTTTCCAGAATACTAAGGATCTGCAACAGACGCGAGACCTCTTGGGCAGATTCAGGCGTGACTATGCAAGACGCATTCAATCGGCAATTCTCCGACCAGGCTTCGTCAATGAAAACATCGTAATATGGCGAGGTCACTGTGAATGTCTCGTTCTTGGAGAAGACCCGATTCAAGAGACTACAGGTGTAGCCGGCATTTCCAATGAGAACGTTGCCAGATGGAGGAGAAACACCCAGCGAGCTGAGAGCAGCAGCAGCAGCAGAGGACCCTGTTGGGATGGAGGCCGCAGTGGCTGTTGTCAGCACACCCATAAGGATCCCTATTATCGAGGTCATCTTGGCCATGTTGAGTGATGTGAGTTGATTGTAGTTTGTGCGCGTTCCCAGCCCTTTATGGATCCACGACCTGCCATCTCGGGCGGGACATCGCATGAATCGTATGATTTCGAGCTGATGGCAAGGCAGACAGGTATTTCCCTCCTTCCTTCACTTTCTCACACCCGAGTTGAAAGATAGAACGATCGATGTTGTCGTGCCTGACTAGCGATGCGGCTCTCGGACTACCGATCTGGCTCGGCCGACGGATCAGGATCCCTCTCGCTTTATATGAGAGCAACGACGTATGGAGAGCCAGGTACAGACAGCGCCAAATTATCTCTTTCACCCTTCGCCATTTAGCAATCTGAATAAAATGGGCTTCTTCGCGCTCGAGGAGTGGGCAGCCGCCAATCGTGACTACGAGAACTCCCCGGCGCCCTACTGGCATGCGAAGTCTGTACCCGATGGCTTCACGGCCATATCAGGAATCCTCTGGTCTATCTCGTACATCTTGATGGCCAAAAAAGCTTTCAAAGATCGTTCCTACGCAATGCCTCTCCATTGTCTCTGCTTGAACATTACCTGGGAAGCAGTCTACGGATTTGTCTACGGCCCAGGGCTGCTAAACCAGGTTGTGTTCGCGCAATGGATGATTGTCGATGTGGTCCTCTTCTACGCAATCCTTCGATCGGCCCCGTATGCCTGGAAGCAGTCCCCATTGGTGGCGCAGCATCTCGCGGGTATAATCGTGGTCGGATGTGTGATCTGTCTGTGGCTGCACTTGGCGATCGCGGCCACATTTATCCCGAGCATTGGACGACAGGTCGTGTTCATGACGGCATGGCCTATGCAGGTCCTTATCAATTTCAGCTCGATTGCGCAGCTACTCTCGCGCGGAAATACCCTTGGTCACTCTTGGGGAATTTGGTGAGTGGATAGATCTCCGGTATAGTCATCTTGATCTTGCGCTGACACTATGAGAAGGTGGACAAGAATGTTGGGTACTATCGCCGCTGCATGTTGCTTCTTCTGGCGTATACACTATTGGCCAGAGAGATTCGGATATGCGTGGACCCCTTACGGGCAGTTTTTGCTGCTGGGTAGTATCGGGTCTGACATGGTGTATGCTGTGGTCTATGTCTATGTTCAGAGAATCGAGAAGCAGCTGGACTCCCTGGTCAACACCAAGGCGCAGAAGGCTCGCTGATATGGGTAGACAGTATTTCTCGCATAAGATGTGATGGTGAGAACATCATCTATGCCCGGAAATTGAGGTCAAGTACAAGTATGGAGATGTCCATCTGTCCAATAGCCACGTATTCCTATGTATAGATTCCAGTCAATCTGTGGAGGAGTGTCTGTCTATCTAGATATGTGAATATATATAGTTTCCTGCTCCAAAAATATCTATCTACTCCGACTTCCCCCTTTTGGCCGATGCCTCCTGCTCCAACTGACCACGAAACCTTTCCCGTGCTCTTTCCTGTGCCTGTGGGTCCGCAAATTTACGTTGGAACCAGCTCTGCTGCATTGTCTCGCAGGCTGCCTCCCAGTCGGTTGTCCACTCGGGATAAAAAGGCGCATAGCCTAGCAGCCCGCCTATCCACCGGCCCACCACGATCCCGAGAAACAGCCCGACCCAGGAGCGGAACGGGACCCACCACGGCGGCGATAGATACGTGCCTCCGGCATCGAACATCTAGATATAGCTGGTTAATCCTGGGATATTTTTTTTCAGGGGAAATTACTTTGCTCACCGAAAGCACCTGTATGAAGTCCAATTTCTCCCCCGCTGAAAAACATCCTCTTGATACCCATACCAATTCTCAAAGAACGGTTGGTCCATAACCGTGGCACCCTCCTCTTCCGCAGCAGGATCACTAGCACTCACGACAAATTCGACCTCATTCATCTCCGTCCCGGGGTTCCATAAATGACATGATGGGTATAGGGAGGCACTGCCAGTTCGCCATCACTCGCGGTCCGGTGAATGGCACGCCCATTGAAATCAATAGTAAGGTTCCCGCGAAGAACGCGGAAGAATTCCCATTGGGACGGGTGGAAATGTGTGGGGGGGCTTTTGGCCGGTGGCGATCAGCTTGGCATAGATGCCGCGACTTGGCCTCATGATACCGTGAAACAGGAACAAGCGGTCCGGGGGCCGGGGCAGATTACGGACCGAAATGGCTCCATCAAATTTTGTCAGCGGATCTTGACCGGCTGTGAAGGTACGAGGTTTGCAGGGAGCCATTTCTAGTTAGAACTGGAAGTAGACCAGAAAGAGGAGCGAACGAAATGGATGAACTGCTTACTTTACATACTCGATGTTCATTCTCGTCTCCCGATTATCTTCCAGGATAACATACCGGAGAATTCCATCTCGTCTGAATGTCATACGAGATAGACATTTGGCCGTGTTCATTCGGTCGAGGTTGTTTCGGTCTTCGTCCCTTGGAACTTCCCTTTTAGGGCTGGCGTCGGCCGAATGCTGAGTCACCCCATCAAGGAATGCGCCGTTTGTCAGCTCCGCTGAACAATCCAACAAAGGACCTCCGGATAGCAGGGTTGTGATAGGAAAAAAAGAATCTTGAGTATGACTACCCCGATGTCTCTTCTTCTTCTCTTCAATCATCAATTGTGCTCTTCCCGTTGGTGGCCTCAATTCTCGCATCTCAACTCCTGATTCAACTCCCACCATGGTCAACATCATCCAGCCGAAAGTCGATCCCCTACCTACGGGCATTGACCTGACGGGTAAAACTGTCGTCATTACCGGTGCCAGCGCCGGAATGGGTCTGGAAGCCACCAAACAGCTCCTGCGATTGCGCGCCTCGACCGTGATTCTTGCCGTGCGCAATGTCGCCAAGGGCGAGGCCTGCGCAACTTCCCTCCGCCAGGACCGTCGCATTCAAACCCACAACCCCAAGCCGACCATCAAGGTCATGGCACTTGATGTGGACGATTATAACAGTGTACAACGGTTCTCGAAGCAGCTCCGCGAAGAGATTCCGGTGGTCCATATCCTCATTCTCAATGCGGGTATCGGTCTGCTCAAGCTGGAACGCAGCGCAAGTGGCCATGACCGAACTACTCAAGTCAATTACTACTCCAATGTGTTGTTGATCGCTGAGCTCCTGCCGCATCTCCAAGCAGGCGCGGAGAAGACCGGCTCTCCGGCACGCATTAGCTGGGTTGGAAGTCGCGCACACGAGGTCACCAGCTTGGAGAAGAAAGCTCCTATCAAGCCCGGTGAAGGTGTTCTTGCGCATATGGACAAAGAAGAAGCCTTTGTCCCGTTCCAGCGCTATGGGGATTCGAAGCTACTTTGCGTGATGTTCATGTACAGTCTGGCGCCGCGACTGGATCCCAAGAAAGTCATCATCAACATGATGTGTCCGGGCATGGTGAACACCAACATGAGCGATGTTCTCCCCATGCACCTGCGCTTGATTGTGAATGTTGTCAAGTCATTCCGTGCCAGGCCTGTTGAGGTGGGTGGCTGGATCATCCTGAATAGTGCGCTGGTGGTAGGCCCTGAGTCTCATGGCAAATTCTTGAATGACAAGACCATCTCTGAGTAAGTGATACGCCTTTTCGGTAGAAAGTGGTCTATTGCAAACAGCTAACACACTCTATAGTAAATCGGCGTTCATCAAATCACCGGCGGGCCAGGAGATTCAGAAGAAACTGTGGGAGGAGACAATTGCCGAGATCGGCACATTGACCACCCTTCCTGCCGAGTTCAAATAGAACATCCGGAGAGTGTTTTTTGTGTTCCTAAGTTGTGATCAATGTGTACCTCATCCATGTGGAACCCACTGAGGCTTCCTTAATCAAGTGCGAATCAATCCTAACTAATTCAAAGCTATATATAAAAGAGATATCTCGTCTACTGTCTTCTCTGCTTCTTGTAGCAGCTTCGTAATAACCCTCACCAAATCATCTCCCATGCCATCGCCACAAAATTGCCCGGCACCGCTACAGCAGACAGCCGAACCAGCTCCAATGCAGCAAACAAGTCCCCCCTCTCATCCTCAATCCCCATCGCCAGAGCTACCGGCACACCTTTCAGCTGTACTCGACTCCAGACATACCAAGATAAAGTGATTGCATACCCCATCCATCGCCGCGTCACCCCAGGCTGTGTTCCCCGATCGTCAATACCCAACACCCAACAACCAAAATCCTCTGCTATGATTGCCATCCCCTGTAACACAAAATACTTCATCTCCCCGCCATCCGAAAAAGGCAGGCCAAGTGCTCGTGTCACTTGGTAGGTTCCACACGCATGAATTAGCCCCGAGATGACAAAACTCATCATGAGGAGTGAGTACCGTCTCGCCAGTCTAACAGACGTCCGTTTAGACGTTGTCACACTGTCCGGCATCAAGCTAATAAGATATGCACCAGGCGCACCAGCCTGTCGTCGTAGCTGCTGGTGCCAAGTGTACCCCCAGAATCGGCGAATGCTGTATGCTTCGCGAACACTACCGAAATTTGGTGGCCAGGAGGCAACATCCTGCCACGAGCGAGGGCCGACTTGGAGGCCGACACAGATAGCCGAGAGCGGGAGCATTAGAATAGCGAAATGGCTGTATATTGTGATGGCAAAGCCGCACACAATCAGGGCGTAGATGTGCAAATTGCCTGGAAGCGAGGGGATGGCGTTTGGGTTTGACGAGACGACTTGACAGGTCACGTTGACGAGATGTAGACCCGCGTACATAGCAGTCCATCTGAGGAGCTGGGCTGCAGCGAATTGGAATCTGGTGGTTGGCACCGGGGATTTGGGAATGCCGGCGACGCGCCAGTTCCAGCCGATACCGCGCGTGACGCTGAAGAGTTCCAGGGCCCAGAAAAAGCGCTTAGGTACAGAAAGCCGGGCTGTATCCTCAAGAGTTTGGGACTCGATGATGCGGTGGAATGTTTTCTCTGGGACGGTCGTGTACAATCGGTCAAAGTAGCGCGCTAGCAGATTGCCCATAAGAACACCCGATGTGTAGAGGACGGCCCGGTCTGGTACTGAAGGTGGCCGGGCAAGGAATGCCTGTACTGCACAAGTAATCTGGAGAAGAAGCAGTCCATAGCGAAGGGCAGTTCCATGGGGGGGCCTGTGGAACGCAGACGGCGAGGACAAAGGCTAGGGCTGTATAGTGTCCGCTGTCGAGGGAGAACGGCTTCGTTTCCAATGTCGTGGGTTTCCACGAGGAAGCATCCATTTCAGCCATGTCAAGAGGACATTCGAGGAGAATAGGGTATCTTCTATCCGGTCCTGGTCGTACCTATGTGGCTTTTCTATCTCGGCATGGTCGGTCATCCGGGCTGCGTGGTATTCGGCCGATCGCGACATAAGCAACGCAGTTAAATATAACTTGACAGAAAACAGAAAATGGACATGACCAAAGTTTGGTATCATTTCTGGTCAATACAAACTAATGAGTTTGCTTTCTGTGCTTCCTGTGAGCCTCTGGCTCATTGCGGCGGGCACCTTTGCTGTTTACCATGCCATTCGTGCTGTCTACCTGATCTTCTTCAGTCCACTGGCCGTTTTCCCAGGCTCACCATGGGCGGCTTTGGGGGAATAGTGTGTATTTCTCTTTGTTTCTGAGGCTAGTTCACTAACCACGTACTGCAGTTGGGAGGCATATTGGAATATCGGTCTTGAACCCGGCCGTAAAGGCCAGACGCTGTTCAAGCTCGAGGAGATGCATAAGCGACTAGGACCTGCACTGCGCATGGGTCCCAATGAGGTGCATATATATGATCCAGCCTTCTACCATGAGCTATACCGACCGGGTAGTCGGTACTACAAAGACCCATCGATGCACAAGGTCCTGGGAGCGCCGTCAAGCACGCTGGCCGAGAGTGACCCGGTGCGGCACAAGCAGCGAAAAGCACCACTAGAGCCACTGTTCTCCAAGAAGAACATCCTCAGTTTGGAGCCAATGCTGATGGAGCACGTTGACCACTGCTCGCAACGATTTGATGAGCTTTTTGCCCAGGGAAAACCTGTCTCAATGGAGTGGGCTTTGAAGTCTCTAGCGATGGGTATGTACCTTCCTGCACTATGTGCCACTTCATTCCATCACGTCCATGGTCTAATAGAATGATCCAGATATGGTCTCTCAGTTTGCATTCGGTCAATCCCTCAATGCCCTCGCCGATCCGGAGTTCAAGTCGCTCCCTGTGCGCGTCTTCCAGCAATACCTGCCCAGTCTACATGTCATCAAGGCTTTCCCCTTTGTGAGACTGCTCAATTCGCTCCCCTGTGGATTGCAAAACGGATTTCCCATTCTGTTGAGATGGGACATGAGCTGGAACAGGTGAGCACGACCTATATATTTGCCCAGCGAAACATTATGTACTGACTCATTCTATCCAGTTCGCCGCTCGCCGCATCGATGAGTATATGGCCGCGGCCGCAGCGGGAAAAACCCCTACCTTTCCAACTCTCATGGAGCGTTTGCTCATTCCGATTCCCGAGAAGGGCTACGCGGTCCCGACAAGCAGGGCCTCCGTGATGAGCTTCTTACCGTGATCTCCGCAGGGACGATACCACTGGGATTGCCAACACAGTCACCCTTTTCAATATCTTCAATAACCGTGAAGTCCACGACCGCCTCCTGGCGGAGTTGAAAACTGTCATGCCAACGCCTAATTCCCATGTCTCGTATCTTCAGCTCGAGGCGCTGCCATATCTGGTCCGTCGTTTCTATCCCTTCGTCGCTCTGAAGAGAGCACGTCATGTCAAGCACAACATCTAACACTGGCATGATACAAAACAGACCGCGGTGATCAAAGAAGGCCTTAGATACTCCTCTCCCGCAGCCTCCCGCACTCCCCGTCTCGTTCCCCCGGGTGGCGTCCGCCTTCCGGACGGCCGATTCATCCCTGCGGGAACCCGGGTGGGAATGGCAATTTACCATATCCACTACAACGAGACGCTGTTCGAAAATCCCCGCGTATTTGATCCAGAGCGTTGGCTGCAGGGACCGGAGGTGACTGCAGAGAGAGCCAAGTTCCTGGTGCCATTTTCGCGAGGGAGTCGCTCTTGTCTGGGGATCAAGTATGTGCTCTCCTTTGAGAAAGATATTTTACTAACGGATCTGAAATGTAGTCTGGCGTATATGGAGATGTATATGGCCATTGCGTATATTGTGCGACGATTCGACTTGGACCTCGTAGGGACAACCGAGGAGGACATGAAATGGGATGATATGGTCGTACCTCAGTTCCATGGAGAGTTTATGGCGTTGACAAAGCGGCGGGAGGATTAGCTGTTCGAGAAGTTCCCTGTAAGGTGTGTTTCTGTTGATAGAGACAGTATTTCCTACGGCTGTAGACATGCTTGGTGTACACATCATTATGAATCCACCTGTTTTTAGATATACTTGATGAAACATACTATTTGATAGTTCGATGCTGCAAGAAAGTAAATACAACTATATACATATATCACATATTCAACTGTACAATTTCTGATTTATTCATCCAACACCTGGCAGAAGTACTCTACCAGATGATGCACTGTAGGGTACTTCCACACCAACGTTGGTCCAACACTCACCGTCAGCGCCTGCTGCAGGCTCATGCGGAAATTCACCGTCATGACAGAGTCCATGCCCATTTCCGGCAACGCCACTGTCTCGTCTACCTCATCTTCAGGGATAGATAATGTTGTGGACACACACTTTTTCATAACGACACGCAAATACTCCGCCAATTCTTTGCCACTCAATTTCTTACTCCGCTCTCCGTTCTCCCCCATTGCCTTCATCGACAGCTCTCTCTTTCCTCGGTGCAATATCCCTCAGGATCGCATGTGGCAGCGGCTCCCCAGATTCAAGTGGCCGAGCACGAAGTACGACACCATGGTCAGCACCCTCAGTGCCAGAGATAGAACTCCAAGCCAGGAAAGCTTCGTCAGGAGTCACATCCGTAATTCCGCGAGCATACAGTTCCGCCTCCAGGGCGCCATTGGAACTAGCCCCCATACCCATGCCACGCCAAGATGTCCAAAGGAGCGAGGTGGCATTATCCCCCTCCTTTCTGCGTGATCGCGCCAAAGCGTCCAAAAATGAATTCCCACTCGCGTACGACGCCTGACCTGGGAATCCTAGGAGCTGGCCGCAGGAAGAGAAGAGGACAAAGAAGTCTAGGCCAGGCGAGCTGGGAGGGAAGACGGTGTGCAGTGCCAAGGCACCTGCAATCTTTGGAGCAAGGACGGCTTCAAAGGCATCTGGAGTGATCCGCTCGATGAGTTGGTCATGGAGGATGCCAGCGGCGTGAACTACGCCGGCGACGGGTGGGAGGCTGAGTGTGGCGAGGGCCGAACGAAGGTTGGTCACCGCGGATGCGTGGGAAATGTCGATGGCTACTGGGTGGATAGTGGCACCAAGACGTTCAAGAGAGAGGATACTATCGATGATGAACTGAGTCCCAGGTTTATGCGAGGCCGTCCAGGTCGAGCGCGGCGGTAGGGAGCGACGAGAGAGCAGTAGGATGCGTCTGGCACCCTGCGTGACCATCCATTGGGCTACAGAGAGTCCGAGAGAGCCGAGTCCGCCGGTGATGAGATAAGTGGATGCCGGGGAAAATGTGAGAGTAGCGGGTCCAGCGGTTGAGTGGGGCGGAGCGGAGCGGAGAGGGCGGAGACGAGCCGTGCGCGGGACCCCATCCTCGATCTTGACGACATCAGCGTTACGCACGTAGCGCATTGCCATGAGCGGGAATACCGAGGGGTCTTCGAGGTCGATGAGACTACCCCAGATCTCGGGGTGTTCAGTGTGCAGGATCCGGCCGAGGCCTGTGAGGGCACTGTGCCCTGAGATTGGACTCAGAGGTGAGGGCAAAGAGGCGGGTGGTGGGCTTATCCGAGGAGGATAGGATAACCTGGGCTGCTGTCACGAGGTCATTGCAGCTGCGGGTCGCGGTGTCAAACATCCGATCGGCGACTTGAGGGAGGTAAACGACCGCCATAGACGAATGGGTTGTCAACGGCAAGTCGGAGGCACGCTCGTGGATAGAGGTGGAGATGCCTCTTCCCTCGAGCTGTCTCTGGTATGCTCCCACCTGAGTCTTGGCGGCATCCGCTGTCAGGAACGCGATGTGGGCGAATTCCAGCGGCTCCTCGGCCAGCGTGGCGGGCGGCCAGCTGATTTGGTGTACTAGGCCAGAGGTACTTTTGCGTGACAAAGACTCGCCCTCAACACCGGCAAATGCCATACCCTGGATCTCCATCAGCACCGTGCCCTCCTCGCTGCTAATGATCACGTCGGCTGCGTCGACAGAGGATTGCGCCTTGGTGCAGTGGATGTACACGACTTGCGGAGTGGCCACGTCAACGGCCACGACACGACGGACGGCCGTGGGCATACGGAGTCGGGGCTCAGAGTGCCAGAGGGTTGACGCGATGGAAGTCGCAGCGTCCATGACAGACGTCAAAAGATCGTCCATGCCGGGCAGGCTGTCTGGGTTGGCGTCTACCCTGGCCAGCATCTCGTTCTCGCTCGCCACATGGTGGGCTACCCGCCATGGGAATCCCATGGCAGACACGCCTACAGAGGCGAGGTAGTCAATCGAGAAACTATCTGACAGCTTCTGTGGCAGTCTTTTTCCGACCTCCGCTATGTCGACATGGCTAACGGAGGGTGTTGCATCAGCCCCCACGGTCGCCGTGGTATTGACAAGCCACGAGCTATCTTCATTGCTTGTCGACTCCTCCAGACGAGATGTGACAGTGATGTTACGCGTGTTATGCCGGATCTGGATCTCGCGGGCCGGAGACACAACAACAGGAACCTGGAGCGACACTTCCTCCACGCTCCTGGGAGATAGCGCACGCAGGAATGTGCGCAAGAGCACCGCAGCAGGCACAATCTCTGACCCATGCAGTGGGTGACGGCCGGGGAAAGGTCGGTTGTCTTCCTCAAGACGGGTTTGGTAAAGTACCTCGTCCGTTCCCCACAGGGCGGTCCGAGTACCGAGTAGGTCATTGGCGGCAGGCTTGTGGGTTGGCGCCAGTTGTGCAGCCGTCATCCCACTCACAGCGCGATAGAATGACTGGTGATGCCAAACGGTACCGGGTACTGATGAACTCCATGGCGCAGTCGGTTCGAGATCTGTGGATTTCACGGCGCAGCCGAAGCAATGCAGGCGGCCCACAGCGGCCAAGATGCTCTTTAGTGCTGGCTGCTTGCGCACCATAGTGGGTGTCGCGATAAAACGGTCCGTAGTCTGCTCGCTGATAGTCTCAGCAATCGAGTGCGTTATGATGGGATGACTCGCCACCTCCACAAATGCGCGGAATCCATCGTCCACAAGTGCCGCCACTGTTGACTGCAATAGGACCGGTTGGATCATATTCATCACCCAGTATTCCGCATCACGCAATACGTCTGACCGCGGATTTAATAGTGAAGTCGAATAGAGAGCCCGATGCGGCACTTGAGGATGGAGCTCGTTCTTCAGTGCTCCGCGGAGGGGACCAGCCAGCTTCTCCAGCAGTGGTGTATGGAAGGGCACGTCTGTGGCCACAGCACGCACCTCCACACCTTCTTCACGCCATTGCTCAGATAATCTCTGGACCGCGTCAACAGTGCCGGATACCACACACGCGGTCGGCGACGCCTCAATTGCGACGGACGCGCCGGGGTGCGTGGCAATACGGGCACGGGCCTCCGATGCCGACAGCCGAACCAGGGCCATGGCACCTTGTCCCATGAACTCGCGGTAAAGACGCGCTCGTCGACATACTACCAAGGCTGCTTCATGCCAGGTCAAAGCCCCAGAGACGACTGCCGCAGCGGCCTCGCCCAAGGAATGCCCTACGACAGCGGTTGGAGGACCGGACTCCGCCTCGAGCACGGCGGCAATGCCCAGATGCATGAGGAATGTCATCGCCTGGATAACATCGGTGCGATCTGGACAACCGGCGTGCAGGGTTTCAATCGCGGAGAATCCTAACTCGGCTTGAATGATTGGTTCCAGGTTTCGCACCACTTCTCCGAAGGCCGGGCTAGAATGGAATAATTCGCGACCCATGTCGGGCCACTGCGCACCATGGCCTGAAAACACCCAGACCGCGCCCTTCCCCGCCTCGGATCCGATTCGGTCACTGATCGCCCACCGACTTGGCACATCTTTGGCCAGATCATCGAGGGTAGCGATGGCGTTTGCGACGGAATCAGCGACAATGGCGTAGCGGAAGCGATGATGCATGCGGCGCTGCGATAGCGTGGAGGCGACTGTCGCCAGGGATACCGCTCCATCCATGTCGCGCAGCCACTGGCTTAGGCCAGCAGCTGTTGTGGAGATTCGGTTTGCTTGAGGCACGGACAAGAGAAGGAGGGTCGGCGCAGCATCACTGTCCGGGATTTGGGCCAGTCGCTCGGCAAACAAGGGTCGTCCTGCAAATGATTCGATGATCGCATGCGACACTGTGCCGCTGTATCCGTATGATGCTATAGCTGCCCGTAACGGTCGTGATAGGGCGCCACGGGGTAGCGTCACCAGCTCGCGGGCAGGGCGCAGTAAGTTCTCTTTCCATGCGATTTTGCTATTCAACGTCTGCAGATTCGCCTGTGGCGGCACCTCCCATGGCGAAGCACAAGTACCGCCTTGATGAGACCCATGACACCAGCACCAGCTTCCAGATGGCCGATGTTCGGTTTGATGGAACCAATATAGCACGGGTCAGATGGATGCCGTCCGGATCCCACACCGTATACCTCAGCTAGGGCATTCGTTTCTGTGGGATCGCCCAGCGATGTGGAGGTGGCATGGGCCTCGATATAATTGATGGAGTCAGACGTCACTTTTGCTTCTTTCAGCGCCTTTTGGGCAACGAGAAGCTGTGCCTGCGCATTGGGGGCCATGATTCCAAGTGTCTTGCCATCTGAGGCCACGGCACTGCCCTTGAGTACGGCGAGCACTTGGTCACCGTCCGCCAAGGCTTTATCCAGACGCTTTAAGATGACCACCCCCGCTCCTTCGCCTCGGCCGTACCCGCTAGCGGAGTCATCGAAGGAACGACACTTTCCATCCGAGGAGATAGCCCCAGCTTCGTCCAGCACCCGGGTCAACCCTGGTCCCAGGAGTGCGTTGACACCACCTGCGATAGCTAGATCAGTCTCGCCAGCACGGATAGCCTGACGGGCATGGTGTACAGCGACCAGGGATGATGCACAGGCCGCATCCAGTGCAACGCTAGGACCCATCAAATCGAGCAGATAGGATATGCGGCTGGGGATGCCGCAGTAGGCTGTGCCCACGCCCATATGGGCACCGACATCAGGAAGGTCTTCCAAGACCAGCTTGGCATAGTCATCGGAGTTGACACCCATATATACGGAAGTGTTTGAACCCGCAAGACGGGAAGGAGAGATGCCTGCATCCTCCAAGGCCTCCCAGGCAACCTCGAGGGCAATTCGCTGCTGGGGATCCATCTGCTCCGCCTCGCGTGGAGAGATGGCGAAGAACGCAGCATCGAACTGGTCGATGTCATTGAGGAAGTAGCCCTTGGCGGTGGTTTCAGCCAGTACGGCCGCATTACGAGGATGGCGCTGTCGATAGGGATCCCAACGCCAAGAGGGCATATCCCCTGAAGCGTCACCTTTCTCAAGGAGGAATTGCCACAGTGCGGAGGGGGAATTCACGTCTCCTGGCACGCGACATGCCATGCCGATTATAGCAACGTCGTCGTGGTTATCATTTCGGAGTAGGCCATCATGCATTTCAGCGTCTTCGGAGCTGGTTGCCGGAGTCGTTGTGCCTTTGCTATCGTCGGAGCCATTGGCAGGGGTGAGAACCTCTGTGCTGCTTGTTGAAGTAATCATTATGATGTGTAATGTAGACTCTATGACGAAGAATAATTAAACAAGTTTGAAGATTTTAATCTCTCACGCAGTGAATCTGAACAAATAGAACTCGCTCTCTATATATTAATATGTAGATTCTACGACCTCGCTATTTCGATACTTCTATACTTCGCTTGATACCAATAGAAGTCTATTTCAGTATCCCATCTAATTCACTGCGCCATTATCGGCCGGTCTGACGCTCTAGCGATATAGTATAGACTCGGATGGTCAGCGATCGGCCGAGATGAGATTTCTCTGCCCTAACGCGAGGCCTGACACGACTCGGCCCAACAAGACCGACCCCGAGAGCCCCGGCTGATACAGAGAGGTACACAATGAAATGTAATCTTGTCACGGGAACTCTTTTCATCTTAATCTATCTTCTATAAGGATCTTCCAATTTACTGCTTTGATCGAGGCACTCCGAATAGCATCATCAATATGACTGTCTCTATTACCCCCAAATCCCAGCGCAATGTGGCTCGCGGTGTATGGGAACTCGCCCGGTTACACACTCGTGAAGCCTGGCTATGCTGGTATCCCGCCATCTGGGGGGGCATGTGTGGCCGCGGGCATGCGAGATGTGTCCCTGGAACTCGCGCCATTCCTTCGTTTACTCTTCGGCATCTGGGCCAGCGTGACAGCTACACACTGTGCATTCTGTACATTCAAGTAAGTGTGGAAGATGAAGGAGTATGTATATCTCCTACTGAAAAGTGCATTAGCGATATCTGTGACCAAAAGCTCGACCAACACGTCGAGCGATGCAAAGTTCGCCCTCTACCATCTGGGATGATCAGCACCTCTGAGGCCGTCGTGGCTTTTATCTGCTGGTTGCCTGTCACACTCGCCATTACTTGGGGAACGCTCGGCCCGGCCGTCACGGCGGGCTTCATTCCTGTATGGGTGCTGAGCACCATCTACCCATTCATGAAGCGCATCATGCCATTCCCCCAAGTCGTTCTAGGGGCGATTATCGGTGGCGCAGTTTTCCCCGGATGGGTGGGAATTACTGGAGATCTCAAGGATCTGGATCAGGCACTCCCCCTGTTCTTCGCTACAGCCTCATGGGTTGTCTACTTTGATGTCTTCTATGCGACGCAGGATCGTCCAGATGACGAAAAAATTGGCGTCAAATCACTCGCTGTGCTTTTGGGGAAGAATGTCCAGATTCTACTGGCTGTGCTAGGGGCCCTACAGGTATTGCTCTTTGCTGTCACCGCGCTGCGGGCGGATATGTCGCTCATTTTCTGGGTGCTGGGACTCGGTGTCTGGATGGTGAATGTGCCGTGGCATATCCTGTCGTTGGATCTAAAGGATCGACACTCGGGAGGCCGGATTTTCAAGTCGAACATCAAGCTGGGCTTGTATCTGACGGGTGTCTCTTTGCTGGAACTGTTTGTGGTGCGGGTATACGATATTTCCCTGGCCAATATGAAGATGGAGCTGCATTAGAGGATGGAGCTCCAGACCAGAGAGTATACAATTGAGCCCCAGAGTGTGAAGTGCTAGTCACACTGGCCAGATCGGTATTCTGCGCTAAACCGCCTGATCTTGCTCTACCTGTATGTCCTCCGGCCGAGTATGATCGGTCTTGTTCTTGCTCGGCCGCGTGGATGCATCGTTTATACCTTATGACCTTATGATCAATATATATGTTACGAGTCATTCCCATTCATTCGTCTATAAAAATACACACAATTCTCCAGTAGTAGACTCATCTATCTACTCATCACCATGAACCGCATCGACGTGCACCACCACTTTATCCCCCCTGCCTATGTCAAGGGTATGTCGATATGAGCCCTGACTTCTCTCCAAAAAGATAACTAATTAAAAAGTAGCCTTCAACTCGACTCCTGGTGACCCCTCCGGCTGGCACCTCCCCAAATGGACCCCCGAATCGACCCTCTCCCTCATGGGCTCCCACTCCACCCGTACGGCCATTCTATCTCTAACTGCACCGGGCACGTCTATCTTGTCCAATTCCCCAGTGGAATCAGCCAACCTAGCCCGGCAAATCAACCTCTATGGGTTCCAACTTCACCAGGAAAACCCCACTCGGTTCGGTTTCTTCGCCAGTCTCCCACATCTCACACCTGAAACCATCCCCTCGGCCATCGAGGAACTCGCCCATGCTCTGGACACCCTCCAGGCGGACGGTATAACTCTCTATACTCGGTATAGCGGAACTGGATACCTCGGTCATGCGGCCTTTGCGCCGCTCTGGGAGGAACTCAACCGCCGCAAGGCAGTAGTCTTCATTCATCCGACAAACACGTCCTCGGACGCAAAGAACAAGCCGGAGATGGTCAATCCGAAACTGCCACAACCGATCATTGATTATCCACATGAGACATGTCGAACGGCGGTCGATCTGATCACCTCCGGGACGATCTCGAAGAACCCCGACGTGAAGATTATTCTGTCCCACGGAGGCGGTACACTACCTATTCTCGCTACTCGGGCGGCAAACCTTCTTTACGATGCGGGTCTGACCGATATCTCCCCAGAGATGTTCCTGGAGCAGGCCAGGAACTTTTATCTCGACCTCGCCCTTTCCGGGAACGGGGGGGAATTTGGAGTTACTGGTGGGCAAGAATGGGTTTGCAAAGCCAGGTCATGTGCTATATGGCAGTGACTTCCCGTATGCTCCCGTGGAGACAATTAACAAGTACGTTGGGATGATGGAGGAGTTCTTTGCCCAAGGAGGGGATAAAGAGGAGGAGGTCGCCCGGGGTGCAGCGGTGGAGTTATTCCCGCGATTTCGGATTGAGGATAACAAGGAGATGATGCCTCAGAATAGGCTATAGGCTATATGCGTATATACGTATGGATGTGGAGAGAAATGAATCACGATGCTATACGATAAAGGACCCATATGAGTTCGGGGCTAGGGCTAATTGGATCTCCAAGAGAAAGGCCGCGCAATCTCACACTTGCAGAGTCCTTCAATATCCCTTGCAAAGTACAATAAGCATTCTAGTGTATTATCTCGGTCAATACAGTCTCTTATTCGGACATCCGAGTATACTACGTCGGCCGACTTGATGTCCTATGGTGATCGTATTGTAATCCCAGAAGTATTTATTCTCGTATCCCTGCCATTTTATATATCTGTATAGTATTGAGTTCACGGACTTCTAGTCTTTATTTTATCTGAAATATCTCCATGGGTTAGATTGGAAGTGTTGAGCAACTATCATGGCACTCTTGTATATAACCACCGCAGCGCTGGCCCTGTTGTTACTCGTTCTCCGGGCTGTCTTCAAAAGTTGGAGAATACAGCGCAAACTACCCCCTGGTACTTACTCAATTCATCTCTCTATCCCAGTCCCAGAAAATAGCAAGCTAACGAATTCCAGGTCCACCTGGTCTGCCTGTCATTGGCAACATCCACCAGATCCCCGCAGTACGCGCTCATCAAAAGTTCGTTTCTCTTCCTGTACTTAATTAACTACACTCCCATCTAACATCAACAGATTCACCGAATGGGCCAAAGTATATGGCGGTCTCTACAGCTTCCGAATTGGCCCAGCGACCGCCGCCGTTATCACCGATCGGAGTCTGGTCAAGGAACTGCTCGACAAACGCAGCGCTCTATACAGCTCACGCCCAGTATCCTATGTGGGACAGAATCTCATAACCGGCGGCGACCATCTCCTCGTTATGGATAACAACGAAATGTGGCGGCTATTCCGCAAGACAGTGCACCAGCACTTCAAGGCGAGCATGTGTGAGAAGGAGCACGTCAAGCTCCTCGAAGCCGAGCACACGCAGATGATGCGCGATTTCCTCCTGTATCCAGAGAAACATATGCTGCACACGAAGCGCACCACGAACAGTATCATCATGAGTCTGTTGTACGGGATTCGTACCCGTCGTGGGATACACCACATATGCAAGAGCTCTACGAGATCATGGAGCAATGGTCGAAGGTCATGGAGACGGGCGCCACACCACCCGTCGATATCTTCCCGTGGCTGAAATGGATCCCACAGCGGTGGTTGGGCAACTGGGTTGATCGGTCGGTAGAGGTGGGCAGCGGCATGAAAGCATTGTATGGGTCCTTCCGGCGACGGGCGATCGAAGCACGACGACAGGCCGAGCAGAGTTCACAAAGCAGAGCTCGGACCTTCATTGATCACGTCCTGGACCTACAGGAGAAGGCAAACCTCACTGACAACCAAGTCGACTTCCTCGGTGGCGTAATGATGGAGGGTGGGTCCGATACCGGGTCCACGATGCTCCTGGTAATGATCCAGGCGCTGGTGCAGCATCCCGAAGTACAGGAGCGGGCGCGTGCCGAGCTCGACGCCGTCTGTGGCGAAGACCGATCCCCGACATGGGCAGATTTCAGCCGTTTGCCATACATCAACATGATCGTCAAAGAGACGATGCGCTGGCGACCGGTGACGCCACTATCGTTCCCGCACGCGCTCAACCAAGACGACTGGGTGAATGGGTATCTCCTACCGAAGGGGACGACCGTGTTTCTGAATGTGTGGGGCCTCCACCACGACGAAAGCGTACTCCCCAATCCCGAGCGGTTCGACCCGAGTCACTACGAAGGCCGACATAATCTGGCTTCAGACTACGCCGCCTCGCCGGACTACATGCAGCGGGATCACTTCATCTATGGGGCTGGACGACGACTGTGCCCGGGAATACATCTGTCGGAGCGCAGCATGTTCATCGGAGCAGCCAAGCTCCTATGGGGGTTCCAGTTCGAGCCCGAAATGAACGAGTCGGGCAGGCCGGTCGCAATCGACACCGACCCGATCACTGGGTACACCGAGGGATTCCTGGTGTGTCCGCGGGCGTACAAATGTAAAGTCTCCCCTCGGTCCGCTGCGAGGGCCGAGACGATTATGCGCGAGTTCGCCCAGGCCGAGTCCGAGGTCCTTTGTCAGTATGCGACGCCATAAGCTGCGAGGCCGAGAGGGCGTGTCCGAGGACGGTTGAGTCAAGGCCAACAATGGATTATTCGGCCGATGCTGGGATATATAATATACTTTGGCTCACGTCGACATGGAGCGTGGACCGTGTAAGCGATGGTGTGCATACTACATGTTTCCGAATGATGCAAATTCATGCGATGTGATTGGAAGCTGGGTGCGAGGAAATGGCCGTATCGGGATTGCGTATATGCACGTGTATGCAGGTGAGATCTCACTAAATGTCCGCAGAGGTCCGTGTTGGTGCAGTAGCGTAGTCCATAAAGGGAGAATGCTGGATCTTGCAATGTGGGCTCGTGAGCTGTCCCATAGAGTCACTAATATTTTGGAATCAGGTCAAATCGTGTAATTAGAGGAAGAAGCCGCTGGAGCCGTGTAAAAATGGCTTATACACTCTATACATTTATTTTTGCTTACGATAGGGACAACAAAAAGGTAGAGCATAGGAAATAGCCTGTTACCCTGGAAAATCGAGTCCGTCGGGCAGGCCACGGCGACCAAACGCGGCACCTTGTGAGCCTAACCCTGTGATTACAGCATGATCAGGCGTCATATTATCAGGACGTGCGAGGAAATTGTCGGATTCCAGAATCAATGACGAGGACCAGGCCTCAAGATCCGAAATCGTAGCAAGGAAGTCCATATCCAAGCCTGAGTCACTCCCAGCCACAAAGACGCTGTTCGGTGGGACTGGTTTGTTACCAGCAGCCACTGGAGGAGCACCGGTGGTTATGGGTGGCGTCTCACAATTGTGGTGGGTGCGAGTGGTAGGCGATACATCAGAAGAGGGCTGGTCGGACGTCGCGCGCAAGTCGGACGCCTTGGTAGCAAGGTGGGACATAGAAAAGCGGGCCTGACACTCGATTAGGTCTAGTGGCGGAGCCCTGTCTTCAGGTCCGAGAGACGAGTCGAGCCGCTCGTGAAGGTCAACGAGAACCTGAATGGCCAATGGCATTCGCATTTTGCCCCCATTGGAATCAGTATCGTCGGGGCTAGTCCTCGTCGAGGAAGGATCTGGAGCTTGATACTGGGCGACGCAGTGATGTATAACCTCATCAACACAATATCGGGCCAGCGTGGTCTCTCCAGAGTGCTGGAAGTAATGGAGGTAGATTAGGGTGATGAATACGCATTGGAGAGGTCCATAGTGGCTGCAGCAGAACCACGCGTATGGGGAGAAGGCAGGAGCTTGATACAGCTGCAGGTAGATACGCAGGTAATTCACACAGAGCTGCGCCATACTGGATGGTCAAATCGCGTGTTAATAAGTCTTTCATGGCAGTATGACGGTGGTGGATCAATGTAAATGGATAATTATTTAAGCTAGGCAGGATTCGCTGTGCGGAGAGGGATGCAGCGGGAGATGCGCCATAGCATGCGGGATAGGGATGTAATGTAGAGAATGATCCATACCTGGTCCATGACTTGCGCGATTGCGGGTTCGCACTATCCGGCGGTGGAAGAAATGGTTTCTGCAATAAAATAGCCATTTCTGATTTCAGCAATGTTAGCATGATTCGCGTCCATGCTGCAAAGACGGTTGGCTGGCTTGAATCGTCCTTGTACAACAAGGGTTGGGTGGACGGAGACGCATTCGCCAGGCGGGATGGGATGTATCCCATTTCGGGGATTCCCTGCGTTGGAACGCGTGCGATAAGCGAGTCAATCTTCTGCAGAAGCTCCTTGGCATCTGTGATCAGCTTGCCAAATCCATCCTGGCTTGGACCATGCGCACTCTGCAGGTGCGCCACGATCCTCGCCTGTAAGCGAGCAGTCTGGAAGCGTCCGATAGCATATAGCATGGCTACCGACTGTCCGTTAGTCACCAACTCGTTGGGTGGGGAAAGTCCAGCGGGGATATCGCTCGGCTCTACATGGTCAGTGTTAACCATGCGCACCGCGTCCAATGCCTCGTTCCCGCAACAGGGGGTTAGCCCCGTGGAGATGCTCGACTGCACATCAAGCCAAATAATGTGCCACCAGACCCGGCGCCGGATTTCTCGATCAACGGAACTCAGCGCAGACCCTGCTCCCTCCCGATGCAACCCCATAGTCTGGGCAATGCGCACCGTGGTGCTCACGTTAACCAGGCTACGCATGGGCTCGAAGGGCCGATCCAGAAACGGTCCTGTCAGCAAATTCGAAACCAGCGTATTTAACGTTGGATGTTCCTGATGTTGACATAGAGAAAGACTCGTTGTATATGCCGACTTGAGATGGCTCACTGTCGTCTCCTTCTGTAGACCCTGCAGGTTGGTGTTCACCCAGCTGGCTGCCGGCGCGGCAGATGCGCCACAGTATAAGACTGCAAAGAGCAGGCAGATCAAGGTCGGGTCATCGCGGAGTTTATCCGAGGGTAAAGCATTCTCGCTATTCCGACACCATTCCCAAAACTCGTCGTAGTCTGCCTGCAGGGAAGGCGGGTGTAGGAGAGGAACAAGTGGCCATACGGCAAGGAAAAAAGTCTCTAGCAGGGTATCACTAACGGGCTTGGTGGGCAGCGACCGCAGGAGATTGAACATCCCCATCGAGGAAATATGTGGAAGGGGGAGATCGGGGTGGGCATGACGGTTTTCGTCGAAGAAATCATCGCTCAGGCTTTCCTACAGGATGATCAATCGAGGTCAGTCATGGTCCTGCTGAGCGACAGATCCCGTCGCAGGTTGCATTTCTTTCTTTCTTTCTTTTTCTTTCTTGGCTTTTTCCTTTTCCACGAGCCAGACTCACCTTTCCGGCGACGAACCCCCAGAAAGTCTGACCAACGTATCGCACGCGACCACCTCGTCGTATACTCAAATAATCGCGGCACGGAGGGTCACTCGGGGTCGGGAATAATCTTGTTGATGGCGCAGGGGAGGGATCGCGGGTAGTTGTCGAGCTACCATTAATTGGAGGAGCATTCGCATCGCGATAACTTGGGAGTTGTATAGCCTCTTCCCATGAAGGGACTGTTGGGTATGGCTCTTGTCGTTGCGGCGATGGACTGGCATTGGCGGATACTTGAGGACGAGAAGGAGGTCTGGACGGCTTATCGGGATATGGAGCATTGGTGTCTCGACCCCAATGCGGCCAGGGGAGGTCTTGGCGGGCATCCGATGTAGAGTCTCTGGAGTCTTTGTCTTGCGGTGATACTGGTCGTACACGGCCGGTGGATTCGTCACGGACCATAGCCCTGTAGACACAATTCTCTTTCATGCGCACACAGTTGGCGCATTCTGGCTGCTCGCGACCGCAGCGAACCTTGCGTCGTCGGCAGACGATGCAACTGAGCGATAGCCGGGGTTTCTTGATTTGGCGGGGCTCGGATAAAGGCATGTTTCAGAAAGGGAGTAGACGAATGCTCGACTCCTCCTCTGAGGGGAGGTGGGTTTTTATTGTAATCATATTGGGAGTTTCGTATGCAGAGAAGAGGACAAGTGCAGTTGGGAGGACGTTTAGCCCCCAATTACCTCCAGCGCTAGATAACCCGTCTGACCAATCATTTCACCATTCCACCAGACCTGAATGATATTTGACAAGTTGATGTTGAAGGAATAAAAAATAAAAATAATTTAATTTAAATGGATTCACACTCTCTGGAATACATGTAGGTAGGAAAGGTTCGGGGCCATGTCATCTTCGTGTTATAGCTCATCATAGTACATCCGTAGTGCTTACGGAGTATACTTCAAAACATACTAGTATAAGCCCCGTATTGTGAAAGATCCAGGTTCAGCTGTTTCTAAGGCCAGCACCGAGAGATCTGTGAGATTTATGGCTGGATATTGGAGATTAAAAGCCTGAAACTGCTAAGGGAGGAGAGAATACGGAGTATATCTGGATCTCTTGGCCTTCAACTGCTGTATTGTTCACACCATGAAACGGATGGTCGCGTCTGGATAGGTTGGGGCCGTATTAAATTAATATTAAATTAGTACAAACAATCGCGTATGATGCAATATGATGGATTCCTCATTTCTACGGAGTAATACGAGGGACTTTTGCTGACCAGGTCTCATTTCCAGCCCTTCGTTCTCTTAAATTCGCGAGGCTTCAGCCATTGAACTATAAAAATAGACTGGTCCGCGGAAATTCAGGTCAAGGTCTTGACTGAATCTCCCAGAAGGGTAAACAAAAAGACGGACCCTCACGAATACCTTCAAGTTAGCCATTATCTAGGTCTAAAACAACTTACAGGATAAGATGCAAAACCACGATCGGACTTCATTCTAGGCCTCTCGGGGTGAGATACCAGATAAGCATTGCCATGAGAACCTTGGAAGAGCTGAACGTGGGACCGGTTATAACGGCTTCCAAAAGCGAATACCGAAGAAAGCCTGCAAAATGGCCGAGGTGGCTAGCCAATCCGCGGGCTGATGAAGAACAATAGTGTCTGATTGAGTTTTGTACGGCCTCTTAAGGCTACATTACCCTGTGTATCAGGGCTGTAATCTTGGCCTAGAAGCTTGATCGAGAGTCTTCAATGTGGTGGGGGGGTCCACGGGTCTGTGGACGGCTTAGCTCAGACTCGGAGATACTCGGTTCATGTAACTAATTCCGTCGACAATCGACATCTGGCGGATCAGTAAAAGTCCCATCTCCAGAAGACGCTTGGCCACTTATAGTTCGGTTGGTTAGTGTTGGCTTCCTGGGCACGGGCAGATGGCCGATAGGTCCTTTTCCAATATTGAAGGCATCTTAGCATACCCCTGCATGTCTCACATTCCTTGTCAGCTCCTCATGAGCAATATCACCATATTATACTGTTCAAGGCCCTTCTTCTGTGTTCAATGCATTCAATTCAATCGATGGCAATTTGTGATTTCGGCGATCCGTGGAAAGACACGGCCCGAGCCGTGTACCTTCGCCCCGCATTCGATTCAACTGAATCGTAGGTATCTTGATCTTTATGCCTTTGCGACATCAATATTCAGACAGAGAGTTGGACATCTGCGGAAACCAGACACACCTCACGTTTCTGTCAACATCGCGACTAGTCTACACAATGAGGCAGAGACGCTTATAACTTCCGGGACCCTACAGTGGCCCACCGCCGATCACAGAGGTCCCAAGACCCGAGATACAGCGCTGGAGGCTGTTGAAATGCTCCACCGTACCCAACCTCAGCCTTGCAAGTGACTTGATTAGTCTAAGAGCGCCCTTAAACTTCATATGATATCTACTACGCTTACAACGTGGGAATTTTGTCAAGAAATCAAAGGATCAACAGCAGAACTTGGGTGATAGTCTTCTGACTTTTCGCCACTAATTTGGAGTTAGTTCACCCCGGGGCCCTTATGCCCCGGCAGCCTCATCCAATACATATTTATATCCTTGGATATGTCGCCATCCAATTCGAATATTTGCAATAACCAGTCTAGAAAATGGCCTCGCAATCGAAGCTCCCCCAGTTGACTTCCTCCAAGCTTTTCGTCACCGAAGGCGGAATCGAAACAACTCTCATCTACAGAAAGAATTTCAATCTCCCTAGCTTCTCTACTCTCCCACTTCTCAATACGGAAGAAGGTAGAAAGACTATCTCGTCCATCTACCAAGAATATGTGAATATTGCCCTCGCCCACTCAACCGGCGTCGTCCTCGAAACTCGAACGTGGCGCGGCTCTCCTTTATGGTCTTCCGAAATCGGCCTCTCCGTCCCAAGGATTCTCGATCTCAACCGCACAGCAGTCAAAATCCTCCATGACATTCGGAACAAGACTCAATCCACTTCTATCGTCATTAGCGGGGCCCTTGGACCTCTTCAAGATGCCTACCAGGATTCCACGGGCACGGTCTCCTTCGGTCAGGCACGGGAATATTATGGCCCCCAGATTCATGCTTTCGCTGAAGAAGGCGTAGACATGTTATGTATCATGACTGTAACAAATCTCGATGAAGCCACTGCGGCAGTCAGTCTAGCGCATGAGTATAATCTCCCTATTCACGTCTCGTTTAGCGTCGAGACAGACGGACGGCTACGAGGAGGAAGAACCCTCGAGGATGCGATTCGAGAAGTCGACCGTCTAACGGAGAATTACACAACGTACTTTGGGGTGAATTGTGCCCATCCACGTTACATTATAAAAGCAGTACGGGGTATGCATACGGATGTGAGGTCGAGGATCGGGTCGATTAGAGGGAATTCAAGTCTTAAGAGTCACGATGAGCTTGATAACTCCCTGGTGCTAGATCGGGGCGATATTTCGGTGTGGGTTCGAGAGTTCAATGAGCTTTTGAATATGTTGCCGGGACTCAAAGTGGTAGGGGGTTGCTGTGGCACGGATGAAGAGCATATTGATGCTATTGCCAGCAGGATTGATTCTGTTAGTTAAACATCCGCGTACACACTTCATCATTGTGCTTCTGTATTTATTTCGGTATTTATTTCTGTTCATATTTTGTCAAATCTTGGGAACTTGATGCGCATGACCCCTGCTTATAGCTTCTTCAAGTCAAGAATAAGTCACTAGTAGATGATGTTTCATCAGCAATACCGTCCAGGTTTAGTCCTCTATGTCCCATGGGCTTTACTAGGCAACATTTCCACTGGCATGTATTTCTTTGCTATATGATTGACCTCTGATTACCAATCCCTACCCCTTACGAGTATATATTCCCCCCAGAAAGGAAGAATTGTAAATGAAAGACACAGAAAGGGAGACGACTATGAAACAATCCAATCGACCCGATATGGTAAACCTGACGGCACAAGAGCGACCGGGCGTTCACCATCTGTCTAGGGGATATTTTCGAGGAGCTTGCAGCAACTATTCAAATGGATGATATTGGGCTATGCCGTCAGACTTGCACTCTCTATATCTATCACATCTTCAAAGTGGAAGTCTATCCTAGCATGAGAGAATACCGACTATACCTAAATGTCTCTTCTGACGACCCGATTATGACCGAACTTCTTATGAATCCACTCGAAGTCGTTTCTCCTCGGTGCACGATATTGCGGTTTATTTAATCCCACAACGTGAAAGGGGCGTTGTCATTCATGTGTCTAGCGCCCCAGCCACCTGCGTCTTGCCATCCTTTAGGCTCGTTGAGCGTGTGGGGTGACTAGACTGATATGCTGGGTTACTCATCTCGCACGAAGAGGGCTTGTTAGGGAGTCGGTGTATACATATCTACCAATGAAGAACTTTCCTGGGTGCGTGAACCTGAGGTGATGAGCGGATGGGCATGATAGAAAATCCGTTTTGAAGAGAAGAGCAAATTAAAAGGAGTTGACATGAGATGATCAGATGAGATTCCCAGTTAGGATCCCAGGGATGCAGTCTACCAGGAGGAAGCAGTCCAGATCCCAGTGTTGAGGAGTACGCAATTGAACTTACCTCCTCGTTAAAGATTGAGCTGACGGGCGATGCCCTCCTAACCAGATTCCGGATTTGCAAATCGTCTCAGATCCGTTGTTCAGACATATCTCTCCACTATGTGGGAAGTAGAACCGGAGGCGATTGTACGGCTTCTGAGCACACTCGTATGAATCCCGAGATTCGCGTTGACGATGAAGTGAAAGAGTTGATCTTGACTTGGCCAATCCATCAGTTCGCCTTGTCATCAAAGGGATTCTTTTGTTCTTCTCGCAGACTTGGTCAGCTTTGTGCACTTCAAGCACAGCTTTGTGATAGCAATCATAATCATTTTCTCTCAAAGTGTAAAATCTTTCAAGCAGAGTAGGCAGAGTAGAGTTGGAGAATACATTTGAAAACCTAAGCAAACGGCTATATATGGTCAAAGTGATGGCAAAGTGAGAGAATACTAAATGCGGAGCGATAAGAAGCTCAGTGAGATATATTTGAAGCAGAAAGGGAGCAAGACTAGAGTACTAGCCGAAATATACGTCTTTCGTTGTTGTAGTAAGGGTCGATTACATCCTTCTAGATGGCCTAAGGGCAGTAGACATACTGCAACCTCAGGATTTATATGCCGATACATCGTTATAGAGGCGTTTTATGGGCAAGTACAGAAAAGGGAGCCTACTTCCCCGGGGGTGGCTAAACTAAAGCGTTACAAATCAGAGTTAGATGGTGATATGGCTTCTCATTTCAAGTGAAGGCTTGTGACCATGCTCTCACACAAAGCTGAAGCGAAGATATATCTTAACGGCGCCGGCGCGGGGCCTTCACTTTGTCCAGCTTGGCCAGAATTCCCGCCGCACCTGCAGCCCCATATCCACCCTCCCTCCAGCAGGTCTCGATGATATCCCGGGCCCAGAGTCGCTTGCTCAGGGCAGGGAGCATATCCCGGGAGGGAAAGCTGGCGACGGAGTTGTCACTGCCACTGTTGTCATATAGACTGATGCCTGTGGTTCTCCCAGTCGCAATCTCGTAGAGCACAAGGCCCAGCTGGCAAAGATCTGTCCAGATGGAGCAGTTGTAGTCATCCACCGCGTCCGCCATGACAGTGTCGATGGGCATGACACTCGATGCACCGAGGTCACAAATTGTGACGTTCAACGAACCATTTATCAGAATGTTGCGACTAAGGAGATCACTGTGGATGACGCGACGTTGATGAAGGTTGTGGAGACCGACGGCAAGCTGGCGAAACCACCGCTTCTGGAGCTGGATGCTGGGTCGCGCGCGGTGTTCCAGCCACTTTAGAAGCGTACCCCCGGACATGTATCTCATCTCGATGGTGTCTCCGCGAAGGCCAAGGCATTGGATGATTCCTTGCACTGGGGTATTAAAGTCAGGCTGAATGCGCCGCCAGACTTCTTGCTCTCGTCGGATCTTGCTGCGGTTCTCTTCCGCTTGCTCCAAGGTGTAATGCCTGTACACAATTGCCATTTTGATTGCCATATCTTCCCGGCGGACCACAAGGGCTGCATCGCCACTCGCAATAATTGCATGAAGCTGGATGTAATAACCGTCATCGTCGATGGGCAAATATGCAGCGTCCATGTTGGGTAGAGGAATAAGTAAGTGCGGTTGAATGCGGTTGATTAACCTTGTCAACAGGAATGCATATCCTGAGAAACAGTTCTTCTTTTGCTGGGGAGGCGCAAGCTGGCACATGCAGTGGTTAGCTTGAATAGACCGGTCGGAGGGAGATCCATACCTGAAGAGATGGTGTGTTTGTGTTCGAGAAGACGGGCACAGTTCGGAGACTGGCTCTTGCACGGTTGTGGACTATGCTCACTGAAAAGATTAGAAGGATTGATTAGATTGGATTCATGAGTTACCAGAGATACTTGAAGGAAATGTATGTGATAGGAAGTCTGGAGACCCCGGAAGGATGTTTGATTGCAGCTGGAAACAAGCGTCTTTATGAGGTTTTGAGGGGATAGTGACAAAGAAAGAGAGGTGAATGAAAGCGAGATGGATGAAAGGAAGATCAACGAGAGTGAGATGGATGCCTTCAACAAGATGAAGTTGAAGTCCTTTTCCCTTCAACACCGCCTGGAACATCCATGTCCTCCTTTTTCCCCTTGGGATCAAATGTTCAACACTGAATACCTTCACTTCTGAACCATAGTTGAAGATCAGTTGATAAATCATGCTTCAACTCGACATTGGACTTTGGTCGAACATGATGTCGTTCTCCTCTGGCAACATACCGGAGTGTACATAATGCACAGGAGAAAGGTGCTGGGCCGTCATAACACAAAGTCTCAAAACGGAACGGCATGTAAATAGTCATAGATCTGATTTGGGAGACTTTCGCAGTATCATAATATTCCAATGTGCTTTTGTGACACGACTCTCGAAGCAATAGATGGTGTGAAATTGCCGGAAATCATTGCAATGCGTAAAGTCGCCAAGTGATCAACAGTATTCAGTGCTCATTTGGTCTAGAAACTCAGTTAGTGAAAAGGTAATACATAGTTCGTTTAGCATGGGGAGTGCCTAGCTACAACCTGTAACCAGTATCTATACCCAGTAGATGTATGCCCTTGGTGGACAGTGTGACCAGGACTGCATCGAGAATGTTAGGGACGACATAAGAGAGCTTGATCTCGGCGACTGATTCAAAAAATGGTGAGATAGGAAGAAAAACTAATTTGGAGAAATGGACAGTTCAAAACAAATTGGTAAGCGATGACATCGTCGCTATGACACCGCGATGAATGAGGACCCTGGCGGCAAACTGACACTTATAAAACACTGTAAGAATATGCATGTACAAAAACATTGATTTGGTCTTCTAATTTCTTGCTAAATTCAACTGCTTCTAACATCGCCCAAAAACGCCCACACATATTCATCACTCATTCATAATTGTCCGACTTACTGCTCATTCGTGAGAACATAGCGGTACCGGGCATCACCCTTATCCATATCCACGATGGCCTGATTGGCATCTTTCATTGGGCGCTCCTGGATCCAAGGCTTGACGCCCTTGGCAGCAGCCAGCTCCAACATCTCCCGGATCTCATCGGGGCTACCGATCAAGGAGCCACCAAGCTTGAGACCCTTGATGATGAGCACGAACGCCGGGATCTCGAGAGCACCATCCTCGGGGGCACCGAGCTGAATGAAGGTACCGTGAACACGCAGAAGGCCACAGTACTGGACAATAGGCATCTTGGACGAAGAGGCAGTGGAGATGATCAAGTCGAGAGAGCTAGCGTGACGGGTAGCCCAGTCCTCGTCCTCACCGGTAGCGATGAAGTCATCCGCACCAAGCTTGAGTGCATCCTCCTTCTTATCAGACTTGCGGGAGATAGCGACAACGCGGTCCGCACCGAGCGCCTTGGCGAACAAAATAGCAAAGTGACCCAGACCACCGACGCCAACAACACCGACAGTCTTTCCGGGGCCACAGCCATTCCGCTTGAGAGGCGAGTAGGTAGTAATACCACCGCAGAGCATAGGCGCGGCATCGGCAGAGGAGATAGCATCCGGGATCTTAATCACGAAGTGCGAAGGTGAGCGGTTGTATGTGGAGTAACCACCGTACGACTTGCCCCCGTTGGCATAGGTACCGTTGTATGTGCCGACCATCTTACTGCAGTGTTGTTCCAGACCAGACGCGCAGGATTCACAGTCGCCATCCTTGTTCTGACACGAGCCGCTCTGCGCGCCGACACCGACACGATCACCGACCTTGATATCTCCCTTAACCTCGGTGCCGACGCGGACAGCTATTCCGACAACCTCGTGGCCGACGCAGCAAGGGTAGTTGGTGGGGCCCTGTGGAAGATCGGTATTAGCAACGTGATTCAATGCCGAACATGTTCAAGGGGGATGCGCCATACCCATCCACTGCGCAGGGTGTGCAAATCCGAGCCACAGATACCACAGTGAGTGACCTTGATATCGACATCGGTCTCCTCCCATGGCTTAGGCTCGAATTCCTGCCAGACCATCTTGCCCTGGGCGGCCTCGGGGCCGAGGCCTACCCATCCTTCGAACTTGTAATCGGTGGAAGACATAATAAAGATGTATAAAATGGTATTATTTTGGGATTCAATAGATTGAACTGATATGATCGACGAGCCATTCCTGCAGGGTCCTCCATTCCTTTAAACCACCCACGCGGAGAGATCGAGCTCCGTCTCGGAGGGTTCTTCAAATCTTTGTGGCGACGTGATCATCGTGAAGAAAAGGCCCACTTGTCCCGTGGAGTGGACTGTCATCAAGTGGGTTGTCATCACGGCCTTAATTGTTATGTCCGGCGAAGAGATTTCATCTGGAGGCGAATATATTTGCAAACCACCAGCAAAATCGGTGATAAAGGGGTAAGCAGCGGTGATATCAGATACTGTTTTCAAGAAATAACTATGACTTTGATATTTACTTACCCTGGCTTAAGACGATTAGTGCTTACTTCGGATCGGAGTTAAAGAAATGCCAAGCCCGTGGTTTATGTCGGCGAAGGGAAGTTTATTGGAAAATTATGAAAATGGTTTTGATTGGACAACAACTAACTCTGGTGGGGAATCTTCAGAGCTCTTCATCCTGAGGTCTGTTCATGATTATTCATCAATTTTATCAACATTGGCTGAGCCTAGCAAAACCCAACTTTGTAACAAAACAAACTCTTAGCGTTCACAAAGTTGCTAAATAATTAACATATATCTTACTATCTTTCTCTATATTAGATCGAACCTATATGAACTAACGTATTTGGTATCAAGTTTATATGACTAAACGAAATAAACGCTTATATTATTTTATATTAGCTACCTAGATGTTAGTTATTACTAATAAAAATTAAAGATAATATAGTTCTAGTTGTGACGATCCGTAGGATAGGAAGAGTTTTCTACTAGGATATTCCCGCCTTATATTAGTTTGTATTGTTTATTACTTACGACGAGACCACATAAAGGACTCCCATCTTAGAGGATTCTTCTCTTATTTTTCCTTTCCCCTCCTATACTTGGTATTTTCGTCAAAATATACTCTTTCTATTAAAGATCTGGCTAGTAATATAACACTAAGTACCACTCTTATTTCTATTAATAGTATATCTGTATAGACTATTATTATAACTAGTCTCGGTCCTATTGTATCCCTACTTTCATTTCTTAGTATCATATAGTTCAGACCTTAATTGTTGGACAGTCACGTGACTAGCATGTGGTCTGTCACGTGACAGCCCGGACTAGGACTTCCAGTCAGCTTAGATAGCTACCTCTCTTTTCTTCTTTCCCACTATGAGGGTCCAATACATACAGTTTCTGTATCATTCTTATTCCTGCACAGCTTTCTGTTTCGCTGACAACACTGCCGTACACACTGCACATGGTATGATAACCACATGAATATACGTTTCCGCCAAGTAAGAGGGAACTGTGACAAAACCTGTGCCTTGGAACTGGGCTTGCTACTCTGAACCTCTTAACAATGCCATTCCGAACTTAGGATTATTCTTAGATCCGACTTCCTTCTTCCTCCAACAGAAGACGGATACAAGTCTAGCTATCCGCTTGGAATGCGACAATTCCTGCTTATCACATGTGTGAAGAGATCGCTGGAGCCATGTTCAGCGATAACGCGACATGTTGCGAAGACGCCATACGAGATCATGAGGCGCAAGGGGCGAGAGAATGAGGTGGGGTAATACGGATGAGATATTATCCACCAGCGATGACGATGTAATTTGGACCGATATCTGTTCATATAATGCGTCATCTCTGAACCATAATGAGCGTTTTGGACTTCATTATGCCTGCCTCAAAATATTCACACTTGATATGCCTCCAGTATTTCTTTTCAGATATGTATCTGACAGAGCAGATCAAGGGGTTTTCTGTGTTCGTTCCTTCCCCCACAGATGACATCACCGCATGGCAGTATCAAGTATATTGGCGTTTACTTTTATGGGTGCCATATGATAAATCTGTACGAGCCGGTCTCCATGGATATATGTATGTGATAGCCGGTTCCTTCATTCGCGCAAGGTAAAAACTGTATTGGATACAGCATGTGCGGTGCGGTTTCCCTTTCCTTCCTCCGGTTCCTAATTTCAGATATGTCGCATTGGAACGCTGAAAAATCTAAAGGAGGCGATATGTCCCTTGGTTGCAGTTCATTGGGGTGTTAAGACTTCGGGAGACTAATGATGAGCGCCACTAATCTTGGAATATAGAGCAAGTTTCAGCACAGCCGAACTTTAATATTGAACTGTGTAAGGACAAAAGTATATATGTGGCCAATCAAGTCTTTCGGAAGGACTAAGGTTTTTCCCCGTAAAAGGCTGTTCGAAACCATGGTTGCATCAACAGTCTAGCCCAGCTATCGGAACGCCACCAAGTTGTTCATCTGATGGCTTGACTACGGAGTACTCCGTAGCCAATTCCCGCCTGGGCAGATTTCGACTTGAAAAGATGTGTGGCTTGCACAATCCAAGGATGTCGACCTGAAATCTTGTTGCATTTGCTCTGGGCGTGAGGAAAAGCTTTAAATGAATATCACAATACGTTCGCTTCAAAATGTTTCCAAACCGTAGTCTCTTACCTCATATCTTTCAGCGCTCCGATAACGGGTGCACGGAACGGTCATAACGCAGGCACCGAAAGAGAGTGGCCTTGAATCTACCACAGGCTTGCCCAGCTCCTCTGAGGTGCCCCCCATCGCACAACCTATATATTGCAAATATGGCTCAAGGAGAAGATACCATCAGCGAATCGGCCTCCTTCCCGTCATTTTCACACATGGAGCAAGGCAGACTGAGTAGTCCCACCTTCATCCGAACTGATACAGCCGTCCTCATTGGCGAGCTCCCGATGATATTGCCTGAATTGAGACCACTCGCCTCTCCAGCTAGGGCAGCCACTCAGGCAGAGCAGAAACTGACCTTTATTGGCGGGTGTCGCATGTACCCTAAGGCCATCGCCTGGTCGTGTGTTCTATCCTCCACCCTGATCATGGAAGGATTTGATACCCTTCTTATCTTTAACTTCTTTGCTTTCCCAGCGTTTAAGCAAAAATACGGAACTCCGACTCCTGGCTTCGGGTATCAAATCTCTTCAACGTGGCAGTTCGCTTTATCGACTGCTGCACAGGCCGGGGAGATAGTCGGGCTCCTTGCGAATGGCTACGTCGCTGATCAGATCGGGTATCACTGGACCACCGTCTCTGCATTGACCTTCCTCATGTTGAGCATTCCTTTATCATTTTTCGCGCTGAACATTCGGATGTTATTGGCAGCCCAAATCGTGTGTGGGATCCCATGGGGCGTTTTTCAGACTTTATCAACCACATACGCAGCTGAAGTGATGCCTGTAAAGCTGCGTGCATACCTACTCAGCAATGTCAACCTGTGCTGGGTCTTGGGCCAGCTTTTAGCGACAGGGATATTGAGGGAATTTGTTGACCAGACTTCTGAATGGTCGTATCGGATACCCTTTGCACTTCAATGGGTGATTTGTTTCCCCATTTTGATCGCGGTCATATTCGCCCCAGAATCTCCCTGGTGGCTTATCCGTCACAGGCCACAGCGTGAGGCCCAAAGGTCGTTGGAGAGGTTAACCAAAAAACACGAAATCAATATCGACCAGACAATCGCTATGATGAAGCATACCAACGAGATTGAGAAGTGCTTGAAAGGAGACGATGGGGGCACATCATACTTAGATGCCTTCAAGGGGGTCGATCGCCGACGGACCGAGATCACCTGCATGGTTTGGATCACACAGCAGGTATGCGGGACAAGCTTGATGGGTTGGGCCTCGACATTCTATCAGCAGGCTGGGTTCAGTGCCGCCAATGCATTTAACCTCTCGCTTGGTATTTACGGGATAGCCATAATTGGCGCTGTGATCTCCTGGTCGCTCCTGTCGTGTTGCGGGCGTCGTAGGCTGTATCTCTGCGGTCTATCAGCTCTACTGGCCACGCTATTGATTGGAGGCATTGTCGGAGCTCTCCCAGCATCCCGTGGCCAATTATGGACTCTCGGCTCCCTGCTGTTGATTCTGACGTTTGTATACGACATGACCATCGGACCTGTGTGCTATGTTCTGGTCGCAGAAATCCCGTCCACTCGACTTCGCGTGAAAACTGTTGTCATGGCTCGGATAGCCTACAACCTAGCCGGAATTCTTATTAATTGGATCACACCTCGTATGCTAAGCCCCACAGCGTGGAACTGGAAGGGAAAGTCCTGTTTCTTCTTCGCTGGCACGACAATGCTATGCCTTATCTGGTGTTACTGGAGGCTGCCAGAGACATTTGGCTTGAGCTACCTGGAGATTGATATTTTGTTCGAAAAGAAAGCGAAGGCCAGCAAGTTCCGCGAGTTTCGGGCCCAGCTCGAACGTTCGGGATATTTTAACATTGAGAACTCGACGGAGGAGATGAGCACCTGGCGGGGATATTAATATTTACAACTTTTTGTATGAATCCCAACGATTCTGAAGGGCACGGGATTATTTACAGTACTCTGCAAGCGCTTTGTGATGGTCGAGAATATCGATTGGGCTTTGAACGTGACGCAGGCCATCCAAGGCTTCGAGCGATGATATCGATGATATCAAGAGGTGTTCGCGCCCAACGAAGATCTATTATTACACCATCCGGCCGAAAGTGCCTCTTTACTATCGGTAATCAGGTTGCAGGCACATTGAGGTAAAATAGCATGTATTTGGTGTCAATAAAATCGATCTGGCGAGGTTGTGCGTCATATTGAGCTTGGGACTACCTATAGGTACAGAAGGAGATTAATAGTAGTGAGTATAGGTAAATAGTACTTACGAGCGTGCTATAGACCCGTCGCCACCAAAAACTTATCGATATAGGTGCGTTAATATCAGAAAATGACATTTTTGCTATAATAAAGGCTGCTCACGAGTAACCTACTAGGTCCCCTATTTCTTTAATAGAGAAATGAAATCAACTACTAATTTACACTGGGCGATACAGGGAGCCGAATAAACTCTGCGCGAATGGCTTGGGGCGCAGAACATGCGCAAGAAGTACCCGTGGACTGGCTTCCCGTCGAATGACTAAATGCCAACTAAACAACCTTCCGAGGTTGCAAGGGTGGCGGTGTCAGCAATAACGTCTTCGTTCTCACGTGTAATCCCCTCACCATCCAGGCTAGCAGAGTCATCCTCTCCATGGTCTAGGTTGCCCTCCAGTAGACGGGTGCCGTTTGCGGATAATAAGCTGGGGCCGGTTGCCGGGAAGATCCGTAGGGAGTGAACTAAACTTCATTTCATCCTTGGCATAGAAATGAACTATATTTGTTGTACAAGTAGACGATCTGAGTGCCTAGATGCCAGCGACCAAAGACTTTTTTCAGCTCTTAACGCAGTCTATTTTTATACCAAATATCAGGCTTTTCTGGTACGCTTAAAGAACTTGGCAGCACCTATAGTATTCAAGTTGGTATAACGTCTTGATGATGTGGGGTCCATGGTTGCAAGCCTGTTTGAATGGCATTGTAATGCTACAACATACACGGTTCCAATAAAGTATCAGTAGTCCCGCCTACTAGTCTCTAGTTACCAAGCCTTGGAATATTATGATAAACCTAAAACTTTCCGATTTGACACGGATGCCAGTAGGCGGCATAGATCTCCGACCATTGATAACAGAATTAACGATCCTCAATATCTGTTTACTCATGGGTCGTTTTTGTCAAGGTGGTGGCCAAGTCAGTAGTTACTGACAATTGTGCCTTGGTTACTAGATATGAAATGCCGGTTGGCAATGAGGAATTAACTGACGTATTGTAGCGACCTGGAAGACATGTGCTTTCACTTTGTCCAAACATACCGAGCTCACTGGCCTTTCGTCTGTAAACGCCGTGGTCGCCCCCTCCAGATTCCGATTCAAGCAATCATCTCGATTAGGTTTATCCAATAGATTGAAAATGAAAATTCTTTTGTCAGCAAAGGCATATATGATTTGAACTCTTGGAGCCTATTTCAAGAAAAGGTGAATGGTTGTCTAGCAAGTCTAGATTATTCGATCCTAGTGCAGTTAGGTATCTTTCTTTCTTTCTTTTTTTTTTTGGATGCCAAGCGCAAAGCAACCACATGTAAGTGTGTGTTCTACACCAGCACACCTTTCAGTCATCGGATCACTTACGAACATGAACCGGTGGTGAGATATTCTTCACATCTACTTGCCCCACTCCCACCTCATGGAAGGACTGGCCTTCCTACTATATAACCAGCTTGGTTGATCGGGTTCAGAACATCAAGTCTCCTTAATGATCACACTGCTTCTTGGTCGATAAACCATTTCAAGTTTCACTAAATATCATTCTCCCCGGTTTCAGCCTCCAACGCCTGGTCGGCGATCTCTAGGCGACCTCATTTACCTTTACTTCACTTGAAACCTCTCAGGTTTAAGATTCATTGCAGCCTTTCTCCACCGCAGAAAATAGGAAAAACAGCAGAAAATCCCCAAATCCTACAAAATGCCCGTCATATCAATCAACGGAAACCATTTGGATCCCCAAGAACAACTCCCAGTGCTTCGGGCTTTGCACCACGAGACCGAGGATGCCAAAAAATCGGACTATATCCTGGTGCAGTCAGTCGAGCCACTGTCAAGTGAGCAGGAGGACGAGATCGAAGGGCTAGGCGTTGATATCCAACAATATGTGTCTAAGAACACCTATCTCTGCGGCTATAAGGGCACCGACCTCGAACCCATCCGCCGTCTCCCATATATATCCTGGGTCAACGTCTACCTGAGACATGTTTGTTATTCAGTCTAGTCTGAAAACACCCGCGGAAAATACAACGCTGTCATCAATTCCTGCCGTGCCGAAAAACAGTATCTCTCAGACAATTGACGTCCTTCTTCATAAGGACGTCGATCCTAGGTCTGCACGTGTCACCTCGGAAATTGCTGCAGCCGCGCACGCCGACCCTGACACATTGGATGTTGGCGGTTCAAAGATTCGAATCAATGTCCAAAATCAATACTTGGAAGGACTGGCCACCCTTGACTCTGTCAAGAGCATCCAGGCAGTTTATCCAGCGCGACTGTTCAACAATCGAGCGATCGAAATTCTCGAGTCCCCTTTCCGCGCCAATGGTATTCAGTACCAAGGCGAAGGACAGGTGGTAGCTGTTGCAGATACAGGGTTCGATAAAGGCTCTACTACTGACACCCATCCTGCCTTCCTGAACCGAGTTAAGCATCTTTATGACTTAGGGCGTCCTGGAAAGTCAGATGATCCAGACGGCCATGGAACGCATGTTTGTGGATCTGTCCTTGGAGACGGGTTTTCTTCGACGATGGGAGGAAGGATCATGGGCACCGCGCCGAAGGCTAACCTGGTGGTCCAATCTCTTCTTGGCCCAAGTAACAATCTGGGTGGAATCCCAGCCGACTTTAATCGGCTCTTTTCCCCTCCATATGAAAAATACGGCGCTCGAGTCCATACCAACTCATGGGGGTCTTCTGCCTACAGGCAATTGCCGTATAATACCTCGAGTGAGGAAATTGACCAGTTTGTCTGGGATCACCAGGACATGGTGATACTATTCGCTGCCGGAAATGATGGAATCGATGCGGATAGGAATGGTGTCATTGATCCAAAACAGATCGGAGCTGAGGCAGCTGCGAAGAACTGCATCACTGTTGGAGCAAGCGAGAATAATCGTCCGGATATCCCCATCACTTATGGTCGCCGATGGCCAAGCGGTCCGATTGCCAACGATCTAATGGCAGATAGTCCAGGAGGCCTGGCAGCCTTCAGCAGCCGTGGACCTACCGTGGAATCTCGTATTAAACCAGACGTTGTGGCACCGGGAACCGCGATATTATCCGCCCGGTCCAGACATCTGGTTAACGCTGAGGCCAGCTATGGTACAAGTCAGGATCCTGAGTGGTGGTTCCTAGCCGGCACTAGCATGGCGACTCCTCTAGTGGCTGGATGTGTTGCTGTCCTGAGAGAAACTCTCATCAAGAATGGAGAACAGGAGCCAAGTGCAGCTCTTCTCAAAGCATTGCTGATCAACGGAGCAATTGAACTACCTGGGCAGTACGTTCCAAGCGAATCTGGTCCATCTCCGAACGGTAATAGCGGATTCGGTCGAGTCAATTTGTCTAAGTCCGTGATCTTGCCAAACCAAGCCGATTGTGGATACCGTGAGGGAGGACCACTCGCGCAAAGTGCGAGCGAGGAGACCGTGATAGACATCCCGGATCAGGGTAATCTTTTGAGGTCCCAAGGAAGATCAGCGAGCACAACTACGCTCGGCGGCCCAGTACTGAAGGTGTCCTTGGTCTGGACAGATTACCCAGGGGCATACCTTCAAAATGACCTGGACCTTATTGTGGTTAGTTCAGATGGTACCGAAAAACATGGCAACATGGGCGACAAGCCTGGTTTTGATCGGACCAATAATGTGGAACAAGTTGAGTGGAGGGATATTCCTTATGGGACTGTCAAAATCTTCGTACGTGCGTACCATATCCTCAAACGGGCGTATCCCCAGCCCTACGCACTCGTATGGAGCATCAATCGCCCGTCCAAGTAGGAAAGTGAGGTTTTGCTTCCACGTGAACCGTCAATTCTTGAGGACGCGTTTGATTGTTCAAACTAATCATTTCACTTCTGCTGAAAACTCTCAATCGAGTGAGAAATGTTTGCATTATGAAAATCTCTTCTAGTTTTGCCTATGCACCCGGCAGATAACCCACCCCCCATCCGGAACTTGCCTCTCTTTGAGTCAGCAATCTCTGGGGTTGCCATTTACCGTGCTTCTTACTGAGATATCACGTCAACCTTTCCTGGGCTCTCTCATTGTCCTCCATCTATATTGGTCTTTCAATTTCTCGTCTTTGGAACTTTCTGCAGTCTTACAGTCTTACAGCCTTCCAAATTGATCAACCTAAGGCTTATCCAACTATAGTTACCGCGTAACTTACTAGACACTCTTTATGTGTGATAGATTTCTGAGGCAGGCCAACCAAATTGAGATCATCCTGTATTTACCAAGGAAGAAACTCGGACCGAGTTGTATTGTTTTTGCTTACATCTGTCCATATACCCTTGATTGTCAATCGGGCAGCTGTTCATTTTCAGAGAGAGAGAATTTTTACGTGTGATTTGCACTGTACGCTCACATTATGCCTGGTTTCTGTCAGGCAGGTTAGGTGGTTAGTCCTCAGGGTCGAGGAAGTTCTTCTCTGCTATCGTTACTTTACGTGCTTTAACGCGTAGATCTCTAGGAAATCGGGACTAGAAGATTGGGCACCTCGAAAAGAGGGTATAGTGAGAAACGAGGGCCTTCACGATGTAATCAACGAAACAACAGCGTAGATTGGCCCAAGTGGTCCTTCAACTATAAGCTACTCGTAGCCAAATAGTTAGTAGATACCTATGGCATCATATTGGCGGGCTTGTGGTATTCTCACCCGTAGCGTGGTGCTAATTGTTGGATGCCTGAGGCATCATATGTAGATAGAACCCAGATAGTTTGCCTACGCTCTCTCTCTCTTTTTCTCCTCTCCGTCCACCCCGAATACATACGTTGTTTCTCATACTGATTCCACTACGTATCTGTATTCCATGAAAATGTAATCTTCGTTTACCACCTGAATGGTTTTTCATCGAATAATATCTTCCTTCTTGCATGGAATCAAAATCTGAGATTACTAAATGCAGGTCTTGAAAGCCGAAGCCCGCGGAATCTTATCAAGATTTCGCCTCTGCAATATCCGAAGGAACAGCCTTTTGCCGGCGGAAATAATACTGAACACAAAGAACAAAAGTGAGGATCCATGAGGCACCAGCAACCGAGCAGATTGCAGTGAGGCCATGCAAGTACTTTGGGGCATCGGAAGTGCGGAAGATCTGCGACCCAGCGATACCAGCACAGTTAGCAGCCATGACCACCAACGCCATGGCAACACTTCGTTCCTGGGGTGTTCGGCAGTAGAATGACAACCAGCCGACATTCAGGATACTAACATCTGGTCAGAGCGGGTTATAGGCATGGGAGGGCAGGGAACTTACTGCATGCTGCAGTAGGAGATGTTAGCGACGGCAATAACGCCGTACCGGTGCCATTGCGAATCGTGAGGGTTACTTGTACGAAGACAAGCGTACGAAATCACATTCCAAGTGATAGCCAGGAGCACAAATGGTCCACGATGTCTCGTTTTGTCTCTGCCGACAGTTAGAATCCGGTTCGCTGTCATAATGGTCATACCAAGCACTCACGCAGCAAAGGACAGAGCAATCAGCCAAATCATACTACAGTATACAGGAACCGAAGCCAGGGCATTTGCCCTGACGGCACCGAAACCCAGCGATTTGATCATGCTGGGCGTGTATTGGGTTAGACCCGAGAAGCCAGACATGGCCACCAAAGTCACCAAAACGTGTTGCAGGATGCGCGGTTGCTTGACGGTCTGCCAGATATCAGAGCCGGAAATTTGGATATGGCCCTTGGCCTTGAGAGGGTCATCTAGCAGAACACGATTGCGAATGATGTGTGACTCGCGCTCGGTGAAGTAGCTCCAGCGTCCGAAAGCGATCAAAGGACGCCCATCTCCGGCCGATGGGGGCACAAGGAGAGTGAATACGATTGCAATGAAGAGGGTTATTAAGCCCTCGACTAGAGCGTTCATTAGACGAGCTCAGGTTGGCAGTATGTATATAGTTCCGATCTGCACTTACCCAGGAAGATCCATCTCCATCCCTCCATACCATGGGTCCCATCCATCTGAAGAAGACCGGCGGATATCAAGCTGGATGTAGCCGATGCGAACATCTGCCCGTAGAAGAAGAGACTGGTGCGAAGACTAGTCTCGTCCTTCTTGTACCAGGTGGAGAGGTAGTATAGAGCGCCTGCGGGTTGTCAGTCGGCTATCCAAGCGCAAATAGCAATCTGCATACCAGGAATAAACCCGCCCTCGCAGAATCCTAACAATATTCTCGTAACCAAATACCCAGGATACGACTGAACAAAGGCCTGGAAGGTAGCAACCAACCCCCAGGCGAACAACTGCCCCGACAACCAGACACGGGGTCCAATGCGCTGCATAATAATATTCGATGGGATTTCAGAGAGAACAATACCAGCTGACAGCAGCTGTGATCCGATATTAATTTGATTGGTTGTGATATTGAGGTCTTTAGTGATGGTCGATGTCAAAACGGCGCTAATATTCCCGCGATCCATTTGCAAGGCGAAGAATGCGACTGCTAGAATAGGAATGAGGATAAAGTCGACCCTGACAGGAGCTTATTAGCGGGATGCATATAGTCGATGTGTAATAACCGTGAACTATACGTACTTCCTCCGAACAGCCGATTCTTCCACATCCCAGTCTTTGACGATATGGTCAAGCTCACTCTCACTCGGAGGTGAGTCGATGACCTGCTCGTCTATTCTTTGTTTCTCATTGAAAATGTCTTGGTCTGCCATCTTGTGATTTAAAGAAGCTTGCCAAAAGAAAAATAAATGAATAAAACAGCAAGTGGAGGCGATCAACTTCTAGATTGGCGAATGTATAGGAACTCTTCCGGCGGGTTGATTACTCTTATAGAAAAGAGGAAACAGCTAAGATAAAGGATTGCGTAGGTCAATTGACTATAAACGGGCTAAAAAAAACAACTAAAATGCGTATGCGACTTTTTGATGTCGCGACACGGGGAGATATGGCGCAATCACTGGGGGGATTTTCCGAGGAGCACTTGGCCATTGGCCTTGGAATACGGAGATTCTTCTTTGATTTCTATTTGATAGGAACTTTCTTTGACTTCGGTTTATCCGGAAGTCTATGCCGTTGTTTCGGATGGTCATACTTGCAACATCCAACCCCTCGCAGTAAATACTACCTAGGTACACCCAAATGCTGAAATAGTCTTCAGAGATATTCAATTTAGTTTATATCAATTCTCATAATCTAGAATTCACTGAATTTCATTACACCCACACATCCCAAGACACGCCGTGTCGACTAGTCAACGGCACCTGTGCACCCTCCGCTTCCACGATGTATCCCGCATCACACCAGTCAAATGAGACCTGAGGCTGCGCGCCATAAAATCCATCATACTCCTCATTCAAAGCATGTTTGAGAGTACTAACCGGGTCTACCGGTTGGAGGACATCCCAAGGCTGGATGCAAGTCACACCCTGGCACGACTTGAGGACCATCAAAAGAGCATCAAGTCGATTGATAGCCTGGTGCAAGCTTCGGCCAAGAATGCGGGTCTCATTAATATCTGCATGAGAGGAGGTTGGGTACAGATTATTCAGCTGGTACGGATCAGTCTGCAAAAGGGTTAGTTGTTGTGATGAAGAACCAAGACACTATTTACTCACCGACAGATCATACAGCTCGTGTTCGTTATTACACCAGACGGAGTAGTACAGATTGTAGCCTTCTCCAAGTAAACGGACAGATTTGTAGGTGTTGTTTGGGATCACGGTTGAGCCTCCAGGGCCTGTCTGGGAATTAGTATCGCATCTTTCACAAAGACCATGAAAATATTGCTTGGTCTTACCAATGCCGCTGTAAGCACCTTCCACAACAGCAGACCCCCAATACTCCACCGTAACATGTTCATGGCGCTCCCCGTCAAACTCTGGCGTCACAGGAATGGCCGTACCATCGAAATCATCCCTCGCCGGAATACCCGCAAGCTGGAACAATGTCGGCGCTAAATCCACATGCGTAGTCACCGCATCCTGCACATGACCCTTGGCAACGCCAGGTCCACGAATGAACAAGGGAACGCGAATATCCTCCTCAAACCCACAGGTCTTCCCGGGCGGCAGTCGATGTTGGCCAATGTGGAATCCATTGTCCGAGGTGTAGATAATATACGTATTATCCAATTGGCCACTCTCCTCTAGCCGGGTAACAAGTCCATCAACCAATTCGTCAACACCCTGCAAGGCGCGCAGACGCGAGCGATAAAAGTGATCGTGATAGTCGACAACCGATTGGTTCTGCAGGGGTAGATCGTGAACCCAGCTGACTCCACTTGGCTGCGCAACAAAAAAAAAGATCAGTCAGAATTGCCGAACACGAACACGTTAATCCAAATCAAGGCCGCGCTCACCTGGTCCGGATTGAAATTCGCCGTGCGGGGTATCCTCACATCCTGGAACAGATGTTCGTGCCGTTCGAGGGGGATCGGCGCGGACATGTAGAAGTTCTCCGATGTAATATTGCCCGGGTCGACATTCGAATGTGGTGCGACGGGCGACACAGCCAGGAAGAAGGGCCTCTCGCCAGCCAATGCATCATCGAGGAAGCCCAGTGCTTTGCCCGTGATCACGTCGATCGTATGTTCACCCTCGTGGCTGACCGGTGGTTCATGGTTCCGCTGGTAAGTCGAATTCAGATAAGAATAGGTATATGGATCGAGAAGGAAATCAGATGCATTGAATCCATTGATGTGTGGGCTGTGGTAGTTATCCACCGTATGTGCGTTGAACATTTTCCCCGTGTAATATGTATCATACCCCGCCCCTTGCAGCCACAGCGGGAGGAAATCATCGTTGAAGCCGCGCTCGACGAATTTGGGATATCCACCGTAGGGCGGATGAACATCGGTCACATTTGTGTTATGCGCCTGGCGACCGGTCCATAGAACTCACGCGTGATGGACAGCATAGGGCTGTTGTGACAAAATGGTTGCGGAAAAAGGTGCCCTGGTCGCGGATGTGTTTGGTGATTAGGGGAGTATATGATATGGAGTCGAGTTGGAGGTCTTGGTCATCGGTTATTATGAAGAGAATATTTGGTTTGGGTGGTTGTGCTTCGCTATGTTTTAGTACGGATTGAAGGGCTGATTGCATGGATTGGAGATTGAGGGCAATAACGCCTTCAGCGGCGATGAGGCCGGCCAGGGGAGTGATTAATCTCATGAGATGAAGGGGAGAGAGATGAAGGTGTGTAAGTCTATAACTATCTACCTAGTAGGTATATAAATTAAATGTGGGGATTTTGAAATGTGGAGCTGATGATGCCATGAATGACCCCAATGGCGGGAGATGAAGTTCTACACTTCCACTGAACGTAGATAAAGTATAGATAGTAGATATATGTAGATAGTATAGATATAGTATAGATATTATAGATAATCTAATGTTAAGGCAGTACAATATCGAATTAATTCTCACTCTTTGTTGTACCTACAGATGTAGGTGTAGGAAAAAGAAGTATACAAGCGGATTGCGTGCTTTACAACGACAAGCACAACTTACCTTTCATTAAATATTTATCCGGAATAGACAAAATATATACATATTAAATATAAATAGATCTGAATCACAGGGAGTTGCCGATATTCCCCTTAAGTAGGCTATACGGAATTTATCATGTATGGTTAGCTCCTTATTCCTCTACTTCTTCGCATACGGAGTATATATATGTTGTATGTCGTACCTTTATATACATGTATTGAACCCACTCGACAGCAGAAAATAGTGGCTACAAGATATTGGATTTCAGCCGATGGGGGTTTTATCAAAGCTCAAAGTCACGAAAAAGACATCAAACAGGATATGAAGAGAGAAGATAGGTGTTATATAATGTTATCTTCGTGGTGACTCCTCTTCACCTTCGTCTCACCTTCGTCTCACCTTCGTCTCACCTTCGTCTCACCTTCGTCTCACCTTCATCTCACTGCCGTCTCATAACTAATTCTATCGCCCCTTTCCTCTTTTCCTCTTCTTTATCTCTCCATCACATCCTCATACTTTGTCTCGAGGTTGGCTACCTTCTCATATTCTTTCTCGTCCACGGGAAGGAGCACCATCAACGTTGCGTCTTACGTTGTGATCTCGTCGCACCAGGCACAGGACTGGCTACAGCTATGAAAGACATCTAGTAAGTCACGATCTGTCTTTCCTAGGACAGCATTATGAGAGCCACACCCCTAACATAGATAGCCTGCCGCCCGCCCTCAGAGGCCGCCCTGTCGGCCAGGGAAGCTTTCTTCCCCGCCAATGGAGGGACAAGACATTGTGGCGGGCGCTGAGCGGCCCACATCTGAAACCTTCCATCTCGGGTCGCAAGAAAATGCAACTACCCCAAGGGAAAATACCTGGAGTTGCTCTTAACCCTGCCCAACCAGCGTGAGCCCTACCTCCGGGCAGGGCACCAATGGACAGCTCAGCGGTTCCAAGAGATGATAAACGACTCCTTGGCCCATGTGGAAGGATCGCTCATGCAAGTTGTGTGGAAGCAGAATTCAGTTGAGTGCGAGTGCACATCGTGCCTCCGTGGGGAAGGGCCATTCCCCCATTGCGTGGTTGTGCGGGGCATTCCCAGTCCGACGGCTTGCGCCAATTGCCATTGGGCAGGCCGTGACAACCGCTGCCACTACCGGCAGCCCGCTACAACCATTCCAACCCATGCCTCGCAGCAACCTCGAACAACCACCGGAGGCCCTCTCCCTCACGCCACCGCAGCCCCCTCTCCCCTCCCGCCATTCATCAGGTCCTGACTCAACTCACTCAGGCCCTGGGGTCCAGCCGGGGCCCTCGCGCCCAGCTGCAGGAACTGATTGACCAAGTTCAGTCTGTGCAATCACCAGGCCCTGCCGACATACTTCTGCAGAGGACCGTCGAAGATGCTTACGCTTCCCACGGAACTCTACATACGCAGCTCCGACATACTTACGAGAACGTCATGAACATCCTGGATGGCCCGACCCGAAACTAGGATTTTCGCGGGATGTTGCCCGGCGGGTGGCTGGAATTGTTTCTCCTGTCTCCTGCAAATGGTGATTCTAGTACTCCAATGAAATTGTTCTGAACATATCCCATCTAGTAGGGTAATATCCCCATAGTATAACGTATTCCGTTCCGTGCCTCGGAAAAGGATTCCAAGGTTCAACATGATGCTTAGGAATCCCAAGAACCCGGATGTATAGGAGGATAGGAATAGGTACAATAGATACATAAAATTTCTTTCCGGAAACTGTGGTATAGACTTCTCGTAAGCTTTGGAATGTGAATACTCTGCGACGTAATAGTGAACAGTTGCCCACCTCACTTCAAGGTTAGCTTTGAACTCTTCATCCCCCAAATCTCAGATCCCACCCCACCCTTAACGCAGAAAGGTATCCTATCGCATGTTCCCTGCTACCCCATCTCTCTATTCACCTTCATCTCCCGTATTTCGAACAACATTGGAAGTGATCCGGATTTCTAAACGTTCAACAGGCTCCACACAATGACACCCACCTCTTCCCTGTCACCCAAGATAAAGGATGTTGTGGTCAGCATCCTGCATACATTGAAGTCGATCGACCACGCACATCTCACTAAATCTGAGATTCAGCGTCTAGGAGTCTCCGTTGACATTTTTGCCTTGAACGATGAAGACTCCTCCGATAAAGATTCCTTGGACCCCGAGACGCAATGGCTTTTCAAGCCGATTTCTAAGGAGGACATCAAAACGTGGAAGATCTCGCCCTCTGAGGCCAAGGCGGTGCAAAGCAGCCTGGAAATCCCCGATTTGGTTCATGTGTCGCAGCATCGGCCTGACTGGGACGTTACAGGCGCCACGCAAGAGGTGCCCGACTTCATCACGGCGCAGTTCGACTTTCGGCGCAAATCGAAGACTCGCCTAAGGGATACATTCGGGTGGAGTGATATCGAGTGAGTATACTAGTGCACATTTATGATTCTCTATATGAGGTAGTTAGCTAATGAGGTATAGTTTTGATGAGTTCGCTGGCGGCAATGTGGGACTCCTTTTTCTCTATGGATGGAAAGTATCGAGGCGTTGACACCCCGGGCTGGAGAACTTGCTTGATAGAAGATTGGTGGGATGGTGAAGACCTCGCTGGACCTTCCGTCCGTCTCATCATCTGCACGGACAGGAATGGCAAGGAAGGCAGTCTACTACAGAGTGAGCTCGGATCAATCGCTCAGGTCGTTGCGTTCCGCCGAAATCAGCCGGGGTTCGAGACCTATCGTTTATTCCCAGTGAGATAAACTCCGTCAACGAGTACTCCCTAGCTATACTAACGATATCTTTCTATATAGGTACTCTTGATTTCGCTCTTCGGGCCTCGACACGGGCGTATCATCCAAGCCTGCTACGACCGGCGCAGTAATAAATTTGGACTTCGGATCTCTCGAGTTTTCTGCTTTGTCACCAAGGAGGATGCGGCATTTGATACATTCTTTCGATTCACGGCGAGCTATCCACCCCAGATAACAAATCCCCACTTTGCTAGATCTCTCCACGATAGGGAAGCACTCGTATATGATGCTCTCCCTATTAGATCGAGATCTAATTTAGATAGTCTTTTTTGAGCCTCCTGTGGGAGGTCTTTTTATGTTTCATTTTTGGCTTCTGAATCGTTATAAACTACAAGTCTACGTTGGGATAAATGGGTGGATCGACCTACTTCGACCTACTGAGATATGTATGTTATTGCACGGTCAGGTGACAACCTCGGCAACTCCCAAAAGGGAAACCTCCTCCCCACCAGGCCACTCTCGGACCCTTTCCCGACCTCTTGGCCTCATCTCCCAACGCATTCGCCAAGAACTCTGGCGCAGTTGCCCCTCAGCCCTACCCCAATCATATCTTCCAAGGACCGATATTATGGGTTATTCCTTGTGCACTATTGGATTGGCTGGACCAATGCACCGGGGCAGTCTGAGGCGTTCATATTTTTCTTTTCAGGGGGTGAAGTTCATTTCTACATATGGAAGTGCCCCAGCCGGTTTGAACTGTGATCTACAGTTTCCGGGTCTAATATCTCCAATATGCTCGGGCTCTCCCGTGCATCGCTGATCGCACCACTGCTAGCCGTATGGCTATGCTGCTCAAGTAAGTAAAGTGTCGGCGTGTTTGTTATGAACTCCTTGGTGGAACTTACCTTGCCAGATGCCTTCGCTGCCAATTGCAGCTCAACCTGGATCAAGTCCGTGGCTGATGCTGATAAGCTTCGTCAGGACTGTCGAATCGTCTACGGCCACGTCGGAATCGGTCCATTTGCCGACAATGGCACGGTCCATATCAACCTCGACGGTGTTGAAATGATTGTAGGCACCCTCGGGGAATCTCCTCTTATGCAGAGTGACGATGTCACCCAACCCTATTACACACTCTCCAGTTCATCTTTGGAGGTAGTCGACGCAGTCGAAATTGGCTACTACGAAACCAAAGTAGTAAACCTCTCGCTTCCTAGTCTCAAATCCGTGAGGGACTACTTTGAGGTAGGGAGACGGGCCTACAATCTCACCTACCTTGATATCTCGAGTCTGAATTTTGCGCCAAGCATTACGCTTAGCTCCCCGAATCTCACGACTCTCCACCACACAGGGTTACGCAATGTGACAGCCATGAATATTGACGCGATGAAAATCGACTCGCTCGATAGTTTGACTGATAATCAACTCAATATGAGTCAGGTTTTCATCCAAGGCCCATTCCCGAACGTCAACGAAATCACTATTGGATTCACCTCTGCCAAATACCTCCAGATCGATGACAATTCATCTCTCACACTAGGAGGCTCCTCGACAACGGAAATGACCATCAAAGAACTTTCCCTCCATGGTATTACAGATCTTAAGCGTAGCGCACAGCTTAAGACACTCAAAGTTGATACTCTGAAGCTATCAAGCTCCATTTCTATCACCGATCTTGAAATCCCGTTCGATGATCTCCGCTCTCTTAATATCCAGCAACGATGGGAGACCCATCCTATGAAATCTATCACTCTTCCCCCCAAAGCCGTGGATTGGGCAGGTGGCTTTGACCTCGACATTGTCGGTGCGCCCGATCTGAATTTGACCTCGATTTACGGTGTCAACGACAAAGGCAATCGCGTTCAAACTTGGTACTGGCCAAAGAATGTCTCACGTATTCAGATCTCCGACGTTACTGTAGGAAATTCATTCTTGTATGTGTCGCTCCCTCGCAGCTATAGATTGGTCATGAAAGCTTACCTAAACAAAAAGTGATCCTTTTGTCGCCCAGCAGAAGGGCCCTTTGGACAGTCAAGTTCCTCCTTCGGTCGTGAGCTCCTTCGGAGTTACTCCAGCAGTCAACTCTAGTTTTAGCTGCACACCATTCGTTGAGCTCCAGAGCATGGGTCGTTTGCCGGACGTTCTATTCATGTGCGACGATTCCGAGCCGCCTAGCAGTGGCGCTGTTCCTGTCCATCTACCAATTCCGCTAAGCCTTGTCAGTGCCGTGCTTGGGATCTGCATCTTGCTGCTATAAATAAATTCCCCAGATGCGAGGGCCATGCAGTGTTGTGCCATACATTGAGTAGCGAAGCCCGTTTACTTTTCTCAGCAGGAATGATATTCTTGTAAATTTTCAACTTTCTCATCAACAATAAAACATACGTTATATTGCTGCAGGTCGCAGGTATTTAAACAAATCACAGTTCCTTACCAACTTCCTTCGTATCATCGCACTCCAATGTTGTCTTTGTTGCCCAGAACTTCCCACTTCCACCGCACTTGCACCTTTTACACGGCGACTCCCAGCATCAACACCACTCTCACTTTGAACTCACTTCAGCCTGACTTCTCATTCACGTCCACCTCCCTATCACTAATTATCAACCCTCACTTCGAACTCACTCTCCTCCAGATTCCACCTACCCATTACATCACAGCAACGCCCAAACCGTCCCCGGCTTGGACAAGGCCTCAGAAGAAGCGACCTAGGATCAGTGTTCCGAAATATGACCCCAGCAGCTAACCCAGAACGCTGGGCAGCGCAGTGGACCCCGCATCAAAGGCTTTTTTTTTAAAGCGGAATTCAAGCGTGGGGTCCCCTTCAATGCCAAAGTGGATGGTTATTATACACGGAAAGATGGCTCCCTCGCGATCCTTGTTGAGGCCAAACGGTCTTTCAGAAGAGTACACGAGCCCTCTGTATCAATGCAGGAAGTTACAGAAGTTGTTGCATGGCTTAAATGCGACACGGCCGTTCACAACCGGTATGAGGCACTTTTTTCAATTAGAGGCTCGGCGTGTAAAAGTGCTAACATTATAATGTATAATGTCGGTTGTATAATCTCCCAAGACGGCCCTAAGATGTATATCACAGTGACCAGTTTTGACAACACCTACCTCCAGTGGCTACGACGCAAGCGAGCCATTGGCCTGCCGGCCGGCAGCTCTCTCACCATGGCCCGTTATGGGCCATGGTCGATACAGCACGAACGGGACGTCGCCGAATTTGCGGCCATTGTCCTTGCGATTATGGCATCGGAGAAGTGAACAACTGCCTGCTCCTTTTTCTTCCCTGTTTTCTTTACTTTCCTTTTCAACTCGGCAGCAATCACAAACGCGTCGAAGCCAGGTACATATTCATGGTTGGTCGGATTGCCGATGTGGAGTGCGACACTTGCCGGCTGGATAGGGGGGGTTTCCCCTTCTGCGTCACTGTCAACCTTGCAGATGGCCACGTGAAGTGTGCCAACTGTTACTGGGACAATGGCGAGTGTTCGAAAGCCCCAATCGAATCATCTCTACCACGAACTACCCCCAGAAACTTCGGTCAAGGCTCCCCGGGGTCCTAGCACCCGAGACCGTGCCACAATTTCTCCGGATATCATTAAATTACGCGCCGCATTCAACCTACTGAAGCGAGCCAATCAATGCACCCAAGAGAATGCTACATCAAATTCGACCGCGTGCACCAGCGTCAATGCCGCTACTACCGCGCTCGCCGCTCACCATGGCCGCGTCCTGCGGGAAAGAGACACCCGGGAGTTACAGCGCGTTGCCCAGCAGGGACGGACCCGAGGCCGGTCCGTACAGAATAGTTTGGTCAATGTGAACAATCTGCAGGATGAAGTCGAGGCTATTCTGAACCGCATGAAGGATCACCTTCGGCGGTTCCGGTAGTCACCTGAGACTTGCAGCGCGTCCCCAACCAGCGTCGCCACTGTGAACAACCTGCATGAGGAAATTGAGGAGGTCTCCCGCGTTTCATGTTTTCCTTTTCTATTCTTAAAGGGGTTCTAGCGTTTGCTAGTGTAAATGGAGCCCCTGTGGCTGAAACGAAATGAAACAAATTCTTCACTAAGCACAACATGAGCGATAAGTAGAAGTGTATAAGGTGCAGCGAAGGAGGTATATGGCATTGTGCAAATCATATATCAATTTCCATAGTTAGTAAAATACACATATACTAATTTCATGATGTACCCCAGTGCCATTTACCGCATACCTAGCATCAGGTAATTAGTAAGTAAAATATAAGTCGGATATATTCAACGTACCTCACGTTGTTCGCGTACTAGTATTCCGTTCCTATCGCACTTGTATAGTTATGCAACACCGGAAACACGATTTCCGGTGAGCCGCGACCACTTGATGATAATGACGACTTTGATGCTACCATCGCCTCCAACTAGCAAGGCGTTGAGGTCATTCAGTAATTTTGTCATCGGTTTACTCCACCCAGATTCAACAGCAACGGTTGGCAGCAAGCCGCCACGGATCATTAAAGAAAAGTCTGGTTCTTTGACCGACGTGCGATACAGAAAGCTTGGTCGCTGCAGACTCATCTGAGGCTTACTACTGTCGGGATGGCTACTTGGAGTGAGTAGAAGATATCACTGCGGCCTTTAGTGAACATATGCACCAGTACTCTAAGGACCCCGTCATAATTCCCGTCTCGGGTGGTGGTCTTATGTTCAGACCCCTAATAGAGGTTAAAACGAGTTATTTAGGTCAATGTGCCCAAACAGGCACACCTTAGAATTGTTTTCAATCTTGAGGAAGACGAAGTCAGACTCATTCGATGCTATGCCATAGATCGTGCAGTCCTTCTTCTGCGATGCCTTGCGCTCTTTCTGGAATGACTTGCGCTCCTTATTGAACGCCTTGCGGTCCCTCTTCATAGCCCACGTAATGTCTTAGAGGGCTTTCAGATCGTTATTCCCAGGTGTATTGGCCTCCCCTAATCCTTATTATGTCCGGCGAGATGTACGTTTGGAGGAGGCGGGTGATATCGAGGCCACCTTCTTTCATGAGGTAAACTAGTAGACTAAGCACTTGTTCGAACCCATAGTATCGGTGGAGGTACCGTAGACGGTGGTGTCTGTTTGCCAAGATCTTTACGCTGCTTATAGACGCACCCTTTTGATAGGTTAGCCTAAGAGTGCGTTATGGCGACGATATCGTGAGGTACTTACCCATACATGCCAGCGTCTGCGGAACCCCTTCGGTACCACTGTTCGGTCTCTTGGCCTCCATGATGACAACGTTCAAGTCGAGGTCTTCCTCCTCTCCATACCAGAAGATACTAAAGATGGGGAGAGAACAGAAGCAAGACCTGGTTCAGCTCTGAAGATAGAGCTATACTAACGATCAATGCAAACAAATGCAGACCACCGACCTCCTCGCTAAGCGAAGCAAATAAAGAGAAAGCAAAACGAGCAAATGATTCGGCATGTGAGATCAGATCGTGACATCTCCAGTAATGCAAAGTAAAGCAAAGGGAGGGGAACACTTCCGATTGATAGAGTCTAGATTTGATGGCGCACAATAAACAAGCCGCTGAATGATGCTAAAATCGAACAAGCAAGAGAAACAACTATAGCGCGTCAGTGGGAGATACTCGATATAATACAACCTATCGACTCACGATACGTATGCTTAAGTCCCGAGACATAACAAGTCACCACAATCTCCCGCAGATGGCCACTTAGGTGTGCGATATAATTCGTATCACCCATGGCACGTTGAATAACCTGAAGCATTTAGCACCCCATCAAATATGCTCACCAGAAGCTACTTACCTTCTCAGAGCCCGGCCCATGGAGATTTAACCTCAGCTGGCGCTGGAACTCCATCCCCAGAACAGAATTGGACGTAGTCACACCAGCAGTCATGGAGAATCCAACAATAAGCATATATCCCGCCGTCGCCATGGCGATTTCCTCGGCCGGTAGCATAGCAGACATGGCAATGAATGATGATGCTGATGCAATTCCCGTGCCAATCCCACCAGGGAGAATAAACAGGGACTCCCAGAAGCCACTGTGTCCATCCCAGCGGAGGTAAAGAAGGAGATAGGAAATACCAGCAACCAGGCCGGCGAGAACCAGAAGGACTTTGAATTGACCTGTGCGCCGGATGAATATGCCCGCTAGTAATCCGCCGAGGGTATTTCCTACCACTGCTGGAATGAGATGCACGCCCGCAGCTGTCGTCGATGCGCGCTGTGTTACTTGGAAATACAGGGGACGGAGAACATCATTCCCAGCTGTGCGGCGATCTGGAGTGCGCCGATGATGTATGCCATTGACACGTTTGTGCGCCGGAGAATGCGGAGGTTGAAGATGGGTTCGCGGGCAACGTAGGCTTCCACGAGTACGAAGGCGACCAGGAGTGATGCTCCATTGGTTGCTAGGAGGACGGTCCACCATGAGCTCCATGGGAAGGACTTCCCGCCTTGATCGAGGAGAGTGGTCATCGCGACAATGGATGAGCCTAGCAGTGCTGTTCCGAGGAAATCGACTTTGGCGAGCTTGTTTTCCTTGGAGTGTGGTTTCTCGACCTTCAACTTCAAAATCACAAGAACTGCAGCCAGAGCGAGGAACGGGGCTTGTAGGATGAACAACCTGGAATGTGGTTAGAGTGTAGATGCAGCTGTCAGGTAATTGAAACTCACCATCTCCATCCGATCGTATCGCTCAGCCAACCACCTAGCGGGCCTCCAAGACTGCGTCCAAGTGTCATGGCGATATTCACATACGCTCTCCAAGTAGCGACCTCGCGCTTAGGTACGATATCTGTGATGATAATGGAGCTGATCGTCATGATTCCCGCACCGCCCATACCGCTGATCGCACGACCAAGAATTACCACCCACATATGGATTCCGAGGCCACTATATGAGGGGTCAGGATTGTATCTCAACTGCTGGACCAGGTATCTGCCTACCTCATTATACATCCCACGGCGAATAACAAATATGAGAGCAGCAACATTGGTTTCCGACCGTAGGTATCACTTAATTTTCCATACTGGATGAAGATTAGACCGTTGAATGTCTACGGCACGGGTTGTGCTCACTCACCATTGGTTGCGCAGCACAAAGACCTAACGTATAACCCGTTGAGAGCCAACTAGCATCGCGTAACCTGTTGAATTCGGAGGAGATGCGGCCTGCCGCCGCCATGACAAGTGTCGCATCGGCATTGGAAATGAATTCGCCTATATTCGATTAGATCTCCAGTCTTGGTTTATTGCCAATTCTCGTACCGAGCAGAAGCACCGCAATAATTGTCCCAACACCTGTCAACGCCTTATGCTTAGGCTCTGTGTCAGATTGCGGGAGTAATGGACTCTCTTCGTCTTGGGTATGGCTATTCGCATTGATACTCTGTGTCTCAGTGGTACCTGGAGGCACCGGCTCAACGTCGCTTTCTATGTGGGCCATGTTGCGAATTGTAGAGTGTCAAACTAGAGAGAGAATGGTCTTGAGAGGGGAATTCAGTAATAAATATCATCCAAGTCCTTCCAAATCGTGTGCTCATTCAAGTTGTAAAGCACGCAATGATATAGTTCCCAATTGGGTTTAGCTTTCGGAAGTCCGGAGATACCGTATGTTCCTCTCCAGGGCTCTACTTGTATAACTTGTAAGTCTCTACATAGGTTGAAAATATTAGAATATGTATAAAAGAGTACTCATACTCAATTCAAGGTACTCAAGATGGGAAAGGAAGCAAGATAGATTGAATTTGCACGGTTATAGTTGTAAGACTAATACTCAAAAAACCCTTCATTGCCATGTCGCTATTCCACGTAGGTACGCTACTACCTCCATGTATCACTGATGGTGACAGCAGTAGTACCACACGTGGCAGGAACGGTATACGACTGGTTGGGGTCACTCTCCCACTTGATAGTGCCATCGCTCGCCACCTGGATGTACTTGTAGCTGAAGCTAGTACCCACTGGAAGTGTCACAGTCACAAACCACAGATGATTTCTCGTGGTGTATTTGGAAGCGCTCAATGCAATAGCACTGCTCGGCGACCACGAGCCAAGTTGAGAGATAGATCCAGCAAGTTTGATGTTCTGGCCATATTCAGTAGTAGCGATCACATTGAATGTCACTGCAACAGCGGTCGGAGTGGTGCATGATGTTGTTGTCGTGGTGGTCTTCGATGTAGTGGTAGTCGTCTTGGTGGTAGTCACACTGCCAGATCCACTAGTCAAAGTGGTAGGCCAAGCGGTGTTTGTTGCGCTGCTGTAAGTACCAATGGCCGAAGTATATTGGCACTGCCCAGGGACACTGCTGGCAGATGTCTCACCCCATGGTGCAGGGACTATGGCATTTCGACGCTCGTTGGCAGTAAGTAGGGCTGCGTAGGACCAAGTCAAGTCACGAGCTGACAGCTGCGAGCCATCTGACTTGGAGAATTGCTCGGACAAGGAGCCACTTGATGCAGCGTATTTTTCCTGACATACTTGTTAGTCGGGGTAGTCGATCATCGACAGTAAGTGCAACATACCACGATGCTAACATATCCATCCGCATATTCCTTTACAGCGGCCACGATCGAGGAGTATGTATCACTGGATGAGGAGTAGGTGCCGGTCGCAGCAGAGCTGTACAGGTCCTTGAAGAAGCTCAATGAGACAGAGGTAATGGTCAAAGAACCAATACGGTCCCATGTGTAGATAGCATCGTACAACTGCTCAGCTGCAGCCAAAGTGCACAGGTACCAAGGGTTACCATTGTAGTAGGAGTCCTCTGGGTATCGACCAACAGAAACAGCCTTACCCGCGGCGATACCAGAGTTAACGGAGTAGATCGATCGGAACGAGTCAGTCACAACTTTGTGGTTTGCGAGTGCTCGTGCTGAGCAAGGCTGGAATGTGGTGTCATCGCATCCTGCCTCTGGGTCGAATGTGTGAATGCTGCCGAGCAGGGTATTGGCATCTTTCCCAGAGCGGCCACCACCAAAGTTGGCCAGAATGTAAGATCCAGTCCAGAAGGACTGTAGGAAGCACAGAACCTGTGGAGCCTGGGAGTCACAGTACGAACATGAGGAACCCACTTGGCTCGCGAAAGTGCTTCCCTCCACCAAAGCGCGGTGCTGAGCCGCGATGGTGAAAAATGATGAGCCAGAAACTTCTTCCCAGAGATCTACAGAGTATTAGCAACATGCACAATAATCAGGTCTGAGGTATACTAACCAAATCCGGTCTGATTCCAGTACTGGGATACATAGGAGAGATCATTGCGCACGACAGGCCAGACAATGTCGGTCGCATAGGTGGTGTACCCATTGTCCTAGACGGGTTAGCAATGCAAAGGGAAACACGTTCTAAATTCATACAATAAGCCATTGGCCAAATGAGATCAAGGCAGTGGCTCGCAAGGCTGGTCCATCACGCTGAGGGCGACCCCAAGAGCCAGTGAAAGCTGTCTCATCGGCGTTGAACTTGGGCTCTCCCAATCCACCGCCGCCGGAAAGGCCTCCAGATGGATTTGACACCGTCTGTATATAGGCCTGCGAGCTGATGTATTCTTCGATAACCTCCAACAAAGCGCTGTCGCCGTTCCTGAACATGTCGACCAGATTTTTGAACACCAGCGCCGAGTCACGAGTCCAAGTATAATAGTCTGTAGCTTCGGTTAGTTCACACTTCAACAAATAACTGTAAAATAGCTTACAGTCAGGGTCGGAGGTACTCGGGCTGGCGAGTACAACGCCCGGCTTTGCATTGGCAGCATGGGCACCAGCCGATCCGATGTTGTCCAAGATACCCTGTCTTGCCACCACAGTCTCAGACGCCAACCAGGTATCCAAACTACCTGTCGCACGAGGAGCCAATATCTGTGGCGCAGCCACAACGGCATGGCCAAAAGTAAGCGCCCAAAGCGCAGTCCAAAAACGAGGGGCCATCACAGAGTCAGAAGGTGAGTTGGGTTGGTATCATCGTGGGGGGCAGAACTTGGCTTTTATATGGGTGCAGGTGAGGGGAGTTAAGCCACGTGAAAGTTCATTCGAGAGAACTGAGGCATATTAATGCACATGTGTGGGACTTGCATAGAACTTGCATGAAAGGCGCAGTATTGCAGTATTGTAATGAGCTCGGGTGTCTGCGGAGAAATGCGCTAGGAAAAGATCGACATTCTTCTGCTGCATCACAGTTAGCTTGGAATTTAGTTCCAGCGCTAGTCAAGGGCTTCATTTCAGATTCTGCAAGTATCAGGTCCATCATTACTCTCTTCAGCAGGCGGATCGAATATCTCCCGAGACACATGGGAGGTCTTATTGTCCGATCGTTGATCTCCATGCCAATCGCTTCGATCGACCAAAAGTTGCATCAAGCATTAACTGCCTCAAGCAGATGCCGAGTCTTCATCTCCGATATTTAATCCCGTTGAATCTCCGCCCCTGTCATCCCCACCGTTTAATCTGGGGTGGTGGCTGATGTCCACCAATTAGCCGGTTAAATTATCCCCATCGTCAGCACGCTAGACCTGCCTTGGAATTAGCGCTTTGGTGAGAAATGTCTTGGATGTGAGTCTGATACCACGTTCCTTGTCTTCCATGTTGTTCTGGAGGTGTGAAACTATAAACAATGCCACAGATGGACTAATCTCCGGAGAGATGACCCTCTTCAAGACTGGTGCAGTGCCTAGGATCGCTAGTATCCCAAAAAACTTCGGGGCTGCCTTCATTTCCAGAGAATTATCCGCTTTCTCCTCGGTGTTTTGACTCGATATCGCGGTCTAGCGGAGCAGACTTCAAGAAATTGGGGAATTTCTCGTCTGGTTCATTTAACCGATTGGATTAGGAGTACGCAAAGCTGATATGGGTGTATATTGCCGTGACCAGAACTCCATCTTGTGCTGACCGGATGTCATGATAGTAGTTCGTGGCATGCAAGTCGCAGGTATAAATTGGGTTCAGCTGCTGCCCCCGGTGATGTCTCTCTAAGAACGAAACCTCACCAACGCATCAAGTTCCGATTTATTCATGGCTGCAAACATGAAGAAGGTTATATTCACAGCAACCATACTGCTATGGCACATGGTTATGGGCCTGACTCCTGCGGAATGGCGCAGTCAGTCAATCTACTTCCTGTTGACGGATCGCTTCGGACGCACCGACAACTCGGTCACTGCCAACTGTAACGTTAATGACAGAGTATGCGCCATTGCCTGTCCTGAAACCTCAGTTTATACACTAATTACCGTGCTAGACCTATTGTGGTGGCACATGGCAGGGTATTATCAACCAAGTATGCATCGGATCCTCCATTCAGAATCCATATACTGACTTGGATACCAGTTGGATTATATCCAGGGAATGGGCTTTACGGCCATTTGGATTACTCCGGTGACAAAGCAGCTCCCGCAAGACACCGGCTATGGGATGGCCTACCATGGGTACTGGCAGCAAGACATGTAAGGTTATTGGACGGTTGATGTTGGGATTCTGCTCACCAACATCACTAGATACGATGTCAATGAACACCATGGTACGTCCGATGACCTCTTGGCACTTTCAAAGGCACTGCACGCTCGAGGAATGTATCTCATGGTTGATGTTGTGACAAACCATATGGTATGTTATCTTGAATAATGGGATAGAACCTTTCTAACAAATCAATAGGGCTACCCTGGGGCTGGAAACACGGTGGATTACAGTGTTTTCACTCCCTTCAGCTCTTCATCCTACTTCCACCCCTATTGTTTGATCAGTAACTACAATGACCAGTCCAATGTCGAGAATTGTTGGCTTGGTGACACCACTGTGTCGCTGCCAGATCTGGACACAACCCAGAACTCGGTGCAGACCATCTGGAACAATTGGATTGCTGATTTGGTGACTAAATACTCCAGTAAGTCTAATGGTTTACCATAGAATCCGACCTAACATTGTCAGTTGATGGATTGCGCATCGATACCGCGAAGCATGTCCAGAAGTCTTTCTGGCCTGGCTTTAATGATGCAGCAGGTGTCTATGCTGTCGGGGAGATCTTTGACGGAAATCCAGCTTACACCTGTGACTATCAAAACTATATGGACGGTGTCTTGAATTATCCCATGTGAGAATGGCTGCCACCCTGTTCCCCAGAGAGAAATTAACTGTCTAGCTATTACCCACTCCTACGTGCATTCCAATCCTCCAGTGGCAGCATCAGCGACTTGTATAACATGATCGGTACTGTGGCCTCTTCATGTGCCGATTCAACCCTCCTGGGCAATTTCATCGAGAATCACGACAATCCACGTTTCCCAAGGTAAGACATTCGAAGTTTTCCGAGCTATCCGACACTAACGACGCTTTGTTATAGCTACACAAGCGACTACTCACAGGCCAAGAACGTGATCTCCTTCCTCTTTTTGTCGGATGGAATACCCATTGTATATGCCGGTCAGGAGCAACATTATAGTGGTGGGCACGACCCAGCCAACCGCGAAGCCGTCTGGCTGTCAGGGTACTCTACCACGGCAGAGTTATACCAACATATTGCGACTACGAACAAGATCCGGAAAGCCGCAGTCGCAGCAGACTCCAGCTATATCATGTCCAAGGTACGTATTTTCAACTCTGTGCTAGTGAAAAAGACTAACAGGTTAAAAGAATGTCCCCTTCTATCAAGACAGCCATACATTAGCTATGAAGAAGGGATCGGGAAGCTCGCCAGTCATTACCGTGCTTTCCAACGCCGGGTCATCTGGATCCTCGTACACATTGTATTTGGGTGGGAGCGGATATTCATCCGGCACCAAGCTGATGGAGATGCACACCTGCACATCTATCACCGTGGATTCCAGCGGTAAAATTGCCGTTCCAATGGCATCTGGGTTGCCACGAGTTCTCATTCCCGCATCATCCGTGAGCAACAGCGGACTGTGCGGCTCATCTGTTCCCAGTGCCACAGCGACTCAAACCGCTACGGCAACCACCACAGGGGCAGCCTGCACCCAAGCCACTGCCCTGCCGGTCCTATTCAAGGAGCTTGTGACTACTGTCTATGGTCAGGATATCTATGTCTCTGGTTCAATCAGCCAACTTGGTAACTGGGACACGAGTAAAGCGATCGCGCTATCTTCAAGCAGCTACACTTCTTCCAATCCCTTGTGGCAGACGACTATCACACTCCCCGTCGGAACAACCTTCCAGTATAAATTCCTCAAGAAGACGACTGGATTTTCAACTGTGACCTGGGAAAGTGATCCTAATCGATCTTATACGGTACCGACTGGGTGTACTGGAGCTACAGCCACTGTAGCGGCAAGCTGGAAGTGATCTGGGAGTTAGTTGCTGATATCAGATCCTGCTTGGAGATGGGTTCGACTATGCCTGGAATTTGCGAATGGCACTGACAACTACCTACATTTTCATGAGCGCAACTCCGCAGATTGAATCCAGACCAAATACAAGAACATAGTGCTGTCTAAGCTATATATCGTGACACTTCATTTACATAAACGTAAGTCGTGAAGCTACCAATCATGAACATCTGCATCCCCACTCAGATATAGAACGCAGCAGGATCCGCCATGATCTGGTTATAGCTATCCTGACGGAAGTTATCCGGCAAGAGGCCACCACGGTGGATGGAAAATTCCATCAGCGACTGATTATTAGTCCATTGTGGCCAATCCATATAATCCCAAGCCCTTGCATTGGGGTCTTGCTCATACACAAATGACAAGTAGTATGAGTGTATGGCTTTGGATCCGTAGTTTTGCAGGATACCATGGAACACCTGCAAAACATCGGACCCATGGAAGGTTCCTAGGAAAGGAAGGCCATGGTCGTAGGTTGAGAGGTAAGACCAGGAAGGAACATCGGGCTTCACTTTCTGGGCGTAGTTCAGGAAGGCCCGGCGTGTAAGGGTGAAAGATAAATCACCCAGGATGGCCGCCAGTCGTTTATATTGCGGGTACCAGTTGTTAAGGGATCCCGTGCGGAAGGGTGAGCCATCTTCTTTAATATCTTGATAAGTGGCGACGAAAGTTTCAAGCTGCTGTCGCGAGGCGTCGAAGAAATATAGATCCTGTAGATAGTCGACGATGTCATCGGTTGTGGTCAAATTGCTTTGGTATAGAGCAAAGATAGTGCCCTCATCCTCTTGGTCCCCGATGATGAATGGCACCGAGGCATATTTGCCTTGGATGACGAGTTGGTCCGGTGATTGAGTTAAGATCGTGCCATCCGGACGAGGCAGATATGACTCGGCGACCGAATTGTAACCCAAAATGCCCGGGACTGAGTTGGCAGCGTTCAGGAATTTGGTATAATCCAGCTCGCGTAGACATGCGAGGGTGTCACTGACACCACTGCAGCCAGCGTTCTTCACAACAGTATCATATACAGCCTGGCCTTTCGTGCCATCGACGGTATTTGCAGGCACAATGCTACCGGAGTTCATTATGGCACTGCGAAAAAGCGGTACACCGTTGTAAATATTGTCACCGTCATACATGGCCATCTGGTCAAACACCGAGATAGCGCCAGCAGACTCACCCCAAATGGTGACCTTGGCCGGATCGCCTCCAAATGCAGCGATGTTGTCGGCGACCCATTGCAGAGCAAGACGCTGGTCCCGAAGTCCGAGATTGGCGGAGCCATCTTTCCGGATCTCTGCGCCCGGCATAAAACCAAACCCTCCGAGACGATAGTTCATAGCCACAAAGATGACTGGCATACCCAGTTTCACAGAGCTTTTCACAATGTGTGATCCATCATAGCTTGTGGTAGCACCTTGTTCAAAGCCACCACCGAAGATCCAGACCAGCACCGGTAGCTTTGCATCTGCCTGGGTTCCGGAAGGACGACATACATCGAGAGTCAAACAGTCCTCGCCAGCATTGGTGATCTCCTGGAAAAGTGGGACATTGATGAGCTTCGCAATGATAGAGCTAGGGAAGTCTCTTTCGTCTGTGCTAAAACTGAATTGCGGGCAGGACCTCGCAGCGGAAGTAGCCTGGATGGTTCCAAGGGATGTTTGGATTGGTCGAGGTGGTTTCAACCGAAGGGAGCCAGTCGGAGGCAGTGCGAACGGGATGCCGTTGAATTCATCGATCTTATTGAGACCCGTGGAGCCAACAACAGTGGTCTCAGGTTTGGAGATGATAACAGTTGGGTTGGCTGTAGGTGCTCTCCTTTGCGCCGGAACGGCCCAGACTAGAGGCAAAGCAAACAACGAGATCAGTTTCAAGATAGAAGGCATTATGCGCCTTTCTTTGAACTCGGCAGGAGGCAATTTAACGCACCAGTAATCGTATTTCAGTGAACCCTTGGCCCGCAATCCTCTTGTGGAGTGGGCAACCAAGGGATAAATATAGAATGTCAGTCTCCCCATTGCTGATCCCCCGAGCGAATTTGGATGGACAGGTTTCATAATTCCATACCTCAAGCAAGACGAGCATCTGTCTATCCTATTGAATTCCGCTATCCTTTCGGCTTTGGTACTCGTCATGTCCTGCTGACAATTGAGGTGTAGTGAAGAAAGCATAGCCGCAAATCAAAGGAGCAGATCAGCCGGTGCACTGATTATGCGGTAATAATGCAGTGCATAGCTAGCTTTTCCATATATATCGTGTATGGCATCTTGCATAGGGCGTAGCGATGCGACAGTGTTTGGATATCGCAATCCACCGAGAAGGTTCGCGAGTTGCCGAGAGGAATGCACGTCGGACAAAGAATGCTCCGGCAAACTGAGTCGATTTTGCTGACGCAAGGGGCGCATAGCGTATATTTAGCCGTTTTCCACGATGACAAAGAGTCAAGGGTGCTTTGCGAGGAGTAACTCTGCTTTTCTCGGCAAATGGGCAACGTGACATAGAGTCAGATCTCACTGAGCGGACTCCATGGTTGGGTTTCGCCTTCTTGAGTGCTTTTATATCAGCGAATCTTCTTCGTATGAGAGGTGCAAACAGGCGGTCGCGGTCCATGCAGAGGAAACCCCTTTATCTGTATCGCTCTAACTGTCAAAAAGTAAGATGACTCGACATGCAGCCAGGCTTGCATATGGTCAACGTTAAATAAAGTGACTTGTCACTCAAGTTCACCGTAAACGCTCGCATGCTAGATATTAACCTCACCAGGCTTCTACGTGATATGAGAAGTGTGACCCTGCTCACATGAAAGTTTCCATCCTAACACTCGCGTCACGGCGACAATGTGTTTGCGTGACTGATGTTTCTGGCACATCATTACCGTGTTGACCAATGCCAAGTCACCTGAAGAATTGGCAAAACACAGCAGCCTTCAGCGCCGATGGCAATTGAACTGCCTTGGAATACATCGAATCCATCGTTGTCATGCAATCCCCTTTCGACCAACTTCTTTGCTTGCCATAACGTTTGAAAGGGTTCTCGCAGCCAAGACGAGCTGATCACATAAGATGATGCCCTTGGCTGGGCCGATCGGTGCAATCTTGGGTGTGATCGATCAGGATTTCTTTCACGGCATGCAAATATCGGCGCGATCGGGGTGGAATCAGGCTAGGGACCTTGAACAGATTGATTTAGCTCCATTCTATCAAGACGCGATACTAGCGTCGGCAGCGGTGTGATCTGGAATAAAAGCCCCTGGCCTAGTCGTTTCTCGGATTGATCAGATCACTTCTGAGAGACCTAACGGCCGGTCAGCGCGATCTGGGCAGAATCAGTGATGGGACGTTGGCCACGCCGATAGGGGTTCCCTCCAAGGTTCTGATAAGTCCATTTCGGTACGGTCGGGTGACATGTGGCCGCGACGGGACCAGCTTGATCGCTCTTTCCAAGAAACTAAGCTATCGGCATGGTCGGGTGGAAATGGACTCAATATCTTCGTCAAGCTAGGCCAAGATGACCAAGGTCGCGCGCTAGCAGTCTAGACCCCACCCCGACCGGACTGCTAGACCAGTGCAAAATCTCTCGGAGGGAATTTGGATGGATATAGCCAGATACCTGTCAGGTCTCACAGCCAAGCCCGAGCAAGGAAAGCTTCTCAGAGGAAATTTAACCAAAGTCACTAGCCCAGTCCCACCTGCACCTCAAATCACAAGGACAGACCTGCACCCCATGAAAGGGACCCGATCTTTCACTAAGACTTTGTCCAAGCCCGCACGGACAGAGTGTCAGTCCATTTTAGAAGGAAGTCAGGCCGATCTGCAAGAAAATTTGGAAGGGATCGTCGGTGCGGTCTGGGAGGGGACGATTATGACGGTCTTGGCAAGGTCAATCCAGCTTCGAGTAACATTCGTGAGAGGGCTATCGAGGCGAACTGGTATCAGATCGGGGTCTGGATCTTGATCTGTTCGATCTGAATTCCTTCTGAGGACTGCATCCTTGTACATGTGTCGGTGTATTTTGAGGTAGTATCGGGCCATTGTGCTGGCTGAGAGCATTTTGTCAGGAACTTCATGATGGAGCCTGTATGAGGCAATGTGAGATCTGCCGCTATGGCACCCCTCGGATGATCCCTCAACGAAGCAGCAGCACCAAAGATGGAGAGATGGAGAAGAAATTGTGTTGCTGGGGTTCTTGAGGGGAGCTTCCTCGTTCGTTTCGCAGACGTGGTTGATTGTCGCACCTTCAAGTTTAGCATTGAGGAAGGAGTGAAAACTGAGACTCTGGAGACAGTGAGATGGATTTACATCAAAAACAAAGAACCATGTGTGAATCCTGATAAATTGAAATATATCGCAATTGAAGGATAGTGTCTATGGAGTTGCCTTCTTTCACACCGGCCAACTTGGCTTAATCTACTCCGTACTGCCCCTCCATATGACTGGACAATTTCGAAATGCCCTCTGTTCCGTTCGTCCAATGCCCCGAGGCTGGAGTCTTAAAGGAGTGTGGGGTGGCGGGATTGCGCAATGGCCACTTCAACGCCATACGGACCTTTGGATTCCGGTGTCATTTTGCGCGCTATATGTATCTTGTTGGATAAGTCTTGGTAGTGTTGTCGGCAATGGGGAAACTTGGAAAGACGCGATAAAGTGGGATTAGCAGTCAGAAGATGATTGGCAGATGCTTTCCGGGCATTACTAAACGCAGACTTGCTCGCGCTCCCTTCAATCTTGATATGTGGAGCCTGCATAGATTTACATATAATCTGACAATGCAAGAATGCAGACATGCACGGTCACGCGATGGGATGGATATCGACCCAAAACAAGGCTAAGCCAATTCGGCTACTGGCAGCTCAGCAGTTATCGTCCAATCAAACGGTCAATTGGACATGCAAGGATATGGAGGTCAATGCAGAGCAAGTGGGCAAGGTTGTCTGGAATGTGGAGTCGTGAGAAGCGGTGAACATCTGCCAAATCTGGGGTTAATGAGTCTTGAGCGCGCCAAAGTGAAAGTGAGCAAATCGGCGAGATTGATGAATCTCCAATGGTGCATGAATCACCCGTGAAGGTCGAGCGCATCACTCCATTCCTGCCAGCCCATCGAGGGACACAGTGGATGAGGTGAGATCGGGTGGTCGACGTTCACATCAAACACGTGGGTTCCCACAGATGATAAACTGGGTATCCACCAAGACTCGAACGATAGCGGATACAATCAGTACGCGGTGATAGAGACGTGCGATGTGATCTGTGGAATATCGGACGATATATTGTAATCGGAAGCGGGAAGAGCAAATGGGAGGCTGAATCGCGTGAGACCAACAGGGGCCAATAGCCTCCAACAAGAACACATTCAGCTTGATACGGAGTAGTCATGAGGTTCAAAGGATTCCCGGGACCCCGACGGTCCAAGAAGTCGTCCCGAAACATTTTGTAAAAGGAGTCGGATAATTTGGATGACAACATCACATGGGGCCAATCACACCATCGATGGATGTCTCATTTCCATAAGTGGCAATTTCACCTTGAGCCTAATCAGAAAAGCCCCGCATCTTCGACCAGGTTTTAAGTTGCCTGTGATTGGGTCCCGGGCCATGTGTGAGATATCAAAGTCAGCTATCTCACCTCGGTTATCAGACATGCTTTGATGTGATAGGCTGGATGAGATGGCCAAGAGACAAGGTTACAATGGAAGTTACCAGCCAAGCCTCACGACGCGGGGAGAAACTCGGCCAAACCGTGGGCCAAGATATGCCAAGACGCGCTAATCCGACACTAAGTAACACCAAGTGGATACCAGGCCCAGGGGTTTAAGCCCACAATAGCTCATTGATTGGTTGATCCAAATTCAGACGTCCATTAGCCTCTCGGGATATCTTTTACTTTCCAACAAAGCGCGACTTCCAAGGTTTGCTTATCGACGGGGGAAAGTGATCACGGCCGGATGTGGCCGAAGCTCACCATTGGACTCCCCCAACACACTTCCCAAGGTCAATCTCGTAAAAGCACTAAGACGCAGGGTCTTTGCCGGCTATTGACGGTTTTTGCCAAGTCCGCCGTACGCCATCCGCCACGTCCCAATCCAGACAATGCCCCGGGATTCTGGAATGAGAGAAGCGAGACTCTTGGAGACACTAAACAGGTACGCTAATCACGCCATGGATCATATAATTGCTTCACCTCGCCCTCCCACAAGTTTTCTTTTCCTTTTTCTTTCCTGCTGTGTGTTTCATCTCTCACATCTCTGGATCCCAGAACCGCCACTATGAATGCCAGTGATCCTGCCGAAGTGAGTGAGATTGCCAAATCCAAGGCAATCTCCCACGACATCAGTGCCGATGAGAAAGTCCCAGTGGTTGATGACCTGACCATCGACAATGCCCCTCCCGTGAGAGAAGTCTCAATCGAAGGAGACGACTATGCTTTGGAAAAGACCACTCCTACAGATGAGGAACTGGCCACTTTGCGTCGTGTTGCGGGTAAGCTGCCCGCAGCAGCATACAGTGTTGCCTTTGTGGAACTGTGCGAGCGTTTTTCGTACTACGGTACCACTGCTGTTTGTATGAACTATCAATCTTTTGGGGGAGGGAGAACACATGACTAACCTGACTTAGTCGTCAACTTCATTCAGCGACCTTTACCCGATCAATCCACCACCGGTGCCCTTGTTCCAGGTGTCTCTGACTGGAGCAATGAATCGCCTGGAGCTCTAGGTATGGGCCAACAGGCCTCTACCGGATTGACATTGTGTAAGTGACCAGCTCTCGAAGGGTCGGCGCACTGCTAACATGCCTCACTTGCTCAGTTAACTCTTTCTGGTCCTACATCATGCCCCTCTTTGGTGCCATAGTTGCTGATCAATATTGGGGTCGTTACCGCACCATCATGTCCGCAATTGCCTGTGCACTCGTTGGACACGTCATTCTCATCGTTTCCGCCATTCCCCAGGTTATTGAAAATCAAAAAGGAGCCGCTGCATGCTTCTCTATCGGTCTTGTCATTATGGGTGTAGGAACTGGTGGTTTCAAGTCCAACATCTCCCCCTCATTGCTGAACAATATACCGACGACAAGCCTTATGTCACAACACTTGCTAGCGGCGAGCGTGTCATCGTTGACCCAGCTGCCACGGTTGCTCGCATCTACCTGTACTTCTACATGATGATCAACATTGGTTCCTTTGTGGGTCAGGTCGCAATGGTCTACGCCGAGCGATACGTTGGTTTCTGGCTCTCTTATCTTCTGCCCACCGCCATGTTCTGTCTCTGCCTGCGGTATTGCTCGTGTTCAAGAAGAACTACATCCTCACTCCTCCTAGTGGATCGATCTACGGCAAGGCTTTGAAGGTGTGGGGTTTGGCGCTGAAGGGCAACTGGAGTCTAAACCCCGTGCGATGGTAAGCTACATCCTGTCAACGAGTGTTGTTGCACCTACTAACCTTGACTTGTAGGTTCCAAAAATCTGATAAGGATATTTGGGCCGCCGCCAAGCCCAGCCACTTCGGGGACAACAAACCCGCCTGGATGGACTTCGATGATGCCTGGGTGGATGAAGTTCGACGAGGACTGATGGCCTGCAGAGTGTTCTTGTGGTACCCCCTTTACTGTATGTGGACAATTTCCATCTGCTGCCTTCGCACTATCTGACCATCCCTAGGGCTCGCCTACAACCAGATGTTGAACAACCTGACATCTCAAGCGGCCACCATGAAACTTGGAGGTGTTCCCAACGACATCATCAACAACCTCAACCCCATTTCACTGATCATCTTCATTCCCATCTTCGACCACATCATTTACCCTGGTATTCGCAAGATGGGTTTCCACTTCACCCCTTTGAAGCGTATCACGGCCGGTTTCATTATGGCCGCCCTCAGTATGGTCGTTGCCGCGGTCACCCAACACTACATCTACAAGCTGGGACCTTGCGGCAGCAATGCCAACTACTGCATAGAGGAGGAGCAGAAATACACCAATATCTCCGTTTGGGTTCAGGCCCTAACCTACATCATGGGTGGTATTTCCGAGATCCTTGCATCTGTGACTTCCCTTGAGTATGCCTACACCAAGGCCCCGAAGAACATGCGCTCCCTCGTGCAGGCTGTGGCGCTGTTGATGAACGCCTTCTCGTCTGCCATTGGTCAGGCTTTCATTGGTCTGGCTAAAGACCCTCTGTTGGTTTGGAACTACACGGTGGTTGCTATCCTTGCCTTCGTGGGCGGTGTTGGATTCTGGGCCACCAATTACAAGTTGGACGCAGAGGAAGATGCCATGAACATGTTGCCAGACAGCCACTTCACTCCCCATGCGGCTGTGGATGAGGAGCGGAAGTGAAAAGATGATCTACTCTTTTTTTTTCGTATCGAACGAGATATGCCAGGATGAAGTAATGGTGCATGTGGATGGTTTGGGGTTAATACCCCGGTATGATCTACTAAAGCTGAACATATCTAAGCATAGCTTTAAGACCATGGATACCCATTGAAATGATATTTCATTTAATCAATTGTGTTCTTTCGTATGCAGCCCAAGAGCTGAGGTCTTTGCCCTCAGATTCCCAGTCCGGGCTCTTCACGACTTCTAGTTGTAAAATAGTACTAGTCACAAGACTAGTCTCGGGGAGAAACGTATGGTATTCTTCGAGTAGAGAATAATTCTTGCTAAGTTCAAGTCCAAAGGGAAGCACTTTCATACTACATCATCCCCGGATCGTGCATGCAACGCAGCTAGTCTCCGACTTTTCGGCATATGTAGTACTAATGATCACCTCGTCGTTGGGAAGCTATAATTTCATGCATGTTGAAAGCAATGGAGGTTATCTCTGGAATGTGTGCTTGTCAATGAGATATAGAGGGGGTTATGTGATGCAGTTTCTTTCTTTGTTTATCCCAAAAGGATATTTTTCCTAACCTCTGTCTCTCTTCAGCATCTTGTATTTGCATTTCTGCATATATACCCTTCTACATTCCTGTCCTTGCACCAGTGGTATTGTCCCTCCCTGTTTCTCAGTCTTTACTATTATTACGTGATTCAATCTACTGCAGTCATTCACGATGCCGCCGGCGAGGATTTTCGCTAATGGAGCGAGGCAGGCAGTCTTTCGGGCAACACGGAGCACCTAAATAACCATAACCAATGGGGCTACGGGTAAAAAATCAGAATGGAGGAGTACTTGCTGTTCCAGGAGAGATGGCCATACGAAGATAAACTCGACCCCAGCTCCCGTAAGACCCCTACGCTTGGCTAAGCCCCTCAAAAGACATATAAATGACTACAAGGTTTCCTCCCTTTCGATGCCTACAGCCAACAAGTGGCCAATCAGGACGGAGTCTGAAAATACGACCCAAAGGCCGTCAATCAGGGCCACCGTCTATATGCCGCTGGCTCAAACAGAAATTGCTCGAAGAAAGGGTTGAAGAGGCTTTTTGAGGAGCAGACTGTCAACCTGGGTCTACTGGCATTTCTTACGTCTCTTGGGGCAAAGTACCCGTCAATCAAAGCCCGCTGGATGCCGCATCAAAAGCCGGCTTTCAGTTTCCTATACAGCTTTCGATGCTACTGGCCACAACCTTGCAGAAGAGGGATTGCTTCGGAATCCTGCTCAGAATTCTCTCGCTTTTCTCTCACTTTCACCTCATCATGATCCCACTCATATCTGTGTGCTTTGCGCTTGTACTAGATACTGTCGCCATCCAAAGGTGTCAAGCTTCCTCCTTCAGAAGCTTATGCCGAGCAAGAAGATCCCCGTCTCGATAACCAGATTTCAGAGAGGGTCTGCCAGATTCGGAACATCACGAAACCCCGGCCACCACAGGGACCTAGCCGCACTCCAACCGGTACGGGATACTCAGCTTCAGATGCTCAATATTTATATAGAGATGTCCTCTCAGTCAGCCGGGACGCAATTCCGACAATCCCCCTACATGGTCCTAGCTCTCAGTCTGTGGGTGCGGCAGGTAGCAGCCCTGTGCCCACTCAGAGCTCAGCACTCAGCAGCGATCCTGGACCTACAAGCCTGCTGACAATTCTGACAGCTGCAGCGGATGCAGAATGGGCCATACCCTGCACTGTGCTGCCTGGCTAAAAACAAACGGGATGCTAACATCGAAGCAGCCAGTACCACAGTTACAGTGGTTTTCATCCCGCTGATCCAAAGCATTGTCTCGGGGATAATCGCATCACTGCTGACTGATAGTGTGATCGCCTGCCGGTGGGATTCCCCTTTACTTGCTCAACCGGCCTATGTTGGGAATACTAACAATGTACTCTATAATATATAGTTATCTGTTTATCGCCGTGGGAAGTTTTGGTGAAGTTTACTTGAACTGGTTGAAAAGCAAGCGTCTTGCTCGCTTGCCTAAGGACGGGTTCTTGCGCATGACCCGATACTGCCCATGGTCGTTGAAGAGGGTGATGTCCGCCTGGACAGATGGCATCAAAGGATGGAGAACATACTGAGATTCCTGGTGAAAAAGAGAGAGGGAGGCGTATCTGCCTACCTGGTCTCAGATGAGAAGTCATTCTGCCATGGATTTATCCAGCCCATAGGAAAGCATTCGGCTGAATAGATTCCGGATATCTTCAATGATATAATCCCAGAATCTACGAGGGCAATCCTAGAATATTCCACTCTGACGCCAGAAGACATAATGGCCTTGCCAAGCGCTGATCACTCGGTGTCTGATCCAAGCGTGTAAGCGCGCCTGACATTCAAATTCTCAACCATTGTTCTGGCTATGATGATTGCGATTGACAGTTGTTGGGCGGGCATGTGTACATTTCCAGAGAATTACGAAATGCAGTCTAAATGGCAGGGGTGTTGTTCATTTTAACATGATCGCATATTGTGACAACAGCTAGTCTTGATCGCAATATAGTTTGTTAACAAAGGCCTGGATGAAGAGATTAGCAAGTCGTTGCTTGTCTCTTTCCAAATCGTATCGACGTAAGAACTTGCAGTCCGAGAAGCCAGGTGGAGGATATGAGTTTGCGACAGTTGTGTAGAAGAAGAAAGGGTCAAACAATGGCTAGTTACCTAGAAAGTCTCAAGGATTCCGTGTCTCCGTTCCAATATTACCACTAGGACAATACAGGGACTTGAGGACCTTCCCCTCAGCTGAAAAGAGCAGAAAAAGCAATGAGTGGCGATCATGCTACCTTAACAACAGGGCTCAGCTGAAGGCTCGGCTCGGCCCGGGGATGTAAATCTTCACTACATCCATGGATTAATCGAGGACCTACGTACGAGAAGGAGAACAATTTGTCTTTGCCATGCCGGAGACCGTCGGGGATCAAAATTATATCGTATATCCATGGATGACTCCACCTGGTGAATATGTTGTATATTTGTACTATTGAGATCTAAGGTGGATGTTCAGCTAAAATATTCGATCTATCAGTTGTGTACGGAGACATTAGCGTACAATCTGCGGACCACATCACGGTGAGACATATGATCTTGGCCATATGATGATCGCTATAGGAGTCTTGCATGTAAATCTTAACCCATCGGGGCATAATCCCCGTTCAGCCTTGACCAATCCACTTTAAACCCACCTGTAAGACTCCTCCGACGAATATGCAACACGCCAGCTGAAGAACATTTACAAATATTGAGACCATGCATTTCACCCAAGATGTTATGTTCGAAGGCAAGAAATAAGTAGTAGAAAGGAAAGGAAAGAGGGGTATGCGCCTATGATATTGGATATATTGGATTGCGGTCTTTTCATTAGCCCTAATTGATTTGCTCCGCTAAACTCGAGTTATCCTCCGGATGAAAGGTTAGCGCTGATATACCCAGCTGGCTATACAGTAGTCACGGTGCATCGTACCTACCTGGGATTAAGTCCTGCAGCTATTACCCCTCCTGTCTTGGACAAAATTCCATAGGTGGGTTATCATTTGATGGGAAAGACTATAAATATGGGCTAGGGACCTTTGCAATTCTTTATACAAAGTATCATTAGTATCATTCAACCCTATATATCATTAGCGTCATCCAGTATGGCTGGGTCAATGATTTGTCGAGTGCTTGCGGTACTATCACTCGGCATGATAGTCAATGCATCCCCAGTCCAACCAGCTCGCCGGGGTGAGTTTCACTATACAACAAAGCACAATATCCAATCTAACAATAGAAATATACCAGCAATCTCAAGTGAACTATTGGAACGATTCACTCTTTTCTCCCAATTCGCCGCCCTATCGGCCTGCGACCAAAACATCAACCACACGGGCCAAACTCTGACCTGCGACTACGGCGCCTGCCCGCTCGTAGCAGCCGACAACACGACAGTAATTAATACATTCCACATCGATCACGGCCCGACAGGCTACATCGCCTTGGACCACACGCGGGAACTGATCGTCCTAGCATTCCGCGGAACGGTATCCAAAAGCGACGGCGACACAGATCTCGATATCGCCCTCACCCCGATTGACGAGGTGTGCACCGGATGTAGGGCCCATCATGGGTTCTGGGTTTACTGGAGCGCCGTAGCGAGCCAGGCAACATCTCAGCTTCGCGATGCAACCAGCGCGTATCCGGGATATAGGTTGAGCGTTGTCGGACACAGTCTGGGCGGGGGTATTTCGGCGCTAGCAGGGACGGTTCTTCGAACACAGGGGTTCGATCTGGATATTGTGAGTCAATGTTCAAAACAAGAAATCAGTGTAGGTTCCAGCTAACATGTTATCACTAGTGGACATTTGGAGGCCCCAAACCAGGAAACATGAAACTGGCCGAATTCATCACCTACCAGCAAGTGTCCAACAGCATCTACCGAGCCACGCATACGACAGACCCTATCCCGAAAGTGCCGATCAATCTGCCTTTCTTGGACTGGAGTCAGCCTTCGCCTGAATACTGGATTACTCAGGAGACTGGAGTCCAGGTCACCACTGATGGGGTGAAGTATGTTGAAGGAATTAATAGCAAGGAGGGGAATGCTGGTTCGGATGGGGATTTGAGGTGGCCGAATCCTGAACATGGGTGGTATTTTGGGAATATGAGTGCGTGCGCGACTCCGATAGATGCATCATAGGCATTAGCTGATACTTGTGATGGCGCGAGGGATATTCTCCATGTTGTTTACTTCGGTGACAACCTGTGTATCATTCAAGACCGAAGAAGAATGCACAGTTGAAGAATAGGAATGAATATATTGTTACTGAGTCGCAAACGTCATATTTACATTGAGTTGGACGACCCCCAAATCATGGGGTGGTATATCATAAACATGCATCCATCAGGACAGCTTAGGGCGCAGACGCAGATTCGGCCCTTGCACGAATTCTAGTCCGGTGTCAATATCACCGCTCTGAGCGAACTTCAAGTCCTTCATGTAGTGATCACGCGGCTGCCAGGGACCACGATCAGCAGCCTTGGGTAATGTGCGCTGAGCAACCGACACATAAGTCGACTGGAGGTTCAAGAGAGGACGATCCTGGAGTGTAGCAGCATCCTTCTCCTTTAGACGGGGAATAGCAGCGACCAACTTCCGGGACTCAAGCTTCTTGAGCAAACGGCAGATAAACTGCGCCGTCGCATCCGAACCGAGAGTCCACGAGGCATTGGTATACCCGATAACGAAAGAGGCATTAGGCAGATCCTGGAGCATGACTCCATTCCATAGATACTTATCACCTATGTCAAGCTTGGTCCCGTCCACAGACAGAGTAGAGCCGCCTGCAATCTGCAGGCGTAAGCCAGTAGCAGTAATAATAATATCTGCGTCAAGCTCCTCGCCCGAATTCAAGAGAATACCATTCTTCGTAACCTCGCGAATTGTATCGGTCTTGACATCCGCCTTGCCCTGTCGGAGACTGCGGAACAGATCCCCATCGGGACAGACACACAATCGCTGGTCCCAGGGGTTATACCTGGGCTTGAAATGTGGGTCGTAGGGGATATGGTTGGGCAATTGCTTGCGCACATTCAACTTGAGGAGCCAGCGGGAGAAATTCGGGAAGCGCTGGCAGAAGAGGAAGAAGATGCGGGTAGTGTAGATCCAGATCATGCGCTGCAACTTGCAATACACTGAATTGGGGAGGAGGTAGGAGAGCCAGCGACTGGCTGAGCGGTTCGGAACGGAGAGGATGTAGGTTGGGCTGCGCTGGAGCATTGTGACACGGGCGGCATGGTCGGCGAGATTGGGGAGGAGAGTGATGGCGGTCGCGCCGGATCCGATGATCACGACCTTCTTGTCCTTGTACTGGAGGTTCTCGGGCCAGAACTGTGGGTGGACGATCTGGCCCTGGAAGGCGTCCAGGCCGGGGATGTCGGCCTTCAGGGGATCGTTGTAATTGTAGTAGCCCGTGCCGAAGATGACGTAGCGGGCGGTGTAGATCTGTTCGGAGTCATTGTGGTTGACGGAGAGCGACCAGGTATTTTCATCGGAGGACCAATCTGCGGACGACAGACGATGGTTGTAGAGAATGTGCTTGTCGATGCCGTATTTGGCCGCAGTATCACGCACGTATTGCTTGATAGCAGAGCCCTCGGCGATGGGGTTATCGCGGGACCAGGGGTTGAATTGAAAACCAAAAGTGAAAAGATCAGAATCGGAACGGATGCCAGGGTATTTGAAGAGATCCCAGGTGCCACCTAGATCAGTGCGAGCTTCCAAGATGGTGTAGGTGTAGCCGGGAAGTTGGTCTTGGACGCGGTAGGCGGCATTGATCCCGGAGATACCTGCACCGACGATGATGATATCAAAGTGGTTTTCATTTATTCCATTGAGTCCGTTCATGATGGATACATGTGTGGAAATTTTCAATTAAACGAACAATTGAGGTTTATCTAGTTTATTTAAAAAGACTTCACATGCCTCGGTTTCACGACACCTTTGATCGGCAGATCGACATTTGGGGTAAACAGCACGTCCAACATAGAACCTTAAAAATCTGCACGGGGAGATCGGGGAGATGCAGATGTAGGGGATTAGTACGATACTATACCATAGTATACTATAAGTACATCATAGATGTATTTATAGTCAGTGTATAAAAGTAACCAAGTTACACGGATCTCCGATCAATCCGGTTGGTTTAATATCAGATCTATAGAGATAGAGATCTATATAGATATAGTCCTATAGCCTCACATATAAGGATATAGACATGTAAAATGTAGAAATAGAGATCTAACTATGGACTACTTCATACAAATGTCAAAGATATGGCCGAGGAATTCCCCAGCCTCGGCACCTTCCTAATCGGGATAGCCATGCGAAGGATCGTCGCTTTCACACTTCGGCGGGCTACAATATACTACTCCGTACATACAATATACTTGTCATGGCCTCACTGGAATCATTGTGAAAGTCTAGTCATGTCTATTACCAAAATAACCAAAGTAACCAAAGTGAAGCTCTCCTTAAAGGAGAAACTCGACTTCCTCCCAGCTGTGGCCTCCATCGTCATCGCCTACATCTATGCCCTCCTCACTGGTCTTCGACGCAGCGAGCGCCAAGCCAAGTCTTTGTCCCTTCATTTGGGATATGCGGTGTTCCGCAAGGCAACCGCGCGGTTGACCACGACTCAGATGCAGTACATTTTACCGCCATCCCACAAGATCTATGAGCAACACTCCAAGAAGACCGGCAGACTCCCCGAGTCCGTGGATTTGGGCGACGGAGCATTGGGTCACTGGGTGGGCGATCGAAATGCCGACAACGTGTTGGTCTGGTTCCACGGTATGTATACAACAAAGAAAGAACCTCCAATTCCTATTCAATCGGATACTAACCATCATTCAGGGGGTGGCTTCGGACTACCCGCTAACATGGGCTATTTCAAATTCTACGCTCAGCTGCTACGTGACCTCAAAGCATCAGGTAAAAGTGTCGCGGTCTTTAGTCTGACCTACACCCTGGCGCCAATTGCAGTCTACCCGACTCAACTCCGCCAGGCCGTGAATTGTCTGCGATATATCCTCTCGCAGCCAAACCGCGACCCGTCCACGGTTTTCCTGGGTGGCGACTCTGCAGGCGGGAATCTGGTTGGTGGAGTACTCTCTCACCTGGCCCACCCACACGCAGAGATCGATCCCCTGCCGCTGCACAGCAACCTGGGCGGAGCAGTAATGATCGCACCATGGACACTACTTGAGAAAGACTTCCCAGGAATAGAGATCTACCACGGTGGCGATATCATCACGACGGCAGTTGCGGGACCGTGGTCGGCAGCCTATATTGGTGGGGGCAAGCGGGACTATTACACTGATCTATCGACTGCACCGGCGGATTGGTTTACGACGTTCCCGGTGAACTCAGTGTTGATTACCGCAGGCGGGAATGAGATCATGCTGCCTCTGATCCAAGACTTTGCGGCGAAGTTCAAGGAGGGCTTTGAGAATGTGGAGTTCTTTGTTGGGCATCGTGAGTGTCATGTGGCGCCGATATATCATTTGGAGTTGGGGAATGCCACGAAGACAGAGCAGGGGAAGAAGGTAGAGGCCGTTTTGGCCGAATTGATGGTGTGATTGTATATAACATTGTACATACATGGATTGAGTACATATTCTACAGTGGCCAAATAATCCAAGGGGCGTTAGCTTTAGCAGAAATATCCAAGCCATAGAGGTCCGATACTATACGAACTATGCTATTAAAAAAGGAAATACACATCGGCTATTCCTGTAAATATGATAACTCCATGGACCAGCCTGTGGTATTTCAACCCTTAATAGTATGTACATTCATCCGTTTACCAAATCCAAAATGCATACAACATAAGTCAAATTTCAAACATTCCCAAAATATATCCACTACGCCTGAGCCTCCTTCTCCGCCTGCTGCGCAATACGCATCCTTCTCAACGCACCCGACGCAAAAGTGCGCACACCCTCCTGCATCCAGGTCGGCATAGCCCGCACCAACCTAGCCACCGACTGACTGGCAGGTAGAATAACCTGACCACTAGTCTGCGTCAAGATCTGCTTACAGATAGCATCGGACACAACCTGGGGCGTCATGATAGGCTGCTTGAAATGGGCCTCGTGGTCTGTGAGCATCTTGATCATGGGCGTACGAACCCAGAAGGGGTGAACAACACTAAAAGCAAAAATCAGCAAAAGTCCCTCTGACACTCAATCCGAGAGTAACTCACCTAGTGCGCACATTGGGTGCATTATACCAATACTTCAACTCCTGACGCAGTCCCTCGTGGAAAGCAAGCGCACTAGCCTTGGAGCAACAGTAATCCACCATCTCGCCGAGAGCCACGAAGCTCGCCATACTAGCAATAGTGACGACATGGCCATGGTTCGCCTTCACCATGGCCGGCAAGAACTCCTTCACCATTAGGAAATGGGACAGGGTATTGACCTCGAAAGTCTGACGAATCTTCGCTTCAGGCTCATCGAGGATGGTCCCGTCATGTCCAACGCCAGCATTGTTGACCAAGACCGTAGGATCGCCGTGATTTTCGCGAATGGTCTTCGCGACTTGGGCAATATCAGCCGAGGAAGTGATATTCGCCTTGTAGAAGGTGACGTTGGCGGGTAGAGAGAAAGTCGGCTCATTAATATCAAGGATAATGACACGCACTCCCGTGCGCGCTAGGTCTTCCATGACCTGCTTGCCAATTCCGCTGCACCCGCCCGTTAGCAAGATGAGCTCGCGGGCTGGGATCCATGGTTGGTTGAAGGTCCAGTTTTGCAAAGTGCGTTTTGAAAGGAAGCGGTTTGTGATGCGGAGGAGAGTGAGGGCGGCGAGAACTCCGATCGCCTTTTGGGCTGTTGGTTGGTGGAGGAGATCTTGGGCGGGCTCTGGGAGGTGTGATAGAGCTGTTTGAGTATATTGGGTGATGAGGTTGAGGGTAGACATCGTTACTACTATGAATGAGGTGAGGTGAGGTTTGTCGGAGGATAAAGAATGATCGGGTTATATTAAGGATAATAAGTATGTTAAGGCCATTGAGGTATTAAGGTATTAAGGACATATCTGATATTTAGGGCATATATCCAACCGAGGCTTCACATTTTAGAGATTTCCCACTAATAAGGAAATCTATGCGAGAGAATATTCCCCACAGGGATCGACAAGAGATCGACAGTTATGACATCTTCTTTTAGACTGAATTTAGACTGAGTTTTCTTTGAATATCTTCGTCTGTTCTTTCATGTCTTGCATGTCTTGCATGTCTCTTCACATGTCTCTTGGCATCCCCGCATTGTGGAGGTCATCTCCCCTTCCAGCCCTAATTTGTCCAATATCAACTACTCTACTGGTCTAAGCCTCCACGGGAAATACTTGGACATCACAAGCTAACATAATGCAATACCTCTAATTAGAACTCTACCTCTTTATGACATAGAACAACATGCAGATCCAAATAATGGCAATTCACAGAGCCGAGGTCTCGCATGGGTCACCCCAACAGGACTGCCGATCCCTGTGGGGCATATGGGGATATATCGGATACAAAATTGAGATATGAGCTTCAACTCCTGAATCCGAGGCTTTTGTCTTTCAACTCGATTCAAAGAAACATGGCCCTTGGTGACAGTGTACTGGCAGTGGGCGCATTCACCCTTGCCGAGGCGTATTTCCTCCAACGCACTATCTTGACGGACACAACCTTTCAGAGAATCTGTCTCAGCGCACTGGGAGTAAACATCCTCCTAAAGGCCTTCTACAACATAATAATATGGCCATTTCTACTAAGCCCAACGCGGCATCTACCGAAAGTCAAGGTAGGAAGCAAAGCAGAACGAATGCATACACAAACCCCTAACCTCCTACAGGGCTCACATGTAGAACTCGTCTTTGACTCGCCACGGGGAACAAAACCCCTCCAGTGGATGAAAACCGTCCCAAATGAAGGACTCATCCACATGCGCGACACGTTCAATCAAAGCTACGTCATCCCAACCAACCACCAAGCCCTGCTAGATGTCATGAGCACGAACACATACGACTTTGAGAAGCCATGGCGAATGCGCAATTTCCTCGCCCGGATCATCGGCTTCGGGATGATTACCTCTGAAGGCGCTGCGCACAAGAAGCAACGCAAAGCACTCACGCCCGCGTTCAACATCAAGAATATCCGCTCGATGTATTCGCTCATGTGGAGCAAGACGGGACAGTTACTGGATGAGCTCGAGAAAGAAATCAAGGTCCAACCAATGGATGGAACGGGTCCAGAAGACCAAGAGGGTAAGATTGAGATGTCCGAGTGGGCGAGGTACGTGTTATAGAAATCGCATGATCCCGAGATTGTTCATATTATACTAACAACCATACAGCCGCCTCACACTTGACATAATCGGACCTATAGCAATGGGGCGTGATTTTGGCTCGCTGCAGAACAAGCGAAACAAGGTGGCAGACAGCTTCGCGAAGATCCTCGAGCCAACCAAGGAGAAGATGGCGTTTCTGATGATGAACTTTGCGTTGCCGCAGTGGATGGCGAGGCGTGTGCCCTGGCGGCAGAACGACGTACTGAATGCGGAGACGGCGTATCTGCGCAGTACCTGCGATGAGATTGTGCGCGAAAAGCGAGCCAGTCTTGCTGGATCCAAGGTTTCTGCTCAGGATCTCGAGGCTGATATTCTGGGAACGATGATGCTTGGTGGGGATTTCTCGGATACGGAGTTGGTTGACCAGATGTTGACATTTTTGGCTGCTGGGGTAAGTATCCCACCACAGCTGCATTGCTATAATGAATTTGGGTATCCGCTTAGGTGAGGGACTAGCTAACTCCTCACAGCACGAAACCACCGCCAGCGCCCTAACCTGGGCCTGCTATCTCCTCCACCTGCACCCAGAATACCAAACCCGCCTCCGCGATGAAATCCGCTCCAAGATCCCATCAGGCAACAGCCCAATATCCTACCAGGATCTCGAATCCCTCCCGTTACTAAACGGCGTCTGTCAAGAAGTCCTCCGTCTGTACCCAACGGTTCCAACCACAATCCGCGAAGCAGTCCGCAACACCGTCATAGCAGGGAAGTACATCCCGAAAGGGACACGGGTGGTGTTGTGTCCGTGGGCGATCAACCGGAGCCCGCTCTTCTGGGGCGAAAACGGGGAGGAATTCGTGCCTGAGCGCTGGATCGACACGGACAAGAACGGACACTGTATCCCGAACAATAATGGTGGGGCGTCGACGAATTTCGCGCAGATTACGTTCCTGCATGGGCAGAGATCTTGTATTGGGAAGGACTTTGCGCGGGCGGAGTTGCGGTGTGCGGTTGCTGGTGTTGTTGGCCGGTTTTTATTTGAAATGCAGGATCCGAAGCAGGAGATTCATGTTGCTGGGGCTGTTACTATTAAGCCGGTTGAGGGGATGCATTTGAGGATGCGGAGGATTGATGAGTGGTAGATTTTGATATGGTGTTGATAATTTATGATTTGTTTTATGTATATTGGCTTCATGTTGATAGCTTCTAACTGTTTGTTGATTAGTTTAGGATAATAAGCATATATTGAACCTATAAGCTACCCCCGACTCAGCCCCGAGCAGACTAGATTATACATATAGTATACTCGACTTAAGCAGAAGGAGATGAGTCAATATCATATTGTACAGCAGTGTGAAGTGGATTCACTGCTACATACATACAGAGTACTCCATATTCCGATACCATTGAGTAGGTTGGAACGTGGGCAGCAATATCCTCTAAGTGTTAACATGTACATTCTCTCGTTTAGTTGATAAAAAGAGCAATTATATGTCCTCGACCATGTCAATCAACGCCAGCCAGCTCCTCGCCACTGCACCAAGATAGTGGGAATAACACTGACACCAACCATGAGAGCAACGGCAATACCAGCACCACCAGCCCATCCAACAACCTCAAACATCTCAGGGAACCAGAAAGGACCAATGAATCCCCAAATCTGCCGAACAAAGGTAATAAAAACACCAACACTGGCAGCATCTTCACGGTAACAATCAACCGCATAAGTAATGTCAACAGTAGTAACGATCTGATTACCACCAGCGGCAATAGCGGCGCCAATAACGGGAGCGATAGTCCATGCACCGCCAGAATCCCGGATCTCGATAGCAAAGACCACAATACCACAGATCGTCAAAGCGTGGCCGATATAACTCAACCAAAGACGGTATTCCGGCGGGGATGGTTCTCCAGTCCGCTTCTGACGCATAAGCATCCAACGATCGGAAATAAACCCGCCGATCTGTTCGCCAATGACAGACCCGATGATAATACCCAGAAATTGCAGACCGACCTGCTGGGTGTTGAGGCCGAACTTGGCAGGGTAGATCTGGGAGATCTCGATTGTGAGCGCGACACTGCCCCAGAGAAAGATCATTGCGTAGGCGACGGCTGGGATGATCACGCATGGTTTGGTCACGTAGCTCAGGGGCTGGAAGAAGTCCCAAAGTCTCAGCGGTGTAGGGTCGATGCGGTGGAATTTGAAAATACTCTGATTGGCGGCTATGACGTTGTCGGAGGGGACATTGCTGCGGACATAGAGGGATTCCGATCCGAAGAAGAAGTAGAGGACGAACTGGACTGCGTTGACCTGTTCGAAGCGAATGGTTAGACGGATCTGTCTCCGGGGGGGTTGATATTAAAGAAAGCTCACAATTGCAAGAATATAGTAAATCCAACGATAGCCCACACGCAAAGCAACGAATCCAAAGATAAACGGAGCGGCAGGGACACCCAGGGTAACCATTACGGTCCACGCACCCATGCAGCGAGCACGATCTTTCCGGAAGAAAGTCTCTGCAACGACAGCGCTACCAATAGCAGCCGCAGGGCTGATAAAGAAGGCAGTAATAGCACGGCAGAGGCCCATGGTTGCATAGGAAGGACTCTTCGCACAGCCAACATTTCCAACCAAGCTGCAGATCAATGAGATGAGAAAGATAGGGCGACGACCATACCGATTACACAGCGGGCGCCAGAAGAGAGGCGCGCCGCCTAGCACGGCAATGAAGAGAGAGACGAGGTAGCTGGTCCGCTGCATACTGACGTCGAGGTCTTCGGAGATATTTTCGAATGCAGATTGGATCGACGAGGCAGTGAATGTGCCCATCATGGCATGGAAGGCTACTAGGGTTAAGTTCAAGTTTTTCTACCGAAGAACCAAATTAGAAACAAGGTTGAAGTGTGAATTGGCGATAGGAGTTGTGGTCTCTCACCCTCCATTGCGGCCAATTGTATGGATCGGCATCGGTCATGTCAGGAATTGGTTCGAGATCGAGCGTTCCATGCTTCGCAAGAATATATTGACGATGTTCCTCGGATAGATGGGTTATTCGGTCTTCAACGTAGAAGTCACATTGCTTTCCAGGCTCCATTCCTTGACTAGCATTTGCACTTTCAATGTGCTGGTGTTGGCTATCCATCTTCTCCATGTTGAATATGAAAGCTAGGATCTGTGGGAAGATAATAGCACAGACAAAGAGAAGAAAGAAATAAGCAGAAGCACTTTATGCCATTCTTATAGCAAAGACCCCGTCAAATCTGGGATCCCGCCCTTTCCCCGTACTCCGCGTTTCCGGGGATCTGGGGGTGGGGGCAAAGGAGACTGTGGATTCATCTCCCCCGGATTGGAGAGATTTGTAAGAGTCGTAAGCATCTGCAGGATACTAGGCTCCTGAATCCTGGACCTTTCCCAACAAGGCACGATACATCCTGACCAAAGACAGGGGCGGATATAGTCTCAGCCGGTGTCCATTCAGATTGTGGAGGTTTGTGGGGTGTGGGGAGAGAACAGCCCAGTATGAGGGCGGTTGTATTCATCATGACGAGATGGTATCTAGGATGACGGCTTGATTTTGAATCTCCTCTGTTGTTGCTCTTAGGGGACGTCGTCCGGATCGGATATCAGCATCTATTTTCTCCCGGGGAAGAGACTTGACGATGCTTGTTTTCGTTTTCATTGGCTAGCAGGCCCAGATGGAGCTTCTCGACTCTCCACATTTGCTGCTTGGCTGCTTGGCTGCTTGGCTATTTGACTGTGTGACAGGTTGACTGTTGGGTCAAATCTCCGTATGGCCATCGAATAAGTGCAGAATAAGCGACTAGTTTGGACCAACCTGCTGTGAAAGCCCTGATAGTAATCGGTTGGACTATTTCATGGTTTGACGGGTGTGGAGAGTTGATACCATCTGGTTGGATGTTCAACGCCAGCGGGTTAACTCGGAGATGACTACTCCGTTGACTTCGGACATACACCCCTCGGACTACACTTCCTATTAAGTCAACATTTTGTGCTACTAGGTAGTTTTTCTTCAAGATAATTCACTTTGGAGTTTTGATCTCTATTTCCATAGACTATTCTTCTAAGCATTATACTGAACCATCTAAGCCGAGCTCGACTGGCACTCCATACCAACATCTCCGTCAATTCCATCGCAGGTCACGACGGGAGGACCGCCAGCCGGGCTAGTAATATCGATATCGGAGAGATGGATATCTGCGCACACAGCATTGGGCGAGCAAGTCAAGTCACCGATAACCTTGCCATTCTTGCCTGACGAGGTGCCATAGATGTTCTCGAAGTTAATGTTGGTGAAGTTGACTGACGACGGGTACTCGGCACAGGTGGCGGCGTCGATGTTGAAGTAGCACTGATCCAGGACGATAGGGGAGTCGGTGTTTTCGATGTGAACGTCCTTGTACGTGATGTTGTTGATGCGACCAAAGCCGACGTCCTGTCCAGCCCAGGCCTTGAGACGAACGCCGTTCTTGAATTCGAATTAGGATCGCTCATAAGTCAATTTGGGGGAGTCATCTTACCTCGCCGTTCAACAGAGTCACGTTCTCAATCCAGGCATGCTCGATGATATCCTCGACTCCCGAGTACTGTCCGATACTTCCCATGCTGACACCGTGGGTGTTGTTGCACCACAAGTTCTGCACGAAAATGTTGGTGGTGTTGGGCTTGGGGAGAAGCAGTCATCGCCGATATCGACGCGAGTGTTGGTCACACGGAGACCGTCTACGTTGAGGGAGTCAAATCCGTCGGTGTTCTTGGGCAAAGCCTGCGGAAGGGTGATTAGACTTGATTGATAATGGCACCAGATGTACGACTCACAGATGCGTTGGTGGAAAAGGCGTTGATGTAGACATCATCGAAAGAGACATCCTTGGTACGGACGAAGAAGTTGGTCCAGCAGGGGGAGTTGAGTTGCGTGATACCCTCGACAGACACGCGGGTAGCGTTGTCAGTCATGAACAGAACGGGACGGTAGAAGACGTTATCCGGGTCCTAAATTATCCATTAGCACATGTCATTCCGGACTCCTTTGGAATGCTATGCTCACCAGAATTTCCATGCCAGCAAAGGCATTGTACCACTCCTGACCATTGCCATTGAGAGTACCCTTTCCGAAGATCTTGATGTCCTGACCACCCCACACCCAGAAAGTGATAGATCTCTGGAAAGAGTAGTAGAAGTGGTTTGCTTGCCAGTAGTCGATATCGTCGGTGAACTGCTCATGTCAGGGCAGTTCAATCAATCACAGTCTTGGGCTATATACCTTCACTTCACCCTCCAGCTGCACCTCGATATCATCCAAGAAGCTGAGGTCGAGCTTCTTGCCAATGACATAGGTCTTCCCCTTTTGCAAGAGAAGTCTGCCGCCGTGGTTGGCAGCCTTGATTCCCCAAAGGAAGTCATCCGAAATATCATCGGTGTCGCTCTTCGATGACCGGATTGTCACTGTCCGACGGTCGTGGTGCTTGTGATGTCCATGAGCACCGATCTTCTTCAGACCTGCCTTATCGCTGGCCGGGATGATCTGAGCACCTTTGATAATATGCTCTGTCGCAAGCGCACTAACTGTGCTGAGCAGGAGCGCACCGATAGCGAGGAACTTCATTATAGCGAGGTCAATGAAATCAATTGGTACTGCTGTCGGCTGATCCGTAGGAGAGTTAAGCAGGCGATCCTGCTAATTTATAAGAATACCCCGGGATATCGGTCCTAGCAAATGGAGTTCACGCCTTTCCCCAGATTACCAATGTCCGGGGAACGGCACGGGCAGGGGAAGAGATTTCTCCGCCTGTAAAAAGCAATTCCATCGCACGCTGGTGTGATCGGCAGGAGATGCGGAATGCGGCAGTAGGGCGAGTTAGCGGTGTTGAGTATAGACAGTCAATGGAGTCATTTCTCCGCATTTCGTCAAGGGTATGGATAAGCGGGGGATGCGGAGAGACGGGATGAGCCTAACGAGCTTAGGCATTGGATTATTGGGATTCCAAATTGTTGTGATTCATTGCTATGGCGGGGATTCATTTCCCCGTCTGGGGGCTGATCTATGCCTGGAGGGTTGGGTTCTTCCACCAATCAGCGGAACAGTTCGTCATTCAACGTTCTCGTCGTGGTCTCGTAGTTTTTCCAGGCTTTGGAGGACTGTCGAGGCTTCTTTTCTTCAGTGTTTTCATTTTGCGTTGGATATTGTGTTTATCGACGTGGCTGGCGCCCAGTCTTGGATGGAGTGAATTGTCTCGTGGCAATTCGTCCTCGCCGTTGAAGAAATTTCTTGACGGGCAGCCCCCTCGTATCTTACCTTCATCTGATATCCTCGGTATATCCCTCGACCAGTCCTGGTAGACTTCGGTGGCAGAGGGCGTCTATAGCGCCTAGTCACACCGTCTTCCAGAGTTTATCTGGATGTCCTGGACTGTTATCTCAACCCAGTGGCCGGATAATACATGCAATTGTATGGTATTGTTCAGGTCATCTATAATCGGAGATAGGAAGACAACTAAAAAGCGCCTCTATCTATTTTACAACTTCTTGCTGGCCTGCACCAGCGCATAAAGACAGCTGATGTTCCCAGACCACCAAGCCGCTGAGCGCAGAAAGCTCAAAGAATGAGATTCGACGTTGCAGTAGAGCAGGTGATATGCGACACGGGAAATCGAATACCAAACACCGACGGTGTTGATAGTCTCATTGGGGAGACCGGCGTACAAGGAGACGAGGACAGCTAAGGTCAGTACAGTGCAATAATTCCACCATAAACCCGAGAAGGAAAGAAATGGGGAAGGGATAGAAATTCAATTCCACATACTCGCTGCAACAAACAAAGTATACCCCTCCTGCGCATTGGCGTGCGCCGACGTCTGCCGCTTGAGCTTGTCAAGGGTGCGACGGGTAATCTTCCCCGACTGCACGGCCGCCTCACCGTATGTAGTCAAGTCCTCACGGGGGTTGGCATTGTGATCGAGACCCAGACGGATCTTTGCGCCGCGGGGGCTCGACAAAATATACGCGAAGAACCAATTCACCATCAGTAAGGCTGACGCGTGGTTCGCGGGTGGCTGGTCAGAGGCGCGGAGGCCGAGAGTCGTGAAAAGGGCACTGTGAAGGTTAGAAGGTTAGTCTGGAGATTTCGTTCTGGTGAGTGTATATGTGCACTTACGACATTATTGAATATGAGAGATTGTTGAATTGGGTTCTTTTCTCTGATCCTTTTTCAATGAGATCGACCTTGGAACTTTCAAAGGAGGCAAATCATCTGATCGACACGCGACAGGCCAAAAGGGGTCCACTTTTCACCTTCGATTTCCTCTACAACATATACAACATACAACATACTATTATTTCCCTGTTTTTTGAGTGGAAATACCCTCTGGATTCAATGTTTTCATACAGCTTCGCAATTTTAATTGGGCATGCTCGAAAAGCTGAGAATATGATTGTTATTATCTTCTCCAGGGGCGAAGGCCCACAAGACCACTGGATCGCCCATGGGCCATCTATCTGGCTTCACGTCGCCTTCTGAATTAAAATCAGATGGCCAGCGCGGATGTACCTTGCGGCCTACCCCGGTTGCACACAGCATATCTCGTACAGGAAGTTGAACAGTCTCTCTCCCTGGGATAAAAGATCATCGTCTTGTTCCTCCAACCATTCCAGGCAATCGGGCCAAGTTCTTTGAAACGCCATCCGCACTTGTAGGACCCAGGTTGCTTTGGCATCCCTTGCGTTCACTTTCAAGGTTCGTCTTCTTTTGTCAGGAGGACCGAGTTCACTTGTATCTTTCACGGTTGCGTTCCAGACAGGCGCTCTGTAAGTCAGTTTCTTTCAGTCTGTCGGGTTTAGTCGAAATCGAAGTTCCTGTGAAAGGCCCTTTTTGATAGTCGTGACCCCCGAGGTTGGTATGATACATCGCTCGTTCGGTTAATGAGCGATGCTACCTAAAAATCCGGGTCTAAGGTCAGAACAAATGAATACAAGGAGAGCTGATAGGCATGATTAATTCAAACGTACAGTATCTCAATGTTAACCTTCTTGGTCGCGTCATGGATCTTGAACTCATTGCCATAGATGTCGAGCATCTTGCCGGCCACCTATCCCGAAGGCATTAAGGATTTAGTGAGGTCAAGCATAGGGACTGGGACTGGCTTCGAAATATTGCGAGATGAATATTGCGAGATGAAGCTGACGGCTAAACAGTTCATGGGGGTGGTTGGTATTGAGCGTAACACGCTGAAGGATGCCGGTCGATCGGGACATGCAGGTTATAATATACATCAGTAGTCTCTATATAAAAGCTTGTCCTGCTTCCTTGATGGAAGTGTCTTTTGGGATCTGGGCTATCAAGGGGGATGATAAAGGTGCGAAGGTGAGGAAAAGGGAAGGTTGGTGTCGAGCAAATATATATCTACAAATAGTTGTACTCTGTATAACTCCCTAGTTATCTTCACTATGAGTCGGTCAGCCTTATATACAAGGCTATGATTTATCATCAAACACGCTATCCTTGTTCCTTTGTCCTGTACAAGGGAAACCCCGAAGCCATTTTGAGCCTAGCGAAAAGGATTTTATTTCAAAATTGAATCTATATTTTCAAATAGGGATATGGGGATGATTCGCTTAACATACAAATGCCGTTGTCGACTCGGACTACATCTATGGTAGACAGCCTCTTTCCCCACTACATAGCATGATCAAAATAGGGGCGCTGGTCAAGGCACAGGAAAACCGGTTGTTTAGAATAACAGAGCGCTCACGGCGGTTAACCACGCTGTTAGGAACAGGGTTATTTTTGGACAGAGTAATACTTTTTATACTGGTCTCAGATAGTAGGGACTTTGAACCACTTATAATAATCACAGAAAATAGGGGATTACGGAGTAGCTACCCAATGAAAGTCATAGTAAAATGAATTTATCGTACTCATGCTATAGCCCTGTCTCATTCCATATCTTGCTGCCTGACTACGTCAATACATTTGTCCATAACTAACTATAAATGTACATATTATCGTGCTGCGCCACATTTTCGGCCTTTCGGACCGGCGACCCCGAGAAAGTGGGAATGTTTCCAAGTCAGGGGCTAATTGCTTCGCCTCGTTTATAGATGTGGCAAAGCAGTTAAGTCGCATTGGTATTTGTATTATCCAATATCAGCCCTGTTGCAATCCAGGGCTAGAATGTTTCCGATTTAAGAGCAAGGGATGGGATCATTCCCAAGACCAATTTGTAATATTGCGATTATATTATATCAAGATCTATGCTAATGTTTCTAGAAGGTCTTGGCTTGTCTTAGATGGAGAACTCAGATCTAAATTCGTATATAGCATGAGATACGGAGTACATTCTAACCAGATATGATGTTCATCACGTTGTCATCTATATACGTATATACCTCAAGTTAAAAGAACCCAACTTGAAACAGTGCCCAAACCCCCTTTTTTACTATGCTGATCATGATATCTTGTGTAAATACCTCAAAAATCTATCACGCGATTTATCTATGAGATATTTTCCCAGCATGCAACCATCGACATGTTAGAAAGAATATAAATTAAAGACTGTATTGCTAGTTGAAGTATCCCAATTTGAATCTACACACCTCGTTGCATAATGGGTTCTATACAGGAATTATCCAAGCTTTCTGGCCAGAGCGACTGCTCTTACGTCTATGGCTCCCGGTTCGCTGCCCGGCCTCTGCCATCGCATCAGCTTCCGGATGGAGGGATGCCAAAGGATGTGGCGTACCAGATGATCCAAGATGACTTGACCCTGGATGGTCAGCCAATATTGAAGTGAATATGTTTTCTCAAGTGTCCAAAAACTAAACTGACATGTTATTCGTATAGCCTCGCCAGTTTCGTGACCACCTACATGGTATTTCAACTTTTCATCGTATCTTTGACCGGCACTAACACTACAACAGGAAGACGAAGCCCTCAAGCTACTCGCCGAATCAGCAAATAAGAACATCATCGACCACGAGGAATACCCCAAATCCGTCGAGATCGAGCACCGCTGTCTGAACATCCTCGCCGACCTATTCCACTCCCCGATCTCCGACGGAGCCCCAACCGCCTTTGGCACGTCATGCATAGGGTCTTCCGAAGCCATCATGATAGCAACCCTAGCAATGAAGAAACGTTGGGAAATCAACCGCAAAGCCCAGGGGAAAGATTCCTCCAACCCAAACCTTATCATGAGCAGCGGCGTCCAAGTCTGCTGGGAAAAGGCAGCCAGATACTTCGATATCACCGAGAAGCTAGTCCCATGTACAGAGACGCGATACGTGATCGACCCAGTTCAAGCAGTCAACATGGTCGATGAGAACACCATCGGCATCTGCGCGATTCTCGGCACGACATACACGGGCCAGTACGAAGACGTACAAGCTATCAGCGAACTTCTCATTGAGAAGGGACTGGACACACCCATCCACGTGGATGCCGCCAGCGGCGGATTCGTGGCGCCATTCGTGAACCCGGATCTAGTGTGGGATTTCAAATTACCCAACGTCGTCTCGATCAATGTCTCTGGACATAAATACGGACTAGTAAGTACAGTCATTAATCCCCATAACTCCAAATCCCCAATTACAGCTCAATATACTGATCTCCCACAGGTCTACCCCGGCATCGGCTGGGCCCTCTGGCGGTCCCCAGAGTATCTCCCCGAAGAGCTAGTCTTCAACATCGACTACCTAGGCGCCGAGCAACTAAACTTCACAATGAACTTCTCCAAACCAGCATCCCACATCATAGCACAGTACTACCAGCTCATCCGACTGGGCCGAAGCGGGTACACGAGCATTATGAGGAACCTCACGAAAACAGCCGACTACCTCACCAGCCAGCTGAAAGAAATGGGCTTCGTAATCATGAGTGAAGGCGGTGGCCAGGGTCTACCGGTCGTGGCGTTTAGGTTGAGTTCGACGCAGAACGCCTTCTTGGATGAATGGGCGCTTGCACGGAAACTGCGTGAGAGGGGGTGGATTGTGCCTGCTTATACGATGGCTGCTGATTGTGAGACTATGGGGATGATGAGGGTGGTTGTCAGGACGGATTTCAGTATGGGACGGTGTATGAGTTTGATGCAGGATGTGCGGGATTCGTTGGGGGCTTTGGCGGGTTTGGAGATTCAGAATATTCAGCGGTATCAGGCGTGAGTATAATTTTTTCCTTGCTTGGAGGCTGATCTATCAAGGGATTTCTGCTAATCTTTGTTGGACAGATTGGTTCAGAGTTACGTTGCGATTTCGAGGAAGAACTGTGTTGATCGGGCGTGTTCGCGGGTTGTCAGTCAGGAAACGGGGAAAGAGATAGAGAGGATTTGAGGTTTGAATTGGCTTGTTTTATAGAGTTATATACGTTGTAGTTTTTTTGCTTTTATAATTCAGTCTTCTTAGACGGGTGTACAAGTTACCGACTATGCTTGGATTGCACAAATGTAGGAGCTGGGCGAATTTGAACTTTTCTTTCTCAGTAGGTGGGTAGGTGATCATGCTGGGATAGAATATTATTCGGAGATGAGAGTAGAGTTTGGGAATGACATTGAGCAGAGACAACATCACAGGTACGGCAGTGTATAATCACAGGGCATCAAGCACATCAAGATCAAGGAATACATAATTCATGAAAATGTCGGCAGGTTGCCAGACAAGTCGGCATCCCAATCCCACAACTCCGGGCCAGTGTAATCCAATCCATCGAACCAGCCTCCTAAATCCATTGGCTGTGAAAGGTCAGCATAGTCCCAAATGACATCCGAGGAACAATAACTTACCGTAAAATCACTGAAGTCGGTCGATAGAAGCGATGTAGGATCAATATCGCTCGGTGTATTCGAGGCCGGAGTTGTCCCTGAAGGAATGGAAGTCTGAACAGGAACGTTAGGTATGGCAGACACACATCTACAAACAGAGGTACCAACCTGGAAGGGGCGATTATCAACACTAATTTTAGCCTCCTGGTATGTAAGACCATTCAAGATCGCCCTGCAAATGCGAATGGACCTCTTCGAGGCCGTATCAACATTACACAAGGGGTCCTCACCCTTGACGCGCGATTTGACCGAAGCAAGGATAATATTCAAAAAGAAGAATGGCTTGCACCCCTTCCCATCGGGACCAATGCGTCTCCCGAAATTATCAGCGGTGCGCTCGACAGCCTGCATCATCACGCCTTGCTGGGACTGGATCATGCTCATGAGCACGCTCGAGTTGACACCGTCCATTCCAGATGTAGCAGATGTACTCATCTCGTTGGCTTGGAGGGACAGCTCCACGCACGCGGTGATTGCGGCGTGGAAAGTTTCATCGCGGAACATACCGCTGCCCAGCTGGGTGATGTGCGGGTAGAGGATGTCCTCTGTCGAAAGGGGAAGTTCCATCTGGGAGAGAATACCAAGTGATTCTTCGAGGCAGATTTTGCGGGAGTAGGAGCATTTGGGGAGGCGGACGACACTGAGGGAGAAAGGGCGGTGGAGGGCGAGAAGGAATTTGCGCATGATGAAGAGATGGATGGATTGGGCGAATCGGTGACGTCCTGATTCTCCCGGAGCAATACTTGGGGCGTTGTCGTCGAATAGGGAGGATGCATGTTGCATAGAGCGGGAGAGTTCATCGCCCATTCGCAGGGCGTCGTCGTAAGATAGATTAAATCGGAGACTGTTTATTTTCTTGGCGATTCGATAGCGTAGTGGGAGGGTCTTGGTGAGGAGAGTTTGGTAGAAGTTTTGGGTATAAAGAGCAGTACTGAGTGGAGAAGGATCATTCTCCATGTCCGGTATCAAGTCTGAGTCGTCCCAATTGGACGGGGGATCGCAGTCGCATTCGTCTAGGTCAACGGACGGCGGGACGCCGCGGTCGAGAGAGATCTTGAGGTCCAGCTCGACGATAGTTGCCCAAAGGCGACGGCGCAGTTCAGAGTAGAATGGTCGGGCCTTGCGGAAACGAGTCGGATCACGATGTAGACCCATTGTCATCGCAGACCGAATCAGCGATCCGGCTGAAGCCCAGGCAACATCCCCGTCACTGGCAACTCCGAGCCGAGCTACCAGAAGAAGTGTTTGGGTCTGGAGCATTCGGAAGTCGATATCCGGGCTCACAAATGTGCACGAAATATATGACTGGACCGCCATGATCCACTTCATGGCCGGTTTCTGGAATATGTCTCGATCATCTTGGCCTGGACGTGGGACATAGAAGCAACTGCCAGCAGCCATCACGGCGAGTAACTGAGCGACAAATGCCATGTCGGTTGGCTGGGTATTGGCCCAGTAATCAGCATACTGTCTTAAGAACGTCGGCGTGTGCAAGATTCGATATGTCGTCTCGAAAGTGTCGAGATACAGCTGAAGCAGATGGTCTGCAACATTCCGCTGGGGGGACCATTTCATTAAGCTTAAAGGCCTGCTCGCGAAACGCGCGCTGATGATCTTGTGTCTCGCGCGACCAAAGCTCCGTCTTGAACTTTTTCATTTCAGTGTATTCTTTATCTTTTCCCTCTCCGCGGCAACGGTCACGGCGCATAAAGGCACCAATATCTTTGAACTACACCCGGTTAGCAAATCAATTACAAAATACAATGAACGATACTCACAAAAGAAATAGTAGTGGTATAATGGCTGCGACCGAAATAACGAGTCTTAGCCTTCTTCCCGCGGAAACTCGAATCCGGCAAGAATCGCACGCGGTCATCAACACCAACGTTCTCAGAACTATTGGCCGTATCGACTTCAGAAAAGACATCACAGACCGAAGTCTCAGGCGTCTGAAGATGAGGCGACTTTCCGAGCGAAGTCTCCAGGACACGCACCCGACTCCGGAGCTCACTCAGCTCATCGGAACGACCACGCTTCGAAACACGATTTGAAGTCGAATTCGGCCCCGATTTCGAGTCGAAGACGAACATCCCGCTTTTCCGCCCGGGCTGTTCTTCCCCGCCACCATAGGGTAATTGCGGGGGGGACATGCGTTGAGAAGAGTCAGATACAATACCAGGCTGAGCTCCGACAAAGACGCATTGGGCTGTTGTCTTCGAGCGCACACATTGCCCGCAGGGCAGAGAGCGGTCACATTTTAACTTGCGCTTGCGACACACTGTACAAGACAGAGGCGGGCGGCGACGACGCTGTGTAGTGCGAGATTGACTTTCTATCTCTTCATGGCCTAGAGAGGAGTGGTCATGATTTTCCATTTTCAGGGCTGTCAAGTGATTTTGATTTCAGATTGATTTTCCTCTAGTCGCAGGAAGTCCTTGCGACGGCGCTAGACATGGGTGAGACGTTGGTGCCTTGTCGGAGATGGGGGCGCTTTTCCGGATTCCCTGGCTATCCCTGGCTATCCCACGTCTCGGAAAATACGTTGATATGTGTCTCTGTGACAGTTAATTGACAGATGATCTTTGAAACGGTGACACGAGGGCTTATTTGACGTATATGTAGGTCCCTGGCTGCCTACTCGATGCGGAATGTCCGGGTCTCGGAGATACTCTCTTGGGTAATTGGGAATTATCTCCGAGTAGATGCTGATTGATAAGTCAAGCTTTCCAAGGTTGCCAATGAGACATCATTTGCGTATTCGGCTGGGATCTTCATGGCTTATTAATTCATTAATCTCATTCGAGCAACCTTGGAAGTCACCGTCTCTTGTCGGAGTACGGCAAAATGGCCTGGAATTCTTGACACATTAAGTCAGGTGGTCTGATTTAGCACCTTGAAAATTAGGCATCAAATTGCTTATGTAAGATTGAGATTTCCAAAGTTTCTCGTTTCTTGGCACTTCCCCCGTGGCTTTCCACTTAGTTAATGCAGACTAGTTATATAGACCTTTCTTCTACATCATTCCTAGCATCACATTATCTAGAGGGTCATGGTAGTCAAATCCCAAGCTTCACTTTTGATATATACGCAACGCTATGCCGAATGTGCATCCAAATCAATGAAAATCCCGAAAAGTCATCCAACGAATCCCTACTTCGACCTCCAAAACGGCTTCATGACAGACCGCACATAAACCAGCAAGTAAACCATCAAGTAGTTCGTAATGGTAAAAGCAAGGAAGATACCGAAATACGGCCAAATCTTCGAAGAATCCAGACCAAGTCCAGTCAAGTACTACCAATACGGATTAGTATCAATTCAAAACAAAAGCATGTTCCAGGCAGCAAACTCACATCGTCACCAAAGCTATATTCACAATATCCACACTCGCCCATCCCATCCGGGTTGGAGAGATACCCAACGCCCTTTGCGTTAAGCCACGCGTCCGCGTACTCACTGCAAGTAGTATTGGGCGGACTCTCAAAGATAGTCAACTCAGACTGAGAGCAAACGACAGGAGTACCACGGAGGACAGAGGTGAGCACCCCACCAATCCAGTACGTAAACGGCGTGGCGTAGTACATCGTATACTTCCAGAAGGCAGGCATCTGGGATTGTGGACGGAGGATACCGTTGAAGAGCTCGCACATGATAATGAAGAAGGGCATGAGGGTAGCAGCAATCATTGAGTCAGCGCTATAGATTGAGAGGACATGTTAGTTGATCAGATCACAGCGGGAATGAAATGGTTGATTATATACTACTCACCTCAGAGCGGCGATCCACTGGCCCCACGAGGTCGCGAATAGGAAGAAAAGGAAGAACATCAGGAAACAATAGCCGGCTGCAAAGCCGAGCGGGAGTCCCACCATGAAATAGTATAGGACGAAGAAGACCACGCCGCCGATGACGGAATAGGGGATCTCGGAGATGATCTGGGCTGTGCAGAATGCTACCCAGCCGTATACACCACTCGGGCCTTCTCTTGCTAACCAGATATCGCGGTTCAAGATGAAACGCATGGATATAGCGTTGATGAACTCGGGGACAAGCATCAGGACAAGGAAGCAGGAGAATGCCTTTGACTGGAGGTCCGTGGTACTGTTGCCGATCTGGAGGTAAGTGAGGCCGTTGATAAGAGCATGGAGGAAGGAAGAGTAAAGACGCGAGTATGGGTACTCAGCGGTGCGCCAGAACTGGCGACAGGTCCGTTGGGTGAGGAGTTTGATCTGCTGGCTGAGAGGGGGTAGGGTTGGGGCCAGGGAAGGGGAACGAGTATTCTTGTCAGAACGGATTGAGGCGATTTCGTTCTTGACTTCGGCGAATTCTTCTGAGTTGCGCCAGATAGCTGCCCAGTTCGTTTGGTTTCCCGAGGCTTTCATGCCGCCGACAACTACCTCGATGAGGAAGTCGGCTGCGTTGGTGACGTTTTCTGGGATATTGCCGTGTCTTGCGAAATACTCGAAGATTGCATGGCCGGATTCGCCGACTGGTCCGAAGTAGTATGTGCTTCCACCAGGGCTTAGGGCTAGGACGCGGTCGAACTGGGATCTTGTTAATATTGATTCGTGGTCAGGATGGGTGATGCTTACCTCTTCGAATTGCTGCTGGTTAGCTTGGTGAATGGTGCAGAGGACCGCCAGTCCCTGGTTAGCCAGACGGCGTAGCAGAGCGACGATACTAGTTGCACCCTGGCTGTCCAATCCACTTGTCGGTTCATCCAGGAAAAGAAGCAGTTTTGGTCGAGCGCACAGCTCCACTCCGATAGTAACACGCTTTTTCTTTTCGATATCCAAAGAACCGATCACTGCATCTTGCAACTCAACCAAGTCCAATGTGTGAATCACCGTTTCTACATATGCCAGTTTTTCGGCCGTTGGAACTTCGCGGCTTTGTCGGAGCAGTGCAGAGAACTCGAATGCTTCCTTGATCGTGCTGCTTTCGTCGTGAATGTCCATTTGCTGGCAATATCCGATCTGTCGGTTGAAGGACTGGTCAATTGACCGGTTATCCACGAATAGAGACCCGGATAAGGTGCCGGGGCTCTCTCTTTGGGTGAGTGCAGTCAACACTAAAAGTTGTCAGAAATCAAGCGATGAATTCATCTCATTTGGGATCTTACATGTAGACTTGCCTGCTCCCGAGGCTCCAACAAGAGCAGTCAAAGACCCTGGCTTGCAGTATCCACAAACGCCATCCAAGAGCTTCCTGGTCTCCTTGCCAATCTGCACGTTGAGCTCTAAGTCAGACCAGGAAAAGGTAGACTCGGTAGCTGTAAGTGTCTGGTCATGCTTTGTTTCATGCCCAGCAGGCGGTGCAGAAGAGTCAACAGAGACCGGCGATTTCTCTTCATCAGACCGAACCTTCTTCACCCGCTTGAACAGCTTCCACGATCCCTTGTACTGGATAGGGCCAGCACTGTCCAGCTCCCACTCAAGCACTTCACTCAGCCAGCAGGTCATCCCGATAAAGGCAACTGTGAAGAGACACAGAATCCCGAAATTGCGCCAAACGTTGCTGTAGTAGAATCCATACTTCACAGCCAGATAGTCGTCGCCGTTCACGACAGTGCTGCCAGCCTGACTGCCAGCATAGGCACAGGTCTGGTATGCGAGCTCCGTATATTTCGAACCGGACGGGATAATGGATGCGGCCGCGCAGGTAAAGTTAACGTTGTGGAATTCGGCCGCCATGACTGCTTCGTATGTATACAGAGCAGGAGTTGTATATGCGAGCCAACCAACCCAGGGAACATCTTGAATCATCTTGTCGACAGAGAGAACGTAGCCACCGAACACGATACAAAACATCACAGAAACTCCGCAGTAGCGGAGGGCAACTTCAAAGTTCTGCGATAGAGCGGCGAAGACACGGAATTGCGCCGTGAGGCAGACCGTGCACGTGTAAATGAAGAGGGCGTCGATAAAGAAGGGACCAGCCTAGCAGAGTTAGCGCGACTATACTTGCTGCAAGATCCTGAAGTTACTCACATCAGACCGTAGACCAGAGAGGAAGTACATGACGATCAAATACAAGAATGTCAAAACCGCAGTTATCACCATATCTGAGAGCACCCGGGCCAAACACACAGCGCTAGGCCTCACAAAAGCAAACTTCTTCTGTCGGCTCAGGATATCGCGACCCTGCATCGCTTCTTCCAACTCGGACATCTGCAGCCAGGCAAGCAAAATGGAAGAGTAGAAAAGCACACCTCCGCGGGAGTACATGCCCTCAGTGGTCTGGGGCTGATCGTAGAACATAGATCCAATCAACAATCCATAGACCACGCAAGAAATCAACTTGATGTACAGCGGGCCCAGATGCCCTTTCAGCTGCCACATCTGGCGCTTCGCGCAAAGGACGACCTGCCGGAAGAGAGAGATTGTGTATGGCGACGTGGACGAGACGAAGCGCGACTTATCGCTATGCACGGTGTTCTTGAATACCTCCACGCTGTCGCACTCCGAATCCGCCGGGTACACGGAAGACCTACCGTTGAGCTTCTGATCCTCGTAGCTTTCGACAGCCGTCTCGATCTTAGCGAACGCAGCACTCTGACGGAAAGCGGCTTCGAGTTCGATGGGGCCCTTGGGCGCGCGGTGTTCCCATCCAGCACGGAACCGCCGTCTTTCAGGCAGGGTGATGCTAGTCAGGAAATCCGAAGTAGTCTGCATATCAGCGCACTCGTAGCCCAGGTCTTCGAAGTAGCGCTTCGCCTCGTTGGCAGGCCCTTGGTATAGCATACGGCCCTCATCAATGAGCAGCACCTTATCCACCAGCTCGTAGATGGCATCTGATGCCTGGTACAAAGTGAGCAAGGTTGCTTTGCCACAGGTATCGGTCATGATACGCAGACTGCGTGCATAGTCGAGTGCAGAGGACGCATCCAGTCCTCTCGTGGAATTATCCCAACATGCTACCGATGAATCGGTAGCGAGAGATTCAATGATGGAGATACGTTTGCGCTCTCCTCCGGACACACCGCGGATATACTCGTTTCCCACTAATGTGTTCATAGTATGCGACATACCAAACACCCGCCCATAGATCTCCAGGTACCGGGGAATCCTCTCCCGGTAGCGCTTGGGGGTCTTACTCTGTAGTGCAAACTCGAGCGTTTGGCGCACGGTCAGGGTCGGGAAATGTACATCGTCCTCTGGGACGTAGGCCACGGCGCCACGGTAGTGCTTCCTGACTTCATCTGGGCTGAGACCGGAGTAATCGATTGAACCCGTGACACCCAAAAAGGAAGAGTGGTGGCCAGCGATGGTTCGGAGAAAGGTCGAGCAGCCAGCACCAGGACGGCCCAGAACGCTATATAATATTCAATTAGGCTAAATTCGGTAAGGATGAGTTGGGGTTGGTTTCTTGCTTACAGCATTATCTCCCCGCTCTGCACGACACCGGAAAAGTCCCGGATCAGCGGACGGCCCTCCTCGGGCTTCTTCTTTGCGATCCATGGCTGGATCGTCCACTCGTAGATATCCTGTAGGGTGAGGGTACGCCAGAGGGCTGTGGAGAAGGTTTTTACATCTGCGTGGGAGTCCCCGTCGCCCCAGGTTGAGAGGGACTGGAAACAGACGCCGAGGTTGGCCGGTTTCTTGCCCTGGACTTGTTCCTCGAGGAACTTGTCAAAGGAGGAATGCGGCTCCGGATACTTGGGATCCGGGTGAGTTTGGGCGGTTAATGTTTGATGGATATCGGCGAGAGCATCCTCGTCCTCGTGCGAGACCTGCACTCTCGGAGGTTCATTGTTGTGTTTTTCTGTGGCAAAGGAAGAGCTATGCTTGAGGTGGGGGTGAAGAGGAGCGGGCATAATGAGCCTTTTAGATAGTTCAAGAAAATCCCGAGCTCATTGTACTATATATGAAGAAATTGCACGAACTTGATTTGTACTTATAGAGAATACGAGTAAGAATTCAAGCAAGAAAAAAAAAAAGGTATGACCAAATGTCCGAAAGAGCAGCCAAGTCTCATTATGATGACCGTGGAAATGACCAACCAATCCGGTGGGCGATGAAAAAGCAGAATCGTCAAGATATTCCTGTTGGGCCCGAGATGGATATCCAATGACAGGGGAAAAGTGGGTGCGATGAAAGGCCTCCTTCGTTATTTTCACCAATTTTGGCAGCTCTCTTGAGAAAGGCTTGAATATAAAAAGAATCGAAAACTCCACTACGCGGCGCCCGCGGCCACCGCGCGATTGTTTTGCAGAAAAAGGAAGCCAAGACGAGAAAGGGTCCACTGGAACCACTGGAAATCCACTGAGGAACCATGGAAAGGGCCATTCTTAAGCTAACCCGTATAATTTACCTAGGCATACCTTATACGGAGTACCTACGAGTACCTAGGTAGGTACTAGCCAAGTTAAGTCTATATGGTCTAGAGTTTTTGGACCATCCCATACAATCCTATATTCCTATGTACAATCTAGATATAGTGCATTCTACCCTAATACGGCCATGGCATATATGTATACCTGTATATCTGCCATATTATAGGTCCTATGACATGGTCATACACCGCCAGTTCAATGCAGTTCAATGCAGTTCGATGCAGTTCGATGCATCGTCCCCGCACTTTCGCTGAAAATAACACCCGGGGACTTTTGGGGGACTTCCCGAGGTTTTTGCGCCGGAGATTTTCTCACGTGGCATTATTAATATATACATTGATGCCTCAGGTGTCTATGATATAACAATATAATATCAGTCTTCTTCTTCTCCGTACAGATGATACAGAGTAGTTCTAATGGAGTAGAAAATCGCAAAAGAATTACAATGTCATCCTTAATAGCAACCAGTATCAAACCCACTACCAAGCTCTCTCATCTCCAAGATCATCTTTCCCGAGGTCTATCTCAATTTCCCAATCCAGTTTAGCGCAAGCTCCAAGCTCCGATTTTCAGCCTCAACTTTCCCTTCCTCTCCCTCTTCCCCTTTCTTCCTCTGCAAAATGCAAACCCTCTATAACGCTCTAATTCGCACTCATCACATCACCTCCCGCAAAAAAGTAGCCGCCCTCAAACGCGCTGCAGACACACACCAATGCGCCGTCCTCCTGCGCTCCGGTGGATGTCCAGGGATCATGTACGTGGAGGGCGGGAAGGAGCCGGTGGAGAGCTGGATAGATGTTGTGCGTCGATTACGATATAAGGATTTTCAGTTGGTTACGAGGCCGGGGGTTGTGGAGGAGGAGGAGTTGGATGGACGTGGGAAACAGGGGACTGGGAACCGGAATGGGGAGAAGGGAGACGGGAAAGAGTTGGGTCTCGCAGTGGGACTAGATGAGGTGGAGAGTGTCAAGGAGTTTGGGGCCATTATGGCGAAAAGGGGGGTGTGGAATTGGTGGAGGAGGGGGATGGGGTATGCTTGATGTCTTCATGATGTTGCATTTGTGGTGTTTTGGTGTTGTATGTACATGTATTGCTTTCAGAGATATCCAGTGGAACTTTATTTTTATTTTTATTTTTATACTACAGTCTTCAAGGCCATCATTAAGTCATTCATGCCATCTCTTTACAGAGCTTATATCCTAAACGCCATAATCTACCTATGCTATTATGTATACAATCGAACTATTTCCACTCAGACCGGCGCCGGATAGCTGAGCAGCTTGCACACATCCTACAACAGTTAGCAACCAGCCAATTCATCGCCATCCCCATAAACAGACCTACCTTTCGTTGTCTTCGATATTTATCATATAACATCTTCCAAATCTCCCGATCCCGACATCCACTCTCCTGCGGCGTGCCAGGGTTATTATCACACTTCGGCTGCTCCTCTGCTAACATTTCCTGCGGCCACATAATCCACGGCTTCGGCAACGGCCAATCCGAAAAGTGCACGAACTTAGCCTGCGCCAGGACGTGATCGGGATCCCAGACCTCATCATCATTCCCCAGGAAATTGCGATGATCCTTCTTCCGGAACTCGCCGCTCAACAGACCATACTGCCGATGGGGGAGGACCATCGCCGAGTCCCCATACCGTCTGTTCAGCAGCTCCATGTCATACCGGTGGTCCGTCAGGTTCATATCGACTTGACCATTCTGGGCGAGTGTAGTAGCGTCGGTCAAGGCAAGGTATTCCCGGAGGGAGGGCTCAATGACGACTAGCAGTGATGAGAGCAGTTTCTCCGGGAGAAGCCAGTAGGCACGTGGCATGGCGGCAGTGGTAGGCGGGAGGAAGAAGAGCTCATCCATTGTCTGGAGGAGGATAACATCCGAGTCGAGGTGAATGACGCGGTCATATTCGTGCTCGCCGAAGGCCATGAGCTTGGCGGTGCTGGTATCCCACGAAGCCCTAGAACCGGCGGCTATGAAAAGAGTGTAAGTAGGTGTTCAAGAGGCTGGGTCAGTTCCCAACAGCGGCAGCCCAACTCACCGGATGGATCCTGAACTCCCTCAATCTTAATCGGGATCAGCATCACATTGTACTTGAGTTTAGCCTCAAGCAGCAACTGGCTGACGCGATCATAATCATCCTCAACAATGAGGTCCCACTCCTCCGGATAAAACAGCACACGGTCCGCCTTACTGCCGAGTCTGTGCAGAGCCTCGAAGACCATCAGGCAGTTGCACATGTAGACTTCATTGGTGGCATACTGGGTATAGGCAAAGCGCGACCAGTCGACCTCGTCGTAGTGGATATGTGGTAGGGGCGGCGGCGGGGGACGTTCACGGCGTTGCCACAGGATAAACAGTATGATAAGGGCGACTGCGATCCATGTTCGGACGTGTCGTAGCTGCCGCTTGACTATGGAGAGACAGGGTTCGTCGGGGATGTCAAAGAAGTCATCTTCCGAAGCATTGGAGCTCCGTCGGTAGGGGAAGGTGGGTTTATTAGGCGGCATTGTTGAAGAGTGAAGCTATTAACGGCGCGATAGGGATTGGGATAAATGCACGTGATGGTTATGTCATCGGTCCATTCTTCCAAATTGGATGCTAAATGGAACCTTGGAAGTTGATATTTGAAGAACAAGCACAGGCTTAGGGGTTGTAGAGACGAACCCACGTGTGTGGACAGTCGATTTGTGACTCTTTAGGGCGATATGGAGTTACTAGATTGAAAGTACCTTTTGTATGTGTCACCTGTAGAAAAGGTACCTAAAAACGTTTAGTATCGGCATCTAATCCGTTCCCGCATTGAACCTACACATCTCCCCCGTGCATTGCGCCAAGTAGCTGCAGCTCCATCTATGTATCTTTTTAACTTGCACTGTGACATCTCCAACAGTTTCCTGGTCTAGCGGTTATGATTTTCCGTTAACAATTGCTTCAATCAAGTGTTCCGGAAAGGTTCTGGGTTCGATTCCCAGGGAAACTATTTTTGTACCTTTGCTATGTAAATGTTAGCGGGGGTACTTCGTTTTTTACCCCGATTATCACTAACGAAATTTCCTTACTTTTCTAGGTCTTATAGAAGGTGGACTAATACAATTAATATCAGGAACTTGATCGACTTCATTTTACCTAAATCACTTATATTATTAACTGAAAATCGAAAATTTAAGAACCCATATTACTTTGCTATAGGATAGAGTTCTTCCAAAAGATTTCTCCTTGCCATACTTTGTTCATTTCGACGCGATTTCTACTGGTATACTATGTGGCCTGTATTCTAACACTATGTCTAGTTGAGACAAAAAGAGTTGCCTGATCGAGATATATGTCCTTTGTATCCATATGTATGTATCCATACATAGAAAAAGCACCTAAAAACTTACATCCCGGTTTTCTATTCACCTATCAGTTAAACTCGCGCTAACTGGGGTATGTATCCTTAATAGGTAAAAGGACTTATAAAGAAGACAAAAAAATAGTTTCCCTGGGAATCGAACCCAGAACCTTTCCGGAACATCTGCTAATCGCATTTGTTAACGGAAAATCATAACCGCTAGACCAGGAAACTGCTCGACCACTTGGGCCAATTTATGGATGGATAGGCAGATAATGGCATTACGTCCGGAAGGTTGACGTCGTAAATCCATTTTTTGAGCTGTATATTTTGTCTCCAAATCCATGAATATCGGTGGCATTCCTTTTACTTACTCTATCACACCTTTTCCCTATATATTTAAACTACTCAGTAGCCTGGCTTGATTGGAAATTATCATATACATCGAGTTAGCTGCCTGTTGAGTAGCATTTACGGGTGGTCGATACTGATATATATAGAGCATGAAAGTAGCACATCCGCAGCATCCGCAGCATTTCAACTACCCCTTTATAGTACCAGTCACCCTGTCACGACTAAAGTAGGACAGGGATCACTACCTATTTGCTCCTTTGGCACCAGATGGTGATACATCTACCACAGAATATGAATAAATCCGCCACCGGGAGTAACCAAGTATCGAGTTCAATATATCTGAGAGATGCTACTATGAAAGATAGGACACTCATATCATAACATTATATCGTTTTGTTCATAATATCATACCTCCTAAAGTGGTATCCATATCCTTATTATATATCATAAATCAATGAAACCCTACAGAATGAGACTCACCCCCATCAGGTAACAACCTCGTCCCACCCGAAGAAATCGACCTCCCATCATCAACCTGGACAACAATATCCGTTTTAACAGTAACGCGTCCATCGCCAACATGCTCCGGCATCTCCGCCTTCGAAACTTGACTTATCGAGCGCTCATGCCCATGTTTACTCCACCCACTCGGCGGATTTTCCTCATCGTGAACACAAGTAATGGTCATGTTAGTCATCGTAGCCGAATCCAGCCACTGCTCCTTCGCATTGGCACGGCGTTTTAGCTCGGTTTCAGGCTCTTTATGGTCCGTTGACCGGGAGCGAGACCAGTAGCCGTGGGTACGACCTTCGCGTCTGTGATCGACGAAGGAGCGGAGGAAGAGGCGGGCTACCGGGGCGCAGGAGGCGAGAAGGATGCTGTAGTTCTCAATTCTGGGGCTGTCAGCTAATCATTCGATGCTGGGACTGGGGGACGGCGGTTGTGCTTACTTTACCCAGAGAACGAAGGTCACGATGTTATAGGTGAAGTCATGCCTGTCACCGAGGGACTTGAGTTTCTGGTTAACAATATTAGCGCTGCTGTATAAGTTGGGGAACGGACAGTCTACTCACATAGGTCTTTACAATAGAAGCACAGCCGGAGAGGATAAGTGGTCCACTGAGAGTGATGGTCTGCCAGATCCGGCGGGATCGGACGGTGGCACTAATTTTGCGGAATTGGGACCAGAATGAGGTTTCTGGATTACGGTGGAGGGTCCGCAAGAAGAACTGCCACAACTCGACAGCAGCTAGCACGGCAAGGAAGAAATCGATGACGGTGTTGAATCCTGGTAGGATCGCAATTAGCTTCGTGCTGCATCGTGGTATGACCATTTCACCTACCTCCTTGCACAAACCCAACCGTCGTCTGGACAGTCGGTGACTGGCACTTGACGGAGCCATCTTCAGGGAGTGGTGTCCACATATAGTGGAAGTATTGCACTCGATTTGTCTGCGATGAGGTTAGAATGGGCCAATAACCAAGAGGAGGATACCAACCGTCTGATACGGGTTCGGTCCACACTGAACAATAATCTGGACGATTGTAACCATATTGACTACAACCTGCACAACAGCACAGATAATAATAGACAGGCGAATTTTCTTGTCGCTCGCCGCAAAGCAGGTTAAAAGAAACCACATCATGCCGGCGCGTGAGACCATCGCCGAGGCGACAGCCAGTGGCTGTGAAAGAAAGTCCCATTTCATAGAATTGAGACGCTCTTCAGCAGTCAGGTAAAAGAAATGCCTCCCAAGGCCCCAATTGGCACTAGGCAGAGTTAGTAGCTGGCATAGGAGTATTGACAACAGTCGATCCCACCTCATTTGAATAAATACCATATGGGTAATATCAAAACCCCACGCCACAAGGAAGAACAAGTCCTCTGTGCCCCAGATTCGGCCGGGTGCAGTGACTTCAGGCAAAGCCCAGCGGACCCAGATCTTGATGGCATAGCGGAACAACAATGCCAGGCCGACAATGGCTGTGAGGACCTGCTCGAGGATTAGTATACACATATGTAGAGGAAACCTATAGCCGAGGGTAGCATACCCAGCAAGCCCGAAATGTGCTAGTTCCTGTTAAAGAAGTCAATCCACAGTCTTCTATGTTGGGTTTCCTGGCCTTTGTCCTGAGGTAAACATACCAATGTTGACATCGCCCTCACCTGGGTCCGGAATATCCATAATGAAGTTAAAGCACAAGGACCATATGTGTCAAGAAGCCAAGTATTGTTCGATTATAGCGCGAGAAGCCAATTCAAATAGTCATTGACATGGATATAGGACGAAAAGGATGCGCGGGGTCAATAAGATGAATCAGAATCCAAATCCAATCCAGGACCAAGGACAGTAGAGCAAAGTTTCCAAGTTACCCTTGAAGGTTCTCAGAAATGGATATCACGCTGAAATCACTCGCATGAACCCATTTACAGGTCAGAAAGCCTGGACTCGGTTTTATCGAGTGGAGGGGCGTGTATAGGCAGTAAAACTGGATTGGGAGGAAACAAGGGATGTAATGTAATCAAGGGATTTGCACAGGAAACTTAACCTGGTTAAGCGAAGCGAATTCTCGATGTATTGAGTATATGACAGAGTAGTCAACCCTAGATATGGGGTCATGTACGTCAACTTCTGACCGGAGTCAACCTCGCGTGGCCAATCCGCCCGTTGGGAAATGCGAACTTTTGATCATGGAAATGGACAGGTTCGCATTGCCAGGACCCTGTGGGGTAAACATAGACATTCCTGGTGGAGGGAAATAGAAACCATGCAGTGGCCATGCGACCTGTAAGCAAGGGATGTGACAAGGAATGGGAAACAGGGAATACATCAAATTACATACATATCCATGTGGAATTGGTCGGTTTTAGCAGAAACAGTCAGATCGGATCTGCAGAGATCTGCCTATGAGTTCGAGAGATAAAAACTATAAGCTTTCGGGGTAAGTGAAGCTATTGAAGGGATGTGATGAGTATACATCAGAACATGATATATCATATTAACAGTGAACTATGAACAAATTAAACGAATCAATTAACTCTGTCTATTCACTCCCTATTTTCTCCTCATCTCCACCAATGACTCGCCAGCCCTAACATAAACTTCAAATGTCACTTGCAGCCCACACAGACCCGCCATCTGCCTCCACTCCACCGAACTCCTCTCTCGGCCCCCAAACAATGCAATCATACTCGCATGAAGCGACGTATAAGTCAGATTCTTGGCGTATTCTATAATCAACACACGCGAACCAGGCGCCATAGCACGCGAAATCTTCTGTAACAACGCCACAGCATCCAAATCAGGCAAGTTATGTAAGATATGCTGCAGCGCGTAAACACAGGCTCCACGAACGGGCTGCTCATCCTGCTCCTTGTAATTCCACTCCATGAGCCGTACACCAGGTACACTGTCAATATCAGCATTGAACTCCTGCACAATTAGATCTTCCGCGCCGAGATGCGGGTACATAGCCTGGACTTCAAGGAGGAGTTCGCCACGACCGCCTCCGATATCAACCATAGTAGCGGAGCCAGTGCGAGTGCCAGTGGTATTGTCACCTGCCAACGCAGCGTCTAAATTATAACCCATCGATCTGACACGTTCGGGGGAATGTTCCAAACTTTAGGAACTTGCCGACCATGAAATGGTTGAAACTACCCATGCGCCCCTGGGTCTCCATAATCGAGTACGTATGCTGATCCGCCAGCTCGGGTTGACCCATTAGCCGATAGGCATATTGCAAGGGGCCGTCTGCATCGGCGAAGGGATATGCAAAGCGGGTGTCCTGGAGCTTTTTCATCAAGAATGCGCCAGCCATTAGCCCTTCCGTGGTGCTGGGTGGGGTTAGTGCGTGCTTGGAAGATTCTGTAGTTTCTGTTACAGAAACGGGCATGCATGGGAGAAACTAACAAGTGCAGTGCGCCATGCTGGGCAGACGGCATGGCAACCATGTGGTTTGTGATGGCGTTTGCGGTGAAGCAGTCCTCGGCCACGCGTTCAACTCAGGCCGAGTCCAGCCATGATGTAGAGCGTGTCCGCTGCGAAAAAGGTATTAGTGTTGGAATACTGCTTATATCTGTATACCTGTACACGGGTGTGCTTACAAGCTAATCTGGTACCTATATTAATCGTCAGTATAACAGCCATCAGCCATAAAAACTTAATAACATACTCAGTTCCGGCTCATTCTTCCCCTCGGGCTTTGATACGAGCATTGCAGGTGGCCGAGATTTCATCAGCCGTCGCAGGTCCGTCATGGCTCACGAGGATATTGAAGAGATCAAAGTGAATCGCGACCGGAATAAATCCCAACGATGCAGGCTGTGGATGAATTAGATAGAAGACTTGCCTGACGGGCTCGTCATACTCACTACGGTGACGGTTGCTGCAAGGGCAGCGCCTGGGTGTGCAACGGGGGCTGGGGATGACAGGCCCAGGAGGCTGGCTAGGCGAGTTAGAAGAGACATTGAGATTAGAGAAGGTGTTGGAGTATTGGGATTAGGGAGATATCCTCTGCATTATACTCTCTAAATATCTACGGAGGGGCATGTACAACAGACGGTGGGATCCGCCACGGGTTCCGGTACAAGTGTGAGAATACGATGTAGATATGTAATTCACAATGTCTGAAATACTAGCAGATTACAATACAATCCCAGAACTATTATTGGCATGGGATTATTGTGCTCCGTGGAACATCATTGGTGTAATATGGCTAGGTTAGATATGCGCAAGGGATATCATATCACACCAAGACACGGCAATTCCACGGCAGTACAGAAAGAAGGACGGAGTAAAGCCGAGAAGAATAAATCAGCAAATAGAAGAGCCCAATAGCGAATTACCTGAAGGCAAAAGATCTACAACATACAACATACGCTGTTGTAGACCCGATCTACCTTTGTGATACATCCACTCACATTCCGGAGACTTTTCAACAGATCCAAATCGGAATTATGATAATCTGATCTCTCTTATTTCCTAAGAATTGGTTTCTAGAATTTCCCTGCACAACAAAAGCCACGCGAGAATGAATCTCCCATGTGTTCTCAAAAAAAAAAAAACCGTGCATAAAACCCTACAGTGTCCCGTCACAGAAAAGGACCTTGATTTACCTCCTTACCTGACCAAAGTCTGTTGTTTTGGGGTTTCTTATTTACATACAAAACACAGGCACGAGAAAGGTAAAATATATCTACCATGGAGAAACCCTCCCCGGTCTACTTTACACACGAGATGGCGGCCAGCGCATCGTCGTCGCTTGGGACACACGAGCTTAAGGAATGCGATAACAATTCGGACGTTGAGGTCAGGGATCCTTTGGACCCGAGAAACTGGTCCTCAGCGCGGAAGACGATGCTCTTTGTATCGTTGATGACGAGCTCATTGTTGGCAGATGGGTATGTACGGCTGATGGTGAAACGCATCGCGGTAGCATAGATGGTTTATCTGACTGAATCTCTTGCAGGGCCATGGTCTGGGGTGGAACACTGGTTACGGACCAGGCTATGGAGTGGGATATTTCCATCGCTCATTCGGCCACGAGTATGAATTATGGTATTCTGCTGCAGGGGTTTGGGGGGGATTTTTGCTGTTCCGCTTATTGAAGCGTATGGTCGGTGAGTTGGTAGTCTCTTTTCGCTCGTTAGGTATCCCACTGACAGCTGCACGCAGTTTGCCGATCTGGCTGTGGCCTCAGGTGATCACCATGTTCATGGTGCTGGGTGCTACCCTCTCCAATGATTGGTCTACCTTCACGACGTTCCGCTCTTTGCAGGGTCTGTTTGGAACAGTGCCTCAGGTAATCGGGCTTCCGATCATTCATGACATGTATACCTCGGCTGGTACGTTCTTTCTCTGAGACTGTCTCGAGTACTTTATGCTGATCCGACAACAGAATGGCCGCGGATGATCAATATTTGGTAAGAGACTTGCCACTCAAGTCCACGGGTCTCACCAGAGTAGCGCTGACTGAGCATAGGGGCACCACCTTCCTCGTCGGACCATTCCTCGGTCCCGCCATAGCAGGATACATCGGCGCCGGGTCAGACTGGCGCACCTCTTTCGGGGTCCTGACAGCCATCTATGGCATGTCCACGGTCATGGTGATCCTCTTCGGCTATGAAACATATCATAAACCCGGACGAACGACCAATCAGTCGCGCATCGCGTCTTATTTTGGCATTGGCAATACCCTGCTTCCCAAGGGATCGACGCTGAGATATTGGAGCCGAACCGTCGCGGTCTATGTATTTAAGTTTCCGTTGTTGATGACTGGTGGGTATGGCCGATTTAGCTTGCAATGACGTTCACTGATCCGGATTCTGTCAACAGGCATCGCTATTTTGGTAACATTCACCTGGCCAATTGGTAAGTAACCATCATATTCACATCGTTTCTGCACCCGCTGACTCTCCAGGAATCACCACCACCATCGATACCTTCTTGCACAGCCCTCCATACTTGTTTGACACGATCGGGGCATCATCGATGCGATTCGCCGGTGTGATTGGAGCTTTATGTGGTATGTATTCTCACACCCCCGCTATCCCCAGATTCTCACCATCTTTCCAGGCTGGGCATTTGGCCACTTCTTCAACGGCTGGATCTTCAAGCGCCATAGCTCAACCTGGCGAACTGAACTCCGCCTCCATGGTGTCTGGTTCCCGATAGGTAGTTTGGCGAGCGGTCTTCTCACCTATGGATTAACCATGCACTTCGGTAAGCACTGGATCGGGATAGCCATTGGGTGGATCATGGTGAATATCGGCATGGTAGCCACCATTGTGTAAGTTTTAACTTGGCTCTCCTGAATATTTTGTTGTATCTCTAACATCATTTGCACAGTGCCATCTCGGCCTACGCGTTGGAGAAATACCCGGAGAAGGCGACCTGTGTCTCGGCCATTCTGAATATGTGGCGCACCTGTGGCGGGTTCGCGGTGGGATACTTCCAGCCTGCGTGGATTCAGCGCAATGGGCTCGGACTGGTTTTTGGTATTCAGGCTGCTATTGTGTGTGTGGCAGTTGCTTTGACTATCACTCCTGTGTTTTTGTGGGAGCGGAAAAGGCGCTTGAGAGTTGGAGCTGAAGCTGAAGCTTGACTTGTATAGATAAACTGTATATGTGTGATGATTGAGTGTTTATTTGATGTCTTGTATGTTGTATGTTGTACCCAGGCAATATGAGTTGACCAACAAGGTCCTCGTCCCAATTTGGTCTGTGCTCAGACACTGAAACACACGTGATTAATGCCTCATCCCTCAGGCCACAATCAGGCCACAATCCGGTTGTCGATCCGAACACGTCCGTGTTGACGTCCCCCCTGTTTCATGCTTAAATTGGTTTAACATGTCTGACTTGTCTACTCCGTACGTTGTATGGAATAGTATAGATTAATTAACATCAATCTCAAACTTGACGAAATACCCCTGATCTTCACCTCCTGAACCTTCCCCCACTAACCAGCACTCTACACAGTCGATCATTGCCTCGCTATGCAAAGTCCCGCAAGCGATGACGCTTCCCGTGGGGCAGCTGTCTGAAAGACGCCACAGCCTAGTTGGCTCATGTGCCGCGTGGTTGCAGATCAGTCCCTGAACTTGTCGCTTGGCCTATCAAGTCTCCCCCGTTTGTCCCGTTCAGAGGTTCGACCGAATCATCTCTGCCGGATGGATTGTCCACTATTAACGCCGAGGCAGTGTCGAACTGGTTTGGCTCAGGGACAGCGATCACTGACCCTTTTTTGGCTTTATTGCGTGCCATGAAGCATTTGTTTCAATCTTTTCAGTCTTCTCTTACCCTCCTTACTTTCGTTAGCTAAATGGCCTCGATTCCTGTTTGATCTCTTTTAGATTGTCTCCGAGCGCCAACCCGACTATGTCTAGTTCTCCGCGACGATGGCTCTTCGTGGGCTTTCCGATCCTTACGTTTTGTTTTATATACTATCTCTTTCGATTGCCCGAATCCAACCCATCAATCCTGAACAACTCAGAACAACTTGCTCAAGCCGGAGGGGAAACAATTTTGGTAGGGGGGCAGAAGCAGGAGACAAGACCTCCCCCTCCCCCTCCCAAAGAGGAGACATTGGAGGAAAAATGCGGCAACCTACTACACGCACTCGACGATGTCATGGTCGTAATCAAAACTGGCGCGACTGAATCCCTTGAAAAAATCCCCGTCCACCTCCGCACCACCCTGCAATGTGTCCCACACTTTGCCATCTTCTCCGACTATGAAGAAACAATCAACGGTGTCCGCACGTATGACGTCCTCCGCAACGTCAGCGAGACAACGATGAACCACGAGCCCGAATTCGACATCTACCGCCGTCTACAAGAAGTCGGACGCGAAGGCCTAACAGAAGCAGAATGGGGCGACGACACAAACGGACCACTAGGAAAAGTGAACAACCCGGGTTGGAAACTCGACAAATGGAAATTCCTCCCAATGATCGACGAAGCACTAGAAGTCATGCCCGATGCCAAGTGGTACGTCTTCCTCGAAGCCGACACCTACATGGTATGGCCGAACCTGATCAACTGGTTGGCACACCTCAACCCAGATCGGCAATACTACTTGGGCAGCCCCATGCAGATCGGTGAAACACTCTTTGGCTACGGCGGGGCGGGCATCGTCCTTTCAAGCTGGACGATGACCCTTCTGCACGAGTACCAGATGGAGACAAAGGAAGATCTCGAAGCGATGACCGCACACGAATGGGCAGGCGACTGCGCGCTGGCGCGAGCGCTGCAGGACGTGAAAGTGGATCTGACCTGGGCCTGGCCGATGATGATGACATCACGGCCGTGGGAAATCGACCATTTCTCCGAGGGATACGGGCGACAGCCGTGGTGTTACCCTGTTATCTCGTACCACCACATGGCGCCGAAGGATATCGAAGAGATGTGGGAGTTTGACCGGGCGTTCTTTGCTAGTGGGAAGAACGCGCTCATGCTGCATGCGGACGTTTACCAGAAACTCATCTACGATGGGGACTTTCTCGGCGCGCGACGACTGGGATAATCTCTCTGGGATCCAGATTGATTTTGCCGCTGGCACGATCCCTACGGTCGAGGTTTGTGCGGAGGTCTGCGCACGCAATGATGAGTGCTTGCAGTATTCGTTCAACTACGCCGACGGTGTTTGTAAACATGCTTCTACTACCTTCGCGGGTGTTGCTACCAATGGCACGCAGTCTGGTTGGATTACATCTCGTGTGAACAAGCTTCTCAGGGCATTCCAGTCTTCATGCCATGAGGTGCAATATATCTTCGATTGATTTTTCCTTCACTCTTCAGCAATTTTCCTTCCCTTTATACTGTTCTTGTACATATATCGACTTTCCCTTCTTTTTCCTTCTTATTCGATCAGTGCATCCATTCTCACATCTGACGACAAGGTGATTCCATGCTGTCGAAGGAGTCATTGGCGAGGCGTTTTTTTCTATGGCGCTGTGTTGGCATCGTCTGCCGGGCAGACGAAATCACATTCCTGGTCGCTGGACCGCTCTCACTTTCGTTTCCCATTTACATTACACCCACTGATCATTTCTAGTGATACCAATCTTTCAATTAGACCAAATCAATATAAAACTTTTCATTTACAGGTGCGGGCTTGGAGATATCTGTAATTCGGAAGAAACTCCGATCTATTTTAAGGCGTCTGATCTATATTACCATCCTCTATGGATGAGTCTGGGCAGTTTAAAAGAAACAATAATCGTATTAGCTCGGAAATATGACCTAGCCAAGCTCATGGAGGTCTCAAGAAATAGGCATCAGCCGGTGCTCACTATGGCATAAGGGTGCGCACTTAACCGAGGAAAAGGTGAAGCCCATCAAAATTTCTATAATATTCTTCCTGGATATCATTTTGAATGTCAATTCGAATGATTCGTAGCTAAGTGACCCCTGCCCCAAGGAAACGGACTCAGACCTATCTTCACTCGGTCCGCTAGGTCTTCGCAATCAGTCAACAAAGCCACGACTATGCCAGTCCAGACCACAAGGGCCACGATGAGGAGCTCCACATCGGCTAGGTCTTGGTTGATGTCGTTGCCTGATACTGTATTGAAACAGGTAGGAGATTTGACGCGCTGGGTGGTTCGAGAGGCTTGGTGAGTCTTGATTGAGGGTGGGGAGAAGAACAAAAGGAAGTCTGAGAATGCCGATGAAGTACAAGATATCCATGGATATGTGCAGGTGACACATCATGACCAGAACACGGAGTAGCAGTCACATGATATTCTTGCCCTATTTCTCTTCGATCTCAAAGGCTCGAGCACTTGTCTCTCGGCTTGGGTGGAACTTACTAAGAGATTAAGGGTGTATATGTATTTCTCACCATATTCAATGACCAAGACAAAGGGTGAAACGGTGATGATACATACATATTGCAGTCTTACAGCTATACAATATTGCAGTACGGAGTACAATATATATGACAATTCGAGAAGCAGTCCCAAAGTCACCCCTTTTATGCAGGATGACGCCAATACATTAAATGGATTAATCAAGGCTGGGTTCGTCCTAACTCTAAAATTTGTTTTATACTGTCGTTAATATAATCACGGTCACAATATACAACAGTGTCGATTTGAATTTGGTATCGGATGTCCATCTTTCACTACATGTGGTCACATATCAAGTAGCCACCAACCGAAGTTCAAAACTCGACAAGCAATGACCGTGTAGATCAACTGCACGCCACCCGATTTGGCAAACTAGTATCCACTAACCCTCACTTGGCGTTTCTCCCGACTCGATAGTTCCTCAATTGACGAAGATCGCCACGATCGTCGTCGTACTATGCCGATAAGTGGAGAAATATAAGGCAGATCGAACGCTAAACAATGCCTCGAGCACATATACAACATAAACGCAAGTTCCCCCAAACTTACCCAAGAATCCCCTTCCGGGCTCTAGGAGTCGACCGCACAATGTCAGCCCGACAGATTGTCCTGTGCTTCGATGGCACAGGAAACACCTTCCGTACAGATGGCACGGACACCAACGTCTTGAAAATCTGTCGGATGTTGGAAAAGTCCGACGAACAACGTAAGCTCTACCTCTGTTGACACCGAAATAGGTCTTCTAACCGCAAGATAGTATGTTACTACCAGCGTATGAGCGTATCCACCAGAAAATCACAAGGATACTAACCCCAAGCAGCAGGAATCGGCACCGATATAACCCCAGGCTCCCTGGCCAGCACGACAATCCAAAAGAAGGGCAAACTGGGCAATAGCAAAGCGCTCAATCTTGCACTGGGTCGTTCCTTCGATCGGCATGTTCTGGGTGGGTACCGCTTCCTCATGCGGCACTACCAAGCAGGCGCCAAAGTGTATATTTTCGGCTTTTCACGTGGCGCATACACGGCACGGTTCTTGAATGAGATGCTCGATTATGTCGGGCTGCTTGGCCCGGATAATGAAGAAGTGGTGCCATTTATCTGGGATGCATTTGTGTCTTGGAAGCTTGGCCGAACGGATAACAGCCGAGAAGAGAAGCACAGGGCTTTCGTAACCATGAAACTCAGCCGGGAGACACTGTCGCGGCCTATGGCTCGTGTGCACTTCTTGGGCATGTTCGATGCAGTCAACAGTATTGCGGATTTTGAGGTTAACGTTGACGAGATGCCCTCGAGCAAGGTAGTTCGACATGCGGTTAGCATTGACGAACGACGAATCAAGTTCCGGCCGGTGTTGCTGCGGTCGCATAAAGACGAATGGGTTCGCAAAACGCCCTTGCACGAAAAGAAGCACGCGAAAAAGACCTGGACCAATGATAACGAACACAATTCTGGACCTCCCGTTCTACCGGAAATCCCAAACCTCAGCCCACCAAGCAAAGATCAAGGGATCAAAGTGGAAGATGGTGACGATGACGACATGCAGGACATCGAAGAAATGTGGTTCCCCGGCGGACACGCAGACATTGGCGGAGGATGGAGTCTCGGAGCCAAGGAGGAATGGCCATTAACGCATACGCCTCTCGTATGGATGGTACAAGAAGCGCGGCGGGCGGGCCTGCGGCTCGATTTGGACAAGATGAAACAGTACGAGTGCGTTGAGGAACACCATGGTGATTCTGGATTGGAAAACAATTCGAACTTGGAGAGGGACATTTCAGGCTCAGGATTACCGGCAGACCACCAAGGTTACCTACGGGCGCTTCGCTTGGCCGGCACTGAAGGGCATATCCATGATCTCCTTGCGTATGGTAACGGTCTCCCGCTAATTTCTGTCCTCTCGTGGCGTCTGATGGAGTATCTTCCCATGCGACGGATGGAAGTGCAGCCTGATGGAGCGATGAAGGCTGTACGGTGGCCGCCGCCGCGTGGTCGGTCTCGCGATATCCCTATTAATGCCCGAATCCATGTCTCTGCTATCCAGCGTATGAAGTCAGACCCGTCTTACCGTCCGGACAATTTGCTTTCTGGGGGGCAGAAGCGGGATACGGGTGACCCTGCTGGCATCGAGAATTGGGTTGTCCACTCCCATGAAGGTGATCCAGTGCGGGAGAGGTATGTTCGTAGGTAATGTGAGTGACGATATTGGATCCTTTGTAGCTGTCATATATTCTCATTTTCCTATAAATTAGAGTAAGTGGAGACCTGTAAGCACTGCAGTGTGTAGTGGAATCATCCAACTTCATATCATATAATTGACCACAGCAGGCACAATAGTCAGCTCAGGGTCTCCTGTTCAGATATGAATTTCAGGGTAACAGAAAGACTGCAATCGTACTATGTGCAGTACTGTTCTATATTCTAACAAGGCCTTGTCCGCAGAAAAATCCAGCTTTTCCTCTATCATTCTTCACTTGTGGTCAATATTTACGCCTGCAACTACGAATTCAAGCCTATTAAGAAAGAATGGAAACAGGAACAGATACATGGATTCTATTATACACATGGAAAATAACACTCAAATGCTATCACACTTCCGCCACAAGCTGGTCCTTGATGAGGATAAAAGGACCTTGCTCACGTTGATTGGAGCGTCAACATCGTGAACTGGAAGGTTGTGGTAGATGGCGATAATATATCAATGAGACGGATCGAGAGGCTTTGGTAGATGTGGATAGATAGTTGTATCGCTGAGATGTGACCGGACTAGGTCAACAGAGCCAGCTGTTGGTTGTTTCCTTTTTTGGTAGTGTTTCAACTGGGCGAAGCCACTCTATCCAGGTCGGTGTGACAATGACCATGATCGTGACAGTTGGTGGAGAGATGTGTGGCTATATGGTTGTGAGACCGCAAGGATTGATGTAGAAATGTGGGAGCATTGGCCCATCAAGAATATTTGAAAGAAGAATCCAGGTTGCAAGTCTTGGTTGTCGCAGTTGATACAGAGGTGTTTTGTGGATGCCAACTTGTGGGGGAATGTTTGAGCATATAGTTGGAAGTGTGGAAGTGAAGTGGGAAGTGGGGAATGGGAAGATATTGGGGCAATGTGTTGTCGAGATGGGTTCGTTCGCGACAGCTGGCGAAAAGCTGTTGGCCGGGTCGCTTTGCGAGGCCACGCCCGGTAGTTGGTCTGCCGCGAGGCAACTTATGGTGAGTAGCATTTAAACTACCGGCTGGGGTGCTTCCACTGTAAGCCTGTCGACCAGAACGGTTTCTGGCTGCTGAATCTTTGTGAGGTGAGGTGAGGGAGGGGAAATGATGGATGGGGGTGGGGGGTATAAGGGTTCCTAGGAACGAGTCAGCAAGTTCATCTTTTTAGAATGGACGGAATGGATATCGCAAGAGATATTTATAGTGGAGTGTTGTCATGATGCAAGGCTATCACGATAAAAGGCTGCCATACTTGTCGAAGATTGTTAATCAAGGTCGAGACAAAAAGATGAAAGAAGAGATGTGGGGGAGGAAGGAAGAAAGAGAGAAAGAGAGAGAGAAGGAGAGAGAGAGAAGGAGAGAGAGAGAGAGAGAAGGGGGAGAGAGAGAGAGAGAGAGAGAGAGAGAGAGAGAGAGAGAGAGAGAGAGAGAGAGAGAGAGAGAGAGAGAGAGAGAGAGAGAGAGAGAGAGAGAGAGAGAGAGAGAGAGAGAGAGAGAGTGTGTGAGTGAGTGAGATGGAGAAGAAGAGAGAGCGAGACTTTTGGGGGGGAGGGGGTATTTATATTTCCCCAGTGGCTGAAAGACAGGAAGAAACTGGGGGAACTGGGGTCGGCGACGAGCGACCCTTCCTCTATCTGGGGGAGTCACCTAACACCCTTTACATAGGGTCTATAATTCATCAGATTGCCTGGAGACATACAGCTATGTAATCCCGAAAATGAAGCTATTCATGAATTCCACATAGATCTACCAATATAGAATATAGACAGGCTTCAATTGACACCGTACAGACTCAACTGCTACTTGATACCTCGTCTTCTCACACGGGCATGTTAAGAACACCATCATAAGAGCAGCTCAGATGAACGCCACTTTCCGGATTGTCCACACAAGACCACTGCGTACCGGACCTCAGCAAGACCTGACCGTTCTCAGCAATCGGACCCGAGACTCTCTCAAGTCCAAGTGTAAACCGGTTAAAGTCCACGGCACCTTCAGGGAAGCGGATGTAGTATTGACTGTTGTTGCACCGGGCACTTTCCTTGGGCGAAGATCCGTATGACCTGACATCAAACCGGATTTGTTAGCGTCTGCCATTGTCAAGGGGTCCCGTTCAAAAAACTAAGCTCACCAGATTAGGTTGCAGTCCGTAGGGGTGTCGTCGGGGTAGTTTGGATCAGTCACGACGAAATGCATCGTAGCGGAGGAGCCAGCGCTAGCTCTGGCCCAGAAATCACTGATCTGGATAGAGCTGTCTCGTTCGATGATGGGGACGGCGAGGGCTGCACTGGCAGACAGGAGAAGGGAGAAGACAGTGAACCTCATATTGACTTGATAGAAAGATGTCTAATATACTGAGATGTGGATATGACAAAAGATTTCCAGCGGGAGAACGTATTTCTTATATCTTTTCAGGATCACCGATATCTCTCTACATGCATCCATAGATGGCCTAACGTATACCAATCTGACTGAAACACTGCAGCATACATGAAGCCCAGTCAAGTCCCTGGTTGGTCAAGTTGTAGACCGCCACCGTTAATACTTGCGGCTGAGCAAGACAAATAAAACACGATGCAGCCTCAATATGAATGGGAAGACTCAATTGGATGTATCCTATGTGGATGATCTATAATAAGAGTAAGGCCCCCCAGGTCACTTGGGGACTCAGAATAATTATGTCAGGTGACTTGCAGGGGTGTTTAGGGCGACTTGTCAGACATAGCGGGGAAAAATACCCACACGTGAACTGCTGACAGGGAAGTCCAAACGGCGCGAATCCAAGATCTCATTCGAGGTTCCAAGCTAGAGACATATTTTCTTCGGGACTGTACAGTGGAGATAGTCCACAGGTTCCAGGAGTCAGACTCAGCTTCTGGACAGTGTCTTGTGACCAGACTGGAGCATTGGCAGCGGCAAAGAAGGGTCGGAAATGGTGGATTAGCGTCTGGCTGGAGAAGTGCATTAAAGGTGGACGACCGGGGGACATACAAGATGGTGCAGTCCGAGCAGTCAAGCAGATTGACATGGATACGCGATTCGGGTCGATCGACTACAATCGTGAATTGGAGGTAATTGCTAAGTTCTCGCATTCTCGCGTTAGTCTCAACAGGAAAATTGAATAGATGAAGATGTACTAATAGAAGTAGTATGAGAGATGCTTTGTCAAGTCATTCGGATAGTACGAAGGACCCGGTCAGCTCTTCATAGCAATGGAATATCTCGAAACGGCGACCTTTTTGCATATCTATATCAAAAACCGCTACCACTGCCAGACGCTGAGAAGGAAATTGCATACCAGATTCTCGACGGTCTGTGTATGATGCATGAAAATGGATTTTCTCACCGAGATTTAAAACCAAATGTGGGTATACTATTGGAGTGCGGACAAGAGAGAATTCACTAAAGCGAATGTATAGAATATCCTTATTAAATCACACCCTCCAGACAAGTGGTGGATCAAACTCGCGGACTTCGGTATCACCTAACGTATCGAAGAAAGCCATGGACAGTCCACGACGCTAAAGGGTACTCCGAGATATTTGGCCCCCGAAATTTGGGGTTTTGCTGAGCGAAGGAGTGCATATGCCATTGATATCTGGGCGGTCGGAGAGATCGTATTTGAGATCCTTACCAAGAAACCTGCGTTTGCGACACCCAGATTGCTTGCAGGCTACAAAGCCAAACAGGACTTCCCAGTCACCATGCTTACTGATGCCGGTGTCAGTCAACCAGGCGTCGACTTCGTGCTTTCACTCATGTGTCCTAGTCCTAATGATCGAAATGGCGGCCACATCTGCCATTTCAGACGCGTGGATCCAACCGCCAATGCTCCAACCTCTTGGGTCCACGAAAGCTATTAAAGGCGAGCCATGAGTTCCCTCTCCAGCTACAATCATGACTGAAGTGTCTACATCGCGGACTACGAGATCTTATTCAGAAGCACCTAAGGATGTCTCCCATGACATGCCTAGTTCAACTACCACAGTGGAACTGGTAAACGCTGCCCAAGATAAGACCATTGTGCCGCAGGAAAAAGAGAAAGATACATTCTTTCCTAGGGACTAGAGCACCAGTCATTATGCAGTGTCAAGGCCAAGTCGAGACCCTTGAGTTCAGTTCTGCAGGATTCCGAAGCCAGCATCAGGCTGGTGACTCGTTCTATCGCCAGAAAGGTAGAAAGAGGCAGAAACCATGTTTCGACAAGCTCTTCAGAGGCGAGATAGGGTGCTAGGCCATAATCATGAAGAAACACTTAGCTCTACACACTGGCTTGGTCTCTCGCTCTATACCAAAAACGGTATGAAGAGGCAGAAATCGAATTCCGACGAGCGCTCCAGGGGCGAGAGGAGATGCTAGGTTACGGTCACAAAGACACACTCTACTATGCAAACCAGCTTGCTATGTCGCTTTATGATCAGGATCAATATAAAGAGGCAGAAACCATGTCCCGACGAGCTCTTGAGGGGCGAGAGAAGTTGCTAGGCCATGATCATAAAGAGACGCTCAACTTTACGCACAGGCTTGGTCTCTCGCTCTATTACCGAAAACGGTATAAAGGCAGCACCAACGTTTCGACAGGCTCTTCTGGGGAGAGAGAAGACCTTAGGCTATGATCATAGACATACGTTCTACTCTGCGTACTGGCTTGGTCTCTCGCTCTACTACCAAAAGCGGTATAAAGAGGCCGAAACCATGCTCCGACGAACTCTACAGGGACGAGAGAAGACACTAGGCCATGATCATGAAGAAACAGTCAATGCCAGAGAGTGCATGGATAAAGCCCATACGCGAGCCCTTGGTCTATAATAATCCTAATAGCCTTGGAGGTGGTTTTGAAGGGAGGGCATACAACATAGAGGTGTCTATGGAATTGGGTTTAGAAGCGTCTGCTTCGAAATAAAATGAAATACATTCAACTGGCAAAAGTGTATATACTATGTATATACTATGTATGTAGGTGGTCGCACCGATTTCGGGACTGATATAATTATATGTGGTCCTCCAAGGTACCTCTACGTAATAGTTTCCATAGTTGTAGACTGCTTCGCAGATTCTCACGATGATAGTCAGGATTCTGGCCCAAGTAAGTAACCTACACGAAGAAATAACTCTGTTGGGATTCAAGGAAAACCTAAATTGAAAAAGCAAATACAACTACGCTCACAGTTCACAGTTTCTATTTCCAGTCTTTTGATAACCTCGCTTTTAAGGTCTCCTAATCAATCTCTTGGCGACGATCATTGCTCTATACAGGGTTAGTCTCGAAACCCAAACGAAATACTCCGTATGTTGTGTAGGTTCAGATGACATGGACATGAACATGGTGAATGTGAATTTGATTCCATCAGCTTGCCAGAATTCCGTTTATATTCATGAAAAATCACGGTACTCGGGAAAAATGATTCGATATCAAAACCATATTGAATCCGTCAAGACTTCTATACTTCCTAGGAACATCAGAAAACCCAGGCAAGGTACACAAATGAGTCAAGCAAAACCAAGCAAAAGCAATGGCCATGACAGAGACTTACAGAGACTTCACGATCTTCGATGAGCATATTCAAAGATTTACTCCGAACCGCACGAACCGCCCCTCGCCTGGAAGATCTCCACTCACGCCAAGTCCAAATTCCAAAACTCACTGCAGATCTCTCCTGCTTGTGCGTCTGTCTTGGCTGCATCGTCACGGAACGGCCGAATGAATTGGCACATTGGCATCGAAGAGAGGAAATCGGATATCATTGAATGCAAAATTTGATTTATATGGACAGATGGCATGATCTCCAAGGGAAGATAGACGCACATCTGTGAATTGCCGACGAGCGCACCGTCCTCCAAGGCCAAGACCAAGACCAAGACCAAGACCAAAACTTTGATTACCTCCGATATTCGCGCAATTTCCGAGGGCAACAGGCCTACTTTCGTACTTTCGCCGATCCAGAGGGGTTTCATATGGGATTAGTGCCACCTGGCAACAGAAATGTATATCGACACCTTGCAAATGCAATTGCAGATGGAACTTCCATTCTCCAAGAGTGAAGAGACCATCCGATATTCGATATTCCTAAAGTTCAACTCCGACCACGCGAGGTCCGAACGAAACCTTGGAACCTTCGACGCTAAAGAACCTTGAGAAATTCGGATTTTTGCTGATTGGCTGCAGATTGAATGCGGATTTTTATCAGATGATCTGATAGGAGTTGGAAGTGATTGATTAATTTTAGTCTTGGGGGAGTTTTTCCCTATATAATACTCCCCTCCCAACTGGTCCCTTTCTAACATTTTTACTCAATTTGTTTTTCCCAATTGTCTCTCTCCTACTAAGGTACAATGGAAAAGACAAACATATCCGATCAGGTCACGCCGGCCACTACCAGCCGCGACCCTGAGAAAATGGAGGGATTCGACGTTCACCAGGGCGTGGACAACCCATCCGATGACAAGGCGAGCATGTCCGATCGGGACTCGCGTGACTTCCAAGGTGGTGTGCAGCGAGTGCGAGCCATTACATTGACATGGTCAACCAAGACGCTCGTTCTGATGTTCATTCTGTAAGTCTGTGGATCTCGATTGGCAACTTCCTTCGCCCAGGGTACTAGTAACGGAGTAAAACTGACATGTCACGAAATGCAGGCTCTATCTCGTGTCCTTCGTGGACGCACTCCTGAGCACAGTCGAAACCTCACTAAACCCCTACATTACCTCCTCATTCGGCAAGCACGGCCTCTTGACGGTCGTCAGCGTCCTCTCAACCATCCTGGGCGGCTCATCGAAGCTCACACTAGCCAAGATCATCGATGTCTGGGGCCGTGTGGAGGGATTCCTGATTATGCTTGTTCTTGTCGCGATCGGTCTGATCATGAAAGCCACTTGCAAAAATATAGAGATGTACACTGCAGCACACACTTTATACTGGGTGGGCCACATCGGTCTGACCTACGTCGTGGACATCATGCTGGCAGATATGACCTCCCTCCGGAACCGAATGATCATGCTGGGCCTGAACGGTACACCCGGTATCGCTAGTACCTTCGCAGGTCCGAAAATTGCCGCACTCTTCTACGCCAACCTCGACTTCCATTGGGCATTCGGTGCGTTTGCTATTATGCAGGTTGGAGTTTGTATCCCCGTCGCTGTGGTGATGCTGTTTATGCAACGTCGGGCGGAGAAGAGCGGTGCTCTTGAGAAGACTTATTCTGGACGTAACTGGTGGCAGTCGATCACTCACTATGTCATCGAGTTCGATGGTACGTATTTCCTCATATACGTCTTCTTTGCATTTGACATGTGACTAACACGAGGTGTGATTCTACCTAGTTGTCGGAATCATCTTGGTCACTGCCGTATTCACCCTAATCCTGCTCCCGTTTAGCATCGCCCCCTACGGACCCAAGGGATGGGCGACCGGATACATCATTGCGATGGAAGTGCTCGGCGTAGCATGCATTCCCGCATTCTACGTCTGGGAGCGATACGCACCGGTGCAATTCCTTCCGTGGAAGTATCTGAAACAGCCAACAATGATCGGCTCATGCATGCTGTACGGCGTGATGTTCATCTCCATCTTGTGAGTACCAGTCTCTTCCAGCCGTTACCACCAAAGGTAGCAGCAAAAGCTAACATGCGCAATCCAGTGCCTGGAACAGCTACTTCAGCTCGTACCTGCAAGTCGTAAACAGACTTGACATCACGTCAGCCAACTACGTGCTCAACGCTTTCTCCCTGACCTCTTACATCTTCAGTCCTATCTTTGGCCTGTAAGCACATTCTGCACCTCCCCGCACTCCTCCTATCCAAAATCTAACAAACCTTCCCCTGCCAGAGTAATCAGATGGACCGGTGACTTCCGATGGACCGCCATGGCTGGTATCCCAATCTTCCTTCTCGGAACGGCTCTTCTGATCCCGTTCCGTGCGCCAGACACCCACGTGGGCCTGCTAACAATGGTCCAAATTCTCGTGGGTCTCGGCAGCTGCATGTTCACTGTGTGTGGACAGATCGCTGTGATGGCGATCGTAACGCACCAGGAGGTCGCCGTTGTGATAGCGATCTGGGGATTGTTCGGGTCGATTGGAGCCGCCGTGGGATCTGCTATTGCTGGTGGCATGTGGAATAATATGTTCCTGAAGGAGCTAACTGAACGGCTGCCGCTGGAGAGTAAGCATCTTGCGGCCACTATCTATGCCAATATCGTGACGCAGATGAAGTACGCCGATGGCACCCCTGAGCGGGAAGCTATCGTTGGGGCTTATGCTGATATCCAGAGGAAGATGGTGATTGTTGGTGTTTGTTTCGTACCGCTGTGCATTGTGTGCACTTGGTTCTGGAGGAACGTTAATGTTAAGAAGTTGCAGAAGGAGCAGACGACTGGAAACGTTTGGTAGAGGAATGTGGGTTGTGGGGAGATAAATTTTGGATCTTTTGGATAGAGATAGAATGTCGATACGTCAATGAGTTATATATAGAAAATTTCTGCTTTACGAAGTTGAGTCTTTTGTTATTTTCGATGAAATCTCTCGTTTGTAGTGTGGCTTCAGCTACTATACTTGTATAGATGCGCTGGAATTCGAATCCTTCTCCTAAATATACATAGTTTGATAGGCGTTCGGTCTCTCATGAGGCGAAACGAAACTCTTCTTCCTGCGCCGAGGGGGTGACATTTGGAGTATGAGCCGTCGAGACGAATCTCACAGGTAATTTGACACTAAGCATTGGACTTAGATTGTGAGGGTGGCTATTATGTGGCCAAACAGACCATCGTGTCCCGTTAGACAAAGACTGTGCCTGAAAGTACAGGAAAGGCTATCGACAGCCCAGAAGGTCAATGGGATACCCCAAATGGGCGATGACCATGGATGATGGGTAGACCAAAGTAACATGGTCTTTAAAAGCTAGCTGGCGAGACCATACCGAGATCTCTCAGCTGCCCATAGACTCCTCGGGGACCTCCTGGAAAGTCTCCGGGAAGAATCCAGGCGGCGGCCATATATCTGCTATAGAAGGCGGATGAACCAGTGGCTGTGATGCGCCCAAACGATCCGGGTCATGACAGAAAGCCTGGAATGTACTATCGTCCAAGAAGCCGAAATCCTTCAGACCGGCCTCGCGGTTCGTAGACCATTCAGTTGTATCCAGGTATGCGAGGTCTTTGAAGATGGCATCAATATCACCGACGGAAGTGATGTTTCCAGGTATCATCGGGTTTGAAGCTGCCGAGTCGGGAGTTTGAGGTTGTGGTTGCTGATGTTGTGCGCTGGCTGCGGCATACGCGGAATCTGCTCTGCTGCGTGGAGTGATCTTGTCTAGTAGGACAGACCGTCCTTCCCTTGGGTGATGTGGTGATACGTCCATAATACCTAAATCCGTGTTTTCCATTACTGTGTCTTTTGGGGTCAAAGATTGCCCATCGACTGGCATACTGATGCCAAGGATGGAAGAAGTGTAATCTCCGTCGCCGTTTTGGGGTAGGCTGCGAGCTCCGCCCGGGTATTGCATGGAGTCGGCCATGGGTGCACCGGAAAACGGACGGCCGACTGCCCCGGAAAAGTGGATAGCCCCCCCAACAACATCTTTGGAGTACTGCCACCTTTCCATGACGGAAACTAAAGATCCATAGGCTGGCCATGCGGAAACGAAAGCTGCGGTTTTGTGTCGGAACTCGTCTGTCCACCTGGCAAAGGGGAAGGTGTCCGATGAGTCGGCAGTAGTCCGAAGTCGGAACGCTTGCTCCGCAATTGTGCGAAGGCTTAGCTCGAAAAGCGGTGGAAAACCGCATATGGAGAAGTTCTCCAAGTGTTGGGTGAGCATAGAGAGCCCTCGGTAGAGGAGCTTCTTGGCCCCCTCTGTGGCTGGGCGCTGTGAACGGTGCAACCCCTGCTCACCCGAGATCAATTGGAGATAGAGCCAAAGCAGGGTAGCCACATAGGTCAGCCCGAGGTAACTCTGATGGGGAAGCAAGGCTGAATGCCGTTCTGGATAGATGCTTTCCGGTCCAATCAGGCGGCATCCCAGAGGTAGGCAGTCGTCCCACTGCTTAAGCTCCATAACCAATTGCTGCGCAAAGGTGGCCATATTGTACCCCGAAGACACATGACGAGAGATCTTGTTGAGAACACTCGCCAACTCAACCAAGCGGTTGAAGCAGCTCAGGGCCAAGAGTGGTCCTCGGCGCGGTGGGTTCTTACTGCCCTGTGGAGCACCTGTGGGTGGTAAAACGTCCACCCAGGAGTTCCACTCCTCTAATCCGTCCTCCTCCAAAAGGCCCACGGCAGTAATGTCGCTTGGAGGCATGGCTGGACTCCTTGAAAGACGGAAAGAGAGCAATGAATCAACTACAAAGCATCCCAAGAAGACCGCTTTGCCTTGTCTGAGTTCATCAGACCGACGACTGTCGGACACACTTCCAAGACCCATGGCAATCGCCATGCGCACTGCCTGGCCGCTCAACAACCAAGCCGCGGTCCAATCTTCAAGGCCCATATTCACCAAGGTCAGCAGCAGCAATGCCTGGATATGGCCAGGTTCATAACGCTCTTTCTCCGTGGGAATGAGATTCCGCGAGACGGCATAGTATTCCTTTGCCAGGGCGACCGTTCCAGCGGGACCTGCCCGTGAATGCGTTCGCGATTGAGTAATGGTATAACTCAAGATTGCCCACAGGGCGGCATGATCGCCGGACCCAGGTGAGGCCGTGGCAATAGAGAGAGGGGCGTTGGCGTAAAGGTAGGAAGCGCGAAGAATGTTATGCTTGGCCACCACGGGAAACCATGAATGCGTGACCGCAAAGTATATATCGAGCAGCTGCGAAGTCTGAGGTGGCAACTGCAGGGTATGTGGACTGGCAGCGATCCCCTGGCCACCTGGCTCTTTCGACAATCGAGCCCGCTTCACACCCGGCGATGCAGCAAACGGCTCAACCACACGCGGAGCACCCGGATCGAGCGGGGTGGAAGTGCGAGCTACTCGGAACCCCCATTGACCGTCGGGCCCATCATCTTGCGGGTTACGCGATCGCTTCCCGGTCGCCAGGGCTGGTGTATCTGAATTAGAGAGCATTTTCTCCAGCGCGCCGAAGAGCCGACTCGTTTTCCAAGACTCGTGTAGACTTTCGGAGGCACTATCGTCCGACCACACGGACATCAGCTTCTCGCGACGACCGGTGGACTCGGCGGTATTTCCTAGCATGGCCAACATGGTATCCTCGAAGCCGTCGATGTTGCAGATCGACAGCGCCCACAGCTTTTCCAAACCACGGACGTAGCCCTCGGGGAGACCGCGTTTTCTTCGCATGGGGGGTCGTAGGAGCAGGACTGGCCCGATGCCTGACAGGCGGAACAAGTGGGACGAATGCCATCGCATTTATCCTAAGATCGGCGAGATATTAGATTGGGGGCAAATGAGATATACGAGGAAAGAACATGGCTGGGCGCGACTCACTTTCTTACTGCGACAGCGATCGCAAGCTCGGGAGACCCTCTTGCGCCGAGGGGCCTTATCCGATCCCTCATCCATGGAGAGGGGCTATTAGCGCGGGCAATACGCCATGTAGAGGAAATAAGGGGACCAGCAGTTCTCTCTCAAATTCCGAATGCACTGGAATTAATAAAGTAATGCAAGGTTATAAGAAACAGGCCGAGACTCGGAACAGTCGAAGAGTAAGACCAGAAATAGAAAAGTGGAGGAGCGGACTCTGACCCATTACTATGTCACCTCTACGGCAGAGGTTACAGGCCGAGGAAGGGTTCTCGGGCGTAAAGTTCGGGATGTGAAGGCACTCGGAATTATCGGGGGGGGATCTCCACGTCCCCACAAAGCCTTCCACTTGAACATTTAGTGTATCATAGTAGATATTTATATATTCATATGTTCTCGTATATGAACGAGATCATTTCTAGAGCAATTCTATAATTAGACATATAACTTTTACCCTAGTTAATGAGTAACTATATAACTATACCTAGGTAACTATGATCAGGAAAGGCATCAAGGCATTCCCGACGTATACCCAAAACCCGACGCTTAACCCGATTTGGACTCTATATAACAACTGTAGAACTGTAGAACTGTAGAACTGTAGAACTGTAGGGTTAAAGGAGATCTACCGTGATGCCTCGGGGAACCTTCTGCATAGATAATAGATACTTCACTTGAGCTAAACCTCCAAGGCTGATAGTTAGTCTTTCATAAGTCTATATTGTACTTGACACTGTGATGATCCAAAGCTCATTGGCACTACCTAGGTATCCACGGGCCAACATACACTTAGCATGCATACTGCACCTGAGGGATGGAGAGTTTTGTGGTCGAAGGGTTTGGGAACTTTGAGGGGCTCATGTTCGTAGAGCAATTGTTATTCTTGGTTCTAAGGATAGGGTTCATCTCACTCAATTCAGAAGACTCCAATATATAGTAATCCCACGCAGAAAGACATCTGACCGTTAACTCTTATTGGACTCGAAAACAAATGTTTAACCGTCCGCACGCCATCCTTCAAGCGTATGTCAGGAATCAATCGTGTTTTTCTGGCCCAGGACCGTAATTCATCACATTGGATGCCCAATGGGCATCCGCATAAGGCGCATTATTTGGGGCTGCATACGGTCCATGCGGGGCCGCATTGACCCCAGACATCATAGCCGGTTGGGCGGAGTACTCAGGAAGATGACCAGGGGCAAAGTCACTAGGAGTCGGCCCCGTCGGCGCCTGCACTCCAGTAGGCACTCGATCGAAATGTGCGTCTCCCTGTGCCGAGTGCACCGTGTGCGTCAACATTCTCGCGCCCGGATCGTTTGTCCGAACTCGCCCCGACATGATATCCTTGACAGGCACCTTTCGGCCATAGAATCGCTCGTTCTCGTCGTTGCGCTCGATAATGATGCTTCCGTCGACTTGCATACCGGCATAGAATCCCCGGCTCTTGACGTAGGTCCAAATCGGAGCCCGACGCTTATGCACCTCTGACTCCAGCACACCTCCGATTCCAATCGGTCCAGCGGCGACGGTGACTTCGCTGCCTAGGGTCACACGCACGTTGTAGAAGGCCTCCAGTGCTTCGTAGGTGTTGATCACCATAACACAGTCGTAGATATCCGCACCAACCAGGAACCCAACGCCCGCAGTATGCATCAGGATCCCAGACGGGGCACTCCACTCCCCCGTCTCAGGCATGCGTGCAATAAGCACTCCGCTCCCAGAAGCACCACTAACCCACAACCCCGTCCGCATCGCCGTAAAGATAACCAACCCCTTTGCGTCGCGGATGACCTCCTTTGGGATCTTCTTCAGCACCTTCTGCTTCCCGCGGGGTCTATCGATCTGGCTCTCTGCTCCGTTCCCAGGCGGAAGCGCCACTGGCGGCAAGTCCTCGACATAGACACCGTCTTTGCAGAAGCTGCGGAGGATGCGGGCGACTTTCTCGCTTTCCTTGTCGAGGGTCATGGGCCAGAAGGCCTCGGAGCCAAGTTTGTTACTGAGGCGGTTGACGGGGGCACCGAGTTTATCGAGGGCATCCCAGCCTTTGTCGAAGCCTTTTTTGCCGTAGGTCTTTGTTTTGCTCCACATGCTTTGGTTTATCTGTAGCGAGGGGTGCTCTGGCTTGGAGCACTCGAAACACAACCTTGGAAACTACCTAGATATAAGCCGCCCCTATGAAAATAAGACCTAGGTCGTGCATACCTAGGTAGTATGAGCTAGCGCATTATTAATGGCTCTCGGCCCGTTGGGAAGTCCCGGGGCCCTCGATTTGGCTGACAACCCGCTTCGGTGTCCAGGTGCTATAAATAGTATCAATTTCGTATTCGTGTTCATCGATGTGTTGTACGTTCCACAATCAAACCTGGGTATACATATTTGTAACAACATAGTATTCCCAAAGACGCAGTCCATAACCTTAGTCGACTTCGTCCACTTTCTCGGCTGAATTGCCTCTAGGATACTCCATGAGAAATAAGCGTCAGGTCTTTCTTTCGCTGCACCATCGCAATTCTCTCTCTCGGTGGAAACAGGCAGCGATTTGGCTATGCGGCCTACCACTGGGGGATTTTCATTTCTCCTAAAAGTCCCAGTAGGCCGGAGTGCTATGCTTTTGACGTCAGCAATGGAGTTGTCCTCGATCCGGTGCATCGAGTCAATCTTAACGAAGAGGGCAATTGGCACTTTCGAGAGAAAGTAAACGATCCAGACCAGGACAGTCTACTTGGAAGGGTCATGATTGGAAAGGTGCCTCATGAGGTTACCTATGCGCAAATCCGCGACCTTTTTGAATCGATCCCACTACCGCAAAAGGATGCTATACCAGAACAAAACTGCGTCACTTGGACGAGAGCTGCAATTCGTAAGCTTCGGGAGAACGGTCTTGCAGAGCAATTCGATCTCGATCGGTTTATGGACGAGTCGCTCGCATTCGCAGATCAACGCTTGCACACCGGATCTACACCCACTAGCATCAATTACACTACTAGGCCCATGTGACTGGCGAAAGGCGTTAGATTTGAAGTAGAATAACCAGCTATATTGCAGTTCTATAAACGAGGACTTGCTTGGTTTCACCATACTAGGGAATGTATAGAAATGATCTGGAGTGAAAGCGATGAATTTACAGAAGAGCGGACGAACTAGAGGAGAGAGGAAGAGAATGGATCGTGTTCTATATAACTGCATGTCGTGGACATTCTAATAAGGATCTTATGACCTCGATCCTTTGATGGGCTTCGGACTATATGGGTCTTGAAGATATTGAACAAACCTTCATAGATCTCATACTTGTATACTAGACTAATAGGCAAGTAGATATCCTATAGCTCCTTATTAAAATGACTAAATCCAGCGTTTACTTGGTTCCATCTACCTCTCTTCGCTATTCAATCTTCTACAACCCTAGCGGGGTCCTACGTGTAGGTCTGTAATTGGTAATTTGGAAGAGCAGCGAGAGAGAGGGAACTATCGAGTTGGAATAGACTGGGCGAGTGGATATTCAATCATCTCCTGCAATTTCATGCAGATTGAAGACTTCAATGTTGCTGAAAAGCACTATAAACCAACATCTACAATGTAAATATCCATAAAAACAGTCAATAGAATCTCACATTGACCTTTTCAGACCAGTTTCCGGTATAGAAGTGATCAAGAGATATAATAATTGACACGAAAGGATGTGCCAACTCCATTGCCGAGTCGCATAGATCTGGTGGAAAAGCCTTTTGCCGGAGACAATCCGGCAACCTCCCAGTTCCTCATTCCGAAACATTTACCAACTCGGAACATCTGGGGTATTCAAGGTTGTGAGATTACCTAGGTATTATACTGACAACCTTAAATTCCAGACTACATTATCCTATCTATCATTCACAGCAGTCCCAGCAGTCCTGCTCATCCCTCCTCATCCCTTCTCAACCTCCTCAACATCTCCCCGCATTCCACCTCTGCGATTCTATGCCTTGAGTGCATCTGATCATGGCGCTCGTTCACTCGACATAGACCAATTGATTTATCACCTCTCACCATGCTCGATCCTAAACCGTCTATTCCTCCCACGGCCGACGCCAAGTCCGACATCCCCGCATGTGCCACCAAAGAATCTTCCTCTCCCATGCTCCGCCCCGAGGCTGCCCCTCGCACATTTGCTCCCAATGCATCCCTCGTTCTGATCGGCATCCGCGGATGTGGCAAGCGCTCCCTAGGCTTCGTCGCCGCGACCGCGTTGAAGCGACGCTTCATTACTGAAGACCACTACTTCCGGGAGGTCACGGGCATCACGCGACAGGAATACCTCAAGCAGTATGGCAGCCAGGAGTTCCAGCGCCGCGACATTGAAGTCCTAAAGATGATGCTGGATAACCACCGCACGGGATGTGTCGTTGAGTGTGGGCTGGCCAGTCTGACGCGACCTGTGCAGGATCATCTGCGTCGCTATTCCCGGTCCAACCCTGTGGTTCATTTGCTGCGCGATATCGATCGCATCCAGCAATTGCTCGGCCTAGAGGACCAGGCGGTGCGGTTGTTCCGGGAGGGGGACCCGATGCATCGGATGTGTTCGAATTTCGAATTCTATAACCTTGAAGATCGGAGGCGTATGTCGGACGATGGGAGCCCAGATCGCCGGTCTGCGGATTATTCCTTCAAGTTGCAAGAGGTCAAAGAGGATTTTACACGATTTGTGCAGTTTATTACTGGACTCGATGTGAATTATTCGAGCTATGACTCGCCGTTCGTTCTCTTAGAGACGCCGCCAGAACTGCGCTCTTTTACCCATGCTATCTTCGTGCGGTCTTCAGATCTGATCGCCGACAATGTCAACCTGACTGAGCTTGAGTCTGGTGGAGATGCCATCGAGCTGTGCGTTGATCGCTGGAGCCCAGACATGGCAGCCACCGTCAGCAAACAGGTCTCTGTCCTGCGTCGAAATGCGCGGACGCCTGTGATTCTCTCTGTTGACATCTCCTGTATCGGCACCGGCTCCCCGGAACCGGCCACCTCTTCTTCTCGGCCTTACTTTGATATTCTCGAGCACGGTTTGCGCCTGGGTGTGGAATATCTTGTTGTGGATCTGACTCAAGACCGATCCCGGCTGGCTGGGACCATCAGAAGTCGTGGGAATACCAAAGTCATTGGGCAGCAGGTCTTTGAGCCATCTTCCCCACTACATGGGACAGTGCGGGTTGCGTAGCCGTCTACGATGAAGCTGAAAAGCTCGGCTGTCAGCTCGTGCGCCTCCTCCGAGTCGCAACAAAGCGCGAGGAGAATGCCGCTGTGATTGAGTTCTCCAATAAAATCCGATCCCTCCCGGGAGATCACCCACCGCTCATCGCCTACAATATCGGTGCCCTGGGCCGTACCTCACAAGTGTTCAACTCGATCCTCACTGCAGTAACACATCCAGCGATCACCCAATCTGCAGAGAATAAGCACGACCCGCAAATAACCTCTCGCGACGCCGTCCGCGCGCTCTTCCAAAGTTACGTGCTCGACCCACTCAAGTTCTACATCTACGGAGAGAACGTCGCCTACAGTCTATCCCCGGCAATGCACAATGCCGCACACCAACACTGCGGCATGGGCCACACCTACAGCATCCCAGATTCACCCTCTCTCGCAGTCTTAGACCGACTGGGCCGGGATCCACACTTTGGAGGATCCAGTGTCGTGCAGCCATGGCGTGTACAGGTATATCAGAAGCTCGCATCGAAAAGCCGACATGCTGAAGCCATCGGGGCAATCAACACAATTATGCCGCTTCGCGGGCATGAAGACGGAACGATGTTCCCACTCCAAGAACAAGCCAGCCGACGCAACCAGGCTGGGCGTGTGCTAGGGTGGTACGGCGAGAACACCGACTGGGTCGGGATAATGACGTGCATCAGGCGACATCTCTCGCCGCGCAACGCAATCAGCGCAAAAACAACAGGCCTAGTCATTGGCGCGGGCGGCATGGCGCGGGCCGCCATCTACGCCATGCTCCGACTTGGATGTCGGAAGATCTTCATCTACAACCGCACGCAGTCGCGTGCCGAGGAAGTCGCGCGCCACTTCAACTCCTGGGCGTCGTCGCAGGTTGACTCGACTGAGGTGGTTTGTGTCTTGCAGTCGCTTCAGGAAGACTGGCCTGCGGGCGTTGCTCAGCCTAGTCTCATTGCCTCTTGTGTGCCGGCTGATCCAGATCGAGATGAACCACCGGCGAACTTTGAGATGCCGGTGCAGTGGCTTGGGAGTCCTACAGGGGGTGTGATACTCGAGGTGGGCTTTTCCTCCCTCCCCCGACATCTGTGTATCTCTTGTCACACGTACTAATCGAATATAGTTGGCCTATAAACCCCTCGATACACCACTGCTACGACAAATGCGCCGAGTCCGGAGCGAGACTGGGCGGCCTTGGGTCTTGTCTGACGGATTGGAGAATGTTACTGAACAGGGTATTGCTCAGTTTGAGTTGATGACAGGCCGCAAAGCACCTCGGCGGCTTATGACCTATGAGGTCTTACGCAATTATGTAGGTGACAGTGGGCGTTTTGACGAGAAGACTATTCAGGCTCGTCTAGATGGTGTTGGGTCTCCGATGACTGGAAAGGAATAGAGGGTTCCAAGGTTGGAATGGGTATGATCTTTTCTTCCTGACTCTTTTTTTTGTCAGTCATGTATATATATAAAACAATCTCAAACAGTTCATATCACAGACTAGTGTAATCTCAATCGAACGTGGGCTGATAACACTCTCCTATCGGCACACCGCCCGGGCTTTCTTTTGTTTGGGTCTCCTTGTCAGCTTCACTTCACTCGACTTCCCCTAAAGTTTCTTGTTCTCATAGCCATCTATAATATACATATTCAAATTGGCTTGAAAACGGCATACCATCACCAATGCCAGGGTTTTCGCCCGAGCAGCCCGACTCGATAACGGCAACATGGAAGAAACGCAAGTGGGACCATGAGGAGTCTAGGACTCTGGCACGTCCGTAAGTCTGACAATGTTTCTCTTGGCGGGGTGACAGATAGACTAATACGATACCAGAACAACATATGTCCCATCTTACCGAGTCGATCGGCCCGAGTACGATGGTGGCTGCTCATTGCCTCTATCACGACACCCAGACGGAACAGACATCTCCTTCCGACCACGCTGCCTCCCTCGCAAGCGCCGACATGTTCAAGGCCCTTACCTTACACTGCCATCCCATCAGCACCAGCATCAACATCAACTGCAGCAGCCACATCAACTCCAACACCAACAATCCCCAACCCACCTCTCCCCAAACATCTACGGCACCCCAAACCAAGACCCATACTCACCCCCGGTCTCCCCCAAAACCCTCGTCCCCTTGCACTACCCAACCCAACAATCGGCTTCTCCTTCTGCGCTCCGGCCTTGTCACATCTGCCACCGCCGTCCAACAACCCGCCAAGTCCTCGACGCCTACGCAGATTGTGATCTCTGCCACGAGCGAGCATGCTTCATCTGTCTCCGACAATGCGATAGCGCATCCTGCGGCGGGGCATTCGGTCTGTCGAAAGATTCAAGCATACATATGCACATGCACACGAGCTCAACCGACGATGCCAGCTACGATGTCAGCGAGGCGGCCAGGAGGAAAATCTGCTCCGGCTGTGCTGTGGAAGAAGTCACCGACACCGGGGCGGAGATTGTCCGCTGTCTTGACTGCGTGCGTGGTGCAGGCTCGTGGGCTGCGGCGACTATACCGTCTGATTGGGCTCTGGATGATATGCGGCATGAGGATATGACTGGGTGAGGGCTATATGGGGTTGATTTCCTCGCCTCTATGGGGGTTGAAGATGGATATGACAGAATGACACATGAAACTACGGCATAACATCCTTTACGACCTCAGGGTTGTTTTTGCTGCTCCTTGGGGAGTGGTTCTTTTTCTCGGAGTTTGATATTGGGACTGCACTGGACTGGAGGAACTGGGATTAAGGTGGATATTTTCTTCTTTTGGCATTTATATTGTACATGCAGCATGGCGAATTAATGATCTTTGGTTCTTTTTTATCTAGCATATAGCATAATGATATCTGCCTATTTGTATACTCCTATGTGTACATAGACTACTCTCGGTTTACATGTAGATGCGCATCTCGTCAATATTTGTTCTATAATAATCTACAGTCGAGACATTACCGTGTGAAATAATCAATCACTGATTAAATGCCATTAATGCGATGCCAGAAATGAAAACTATAAGACACAGGAATAGAGTAAGGGTATAGCCAAAATGAAAACCCCATGCTCATCAACATCCAAAACCCCCATATATCCCCAATATCAATATCATCAACCCTCAATCCCTCTACCTACCTACCAAACCTCATCTGCGCCCCAGCAAAGTGCCAAAGACCACGCATATACCCTTGGTACTCAACCGCCTCCCCATCCCCACTAAGTCCATGACTGCGTCCACCAGTACAATACATCTCTGTCAACCTCAGCTGCCACGGCGGATATCCATCGAGCTTAAGGAATGGGCCAAAAACAAGCAATAGGTCCGGCTCTGGTTTGAGCACCGTATCCGGTAGGCTGGGATCCATAGACAACGGCTGTGTGGTGATCTCGCTGATCTCCGCATCGACCAAATCCGGCGTGATATCTTCCGGGGAAAGCTTGCCGTTCTGGCTCATCTCCGCCAGGGTCTTGGTTAGGTCGACGAGGGTCTCACGGCCGTCCGTCGAGGAGAGGAGAAGGATGGTCAGTGTTTGAGGTTGGGCTGTGTTGTCTGTGTTTTTTGAGATGGGTTCGCTGCGGTGGACTGGGTGGTGAGGGGCGAAGACTTGGAGGATGGGTTGATGGCTGGGGGTGCCATAGTAGGAGGCGAGTTTGGTGGTGATTATTTGGTGCAGAGCTGGGATGCAGGATTTCAGGACGCCTGGATAGAGGTTAGTATTACTGTATATCCTGGATAGCAGAGAGAAAATGGTCCATACCGGACTTCTCGTATACACTGAGCTGGGAAATCCCCGAGCACGAACTCCAGGCCGCCAATTCAGCAACTTCATCCATCAACACCGCAAGAGCGTCATCTTCCTTCCGAAGTGTGAGGATTGTACTCAGATGTTGCGGCAAGCGCTTGAGATTCTTCACATCTTTCCGGATCAGCTCGGGGGTGCGGTGGTGGTGATAGACGATTGCGAAAATGCGGTCGACGACGGCATGGTACGCCTGCAGGAGGCGAACGACGATACCGAAGATGATATGCGTAAAGGCATAGGCGAGGTAGTGGGTTTGCGACTTGAGGAATGTGCGAATGGGCGTTTTGCGTTGTGCCTTGCGGCGCTCGCTGGCAGTCAGTTGTGGTGCTGGCTTCGTACCTAGCTCGGCGGGGTCGGGGAGGTAGCCCTTGAGGAGGGATTCACGTTCTGCTACACTGAGTTTTGTGCCTCGAGCGCGTAAGTCGTCGCGCAGGATCTCGCGATCTCGTTGGGAGACCATTGTGGTGTGGGTGAAGGAGGGAAGTGGAGGTGTGTGGATGTTCTGCTTGTACAGGATTGCTGAACAGCTAGAGGACTGTATACAACTGTATACTAACGATTAGAGGTTCTTGTTGTTGTGGCTATTTTCGAGGTATTTCAAAGTATTTAAGGTATTCTTTCATTTCTATTTCTATTAATATACCAAGTTCAGCTTCAACTAAATATCTCTGCCTAGTATATAGAAATAGAATATGTGCGTGGCAGTAAATCTCCCCCGAAACCAAATTCGTCACCCCTCAGCTTTCCCCGGATTCCTTCTTCCAATTATTTCCCCAACAGTCTAAGGGAGAGGAGACACGGTTGTCCAGCTCTGCAGGCAGCTCATGCCTGTCCAATATCAATCATGATGGACAATGCATCCATAAATACAAGCTCCGCCCGCACCGTCTTCCCTCAAGGCCCCAGTTTCACCCTCGAGGACTTCTCCAGTCGGGACTTCATTGTCAAGGAGTTTATTGAATCCCTCTCCGATGCTGCGATATCCAGCCGTCGCTCACTGGCCGGTCTCGCGGGCGCTGCCAACCAACCCTTCGATCCTAAACCCCTCATCCGCACCTTCGAAAGCGCCCAACGTCGCCTGAGCGAGCTTTCCGGAGACCTCGAGCTCCGCGAGAATGAACTTTCAGCAGCTGTCCGACGAGCAGAAGCGCAACACGGCCAGAACCTCAACACTCTCGGCCAGAAGCTCCGCCACACCATCGAAAACTTTCAACAGCTTGACACGTCTCTAAATGGCCCCGGCCGCGAGAATCCAGCAGGGACGGGGAACATGGCAGTGGAGACAGGAAAACGCTTAGAGGAGCTAGACCGACAACGGCGACGAGCTCTGGATGCCCATTTTCTCATCCAATGCTGGGACGGCGTGTGCAACCGGGGCGAGATCTCGCTATTAGAGAGCCTGCGGCGATCTGGCACGGGAGAGGCCAAGGTGCGCTCCGCACATATTGCGCGCCAGCTGCTGCGTATTAGTCAACGACTAGATCCGCAGAGCTGGCAAGAACATCGAGCTCGCCCCAATGGTGGATACGGAAATAGCTCCTCGTCTGAGGATCTCAGCGAGAGCAGCACGCCGCGGCGGAACACGCGAGAGATTATTGAGAAGTTTTCTGAGACGCTAGAGAAGGATTTGCTGAAGCAGTTTGACGATTTCTACCGCAAGGCTAACTTCGATGGTATGAGGGATTGCGCGACTGTGTTGCAAGATTTCAATGGCGGTGCTAGTGTTATTGCCTTGTTCGTCAACCAGCATCAGTTCTTCATCGAACGCAGCCAGCTGGTAACGGAGGAAGTCGGAGGCGATCCGGAATCGTGGGAAAAGCTGGCTGATCCGGACGCGGAGCTTCCTGGTGTTGAATCCAGTCTCCAGTCGTTGATCGATGAAGTCAAGGTTGTGGTTCAGGACGAGTCTGCTATTATTCGGCGGGCCTTCCCCTACTACGAGCAAGTCCTGGGCAAGTTCTTACAGCGGGTCTTCCAGCAGTCTATCCAGCAGCGCCTGGAAATGGTGCTGGAGAAAGCAGCCGGGTGTATCGTCACTAGCGTTCCTCCGTTGTCTTCAAAGCTCACGTAGCTATATCGGTGCCTTGATCGAGGATCTGAAGTCGCACGGGTTGACCGAGCATCCGGAACCTGTTTCTTCGCAGACAGCTATATTGCTAGATCAGCAGCTGGAGGAGCTTTTTGTTCCTTATTTCGTTGGATCGTCTTACATCGAACGCGAGAAGCGGACGTTAGAAGAACTTTTCAATGCGGTCTTGTTCAAGTTCACCTCTTACCATGCCCGGCGCAAGAAGGCGGCAACAACCTTCATGGCCTCGTTATCCCGGGCTGGGTCAGAACTCCTGTCGACTACACGCGATGCATTTATCAGCCGGTTAGACTCACCAGAGGTCTCACCTATCCAGCGAAAAGTCCTGCTCAGCGTGGCCAACATAGGCGATACGCTGGAGACAACTCGGTTGACCGAAATCAAGCTCACAGAAGAAGATGGACAACCCAATCTCAGCGACGCTAAGCGGATGCTCAAGTGGCTGGCTGAAGCCGTGGGCCGAGGACTCGAGCTCAGTGTCAACAGCGACACACCTAAAGATGTCTCCGCCTTGCTCAACCTGCTTCTCCTCGCGATGGGAGAGGGATACGTGGATGTCTGTCTCTAGACGCCGCTCTGGAAGCGGCTACGTCACAGGAATCCAGCAAGGCTGAGCCCGACTTTTCCTACCTCTTCTCAGCTCGCACTACGATTAGTATTACCACATTGATGGTGATGTGCATCCATGCGGTCCTTCTCCCTCTATCAGCCGCGAGCATCACCACTCGCCGGGATATGGAAAAGCGCACCAGTCAAACCACCTCGCGCATCGAGGACAAAATCAACACTATCGAGCAGAAAACCATTGACGCCACATTCGCTTGGGTCAGCAGATTGCTATCTGGCCAGAAGAAGAACGACTTCCGGCCTAGGGAGAGTGATAACACCGCATGGTTAGAGATGCTACACACTCCAGTATGTTCCATCCCAACATTCAACCCTTAGGAAGCCCTACTAATCCCCAACAGACCTGTGCATCAATCACCTCATTCCTAACTCGTCTCCACAACATCGCGCGCACCTCCCTCCCATCCAGCGGCGCCAACGTGCGCCAAGTGCTGACCGAGATAGCACTCGGAATCCGCGGTCTCCTCCTCGAGCACTTCAAACGGTTCTCCGTCAGTGGACCTGGCGGGCTAATGGTAACCAAAGACATGACACAGTATGCAGACCTCTTCAGATCCTGGGACATTGACGAGGAAACCAAAGGTCCCGGTGGCGCGCTGGACGTGCTACTGGAAGTTGGTAGTCTATTCGTGATCGGCCCCGAGGCTCTCCGCGAAAGAATCCGCGGTGGTGCTGCCAGTGGCACGACTGGCGGACCTGGGGGCCCGGGACGCAATCCTACCCAGGAGGGTAAATTGAGTGTGCAGGAGGTGCGGGCTTATGTCTCGCGTCGCGAAGACTCCAATACTTTTGCTATGCAGCAGGTTCTTAATGCATTGTAAGGGGGAGATCTTGTTCTGGGATGTTTATACCCTGGTTTTTGATTTGGTGGGATCGTGTTGCTTCTTCTGGGGGGGATACATAGACCGGCGTAATGATAATGCATGCATTAGTATTGGGTTCTCTTGATATATTGCATCTCTATTCTTCTGTGATTGCTTTGACCAATACGAAGAGATTCATGCACCTAGAAATTCCTGTATAATCATGTAGGCACTGTCCAAACACCGAGGTGACAGGCCCTGTCGCGCGTGTTGCACGGCGTCTTCTGGAAGGGCCTGTATTAAAACATCCGGAAGATGCAATCCCCCATTCAGAGGCCATGAATCCCTTCCTCTTCTCAAACTTCTTTGCTGTCACTTTGTCATAATTTCTTCTATGATTTTCCACGAGACATGCCAGTGTTGGTATTCCGTTGGCATATCCCGATGCAACTCCCCAATACAGAATCCTGTTGATGGCGGGTGTCTGCGCATGATTCTGCATACTCCAGTGCTGGCTATCTGCATGGGTTTGAATTTATAAGAGCCTGGTAAAACGGGATCAAGCCTGGCTGGCTGCTAGCTGGCTGTCCCGGTAACGCAAAAGCCGGGTGTTGACATGGCATCCTGATATCAACCAGCCCGCAAGGGAAAGCCTCCTGTTAGCTGGCGGTATTATGATGTATTGGATATACATGTTCCAACCGACAGTCATTTGCCTAATGGCATTTGCGCCAGGGACCTAACAGAGCCGAATGAGTCCAACGGGGTTGATCTTTATAGTCAAGGGTCATATTCGAACTTTGCCAAAGTATGGTCTTAATGGTCTTGATTTGTCCCCAGTCCTCTTCTAAGTGATCGTCGCTAACGCTTCTTCTCTATTAAGGACAAACGAAATGAAAAACGGAAGGCACAGATCACATTATCTTGATCAACTGAAAACCCACGCATACATTCCCTTCTCTACCTGAGAATGTCTATATATTGGTCACTTCTTACCACTATATTTATTTATTCAAATACATAAGCCACAACAATGGACTCTTATTGCCGTTCGTGTCCCCCTCTTATCACTACATTAGTGTGAACCTGCTGATGATGGTTCAATGAATCCAGGCCTACGGAGGATGACTACTAGACAGTGGATGAGGGAAAGTTCCCAGTTTCGGAGGCATTAAAAATTCCCATTCATGTCTTGAAATTGAATCATGTCAATAGCAGCTCGTTGGCGTTGAGTGGAAAGAAATGTTTCCTCTGGCCGAGTGACGAGAATGCGTTGCAACATGGAGATGTCCTCTCATCTGCTTATGACCGAGACGGTGCAAAGGAATGAGTTTGTCAATCACAGCAAAAGCTAAGGCCAATCTTGTAGTGTTGAGCTGTGAGTATTTAGAGCCCATATTCTCAAGTCTAGACCAGAGACCAGAATAACACTTGTGGTTCTTAGAGTCTTCCTACTTCGGAGGTTTCTCCGTCCTGTTTTGCTTAGTCCATTCCATCGCTATCGCTCTGGTCATAGCTGTTGATTCCCTCTTTAGAGTCCGTTCATTCTCTAGTGTCCGGACCTTCTGCTCCAACTATCCGAGACTTGAACGTGTGCGGTTGGTTGGCCCGAGTCCCCAGGCCGCAGGTATCACAACCTCCGTTGGGTTCAATTGCACTTGGATAGCTGCAGGTCATTACTCAGGCTGATTTTCCCAGACGCATCGTTAAGAGGATAAAAAAGGCCGGGCATTGACGACATCACCCAGTTCGCTCGGGACCAGGATGGTACAGAACTATCCTTCCTTGACTGCCTGCGGCGTTGTTAAACACCGCGCTCCAGTCAACGAGGTCTGAATGCATTGTGTGCTATGAGTGGCATTTGACGAGGCTGCCACACTTCGTTCCGGCCTTTCTACCTCCCAGGCGCAGCCCACGCGTGCGAATCCGGTATCGCTAGTTGGCAAATTCGGATTCACTGATCCTATGTGTCCGGCGTTTTGGGGTTGAGCGAGACGACCTCTCGAAGATCCAGCTATCTACCCTTTGCATTTCCTTTGGTTTGATGTTTTCCTGTTTTTGTTGTCTCTGATGTTGCTTTTTGTGACTATCCCTATATAAACCGCTTCTCCTTGTTGTCTGCCATATAGTATATTCCTTGGCAGGAAGGTTTCTCGATCTACTACTTCTATGGTAAATGTGCGTATTTACAAAATAATCTGCTTCTGGGCTGCATCCAAGATTCTATATGTCTAGATGGTCTCTATAGATCCACCCATATCCACACTTTACAAGCTTACAATGAAGTCGGACTTCCGGAGACTACCTAAAGGTACCTACCTACCTAGGTAGGTATAAGTGGAGCCACGTGTTTCATGCCCTAAATTTGAGATCCGTACCATGGTACAGTGTCAGAGGTAATCTTATTCTGTTCTTGATTCCTGTTTTGGCTCCTCCGTAGGCAGATTTACCTACTCAATTGCCAAAGTTGATCATCCCTGATCAGCATTTTTGAAGTGTCAATCCGGCTTCTAACCGAGAGGGCTAGAACTTTGAGAATTATACGGAGTACTCCGTATCTAAAATCATGTTACCCATTTAAGAGTTGTTTACAGAACAATGTGAATGTTAAATACAGAGTAGCATTCGGCCAACTATCCTAACCTGGATATAGAAAATTCTAACCGAGGCTTTTTCTTTTTTTTTTTTCTTTTCTTTTCTTTTTTCCTTTCAAGGTTTGCGGCTGAGTTGTGGCTGAAAATGGAAAAAGGCGGGCCGAAACTCAGGGCTCCCGGTGAACTTCCAATCTTGGAAGGTTCGAAGATTTGGTTTTTGGGACTTTTGGGACTTTTCTCTCCCGATTTTCCTTTTCACTAGTTTGTTCTAGAAATTGTAACCTTGGAAAGAATTTTCTGTATTTGTCCAGTTCAGTGACTTAAAGGACTAAAGGGGGCCTCACCGTATAACATACGCTTCGTACGGCACTTCGTCTTCCGGCACAGATTCTATCCCCCACTATAATTACGAGATCGAGTACCATCGACCTACCAGAGACAAGCAATTGGAGGTGAGATGCAGCTAACTTTAGTTCACCTGGCTAGGAAGGAACCATGACGATCACTACGCTAGATCTCTATGGTTCGTACGGCTCTTCATCTGCATAAGGCTAAAATCTCTGAGTACTCCACTGCGCAACTTGTCCGAGCACCTGAAGATAAAACAATTTGAGGCTTGGGCAAGCATTGAAATGCTCTGTTATTGTAGTCTTTGGCAATTTCCAGTCGAAGATGCTCGAAACAATAGCTACCTAGGTATTCTATAAGAACTACCTAGGTATATGGGCATTTAGTTATGCAAAAACATGGGCCCAAAAATGAAGCGGGTCCGTAGGCCTGGGGCGTCGAGAACTCGATTCACGGCCCGTATTGGTTTATTCTTAGCCATCTCCATATTTATGGTTCTTCTCGCAGATGGTTCCTGCAGTTCCTGCATCTCCGGAAAGGTTTTGCAGTACTCCGTAGTATATCGTAGACAAAGACAGACCATGAAAAGGATGTCATGCTACTACACCGCAATACTTCTAGTATCTCAGCCCTGATCTGAGAATAACGACAATATTTTGCCAACTATCAACATCCTCATTCCCTTTTCCAAGTCCTCAGGTCCGAGCTGTACTAGTCTGGCTGTACTAGTATGCCCCATCAGATCTAGTCTCACAAACGAAGACGCCACCCAACCTTGGCCCACAGTCTCAGGCAAGAGATTTACTCCATAGAGATCGTGAGTAGAAAGGCTATTTCAATAAATAAAAAGAACACCCTCGGGTCTTCTTTCGTAGCGAGATATTCGCACTTCCACTGGTGACCTTGGGTTGCCGTCCCTTCATTCTGACTATTACACCCTTGTTTATGGTTGCGAATTGAAAATATATAGATATATATCTACAATGGCTGAAGAAAACCCTAGAAAGTCCATTGTGGAAGATGTCTTCATCCCCAAAGAACTACTTACGACTGCCAAATTCAACTCGCCATGGGAATTGGCTCGATGGGAACAGTCTCTCCCCGATAACGACCGTATAATATCACTTCCAGAGCCTCGCACCTCTTCCAATCGTCCTCTGAGTCTTTCTGCTCTGCGATCAGTGGCAAGACCGAGGTCTGCAATTCGATCTCGTGGACGCAGTGATCCTCCTGCTTTTCAGGGTATGAAATTGATATCCATATCTACGGCATAATTATATCAAATCGATGCCAACGTCTTATATACATCAGCTAACGCCATCCCATTCTTTAGGTACATTCGACTTCTTTGAAAAGCCCGCCACATTCGAGCCCCCTTCTCCAATCCCCGAGAAAGGACAAATAACACCGGTTCAGAATGCATTGCTCAGTCCTCAACCACTCAGTAAAACCAGCTCTCAGACAATCAGCAGCGAGCAGAGCCACCTGCAAGAAGTCTACGAAAAAGCCAAATTGAGAGGCGTTGCTATCCAACGAAAGCATTGGGTGCGGTTATTATTTGAATACAGCATCTATGCGCTCCTAGTGCTGTTTGTCTACTTCGTCCTCGTCGGTATGCCATTATGGAAAGGTGCTGTCTGGTGGCTGTATTGGGTTGTTCGAACCAAGTTCGTTATCACAGGAGGATACGCAATTATCATTGGCCTGGCTGCATTGTAAGTGTCTTCTCGAGAACTCCGAGTTTGTTGCCTTTCTTACCCTAACCAAACCAGATATGCCTTCTGTCCCCTCATGATCCTCTTCGAGAAAGATCCTCCAGCCCAGGACTCTGAATCTGAATCTCCAGATCTGGAAAACAACATCTCCAAGGTAAAATCAACTGCTCTCCTCATCCCCTGCTATAAATCAGCATCAATCGTCGGCGCAACCCTCGAAGCCGCCCTGAAGATCTTCCCCAAAGAAAACATCTTCGTCATAGCAAATGGCAACTCCAAAACACCCCTCGACAACACAGAAGAAGTCTGCAAACCTTACGGTGTAAACCACCTTTGGGTACCCATCGGCTCGAAGATCGTGGCGCAGTTCGTCGGCTGCTACGCAGCCAAAGACTTCGAAAATGCTGTTCTAATCGATGATGACTGTCTCCTGCCTCCAAACTTCCCAATCGTCAGCGACAGACTCAAAAAGAACGTCAAATGCATCGGGTACACAATTAAAAGTGTCGGCCCCAATTCCTCAAAGGGTACATTCTGCCAACAAGCCCAGGACCTCGAGTACAAAATGTCCGGTCTCCAACGTGATTTCTTCGGGAAATTCGGAAGCGCTACCTTCCCCCACGGGGCTATCTCGCTCTGGAATATCGAGTTCCTAAAACAGACATTCCATGAACATCCCGGCTTCTCCGTGTCGGAAGATTGGTTCTTCGGCGATGCGTGTCGACGTCTGGGTGGACGCATTACTATGTGTTCGCAGGTCTTTGTCGAAACCGAGACCCCGGCTTCGGTGTTCTGGAGTGGTTCTGGTGGTAGTCGTGGTGGATTCGGCGAAATGACTATCTTCCAACAGCGGTTTAAGCGGTGGAATTTCTTCTTCGTGGTTGGCGTGTACTACGACTTGAAGTATATCTTGACTAGCTGGAAGCTGGGTTGGTGGGAGTTTGGTGCGAAGTTGTGCGTTTTTCAAGAGGTATGTGATAGGCACATCTATCATCTTCGGCATTTTGATATATAGCTAACATCACCCCGCAGGTCTACGAAACTCTCATCTACCTTTTCGCCCCCTTCATCCTCCCGATCTCATTCATAGTCCGTCCCTCGTTCTGTGGAATGCTACTCGGCGTCACTATCGCGATGTACATCCTCAACGTGATAATCTTCAACGAGATCCACCTCCGATTAAAGAAAGAGCGCGTTGACTGGAAAGTCCTGTTGTTCTACTACACTTTCTACAAGATCGCACTGACGGTCGTCAACGTGTTCAGCTGCTACTGGTCGTTGTATAAGTATGCACGGTACTTTGCGCAGCGGCATCCAAAGGTTATTGAAGACCGGGATGCAGTTGAGGTGATTCTCAGTCTTGAAAAGGAGTCGAATTCGAGGAGGACATCAGTTGAGGATGATGTTATTCCGCTTGATGGTGCTCTGGGGAGAGGCGTTGGAAGAAAGTTGACGCTTACAAAGGTTCAGGCTGGCAAGAGGAAGATGACAGAGGAGTCTGAGAAGGGTGGATGGGTTTGAATATAGGTAGATTTGGATATAATATATTATAGATTGTACATGTATAAAGTTGTGCATATGTTGTACACACTTGCAAATCATTTGATATGAGTCTTCCACTATTTTCTCGTGTACGATTGACATACCCACTTGAAACCCTCTTTGATATTGATTGGCGCTGTCTCCCGTTATGCGACGAAAGCGATGACGATCTATCAACTACGGTCCTTCCCGAGGTCGCTAGACCGGTAATTATCATCCAACGGAAAATATCCCGGCCTTCTTACACATCTTCTGTTGGTCTTATCTGGTCCAGTCTAGTTATCATCCACGGACAGTGTACTCCGTACTCGTGATACGATTAACATTAATTCCCCTGACATGGGCCTGAAGTAGAGAGCATGGCCGTGGACTGCATCGCCAACACGGGCACTTGCATCAGATATCTATCCACCTCGAAGCTCACAGGAACCACTCCCTCCTTCTACTCCGTACTCCGTACTCTGTACTCTGTACAGTATCAGCGGTGAATATCCCACGCGTTTGCGATCGTAAAATGGCACTTGCAGATGATAGATCATACCTCAAAACCCGATTTTGCACGCCTCGGCGAGCCACGAGTCCGGAAGGGATGGCCTCCTCGTTTGTCTTATGCGATTGAAGTTGTATGCATTAGCCCGATGCAAGGAGGAAAGGGATTGAAGTCTACTCCGTGCTTGAAGTGATTTTATTATACGGGGTATTGTTCTCAATATCAATCTTATGTTGTACAATGTTAAAGGCTTTTTGTATTTTATTATTTTATTGAATTCCGAAGATATGTAGATCATTATGCGAGTGCTATCGGAGTATAGTCGATCAATCAAGTGTATATTCATCTAAAAACGAATCATTGGTAATCTCCGGATTAGAGTCTCGACTATATTGTATATTTAATTTAGTTGAGTTTGCTATACAATATAGATGGAATGTATATGAGCTGTCAGGTACAAAGTAGTGTAACCTCTTACTCTGTACGGAGTATGTCCTTCGTTAATAGCGTTAATATACCAAGTTGGGCATAAATGACGTTCTTTGTTCGGACCCAAGTCATCCTGTGTTCTCATTGGATATGAAGATATTTGATACATCACTTTTTTTCCCCAGGGATATTATTCTCGTATCTTGTCTCCATTTTCCCTCAATACTCCGTACGGAGTATTGAGTTAACCGATAGAGACAGGGAACAGGGAAGAGCACAAAGGAACCGTTTCCAATTCTCCAATTTTTCCAATTTCTAAATTTGCTTCCGGTCTAGGATATGTTTCAGACTGGAAATCAGCGATCTAAGTGGAGCTGAACATGATCTCCTTACTGGGGCCACGTCAAAGCGAGGCGCGTAGTGACTTGGCTCCAGGGCTTCCAAGGTTGGTAACTTGGATGACAATAGGGATGGATTCATACAGATTGGAATGCGATCGATCAAGAGTTCGTTTGACATGTTCGCATGAGATAATAGAGGGGTTCGTGATAGATCATATAGAGGGGTATTGAAGAATATACTCTATGTATACTCTACGTATGTATGTACCCTATGTAGGTAAGTGGGAAATCGAAGTATCACAATCACAAGGCGCTAATGTACAGCATATCCTGTCACAGATCAAAGAAGTTTAAAAGATATCATTCTGTGTGTGTATATATATTTGAGTAGATCTCCTCTTTCTCTTCTATTTGGAATGTTCTGTTGATTGTATACTACTTGGTATACTACTTGGTATACTTATACTTGAACTCTTGAACTTCTTATTCTATTATTCTATTAATCCTCCCTATACTCTCTATATCCCCTATATCCTACACAATGTTGGAGCACTTTGAGTCACTGCCTCCAGCAGTGAGAAGAAAGGTAAGGGCTCATTGCTGATTTCCTCCCTTCATCACTTCAGTCTCCCTCACACCGTCACACGCTCGGACATCTCATTTCCCTCCCCAATAGCTCCCTCCACAGAAGATCATCTTAACCCAATTGAGCCTGATTCGCCCGTTTTCTCCATTTATTCTTTTCCTTTGTCTACCTTGCTCAATGATTGTCCGTTATTGACCATGATTTACCCCTGAACCCCCTCGGTGGAGGCTGACAACCCGCACTATCGTCCGTGGCGCCACTCGCTGTCTCGTAACATTGGCTAACATTGGCTAGCATTGGCCAATGCTAGCCAATGTTAGCGCATGGGACGTTATTCGCTCCACTTCATATTCCCCCCGTATTGCCTATCCATTGCTGTTCAATGTCCACAGCTGACTCAAACAGTTCTTCTCGAATGTCGAGCGTTTGCGCATCCGGCTAGCTCAGAGCGATCACGGTTCCCCTACCTGCTCCACGTCAAACTATCAGACCGATAATCGGGTCTATCGAGCCCCTCGTCTTGGGGACTCTCACTCGCGTGGTTTACGGACCGGATCTAGGAAGCGAGGGCTCGAGAAACGTTCTTCTCCTTCCAAGAAATTACGCAAACCCGGCTCTCTTCAATTGGCCTACCTGGCCGCCCAGGCGGACTCTCAATGCTTTCATTCTCTCCCCGCTAAGATCCAACAAAAGCTTTTCTCCCCGAAGAACGCAGATGTTTAAGGAACGCTTATCGACAAAGTCACATTTACGACGCTGCCGACGAAGCTTACCGTCGAGATTCCGGTCGATGTTCGAGGAAATCTCGCCCTTCCATTGACACTCATCCCTCTCAAGCAATTGTGCCTGTTGTTCAACCCTCGACCGCCTTCTATTCAGACTCCGAGTCAGACGACGAAGACCCGAACATGGATCAAACATTCCATGACAGCTTCCGGTGGCTCGACGAGGATGGCGATCTTGACTTGTCTCTCGATGAATACCACGCTCATGTGGCAGACGCTGCCACGAAAAAGAGAACCCGCCCCTCTTTCCGCCGCTCCTTATCCTTTTCCAACCACCTTCGCAAAACATTAGAAATTACACCCACTTCAACTCGAGGACTCCCGCCTGTCAGTCAATCGCAACCTCTAACCCCTCTCTCCAACCGGACTCCCGAATCGCGCCCATCATCCAACCACCGATTCCAACATGCCCCCAAATCTTCCACCTCGAGCATCGACCCCTGCGCACAATACTACCAAGACCCCGATGCCCGTTTAAAATTGCGCGTGTACCTGGCATCCCCACAAAAGTTCGACGAAGCCATTGAATTTGGATTTCCCTCGCTGGATCAAAACAATAAGGAGAATATCGGCCCAGAACCAACCACACCAAAACCAAGCTCACCAAAATCCACCCTGGTTGACTGGGACTTTGGCACATTCTTCGAAGATGACGATGGCACCATGGTGGGGAGCCCAGGAGGATCGGTGGAAAATGAACCAATCCGTTCGCCCGTGCTCACACAGCGGGACGCGCCCCGACCCTCCATGGAATCATCAGCTCTTTTCCAGCGACGCCAATCCTGGCTGCCTGGGGCCAAGGGAGTCCCACAACGACTTCCGGGAAACCGCGAGATGACTCTCAAAATGACCCTTACTCGGCCTGATCTCCGCACTGACTCTCCCACACCTCCTGCTTCTTCCAAAGAAAAGGAAGATCCCTTGCGATTGGCTGAACTTCCACCCGCGGACCGCAGCCAGTCGATCTGGGACTCGGACTTGGATGAGCGAGGTGTGGTGAAGAAGATGTGGCGCAAGCTCCGACGCCGAGTTTGATTTAAATGTCTCCATTTTGATTGACTTCCGTTCATTTTATTTTTAATATTCCTTCATTTATTTCCCAACACTAAGGTGTTGTTGTTCGTCTGGCGCGAACTCATCTTTCGTTCTATACCATTCTGAACGTCCTTTCAGGATATCCGATCCTTGCATTTTGAGCGATGTCTTCTTTTCACACGGGGGGTCCTCGACATTTTTATGTACCTATTTAGCAGTGTTTTGTACATATAACCGGCTGCTTCATGTCAATTGATTCAAGAGACCACATTTTCCACATTTTCCACCTTCACCATCTTCACCATCTTCAGGGGGTGTTTTGTAGACCAACAGACTAGTCCCAATTGCGTACTATCATCCACGGTTCGCTGCCAGTAGGCTTGTTTTGTAACCATGGTTCAGTCGATAGGACCATAGGACCGATAAGCAATTCACGTGACAGAGAGCTTCATCCCAAGGCAGAGGCCACGCAGCTCCGTCATCAGCATCACTATCTTAACTCACGACATATCTACCTGCCTGTTCACTCGTTGCTGACCTCTAACAATACTCTCTTTTCCAGCAACTTTACTTTCCCTCCCTCCATCGATTGACCCTGTATTCCCGGTCCGGTCCGCTCAAACTCCTACCCGCACACCCTATCAGATGCCTACGCAGCACCGGTCATGATCCCACGGTGGCTGCTGCTCACACTGAGCCTGCTGCTGGTATGGGCCTCACATCCAGCAGCGGCAAAGGGAAACGAGCCGAACATCGTGACCCATGAACTCAACGCTCCGCCCGCAGACCTGTTCTACTTCCACGGCACAAACACCATCCTCTACCGTGACAGGAAATCCTTCACCGCGCATGTCTCCTTCGATGGTGGTGAGGAATGGGAGACTGTCAAGGGCAACGATGGAACCATAGAAGGCACCGTTGACTTGATCTGGAGACATCCGTTCGACGACAACCGCGCGTACATCCTCGGTGAGAATGGCAAGCACTGGATCACGACCGACCAGGCCAAGTCGTGGAAACCATTCCAGGTGGACGTGCTGCCGTTCGCGTCGATGCGCTCATTCCCATTGGAGTTCAATGGCTGGGATCCGAAGAAGGTCATCTTCATGGGTCTGGACTGCACCATCCTTGGCTGCATACCCCAGGCGTACTATACCACCGACGACTTCGAGACTGTTAAGCCATTGCGCGAGATGACGCTCCAGTGTATGTGGGCCGCGAGCCGTCCGCAGTTCGCGTTGGACATAGACATGCCGAAGTCGACAGGAGACCGGATCCTCTGCGTGGTCCCTGGGTTGAAGGGGCCATTTGAGCATACCAGTACAGAGCGATTGATATATTCAGACAGCTTTTTCAAAGATGATGCCGAGGGCACCGAGGCGAAATTGGACCATGGAAAACCGCTGAGCGGTGTCAGTCTTCAGATTCGTTCTGTGTCCAAGTACATCGTGGCGCGCCTTCAGTCGCGTGGTACGCAGGAGCAGGCTTTGTACGTCAGTGATGACTCGAATGTGTGGCACCGTGCGGAGTTTGGCAAGCACCGCATTGAAGAGGATGCCTATACTATTTTGGAAAGCACCAACTATAGCATCCAGATCGACGTGCAAACTACCTGGGATGATAACCGGATGGGCAGTCTTTTCTCGTCCAACTCCAATGGCACCTACTTTACGCAAAATATCGAGCATACGAACCAGGACCTGAATGGCTTGGTCGATTTTGAGAAAGTCACGGGGATTCATGGTATCACGATCGTCAACACGGTCAAGAACTGGGAGGAAGCTAAGAAGTCTGACTCAAATAAAAAGAAGCTTATTAGCAGTATCAGTTTTGACGATGGGAGAACATTCCAACCTCTCAAGGCTGATAAAGACGAGCTACATCTCCATTCGATGACCACCTACGCCGCGCTGCACGAGATGCCCTTGCCAGATCACCGGATGTTTTCAAGCCCGGCTCCGGGCTTGGTCATGGGCGTGGGTAACACCGGAGGTCATCTCGAGGACTATTCCAAGGGTGACCTCTACGTTTCAGACAACGCGGGTCTTACCTGGCGGCGCGCTCTCAAGGGCCCCCACCGGTACGAGTTTGGCGACCAAGGAGGTGTGATCACTGCTGTCTTGGATAGCAGCCAGACGGACAAGGTCCAATTTTCTATCGACCACGGGAAAGAGTGGGAGTCGATTTCCCTGGGGCAAAAGATCAGGCCTCTGTTCCTGATCTCAACGCCAGATTCGACCAGCCTCAAGTTCCTGCTCGTTGGCACTTCCAGCGATGACACCACCAAATCCCTCATGTTTTTCATCGACTTCGATGGCCTGCACGAGCGCGAGTGTGGCTCTGGAGACCTTGAAGAGTGGACTGCCCGTTTGAATGAAAAGGGCGAGCCGGATTGCCTGATGGGCCAGAAACAGTTCTTCCAACGCCGCAAGGCAAACGCGGATTGCTTCATCAAGAAGGAGTTTGCCATCAGCGGCCCTGAATTCCAACCCTGCAAGTGTTCCGCTGAAGATTTCGAATGCGACTACAACTTTGTTCGCAGCGAGGACCGCAAGGAATGTGTACCGGCTGTCCCGCTGACACCTCCGGCTGGCAAGTGCAAGGATCCCAGTGATAAGTACATGGGCCCCTCGGGATGGCGACTCATCCCCGGCAACGCATGCATCCGTGAAGGTGGAGAGGATCTCGAGCGCGAGATTGAGCGCTCCTGCTCGAATGTCACGGGGCCTCCTCTCATCACCGATGGCAAGCCTCGTGCGGGAAAGCCACAGACCATCTCGGCCAAGTGGACAAACTACTTCTATCTCGAACGACAGGCCAGTAACAACGGCGTTGATGAGACTATCATGATGCTCACTGACAAGTACGAGCTGCATGTCTCGCGTGACCATGGCCGGAACTGGAAGCAAATCCACCCGGATGAGAAGTTTATCGAAATGGTTCAGCATCCTTACTTCAGTGATGCGGCTTTCTTCCTCACCGACAGCAAGAGGGTGTACTACACTATCAACCACGGTGATTCCTTCCACTTCTTTGACGCTCCCAGTGTGCCGAACAAGGAGTACATCCGCAAGCTCGCTTTCCATGAGAAGTTCCAGGACTCCCTTATTTGGATTGGTCACAAGGACTGTGAGGAGAAGAACTGTCGCTCGCAGGCGTACGTCACCGACAAGCGAGGCGCTAGTTGGGAGCCGATGCTTATTGGAATCGCCGACGGCGGTTGTAACTTCGGATACCAGGAGGGCCGCAACAACAGCGAAAAACTGGTGATTTGCGAGCAGTATAAAGATGAGGAAAAGAACAATAACCGTCAGTTGGTTATCAGTGATAATTATTTCTCTACCATGGAGGTCAAATTCGAGAACATCGCCCGGTCCGCTACCAAGAATGGTTTCGAGGTCGTCGCCTGGTACGAAGGGGACCAGAAGGAATACCTGAATGCCAGCGTTAGCGTCGACGGCCGCACTTACGCCAACGCACACTTCCCTTTCAACATTAAGGTCCCTCAGTATACCGTCCTACCTAGCTCCCCGCACGCATTGTTCCTCCTTGTGATGGTGAACGGGGGAGGTGAACGCAGCTTCGGCTCCCTAGTCAAGAGTAACAGCAACGGCACCTACTTCGTCCAGAGTCTCGAGGGACTCAATGTCAACGATCGCGGCTACACGGACTACGATGAGTTGCAAGGCCTGGAGGGTGTGGCCATTGCCAATGTGGTTTCGAATCGGGAAGAAGTGCTGAACAAGGGTGCGGCCAAGAAGCTTCGCACTATGATCACCCACAACGACGGTGGCCAGTGGATGCTTCTGGCTCCGCCGAGTAAAGATGTCGATGGCAAGAACTTCGACTGCTCCGTTACGGAGGGCAAGGGCACCGAGAAATGCGCTCTCCATTTCCACGGCTACACCGAACGCCGCGATTACCGCGATACCCTCTACTCGGGCTCTGCCATCGGCCTGATGCTCGCGCTCGGCAACGTCGGTGAGCATCTCACCAGTGCATCCGAAGCTGATACATACCTCACCAGGGATGGCGGCATCTCCTGGACCCAGGTCAAGAAGGGACAGTACATGTGGGAATTCGGCGCGGCAGGCTCGGTAATCGTGCTTGTTAGCGACCGGAAGGCAACCAAGGTTGTACACTACACGCTCGACGAAGGCATGAGCTGGCACGAGTTCCAGTTCGCCGAAAAGGAACTGGTCATCGACGATATCTCCACCGTGCCATCGGATACATCGAAGAACTTCCTGCTCTGGGGCGTGGACGGCGGCAAGCGTGTCACCATCACGCTCGACTTCAGCGGTATCTGGAGCCGCGACTGTAATGACGATGAGAGCGATTACTATAACTGGGCCCCCTCTCATCCCTTCCAGGAAGAGAACTGTATCTTCGGCCATGTTGAAGAGTACCACCGCAAGAAACCTGCTGCTGAGTGCTGGAATGCCTGGCGCGAGCCACACATCCACAGCATCGGGCGGAATTGCACCTGCACCCGTGCTGATTTCGAATGGTAAGCAAGAACACGTAACCACCTATCCCAATCTTAATAACCAACTAACATGGACCAGTGACTACAACTATGAAATACAAACCGACGGCAGCTGTGGCCTCGTCCCGGGTCTCCAACCCCAAGACCACATCGCACAATGCAGCCAAGATCCTGACAGGGTTGAATACTGGGAACCAACCGGCTACCGGAGAATCCCACAAACAACCTGTGAAGGCGGCCTCCGCCCTAGACCAAGATGTGTCAAAGCCATGCCCTAACAAAGAAGAAGAATATCATAAGAAGCATGGCATCAGCGGAACAGGCCTCTTCTTCGCGATCGTGACACCCATCGCCGTTGCCGTCGCCGTCGGCTGGTACGCGTACACGCACTGGGACGGCAAATTCGGCCAGATCCGACTGGGTGATAGCGGGACCTCGCAGAGCTGGTTGTCCAGGGACTCGGTGCTGGTCGCGGTGCCTGTGGCGATTATCGCGGGTATTGTTGCGGTTGCGCAGTCCCTGCCCTTACTTGTTAAGAGTCTGGCGCGGAGCTCGTCTGGGTTGTTCGGGAGACGGGGATGCAGAGACCTTATGCTACGCGGGGCTCGTTTGCGGCGAGGAGGGGAGATTATTCTTCTGTGGTTGATGATGAGGATGAGTTGCTTGGAGCTGATGATTTTGACGATGAGGAGGACCAGGCTTAGGCTTGGTTTTGGAGATTATGGTTATGGTTTTTTAAGTATTGGAATTTTGATATAGCTGCCGTTTTGGGGTTTCCAGTTGGAAATGATCTTTTTGGTTTGACTCTTGCGACATTATGAGCGTGCCATGAACCTTTTTTTTTGCTGTTTTCTTGCTGGTATTCGGTTTGTGTACGTTGTGGTAGGGCTCTCTAGGGCTATATATCTCCCATTGAACAAAGCAGGATGCATTTCAATATATTTCCTTGGACTAAACACCTTGTAAATGAATTCAATTCCACTGGATATCAAACTCCAATTCATGCTAACAACCCCCTCGCCCTCTTTTCTTTGATATCCATGAACTCCATAAACACATACCTCTCCCTATTTAAGATGGTCGGGGCCGAAAGAGTCGGGGAGCAACTGGGTTTATCAGCAGAGGATCCAAGAGATATGAAAACAGATATATCTAAAAGATAGGAGAAAGGAGAAAGGAGAAAAGAGAAAAAAGAAAAGAAACCCACCTCCTCCATAGTCATGACTTTATGATTTCCCTCCCCGTCATACATGTACACCGGGAACGAAGGCGAGGTGAACTCGCGAATACTGTATCCAAGTAAGTCAACCAGAAGAACAAGGAGGAGGAGGAGAAGAAGAAGAAGAAGAAGAAGAAGCCCCACAATTGTCTACACATCCCACAAGGCGATGCAGCAGGTTTGATATCCGTCGCGACAGCCAGAGCCTTGAAATCTCTGTGGCCGGCGACCTGTGGAAGTTAGCAAAGGTCCAGACATGGGCTGGTGTACATGATAATGACAATGGTAGAGAAGATGGAACATACAATAGCAGCGCCAATGGTCACGCGCTCAGCACATGTTCCGACTGGATAGGAGGCATTTTCGACGTTAGCGCCGGTGATGAACTCGCCCGACGTTGTGAGGATGCATGCTCCGACACGAAATTTGGAGTATGGGCCTTGAGAGGGTGTTAGTTTGAGGTTATTCGTTTCTGTGTACTGAGAACTAGGTATCTGGTGATTGTGCTGCTTTGGAAAGGGTCATACAGTAGGCAGTCGCTTTGGCGTCAATGGCCTTGGTGGACAATGTTGTCAGTTCCTGGGCTGTGATTGTGTGAGCCATAATAGTTGAGATGAGAGATGTTTTGAGGGAGATGAGGGAGATGAGGGGAGGTGAGGGGAAGTTTTTATCTGATAGGCGATAGGCGATTTTATGCAGAGATGTGGTTATGGGCTATTGGGATTATTGGCTATTAGATATTGGGCACCAGATATTTATAGCTAATATAAATCTATTCAATTCATGAAGTTTAGATTCGAATATTCGAATCTTTACTTTGATATAGAAGCCCTAAATGGTATGTATGTATGTGCTGCAAGGGAATATCAGAATATCACTATAATACATCCGATCCCACTTGATCTAGCAGTCTGTATACACTAAATCTCCGAATTAAACTGATATTCTCCTGATATTCTCCTGATATTCCACAGCTATTCCGATATCTACGTTGGATGAGATACCTCCAGTAGATGGGAATGACTAAGCACCGTCCCCCGCTTATACCAACATACGATATGTCAGGTGTAAACATTTGAATAGCTTCAAAAAAGACACTCTCCAAACATGTTTAATCTAGGCGTCCAGGTCATCAATGGCCAAAAGACCTTTATACCACTAGGTAAGCCTATCCAGATTCCAAAGTTTGAACCCAGCATCACCCCGTCTTACCAATGCAACAGAGAACAATCCAGAGGTCCACACGCATCTATGTAAGAACCTCGGAGTATCCCCGAGCCTCACATTCCATGATATCCTCTCCACTACCCCAGAAATGCTCTCCTGGATCCCACGACCTGTAAACGCCCTCATCCTCCTCTGCGACAAACCCATCTACCTCGCCGCCCGGTCTCGTGTCGAACACAGTATACCCGAGTATCTCGGCAGCGGGGCCGACGAGCCCGTGCTGTGGATGAAGCAGACGATCGGACATGCGTGTGGGCTGATGGCATTACTGCATGTGGTGACCAATTTGGAGAATGGGAAATATGTCCTGGCGGGATCAGAGCTGGAGAAGATTGTGAAGCGGGCGGTTGGGCTGGGGCCGGTGGAGAGGGCGCGGCTCTTGTATGATTCGAGGTTTCTGGAAGAGGCGCATATGGATGCGGCGTCGGAGGGGTCCTCGATTGTACCTTTGCCACAGGAGGAATGTGGGTTTCATTTTATTGCGTTTGTTAAGAAAGATGGGAAGGTCTGGGAATTGAATGGAGGTATGAATGGTCCATTATTGCGAGGTGAATTGGAGGGGGACTTGTTGGGAGAGGAAGGGCTGGATATGACGGTAAAGGGAGTTTTTAAATGCTGCCGACACGGAAGTTCATAGGGGAATGAGTATTATTGCCGTGAATAATACGATGTGACTTATTCCAATGTCTTGTCTTGTCTTGTCGTTTAATTGTTCTTTCTATGGGGATGATATTGATATAGGTGACGTCATATCCATATCAAATCCGGGGTTGAGGTGAATCCCGAAGCCCTCGAGATCTTAGAAATCATGCTATATCACATTCCAATGCATTGGAATTGACTATTTAAAGGATGCTGTACCTAGCACTAACCATCAATCACAGTCTATCATCTATACTCCCAGACTAACCTGCAATGACTTCAATTCTCGTCACCGGAGCCACAGGGAAACAAGGAGGCTCCCTAATTAACAACCTTCTGAAGAAAAATGCTTCTTTCAAGATCCTCGCCGTGACCCGCGACATCAATTCCGCCTCGGCGAAGAAACTCGCCCAGAAGTCTTCCAGTATCACATTGATCCAAGGCAACCTCGACGACCCAGCGGCCATCTTCAAGAATGCAAAGCGAGTTTGGGGTGTGTTCAGTGTCCAAGTAAGTCCCCAAAATAAACAATATCCCAAATATATAACCCCGATTTTGACCAATGAAACAGACCACCAATCCTAAAAACGACGATGAGAGACGCCAGGGAATCGCTCTGATAGACGAGTCTATCAAACAAGGCGTCAAGCACTTCGTATACAGCTCTGTCGACCGCGGTGGCGAGAAGTCAGACCGAAACCCAACCGCCATCCCGCATTTCATTTTCAAACATGAGATCGAGAAGCATCTCATAGAGAAAACAAAAGGGACCGATATGCAATGGACGATTCTCCGTCCCGCTGCCTTCTTCGAGAACTTCACGCCGGATTACTTCGGGAAGGTGTTTACAACTGCATGGCAGATGACACTGAAGGGCAAGCCTCTTCAACTGATAGCGACGAGTGACATTGGATTCTTTGCTGCCGCGGCATTTATGGATCCCGAGGAGTCAAAGAATCACGCCTTCTCGCTTGCTGGGGACGAATTGACGTTTCAACAGATGTCGGATATTTTCAAGGATTTGACTGGCAAGGATGTGCCGACCACTTTTAGGATTCCGGTTTGGTTGATGATGGCTGCCGTCAAGGATTTGGGTGTCATGTTCAAATGGTTTCGGGATGAGGGATATGGTGCAGATATTCCGGCCTTGAAAAAGTCGAATCCCAGCTTGAAGACATTTGGGGATTGGTTGAAGGAGGATAGCCAATTCGAGACACGATAGGGTTGAAGGTTGTGTTTGATATTGTAAAGTACTTATTATGGAATTAATGTGTTGATAAAGAAACCTCTCTGTGTATACTTGCCCTGTTAGAAGTGGGGAACAATGGCCTAAAATAAGGACCCAGAAAGCCAGTCCACACCAGAGAAAAGCAAATCGGAATCGGTGTCACCCAATCCAAGAGACTCATCGGACAAAGCCTCTTGACTGAATGGTGCCTGGCCATCCTGCTCTTGTCTGCTAGCCCGTGATGCGGCCGTGCGTGCCATGAGCCGATCCAAGGGCTTCTGAAGCATGGCATCAGTCCGCGGCATATCATGCTGCCACGACCTATATATTTTGGTCACGACATCCCAAGCATGGTCAGTCTCGGGGCTAAGTGGACGCAAGCATAGCTCCGAGAGTATAAAAGCGACCACATGCCATTCCTTGAAGCTTGTGCATAGCCAGCTCCACTGCGGTGTTCCTTCGTTGGTGTGCAGGAGATAGGAGAACTGTGCAAGCTCGACAGCAGTCTTGAATACACGGTCGTCGTGGCGGTAGGACTTCACGTCCGAGTCTCCGGACTGGAACTGAGTCGCCAGCCACGCTTTGGAGAGTTGGAGTCGCACAACAGTTGCAACTACCCAATGAATCGGGATATCCAGGTTGAAATGATCGATATACTGTTCATGAAGCCTTTTCCCCAAAGCTGTGACGAGATTCTCGCGGTCGTGCGTAGACATATCCGAGTATCCACCCTGACGCGGCCAGAGTATTTCCGTCATGATGTGACAGGTCATGATGCAGATGGTGATATTTGTGAAGCCAGTCTTCGGTAGTGGCCGATCCGTCATGTACAAGGCAATGTCATCATCGTCAATATTACTGGGAAACTGGGTGTCGAACATTTCAGGTCTAATCTGAGTATCGACACCTTGGTCTCCCGAAGACAACATGTCAAGCATGCAGATATGCCACCATAACCGACGGCGCATCTCTGTTTCGAAGGGTGGTAATGCAAAATTCTGCCCATCGCGATGGACTCCTTGTGCTTGTGCAACCCGTATCACGACGGCAGATTCGGCCCATACAAGTCGTGTATCACCGCCGACTCGATAACATAGCAAGAACAGAACGGCCGCTTGGAGAGCAGACAAGCTCTGAGAACTGATGAAATTAGCTCGGCGAAGCCCCTGGCTCACTGCTCGTCTGCAGTCCTGGATGGCTGTATCCCGGTCGATGTCCAGTATGGAAGGGCATATGTGCGCTCCCATGCTAGCCACAGCGGCATAACACACGGAGAATAGTAATGCCTCATCTGAGGGTGATAAGTCACTGCCAGCACAGGCGTCTTGGACTATCCTTCCCATGGTGGCTTGGTGGAGTATGACAATCAATGGTGCCACGTTTTCTTGGTATGTTCTCCATAGTGCATCAATTCTTGCTGGTTGACAATAATGGAGGCGAAAAGAGTCGAGAGACCAGGTGGAGTCGTGATTTCCAAGAATTCCACCCTCTGCGAGGATAGTGGGGTTATAATTTGCATCGAGTGAATATGGCTCATCATCTGAGGGGCTTTCAATAATATCACGGAGTTCAGAGATCTGCACAGTAAAATTAGTTTTGACAGGCTATACAATACCAGTAGTAACCATCTCCCACCTTTTGTCCCAGTGCAACAGAAGCCTCGTCACTGACGTACCGACTCTTTCCCTCTTTGAGAACCAGCAACTCTGTCTTTTTGACTGTCTTTTGCAGATTCGGATCATCGTCCAAGTCCGTATGGTCGGTATACGGGTTGCAGCGCGTTGAACGGAGTTGCTCAACCTCTTCTTCAAGATGCTTTAGGCGAGTGAGTAACTCACTGACTGGTGGCCTATTCAATGTCCGCCGTGTTCTCTTTGGACCTGGAAAGGTGCACTGCACTCCGGCTTTCACACATATGCTGCATGGATATACTTTATCGCACCGCACTTTTCTTTGGCTGCAACGCAAGCAGCTGCGTTTATTCAACTGGCCAGATGATGAGGCTGATATATTGCGCTCGACATCAGACATGTCTACTTGATAGTAGGTGTAGGTAGAGAGATCCCTCCTGGGCTCCAGGGCTGTCCGGGAGGGATCTTACGTAACCTCCAAATTCCTCCAGGGCTACAAGGCTGTGAGGATACCATCTCCAGTCCTTGGGACTGGCTTTGAGGTCTTTCTTCGGGATTTATATAATGGGAGAATCGAGTCCGAAAGGTTCGAAGTGGTAAGCATTGGACCGGAAGTTATATTTGCAATATCCGAATTCTATATTGTATACAAAGAAAGGAAAAAATAGACAAATCAATATGACCGAAATAGAGCTCAGATTAAATATCGTTCACCATATTCGTATACCGAATGGTTAACGCCTTTAACCTCAATTGACGTGTGAACGATCCAGGGAGTGGCATAGCTGGAGATGTACATCAAGCCAAGCCCGCACGATTCGATGCCTCAGAAATCGAGCAAGGAAAACCTTGCCGGAAATCGTTGAACGGCTGATTTTGGAAATAGGAGACTGGTGGTTTGGGCGTTGGAGATCGTCGAGAAGGAGAGGTAAAAGTGACAGCGTAGAAGAGTGAAGAATCGTGTTTGAATGTATTCGGGGTATAGCGCATGCCAAAAATCCAAAGAGTCAGGTATTGAAAAATCCGAAAGGAAAATGGGGGCCAACATGGTCGTCCAACCTCAGTTAGACCCGGTAGAATGACAAATTTCTATATGCAGACTGTAGCAGCCTTTCTTTTTGCTTTTCATCCAAAATATTGCCGTAATCCTTCATAAACAGTGAAAATAAAAGCCGAGCTGGGCGCCGAGCGCGCGCAGGTGATCCCGCACCCGCGGTACATGCCCCTGAGCCCTTGCTGCCTCCAGAGAGCCTTGGTCTCGCCCCAGAAGGTCTGTTGCTGGGCATGGACCGGCAGTTGTGAGACGTCCACCGTCTGCATGCGGGACTTGATTGTATCGGCCGGATAAAACAGGAAGTTGTAGCTGATTCCAGCCGTTGCTCCTGCAATCATTTGTTGGTGGATAGGGAGCGAGTCGGAGGTCAATTGCGGGTCCGACTTGTTATACTTGCGGAAGAGCGATGATACGCCCTCGTATCCGCCGAACCACGCTGCGCTCCCGCCAGTTTCCCGGATCAAGGTTCCCATCTGGCCCCGCCAGAATCCTGCCAGCCCTTCATGTCGGAAAATGCCTGCGACGATGGCCACCGGGCCGGGTTTGAGGACTGCTGACTCCGCGGGGACCTGCATCCTGCACTTCACCAGTTCGATTGGTGTAAGTACCAGCGAGGTTACCGAGCCGGATAGAGCTCCACTAGCAATGAGAGCGACGAATGGTAGGTGCTCAACGCCTGGGTAGACCGTCGCGCGCAGAGCATCCTGGATGAGACGATAACTGAAGAAGAGACAGCTGGTCTCCACGGCAGCTCCGGTCATGGGGGCACTGATGCCTCTGTATAGTCCTCGGAGGCCATCGGCTCGGAAGGACTGGCGGAAACAATCCAGTGGTCCTGTATATCGGAGAGGAAGGTGTTCGGGTTGTGACTGTAGTCGGACCTTGACGGTGTCAAAGGGGTACTCGATGAGTTTGCCTGCCATTCCTGCCGACTTTTGGAAAGGTGTCAGTCTAAATCTCCCACGTGCATGTGCCAAGGACTTCCTTACCGATCCAAATATGATATCCTTCGTCGCCTCAAGGCCCTGATTGGGCGGGAGCGATGGCAGCTCCATCGGTTCACTGATGATCGCATGCTCTGCCATCAAGTAAGGGGGGAAATGACAAGGTAAGAGGGTGTTATCGAGGGATCATGGTAAGATGGGGGGGAATCAGAGGTATAAGTAGTGAGTGAAATGCACTTGGACTGGTGGGGGGAGGGGCGGTGTAACGAGGGATTTGATGGGCCTACAGGGTGCCAAGCCACCGTGCAGAAGCTAATGAAGAGAAAGGAAACGAAGCCAGACCAAAATCAGAAGGAAAGAGTAAAAAAAAATAATATAAAACAGCCTGTAAGAGAGAAAGTCCGTGGGAAATGGGAGAAAAAGGTGGAGTCAGGAAATTTGGGCCGAAGCATTTTCTCTCATTGGACGCCAAGACATTTTATCAGATCGAGATAATCAAATGGAAAAACTCGGTCTCCGTTTTTCTTTTTGGTCTCTCTTCCTTGGCTTCACGTTTCATTCACCCCCCATTCCACTTTCTTGAATCTTCTTGGAATTCCTTTTTTTCCAAGTCACATATCTTATTATGTCTACCTCAACGGCTACAGTCGCACCTCCGACAGGCATGCGGAAAAATGGTAAGTGAGAGAAGAAAAAAAAAAAATCAATGCCTAGTCCCCACTTGCTGTCCCTCATCTCCCCGACTAACCCCATCGGACTTTCAGGTAAAAACTGGCATGGTACCAAGAAGGCTTTCCGCCCTACTGCGGGTTTGACCTCATACGCTAAGCGTCAGGAGCTCAAGAAGCACAACGATGCTGTCAAGGAACTTGAACGTGAGATGAAGGAGGAGCAGGAGGCTGAACGAAAGGTATGTCGATCTTAATCCTTTTCTCTCTTGAACTGTCTCACTTCCCTATCGTTTTCTGTTTTTGTCTCGTCTTCATTTCTTGTCAACCTGTCTCCATAATGATGATATTATCTCCGACAACACATCACTTCCCAAGATGGTATCACTGACCGATGAAACCCTCTCCAGGCCCGTATCCAGCGCATCAAGGACCGCCGAGAAGCCAAGGAGGAGAAGCTACGTTACGAGAAGATGGCCGAGAAGATGCACCACAAGAGACTCGACCGTCTCAAGCGCAGAGAAAAGCGCAACAAGCTGCTCAGCTCTTGAGGCTGTTCACGATCTTCTCTATATCTCCGCCATAACATCTCTCCATCTTCTCCAGGACTGCATTGTGTGTATATACGTCGGCTTGTTGAGGCTTCTTCCTTCTTCCTTGTCCCTGGCGGGAAAAACTGGGCACTCATTCCGGCGTAGGCTGTTCGATTACAGGCGTTTTTTCTGAGGTTAGGTCATAGGTCACTACTAGCGAGCAAGACAAATGTTTTTATATAGTCGCAATCTATTCTTTAGCGTAATCATTTTGTCTGGCACAGTATGGGTAGTAAAGAAGGACGAATATCAGCTGCAGTGTCGCTCATCGGTCCTCAGCCTTGGCGTCATCGATCCCCCCCAACTCCACACTCCAACCGCAACACCAAGCCTCCAAGCTTCTCTAGCTTCCCCAAGCTTTCTTCCCAGAATGTACCGCCATGGAACCTCCATATAAATACGCACCATTCTCAACATCCCGAGCAGCCTCCGCCACATTCCCATCCACCCAAACCCCCACCCGAAGCCAGGACCAAAACCAGCAAGGCAGCGACCTCCAATCCAAATCCGAGGACTTCTCCAGATTCAGCAGTCAAGAAAGCCGCCAAACAGACCGAAGAAAGTCCCGCCGCTCGCGCCGGCATGGCTCCGATGACCGCCAAATCTCCCCAAAAGGAGAGCATCGAATTGGCCCATCCCCATCCCCTCGGCCGCAGGAGCCATCCACGTTCGATAGCTTGAGGTCCAACCGTCACAAATACAGCAAGTCACGGGACCTGCGCTTCCCTAACCCCATGAGCCACCTGACTTCCTCGGCGAGCGCGAGGGGATTGCTCCCTACATGGTCGGGAGGGAAGGATAAGGACCGCGAGGGCGATGATGGGTTGCTGAGGCCGATTACGAGAGAGACGACCCGGAGTCGCTGGGGGTCTGAGTCGACTACTGCTATGTCGGACGGTCGAAAGGGACATATGCTCGATACGCCTGGCCAACATGAGCATTTGGCGCCTATCCGCCGGCATGAGATCCTGTCTATGGATGACCTGGAGAAGGTTAAGAAGCGGAGGAAGCTAGGCGAGGAGTATGTTTTTTTGCCCACTTTTCCTTTTGGCTTCTTTGAGCACATATAATTGACTAGCGGCCGTTTCAAGGTATCTACGTTCCGCGTTGACTTCAATTGGGACGTTAGCGACAGACGTCACCCGTCGGCTGGATTACACCTATTACAATCTGCTTGAGAAAATCACAGCGCTCAACTCAACTATCTCGTCGTTCCAGGATCTCTCCGACTCGGCATCAACACTGCTCAACGACTTCGAACGTGAAACGGCCAACTTGGACCAGGATATCCGCAAACAGCTCAATGACCTCAAAGGCTTCGAACCACAGATCCAAAAGGCCGATGCGTTAGAACAACGCATGAAAGCGGGCCGACAGCGCGTCGAAGAACTAGGCAAACGACTCGAGACCGTACGGCACGAGATCGATAACTGGGAACAGCGGGAAACGGAATGGCAAACCCGGACTAGTCGTCGACTACGCATCTTCTGGGGCGTTGTCACAAGTGCGCTGCTGGTGCTCGTACTCGCTCTGGTCCTCCAGAACTGGCCACAATTCTGGTCTCCCCGCGCTGAGGCGTCACGTTTGACAACGTGGAACCACTCTTCGCCCTCTGTGCCACCTCAGTCCGAGGCGTGGGACGAGGTCCTTGGTCTCGCGGGAAGAGATTCAGGGTCTGATGCAGGGCCTGCTCGATATCCGACCAACCTTGCAGATCGTCGCGAGGGCCTGGACAAGGCTGGTCCCACTTCGACGGTCCGATCAGGGCATGACGCAGCAGCTGCGAAATATGATGCTCTGGGTGCGCTGGATGAATTATGAAATTCTTTTTTTGTGCTCTGGACCCTTGACCTAGACCAATTCCCTGATCCGACCTAGCTTGTGCTTCCATGGGTTTCGGGTTTCGGGTTTCTGGTTTCTGGTTTGCCCTTGAATTGTCTTCAATTTGTACTTTTACTTTTAGATTTATGTTATGATACCCAGTCCGCAAAGGATTCGTGTTCGTCATTATACCATGGGGGCCTCGCTCTTCTTTTTCTTCTTGTCTTCAATCAATTCGATATTGGACGCCGGGATCTGCTTGCCGTGGGTCTCAAGGAGCCATTCACGCAGGTCGTCACTGACATCACCCTGGACGGTGATTTCCTCAATACCCGCAGGCGAGCGTGTCACCGAAGAACCTGTAGCAAACTTCTTGCCCAGGTCCTTTGCAATCTTCTTGTTCTCCAGTCCGAAGACCTCCAGTCCAATCACGACCGTCACAAACTTGCGCTTGTTCCGCTCAACGCGTTTGATCTGGATCTTGGAGGCGGCCTTCCGCTCGCTATCGCGTGCTTCGTTGGCGGCAGCTTTGGCCTCCTTTTTGGCGGCGTCTTTGGCGGCGCGTTCTTGCGCAGAGACGGAGAGTGTGGAGAGGTTGGCATTCAGAGCATCTGATAGAAAACCAGTATTAGATTATCGGTATTTCTCAATTTCCGGGCCTGTGGATTTCCAGATGCAGGTGATAGCCAGTAGCCAGCCAGTCAAGTCGCATGGGAGCTTCATACCTTCAGAGTATAGTTTGTCCCACAGATCCGACTCGTTCTCCTTGAGCCATTCTTCGCATTTCTTAGCGGTACCTCCAAACTCGCAGTACTAGACAAGAACCCCGCACGTCAGAAACATATTGGGATCGCCAATGGAAGTATAATTCAAATAGCCAAACTATGCAGGCTCTGTGGGCGCTTTCTAGTGGCTAGTAGCTATGCCACGCACGAAGCCGGGGGCCCGATGATAAGAACTAAGAACCAAGAACCAAGAACCAAGAACCAAGAACCAAGAACCAAGAACCAGGGGCAAGAGCGGGGAAAGGGCCCTTCACTTCTGTGGGACTGAGAACTGGGACCGGGGAAAAGTCGAATGTCATACCTCGGGGGGTAATGTGCAGACTATCCGGATCAGCATATTCTCAAACGAATTGGAGTTGTGGTTTGCGCCACGGGGGGTCCTCAGGTCCTCACCTCCACAGTAAACAACATGTCTTGCCTGTACAACCGGGGCAGTTTCTACCTCAGCCATGATGTATGAATAATAGTACCTTGGTAAATTGGTATTGGTCTAGACTTTGTTCTTCTCTGCCAGGATCATATGGCGGAGGGGCGGAGGGGCGGAGGGGCAGTTCTGCCAGCTAAGCCGGTTTGGGATATCACGTGCAATGACGGTTGTCTCCGATGATCGATGTTGTACAACATACCAGGGTATACCTAGGTACCCTCCATGGCTGCTGTTTCAAGTGGCAGACTAAGCCAAAGTGGTATGTGGTGGTTAATCGCTCATTATGGGACCATGTTTACATGCTCAACTAGGAATGGCTTTTTATCTCACACCAAGTCCAGATTTTTGGACCAACGTCACTCATCACGACATTGCATATCATTGCCAATCTCTCCTTTGTCCAACCTCCCCAGAATGGAGGGGGGTTACATCCCTTATCCCCCGGTTGACTGAAAACTGGGAAATTGGGGACAATGCAGAAAAACTCCTCGATACGAGCCGTTTAATGTGCAGCTGCTCATTACGATAGAGGGCTAGGCGCGCCAATTGGTGCCTCGGTTGACGATAGATCCGCAGATGGCTGATAAGAGAGTCAATTGCAATCTTGCAATCTTGCAACCCCTGTCTTGTCTTGCATTTTGTATCCGGGGATGTCAAGACCGGTCTCCGTCAGCTAGCTGCGTTATCTAAGAGCCCTGGAAGCGAATCTGGCGAAGACAGAGTGGTTACGTTACCCTGTAGATGTGAGAGTTGATGACATGCGTCGAAAGCCATTGCAGAGAAGGTATGATTGACTGATACTGTCGGGGGAGCCAATGATGAACGAATATGGACAAACGTTAAAAGAGGCCCGTGAGGAGAAGACCGGGGTGCACATCGCACTAGCACAACAGATCCTCCACAGAGAGGGGATTTATGGGCCAGAACATATGTTATGATAACATCGGAATAGACTATACCTAGGTAGACAGAGTTTCAGGTTTCCAGGTCCAGATTCAAAGGGATCTGAACACAAATCCTTAGCACGGGCGGTTATCACTGGCTTGCGATTTGCATCAACGGCGTCTCCCAAGAACCAATGTCGAGGGTTTTAGCCAATCATGACAGTACTGGATTTGTCCAGATGCTATGCAAGCGCACAGACGAAGGCAATTATGTGTACGCCCTTTTTTTTTCCATCTTTTTTCTTTTTCCTGTGTCATGTTTGGCGCTGTTTAGCTCTCTATCTTGCATATTTTCGAGCTGTCCGTGTATGTGTACAACATTTGAAGTTAAGTTGGAAATTGAAATTGAAATTGGGAATTGGGAATTAGAAGGGCGGGATAATCTTAAAAAGTCGAAGATGTCAATGGCTGAAGCCAAATTATATCACCACTGGCTATGTTGTATATCTTTTATAAACCTTCCAAAAGACATTCCCATCTGTGCTTTTTTAGCTTCGGCTCGTATCTCCGGTCGATCATAACTTTTTCCTTTTGGTATCTGGTTTGACAACCTCTGATTCTATGTCCAAAGTACAAGGATTCTAGAAAAAGTGCCTCGGTTCTGCCTGTGACCGATCTCTGGTCAAGATATCAAATATATCTAATATCCAAATATCCCAATCTATCCAAACGTCCAAACTGATGTGGATCAAAAGGGGTCCGACTCTCCTCGGAAACTAACGTGCTCAGGCCCTGATGCATAGGCTCTCGGCCTCCGTGATACTCCGATGATTCCGTAATACCTACCTAGGTAGGTAGTTTATAGTATTCATCATTAATTTACTATATACTATATAGGCATAGGTATTATAGGTATTTCTATTTGGACTCTATAGAATACCTTTGTGTGTACATATGTATACTCTATGCTCCATAGACGCATAGACGCATACGTACAATCTACATTCCACTAAAAAACCACTTGCATATCCGGTGGAGAAGAAACGTTTATCGTGCGGTCTAGATGATCTGTATTTTATTATGTATTAAGATACTTATAATACTATGTAATAGTAATAATAGCTCCTTAGTCTACTTCCTAGTTATACTAGTTAATAGAGAAGACTAACTAGAACTAGAAATAGATTTAATTGTGGCAACTTCTATTGAAATACTGAAATATATAAATATAAATATATATATCCTTATATTCTTATAATTCTTTATAACTTGATCTTCTTTGAATATACACTTGTTATTTGCTTTTTCCCTTTAACCCCCCAATTCCCCCAATTCCCCCCCCCCCAGAAACCCCCAGAAAACCGGGAACGGTCATTATCTCCACATTTTGGTTATCTTTGGACTTCTTCCTCTTCTTCTCTTCCCTTCTCCCTCCTCTTCTTCCTCTCTTCTCTCTTCTTGTATTCTCTCTTCTCTCTTCTCCTCTCTCCCCTTCTTCGTTCTTGGGATCTTATCCCCGAGCAATCACCTGGATATGCTATATCTTTGAATGACCATTGCCTCGGACTTATCATCTTGTCATTAATTACATCATTGAAAGGAAAAAAAGGAAATGACGACGTTGTTGACTCCCCGCGAAACCCATTCGCCCTTCTCGGATCCTCTACGGTATCCCACGGATCCCACTGCGCAGCGTTATTTCCTCGAAGATCACGCCATCCCCAGAAAATCGCCCATGCAAGATGACTATCGCGCGAGGGACTCCTCCCAGTCGCATCAAACCTACCCTCTGCGCTCCCTTCTCCGGGATTCGCTCCTCCCCGAGCAACTCGCCTACGCGTCCACTCTAAATAGCCTGTCACCAGAAAACGAACTCGTCCTACCCTCCTACGACCCAGAATCCCTTCACAATCCCAACGAACCAGAGGACGTGAGTGATGCGTCGACAGAATCACACCCACCCTCGTGGACATTACAGGCTCCATCAGCAGATGACACCTTAATTGAGGATGAGCCATCCAGACACGTGGACTACCTTTCACATGACTGGAAGGAGGAGGATATTTGGTCCTCCTGGCGGTATGTGACGAGTCGGAGGAACGATTATAGTAATGGAGTAAGATTGGAGAATGCCTCTTGGAGGACATGGGCCAAGGCCAAGCACAATCTGAAGACGATATCACCGGAAAGCCTCAATTGGTAGGTTATTGGTCTTACTGATCTTTTCATCTTTTGTTCGGCCCTGACTTTTTTTTTTTTTTGGACCAGGCTGAAGGACTGCGATGTCACCTGGCTCTATGGGCCATTAAAAAGCTCCGTCGAACGTGCAACCTCTCCATCCCCCCCTCCAAGTCGCTTGGAGACACCGAACTCTTATCTGAGACCGAAAGCCGATCCTGAAGAAGAAGACCGCATCCGAGGCCATCCTCCAGCGGTCACTATCTCAACATACGTTACTTCAACATGCCGGGGCCATTCTCAAGGCTCAAGAAGCCGAGAACAACTGGGCTCGACCCCCTTTCCCAAGGTCCAACACAGACCTGGACCATTTGCATCACCGGACTGGAAGTTCGACATACTCTCTCGGTGGCACACTCACTACCTCATCATCGTCTGGAATGACATCTCCAAGCGAAAGGCGCCATATCCACTTCAATAATGAAGTTGTACAATGCATTGCAGTTGAAGCCAAGAGCTATGAGGACGATTGGCCGGCCACCTTTGAAGATGAGCCATCTTCGGACGACGGCGTAGTCTTGATGAGACAGATCTCCAGCCGGTCCTCCCTGAGCAACTGCACCACCCCACGCAACAGCTTCAACGATGGGAAAACCATCGCCCCTCTCCCCTCAACCACGCTCAAGTATCGCGGGGATCCCCCCCGATGCTCAGACGATCCTTGACCGATGGTCCACCCCCACCCGGACACTATCACCAACTCCCTCTGTGGAGACCATACGCCCGCCAGGGCCATCAGAGCCTTCAGAGCCTTCGGCAAACTTCCTTTTGGATGAGTGTGAAGATCCTGGCCTGGACTTCACGGGCAATTACCCCGACCATGATCGCGCATGGTTCATCGAAGATGATCCAGCATCAGATCGCCCGCTCCGATTGACTGCTTCGGGAATGATCATGCCGGAAGGCGAGTCCGAGACCCCCAGCAGTAGTATCTTGGACCGGGTTGTGGACACCGTGAACACAGCCCGGGACATTGCCCATGTGATTTGGAATGTGGGCTGGCGCCGCTAATCTTGATCACCACACTCTGCAATCTTCAATCAATCACGACTGATGATGATGGCTAGGCCGTACATAATGGGGGAAAAAAAGCAAATAGGTTGCACTCTGTGGCGTTTTGGGAGGGTACATGATGGATTTGATGGAGACTTTTTTGTATAGAATCACCTATTTGATTGTTAGGGATCATGTAATGACATAATGCATAAAAATAACACATATTGAAACAGTCCCATTGGCATTTCAGCTATATAGATAGTCCTTAATCGATGTATAGATCCGCACTGGGGAAATTGCGAGGTTGGGTGTGTAAGGGTGTGTATATGTATAAATGTAGGGGGGTTGACCTCGGGATAATGAAACTATTTCATGTTCTTTTCCATTTACTTCCCAATCCACAACTTCTTCACCCTTTACTCTTTATATATGTGGAATATTGAGAAATTAAATCTATTCATATATGCTCAAATTACTCCTTAAAAGGATCAAGATCACCGAGATCATCGAGATCACCGAATTCCACTTGCCCCACAGTTCCCCCTGATCTCTTTATCTCTTTCTCTCCTTGAACTTCTCTTTCTTACTGGCTTCAAAGACATGGAAACCGTCAATGTCGCCGAATTGGTCGAGCGCCTGGGTAGCGGTGAAGATGCCGTGCGCAAAATGGCTGTCTTCAAGCTCCAGGGCAACATCGGAGACCCGTCCTTCGCCGACATCTTCATCGCAGAGGGCGGGCTGGTTCGATTACGCTACCTAACTCTTCACGCAAGCGGGAATACCCTGGCATATAGTTTGACCAGTTTCTCGAGACTGCTCGATGTCGACAAGGGTGGGAGTGTGTTGACCAGGAGTTGGTTGAGCGTGTGAGTTATCCTTGAAACCAATTGCAGTGCTCTCTACCTGTGTCTTGTCTTCTCGTAGCCATGTCAGATGCTAATGACTGCCCTCTAGATTGTCGAGCTGATCGTCACCCATCCCCTAGTAAACATCCTCCGCGGCGCCATGTCCATTCTCGTCTCGATTGTTTCCCACCCGTACACGGGGAACCGCACCTCCCAGGTCAACAACTTTGGTTTCCGCGCCCTGAAGCCTGCAATCGCCATATACCCCCAATTCCTGGAGATGCTCGTCAGTCGATTATCCTCCGCCGACCATGCGCTGTGTGCCAATGCGCTCCAATTGATCAACTCGCTCATGCGCGACTCGATCACCCACGACCCCGAGACGGAGTGGCCCAAGTTCATTCAAAAATTACAGGACCTGGGTGTTATCAGAGCGGTGTATGTGCTTATGCAGGATTCCGCCCTTCAGGACCTGGCGCATCCGCTGCTGGAATTCCAGTCGCTCACCAAGGTTCTGCTACGCAAGTGGCGAGATATCCCCGTCAACCAGGAGAAGCCTGAGCATCGCCGCGCGCTGAAGGGAATTTATTTGGCCAGTAACCCGGAGAAGAATTCCGACGAGGCTACCGAGAATGGCGATGATGCACGGCGCTCTAGACGACACCATCCAGAAAAGTGGAGGCGGCTTGGATTTGAGACGGAGAGTCCGGCGGGAGAATTCTATGAGGTCGGTTTCCTGGGTATGATGGACCTGGCGGACTATGTTCGCAGTCATGGGGATGAGTTTCAAAATATGCTCTTGGAGCACTCTACAAAGCCGTCACGACAACGCTGTCCGATTGCTCGGGCATCATTGGCCGTCACATCTATTTTATACGAGCATTTCGAGGTCGAAAAGTCCGACATGGATGACACCAAAACATATCTCATTTCAGAGTCCCGTGCGGGCTTTGATAAACTGTTCCAGCCATTGCTGTTACATTGGACCCGATTACATGTTGCCGGCTTACAGGCCTTCTTCCGCCTGTGGAAGGCGACCGCTGCCGAGGAAGAGGACTTGGACAAGCTCATCGAGCTCGTGCGCATCCTCATCGAGTCGGTGGTTGGCGGAGCTGCTCGGATCAAGGATGTCCAGGACATCGAAGAGGAACTGGCCGATTTCGAATACCACCGATTGCGCGGGCTGCAAATGGAACTCCTTGAACTTACGTACGAGGATGCATGGGGCCAGCACTTGCGACAGGTGCGCGAGGAACTTCACCATGAGGCTCTCCAGTTCGTAAAGGAGCAACGAATCCGATCTTTGCTCCAAGGTAGCTGGTTCGCTCTGGACTCTCACTCCAAATCGGAGTCTGGCCCGGTGCAGAAGTCTACTGCTACGTATCAATATGCCCAGCTCTCTCATAACCGACGATATTTGCATTTCGGTCAATTTGACCTAATGGGCGATCGACCTCCGGAGTTGGACACCCTACCAGAGAAAAGTGAGTGTCCCTGAGTGCTTACCTATACCCACGCACATCATCTTGTATTTTGCTGCTAACACCGGGTCGTACCCTCAACAGTCGATCTCTCGATCGTATCATCCGTAGTCTCCAACGTCTCTACCAATCCAGATCATTCCTCTACAGCCACCGTGAAGACCGCACCCCGTCAACCCACAACCAAGATCACCATCCACGGCTACGCGCCCTCCACAGCCACCGGACACGGAAAGGGCCACAGTCACGCCCGGTCCGGCAGCAGGACCACCCAAAAGGAGGTGGTGCTGCTCACGCTGCGGCCCTCCTCGCACAGCATTGCGTCCGAATGGCTGGATGGTCTGCTGATGCTCCTCAACCAGCAACCCATCACTGCAGAGACAAGCAAGCTGATTGATCTGGTCAGCAACTATGGGTTGAAAATCCGCCTGCTTAATGTGCGGTTTGACGATGCCACTTTCGCCGGTGAGGCTCCCCAGGTCCCTGCGAGAGATGGTTTGGATGAAGATTATTACTATGATGTATTCGGAGGCGCATAGGGAGTACTTTCTTCTATATGGATATCTCTTTTTCTTTTCTCTTTCCTGGTTGTTTGGGGATTTTTGGTTTCTTTGGCTCTGCCGACTCAGATTCTGGTCAATATACCCGTTGTGCGATTCGTCTTGATGAATGTAATTTATTCCAACAGGATACATAGCTTAATATTAACATGTACATCTACGTCTGTATCTATATTCTATCATCTATATGTCTCATCCAGCTGTATGTTGTACTATAAATCCGGCAAAAGGCCCACCGCTTGGCGTCATAAGCTTATCGCACGCGTATCTCAACTTCTCCAGGTCTTTGACCAACTCATCATGGACGGTCGTCCTCCTAAAAGACAACGCAGATCTAAGGATTCAAAGGATGAGCCGAAAATAAAATCAAAACGAAAACCCGTCATTTCAGATAGCTCCAGTCCTATCGAACCAACAGAACCCTTCGCCCTCTCCTCACGCCCAAAACCCTCCTACTCGCGCGGCACAACACCATCAACCCGACCCCCCTCGTCCTCGCCCTCTCCGAACAAAAAGACCAAAGCGCCACCAAATCAAGGCCCAAAATCCAAATCCCTCCACAGCTTCTTCCAGCCCGCAACAGAGGGACAGCGATGGGCACCACAAAAGACCGAGAAGCAGTCCCTCCCGCCGGTCAGGGAGACTGTCGACGTGGACCTGATTGAAGATGACTACGACTCCTACGATGAAATCTTTACACAACATCTAGCTAATGAGCGAGCGGGAATGGGTCTGACGGCCACGAGCTCGAGCCAGACACGTCAGTCAGCGCCGAAGCCAGCACCAAAGGCAAAGGCAAAGGCCCAGGTCAAACCACCGCGGAAGACGACGAAACGGTTTCTTCTGTCTACGGACCGTGGGGATGGCGCTGCCAAGGAGCCATTGGCTGCGCAACCGGCTAATGAACCGGACCGTCGACCGTGGGCTCAGCGGTTCGCTCCGGCCAACCTAGGCGAATTGGCCGTTCATAAGAAAAAAGTCTCGGATGTGCAGCATTGGCTGGAAGATGCTTTTGCTGGGAGGCGTTCTGAGGTGAGTTTTTGAACAGTCGAGGATAATTCGGGGTTTGAGTTTGAACGTAGTTCTGACAATCCGCAGAGGTTACTCGTCCTACGAGGTCCGGCAGGCAGTGGGAAGACGACCACTGTGTCTTTGCTCTCCGAGTCACTTGGTTACGACATTGTTGAATGGAAAAATCCCCCCGGTTTCGGAATTTGGGGCTCGTGATTATCAATCTGTGAGTGCACACTTCGAGGAATTTCTTGGACAGGGGAACAAGTTTGGAGGACTTGACCTCGAAGATGCCAGCGAGCTCGATTCCGAGAAAGAAGAGAAATCTCGGGACCAGCGGATACTTCTTATAGAGGAGTTTCCAACAATGCTTGGCCGGGCGTCCTCCGCCCTCACAGCATTTAGGACGTCTCTTCAGCGATATTTGGCTGCCTCTGCGAATGACCATGCCCGGGGCAGTTCTGGATCGAACCACCCGCCCATCGTGATCATCGTGTCGGAGACTTTGTTGGGGTCCGCGTCCTCGATCTCGGATAACCTGACAGTTCACCGGTTACTGGGGCCTACGATCTACAACCACCCCGGGACAACGATATTGGATTTCAATAGCATTGCACCCACTTTTATGCACAAGGCTTTGCGGTCTATTTTGGACAGAGAGGCGCAAACTTCCAGGCGTGTCCAGATACCTGGGCCGGGTGTTATAGACAGTATATCCGAAATCGGCGATATCCGCAGTGCAATATCCTCCTTTGAATTCCTCTGTCTCAAGGGGACGATACAGGGAGATGGGGGGGGCAACGTGGCCAAAACAAAGAAAGCTCGAGGTGAGGTTGCTTTGACAGCGATGGAGAAAGAGTCTCTCAAGATGATAACCCAGAGAGAGGCGAGCTTGGGCATGTTCCACGCCGTTGGGAAGATCGTGTACAACAAACGCACGGACCCGAGTCTGATCGAGGGCGATGTCGAGATCCTTCCACCGCCACCGGACTATCTGCGCCACTATGCCCGACCAAAAGCTTCGCAGGTCTTGGTCAATGATCTGGTCGACGAGACGGGGACTGACGTATCGACGTTCATCAGTGCCCTCCATGAAAACTACATCCCATCCTGTGATGGGGATAATTTCACCGACTGTTTCAACGACTGCATTGATGCCCTCTCTGATAGTGATATCCTCAGCGCCGACCACCGACCAGGGCAAGGGGCACGAGCCGGGATAGGAACTGGAATCACCTTTTTTGGTAGCGGCGTCGACGTGCTCCGGCAGGAAGAAATGAGTTTCCAAGTTGCGGCGCGTGGTCTCCTTTTCGCCCTTCCATACCCGGTCAAGAGAGGGGTTGGGCCTGGAGCTGGACGAAGCCGCGCGGGCGATGCCTACAAGATGTTTTACCCAGCATCTCTGCGATTGTGGAGAGAGGCTGAAGAGATTGATGGACTGATCGACTCGTGGATGAACCGATCACTCGATCCTTTTGGACAACAGCAGCAGCACCTCTCTCAGAATGGCTCTGACCTCACAGGGGTCAGTTCCTGGAAAAATCTCCAGGTTGGAAGGTCGGCATCAGCCTATTCAAAGGATAAAGATAACACTCCAAGTATGGTTACGATGACGCCCCGGCATGATCTACTGCTTCATCAACTACCATATATGGCTGCAATCCGGCGTCAGGACCCGGATTGTTGGCAGTTGGATAAGATCACCAGCATTCGCGCCAACCAGAACCTTCGTGATGGACTTGACGACATGGGGGAGTCTCCAGCACCAGGACCGCGTATGGAATCATCCAGCAGTAATGGTTTTGGACCTCAACTGGCTGAAGAGAAATTGATTCTCAGTGACGATGATATTGTCGATTGAGTGTGTTAGTACATATGTGTACCATAGTGAATGAAATATTTGTAAAACAGAAACATATATATTGTATTTACTATAGATTATATACTTATACATATATGATACCTAGGTATACTCCGTGGTATATTTACTTATCTCGTGATCCACTCTCTTATCTTCAGCCCCAACTTCCTTTTAACACCTTTCACCCTTTGAAACCCAGAGGTAAGTCAATTCATCAACATCCCTATATCATCACTCACATTCAATTAGGATGTTAAATGATCATGAACCCTCGAGACGAGGACATGATGGCTCTTACCTGACCAATCGCACTCGAGTCTCTGTGAACACATCTGGAAATACGAACTTCGCTTCGACGTCTCGATCTCGAAAATCTGATGAGCCTAACTATGTTCAATTCAAGAAAGATGCTCCGGGCCTCGTTGCTGCTGCCGCACATGCGGCGGTCCCTAGCTGGACAAGCATGGCTCTAATGGTCTCTCTTATCTTCGGCGGCTGCTGTGCCAATGTAGGTGTCTAGAGAACCTCCCGCGCTGCTATGGGGGAGTAAAACAGGGACTGATTTTGTGTATAGGTCTTCGCGCTAGAGGCAATTATCAAGTAGGTCAACAAAGGCCAATTGAAAATACAGCGCTAATCCCATCTCTTTTTCCAGAGAACAGCCTACCGCCGGTAAGTACGACAACCAGAACTAATAAAGACAACCACCATCGCATATCCCTAACCAAACCCGTTCCATGCACAGGTCCCTTGATCACATTTGCCCAATTCGTTCTCTGTGCGCTATTCACCATCCCAAGCTTCCTATCCCCCTCAGCCGGAGCACGAGCCCTATTCCTGAACCGCCGCGCCATCCCACTACGCTCGTGGGTGGTATACACCGCTTATTTTGTGAGCGTCAACCTCCTCAACAACTGGGCCTTCGCATATAAGATCTCTGTTCCGCTACACATAATCCTCCGATCTGCAGGCCCCGTTGCCTCGATGGTAATCGGCTACCTATACAACGGCAAACGCTATTCCCGTGGCCAGATCGCCTCCGTAGGGATGCTGACGGTGGGCGTGGCGGCAGCCGCCATTGCCGACGCCCAATCCAAAGGCGTGTCTATCCACATCGACTCGGATGCGGCGGACGCAGCCACGACGGTTACGGGCTTTACGATCCTCGCACTCGCGATGGTCCTCTCTGCATTCCAGGGGATTTATGCTGACCGGCTGTACGCGACTTACGGTAGGGATCATTGGAAAGAAGCGCTTTTCTACTCCCATGCGCTGTCTCTGCCGCTTTTCTTGACGAGTTGTCCGCAGTTACTGGGCCAATGGCGGGTGGTGGCTTCGTCGCCTTCTTTGCTATGGCATTTGGATTCCGAGTGGTGGGTGTCGTCCAATGCGCTTGGGAGTACTGCTTTTTCAGTGCTGGGGCGGATTTGCCAGATTGAAGCCGTGAAGGCTCTCCTGGCGCATCTGCCGGTTCAGGTTGCCTACCTGGCGATGAATGCACTGACGCAGTACTTGTGTATCCGGGGGGTCCATCTTTTGTCAGCCAAGTCCTCGTCATTGACTGTTACTATTTTCTTAAATGTTCGCAAGTTGGTTTCCCCCTCCTGTCGATCTACCTCTTCGGGAATCATTTGGCTGGGGGTGTCTTGGTCGGCGCAGCTCTGGTGTTCGTCGGCGGTGGTTTGTATGGCTTTGAGGGTGCGCGCTTACGAAGCGTTGCCAAAAAGGTTCAGTGAGATGCACATTAGATGAGTGTTGATCTACATATCTAGACACGATTCCTTTTGCATGTTATATCTCTCGGATTTGTCTTACGGCTAGTTGCATTCCTAAGAGCTATCAATGCCACAAATAGAAGGAAAGATATATCGATATCATGTGCAGGCCGCAATAGTTGTACATAAATTGAGATAGAAGCAATATCATCCACATTTGAGTGGAAAGGCGTCATGCATGACGCAGAATCAAGATCACCCCGGCTACCCCCGAGCCAGACCAACGTAATAAAACAGAGAACCCATCTATAACACCTCGCCCACAATCTTGGCAGCTTCCTTGTATGTTTCCAATAGCCGCTCACACTTCTCTCTTTCTGCCTTGATGCCATCATCCTCGTAAAGAAGCTCGCCGAAAAGATCTTCCTTATAAAGTTCGCTCACGAGTCTGTTCTGCACTACGTCCTTGCAGTGGTTCACAAGGAGGTGCATGACAGCCTTGGGAACCTGATCTGCAATAGTCTCTCGGACGATGTTAAAGTATGATGAGATGAGACGGCGAATGAGCTCAGTTTCGAGCATCTCACGGTCCGTGAGTGCAGGCTCCGTGTTCTCATGGGGCTATAAGATTTAAAGTCAGTCAGATGCATGTAAAGCGTAACGCCTGCACAGTGGTACTTACGAAGGCAGACAAGTCACCGCCATACTCTGGTGGTGCAGCGTACTCTTCCGTCGGCATAATTGGAGCCCGAACCTCGGCACGCCGAATGCTCTGGCTAATGCTGGGCTCACCTGCATGTGGCCCTTGCCGGTTGGTGTTCATGCCTGCCGGCGACATGGCCGTATTGTGAGTGCCTTCCTTGCCAAAGAAGTAGTTCAGGAACGAGTCCCGAGCAGTGTTGGAGGCAACGCCACCGAATGCAGCATGGTTAGATTGAGCGCCATTCAGAGTAGCAGCAATGCCATTCTCGCCAGTGCGGCCAACATGAGGAGACATGCTCCGCGATCCCTTAGAGGAGTGGCTTCGAACGGGAAGGTTTTGCTTGTCAGCATGTTCTTCTTCGTCGGGACCTCCCGTATTGCCATTGGGAGCTCCCAATTCTTTCTGACGTCGCTTCTCACGCTTCCTTTTTTCCTCTGCGAGCACGGCTTTTCTTTCTTCGTCCTGCTTGTTCTGCATGATTGAAGACATGGCAGCTGCGGCGCCAAGGAAGTTCGGGTGGTTGGTGTTGATGTAAGCTCTTTGGATTGAGATCAAAGATTCTACATAAGTCGAGCATGGGCCCAGGCGCTCACGAAGAAGGTCAGATACGACCTCAATCAGCTTTCCTTGGAGACGAGGGAAACGCAGGAGTTCCTGATTGCCGCATGTGTGGCAGATTTTGATAAGCTCCTCGTAGACCAGCTCCACGCAGCGCTGACTGGGCGATTCAAGGAGTTTAATTTGTGGTTTGACCAGCAAATCAAATGCCAACTCCGGGACGAACAGGCTGGGGCGAGGACCTGTCGAGTTTCGGATGGCCGTCCGGATGTCGGAAACAGTCAGGTTATGAGTGGGATCGATCGTTTCCAGTGAGTTTCCAAAAACGGAGTTGAAAATGTAGTAAATCCTTGCTCCACCGCATAGCTCTTTGGTAGAGATCTCCGATGAAGTTCCGTCGATAGATGAGATGAATGAGGCGGCAAATCTGGTCATCTGCTGAAGAATCAATGACCCCCGGTGTTCTTCGCCGCTGAACTGTTTGTTTCCATAGCTGGCCAACTCTTGCTGAGTCTGACCCATCAAGGTGTTCAGCCGAGCCTTGATATCCGGAAGCCTGTCTCGAATGTGAGACATCAGGGTTGTGTTGAGGGTCTTAGCCAAAAAGTGCGTACCGCAACGGTTGGCCATATTCCTGTAAGCTGGGTGGTGCCGGAAGAACTCAGACTCCGCCCGCAATGCATCGGCAAGCGATTTTCCAGATTGGATATCCTGCTGAGACCGGTTGACAACGCCAATAAATCCAAGCTTCAGGGGATACACACGTCCAGACAAGATGTCCATCGCATTGGTGCCATGGTCCATGAGATCCAGCTTTGACAGAACACCAATCGTCCTCCGGCCCATGGCATCCACCTGGCGGGCAAGCTTCAGCGCCTCGGAATTGACTAGATCGACATTGGCCGGAGAGACCGCAAGGATAATGCTGTTCGGTTTGGCGATATATTCCAGAATCAAGGTGCGTGTCTGTTTCTCAATGTCGGAAGGCTGGTCACCAATAGGCACCTTTGTCAGTCCAGGCAGATCCACGAGTGTGAGGTTGAGCACATGAGGCGAGAAGATCTTGAGGTTGATCGGCTGTCTATTGATGCCTTTGTTGCTTCCTGCGATCCTTGCCGTTTCTGCTTCAATCTCTTGCTTCACTTGTCCAAAGTCATCAAACTTGCGCCCCGGCAAGTGGTGGAATTCGGCCCATTCGTGTTGACCGGCAACACTAGCAGCCGTGTGTGGGATATGAATCTCATCGGTTTCCGGCTTATCATCACGTTCGCTGGGCACGTTGATAAGTTGCAGGATTAAGGGCCGCCGGGTGACAATTCCGCTACCTCTTGGTAGAAAGTCCCTTCCGACTATATTCTCTAGGACCGAAGACTTTCCGGATGACTGGGAACCGACAACAACCTAGGTGGTGATTAGTCTTGGGCTGGCCGGGCATCAAATGACAACTGCCTCTTAAACTCCGAGAGCTCTGTACATGAGCAGACTCACAATTTGGGGCAAATCCAAGGAATCATTCCCAATGGTATTGAAGACCAGATCCTGAAGCTTGTTCACTGTCACGAGCAGATCCTCGCCCAGCGATGTCATGATGTTGAACCGAAGGCAGGCTCCTTGAGACGCACAGGTAAGAGTTAGGGCTCGGAGTTAAGAAAAGGAGGGAAAATTAGTTAAAAGTACACGCAAAGTGAGGTCGCGTGCAAACGGTCACCGGGATCCCTGTAGGCCTAAGCAACTCTCTCCTTGGAACCTTGGGAACATTGTTTATGGCCACTTTTTCGGCACACGTGATGCTGACATAATCAATACTCCGGTCATGACGTCGATGATTTGACTTCTATATATACACACGGACAACATACACATAATAATATTATATGTAATACATGTTCAAAAGGAGTAGAAAAGGGATAATAAGTGTCAGATGTCAATCTACAGATAAGGTGTCATTCGAACGAGGTTTTGTTGACATGGGTTAAATTGAAATTGGTAGTGGACTGGGTATTTTTATACTCAAAAGAATCAAGGATACGATACATAGGCCACATCTAGTTTGGCGAATCAGTAGAATTTGAATTTTCTCATTGTCGCATTGCTGGAATCGCAGTATCTATGTCTGATCCAATCACTCGTCCAAGCGAACGTAGTTGGCAGGGAATAGACCTTGTTTTCCATTGTACTCACCAAGCCACCAGTCATCATCCGGGAATTCCTACGAGTAGGTTAGCACTGTAGATAGCGATGGCGCAAAGGCCGAGAAAGACAGGTATTGTCCCACTTACCACGTTGGAAATCTTCGCGTCCTCAGGGAACCCAATCTCGTTATCCTCGGCGGCTTCATAGTCATACAAAGCGGTCGCTGTGACACCTTTGGAGCTTGGAGTAGCCGCCGATGATGCAGCGGCAGCAACAGGGGTGGATGCGGCCGGAACGGGGGCAGCAGCAGGCTCGGGCTCTGGTTCATAGTGGTGGGAACCGGACGTTGCGTGTGATGCAGGTTCTTTATCTTCCACAAGCTCTACGTAGTTGGCCGGGAAGAGGCCACGCTCACCCTGAGTATTGACTCCCACCCACCAATCCGGGTCCACCATCTCAATGTCGGTCACATACTCTCCCTCCCGCAATTCAATCTCATTATCCTCAGCCTTCTCGTAGTCGTACTGGATCTGGGCTCGCGGTCCACCTTGGGGCTGCTGGTGCTGCTGAGGAGCAGTTGCTTCGGCCGCAGCACGACCCAGGTCGTGAGAATCATCCTCAATATCCCTCTCATCCGGAACGGTCTCTTGGAGGCTATGTACAGGCATAGCAGGGGGAGGAGAATGTTGTTCCTCGTGGACATCAGCAACACTGTCGGCAACGCTGTGGCCAACTGGCATGGCAATCTGGATCGGCGAGCTCTCACGCACTGGGGGAGTGGGAGGTGTCGGGGAGCGAGGCTGCGGTGGGGGAGAAGGAAGAGCCTGTTGGGCATCATGCTCAGGCTCGGACTCGACAGGCCCAGATGACAGCCCCGGTACAGGAACAGGGCGACTGGCCTGCGGAACAGGTGGGGCAGGAGGAGCGAGTGGCACAGGCGCAGGCGTGTCATGAGCGAATTGCTCACGAATACTACTCACGTGGGGTTGCGATTCCTCCTCTTGTTGATCATTGGCTTTTGCATCAACAGGCTGCTCAAGAATGGGTGCTTTCTCCTGTGCGGTTTGAACAGGAGCCCAGGACTTGCCCGCATAGGAGCTCTTCCACTCGCCCTGGCCACTGGGTTGGCTCTGGATCGAAGCAGGGGTAGAGACAGTCTCGGTGCTCCCAGGTGACGAAGCCATTCCGCGCTCCTTGGCCTTGCGTTCTGCCCAAATTTGAGCCGGTGTTTTGCCTCCCTCGTCGGCAAAAGTTCGGCTTGCAGCTCCAATCTGCGCACTCGAGCTTGGCTTAGGCTGAATACCAGTTGGGAGGGGTGGCTTTGTTCCTGGGAAGGAGGGACTAGAGCCAAACTTGTTGGCAACCCTTGGTTTGGGTAGGGTGGTCAAGCGCTCCGAAGCATTAGAGGGCGCAGGTCGCTCGGGCAACGTTGCTGGCTGTCGATTGACTGCGGGGCTCGGTGAGACATTGTCACTGGTGCCGTCCGGCTTCTGTGCTCTAGCCCGAATAGCAGCGATGTCGACTTTTCCAACGGGCTCATAAGAACCCTTGACAATCGTCGGGCGCTCATCTGCCACCTGACCAGATGCGGCAGCTTGCTTCCGAATTGCAGCAATATCGACTTTACCCACTGGCTGGTAACCACCTTTAACCACATCGCCAGAATCATTGGTAGGAGCGGCAGATTGGCGAGTCGCTGTGGGGTTTGCCTTGAGTTCTTGCAGGTTCACTCTAGTCGGCTGGTAAGCCGACTGTACCTTTTCCAATTGGGTGCGGGTTACGGGAGGGGCATCTGCACCCCATCCATCGTCAGTCACGCCAGACGTTGAAGGTGCGGGCTGCACGCGAGCAGCTGGGCTGGGGGTGATACCCCCGGATCGAGTCGGTGTGAAAGCAGGCTTGCTAGCCACGACAGGCCGGGGCGCTGGGGCAGGGGCAGGAGCCTCGCCCACCGAATACTTGGACCCGGAGGAATCTGCCACTCGCTGGACAATTCCCTCGGGGGTTAGATCCCCATCTGCTCGGGCTGTGATCTGCACATGATATCCCTATCCAGACAAGTCAGTCTCACCGCGGGGGTTGCGTCATGGCAAGGGAATTCCTCACGTGAAGGAACTTGGCAACTGTAGCCAGGTGGCTGGTAAAGTAACCCTTTGTTCGTTCCGGCACACCTTCTCCACACCAGCCAATGAGAACGTTCTTTGGAAGGCCGGTGTTGGAGTCCGTTACTTTCACATAGGCGAATTGCACCCGTCCTCGGAAAATTCCTCGATAAGGTCGGCCAATTCACCCTCTGATGGTACGATTCGTCAGTGTGCGACGGTAGGTTTGGTAAGAAAGGATCACTAACCTCCGGTGCTCTGGACCTTAAGGACACTCTCCTTACCTCCATCTTGCTGGAAGGCACTGACAAGCGGGGTAGAGACTGAGTAGACAACCCATTGGCCATAAGTGGGAGACCCTCCATTCCCAGAAGGGGGTGGTGCATTCACCACTGTCTGATAACTTTTCGATATCGAGGGGCCATTGGAGGAGAGATTGAGAGAAGCCATGACTTTCCGGCGGATAGGCGGGGAGAGGGAAGGGAAAGCTCGTCAAGTTTTAGATGTGTCCACGTGGGAGGGGTGTTTGCTTTTTTGTTACAATATCTGTATCTCATGCACAGTGTCAGTACAAAGCGTCAAAGCTCTGGTGCAATATAGGTTCGTCGGACAGATAGGAGAGGAGGAGTTGACGTACTTGTAAACACCGAGCAAAAGGAGTAGGACGGGGATGAAAGGTTTCAAAAATGAAGATATCGCCACGAAAAAAAAATAACGATAAGTACAGAAACAAGAATATTTGAGAGAGGTCAGAAACGATGAAGCCTGGAGGTGGAGAGAAAGAAGAGAGAGAGAGAGAGGAGAGGTTATTAGGGGAAATGGTTGTAATACGAGACTTGGTACAGCCAATACATACACATATCATAATAGTAAATAATAATAAATATCTAAGGAGCATCTTCACCTTATAAACATACATAATATAGCTTTAGAAAGTAGCTGATTAAAAAGCCTGTCATTAGTAATGTCAATTGTCAATAAAAGAAAAGGTGGAAAATGAAGATAGCACCTTGCATAGTTCAGTATATGCAAGCAGCTACATATGTATAGTTGGAGATGTATACATATATAATGTTACAGACAATGAGTATTGATATGTATTTACATAATACATGTATGTATTTTACTCCAGGCCTGGACTTCCCCCCCATTTCTCACCGACAGAGGTGGAGAGGTGGGGAGCTTCGAGCTATCAAAGAGTTTTTTCCTTTTTTTCCCCTTCTTTTCCTTTTCTTTTCTCTTTGCTCTTTTGAATATCTTGAAATATTTATCTTCTAATTCTCCTAATTTTCAATTCTATAATTTCTTCGGAATTACATTGATCTGGAGTGTGAAACAAGTTAATAATCTCATCAATCCCATTCTGTACCTACACAGGCACACACAAAATATAACAAGGGGGGGAACAGCAGTCATGGGACCTCCGCAACCCGATCTCAGTTCCAGTCGGAATGCCAACGCGTCCGCTGATTCCTCTAACGATGAATCAGCCACTTCGTCCCCGGGTGTCAAGAGTCCCATGGACTCTCCTCTCCATGAAAGCTCCAACGCACTAGATCAGCCTACAGAGGATATTTTGCCCAGAGATCAGCAGCAGAAAACAGCCACCTATGACTATGCCTATGAGAAGTCAATGAGTCACGCCGAGGCAAGACTCTTCTATCAACATCATCAGCTAGCCGCGCGGAACGACACCACCCTACCTTTGAGCCCAGTGGCCCCAGCCCGCTCAGCAGTCGAATCACACCCCGAAGAGCCACCGGCTAGCATTACGGATCTGATGAATACTCAAGGCCAGCTCTCTCGCGAGGGATCTATGGTCCTTGAATCCGAACCCTCGGCACTCCGCCTGCAATCCGCCAGTGAGCCTGGTCCTTCTGCGTCTCATTACCTTGAAGATGACCAGGATGAGGCGAACGATTCTGCCCGAAACCAGGCGGCGCTTCTGGGTGCTGTCCATGGGCAGGGACCATACTCGGCGGCGGACACTCTACAAAGCGCCGGGGTGGGGATCGGAGGCCCGCAGGTTGCTAGCGGATTTGCGTCTAGCGGTGATGCTGTGACGTCTGAGCTGAATGTTATCTATTGCAAAATCAAGAAATTACTTGATCGGCGATCCCAGTACATGGATCTTTCTTTGCAGGCACCCGGAAATGATCCTAAGGACCAACCGGACTGGCAGATCTATCCTCCGCCTCCAGAACCAGCGTGGGATGATGGCAAAGAATATCAACCCGGTAGCCTCGGTGGCCCTTCTGACCTTGCAGGAAAGAAGAGGAAAATGGGCCAGGACATTGGGGAGGATTTTGACATGGAAGAATTGATGCCTCTGCCCAAAGAGTCGCCCTGGACATATAGGCTGGATGGCAACAGCGTATATCAGGTCTTTGATTCCGAGGCTTCTGCTGAGCAGCAGACACCTATTGTTCGGATCCCCTCGTTGCGCGATTTCTATATGGATCTGGACGCCGTTGTGGATGTGTCGACCGACGGACCTGCTAAAAGCTTTGCGTTTAAGCGGTTGTCGTACTTGGAGGGCAAATTCCAATTGTATACGTTGCTCAATGAATACCAGGAGATGGCTGACAGCAAGAAGGTCCCTCACAGGGACTTCTATAACGTGCGCAAAGTGGACACACATGTTCACCATTCGGCATGCATGAACCAGAAACATCTTCTTCGCTTCATCAAGAGCAAGATGAGAAAGTCTCCGGACGAAGTTGTCCTTTTCCGAGACGGAAAACATCTGACCTTAAGGGAGGTCTTTGAGAGTATCAACTTGACTGCTTATGACCTGAGCATTGATACTCTGGATATGCACGTAGGTTTCTCACCACATCCCTTGTTTTTGATTATTCGAACTCTACGGTTGATAAAGATGAAAGTCTGAATGCATCAGTATTTGCTCGTCCTGCCCTTACGCCCCCCCCTTCTAAGCCACAGGTATTACTATCACTGACTCTGACTGCGTAGGCACACACCGACTCCTTCCACCGATTTGACAAATTCAACTTGAAATATAATCCGGTTGGAGAATCCCGACTGCGTGAAATTTTCCTCAAAACAGACAATTACATCAAAGGTCGCTACCTCGCAGAGATTACCAAGGAAGTAATCTCAGACTTGGAGTCTAGCAAATACCAAATGGTGGAATGGCGTATCTCGATCTACGGTCGTTCCCTTCAGGAATGGGACAAGCTTGCGGCCTGGGTAGTGGACAATAAGTTGTTCTCGCCTAATGTTCGCTGGCTCATTCAGGTGCCTCGTCTCTATGATGTCTACAAAGCAAGCGGCATGATGGAGAACTTTGAACAAGTCATCACCAATGTCTTCCAGCCCCTGTTTGAAGTGACCAAAGATCCTTCTAGTCATCCAAAACTCCACATCTTCCTTCAGCGAGTGGTTGGATTCGACAGTGTGGATGACGAAAGCAAACCCGAGCGCCGGCTGTACAGAAAGTATCCCATTCCCCGGGAGTGGAGCACCAAGCAGAATCCGCCTTACACTTACTGGCTATACTTCATGTTCGCCAATATCGCCTCCCTCAACAACTGGAGGAAACGCCGAGGATTCAACACCTTTGTTCTACGCCCTCATTGCGGAGAGGCAGGCGATCCGGATCATCTGGCTGTCGGCTTCCTCTGCTGCCACAGCATCAGTCATGGTATCTTGCTGCGCAAGGTACCTCTACTGCAATACCTTTACTATCTGGATCAGATCGGCATTGCCATGTCACCACTCAGTAACAACGCTTTGTTCCTCACATACGATAAGAACCCCTGCGCTACCTTCTTCAAGCGAGGACTCAATGTGTCTTTGTCCACCGATGATCCATTGCAGTTTGCATTCACAAAGGAGCCTCTCATTGAGGAATATTCAGTCGCCGCACAGATCTACAAATTCAGCGCAGTCGACATGTGCGAACTGGCAAAACATTCTGTTGACCAAAGTGGATTTGAGCTCTCCCTTAAAGAAAGATGGCTCGGCTCGAATTGTTCCATGCCTGGAGTCTCTGGCAATAATGTTGCAAAGAGCAATGTACCAGATATTCGTGAGGCATTCCGGCACGAGACTTTGCTCGGAGAGTTGTCCTTGTAAGTTGTCCATGATGTCTTCGGCGTCAAGGAAATGGGGCTAACCGTACATCGTCTCTTCAGGATCGAGCGATATTCCGAAGGCAATGTGACCGGGGAGCAGAAGAGCTTGGCCCCAAGCCCACCAGGGGCAGCGGTGCCCTCGAATCATGGTAAATCTATATTGGGGAATGATCAGGAATTATGCAGCTGGCTGACTTCGAAATCCATGTTTAGATCACCATACATCTAACCTCGAGTCCCAATCTGAGCTGAGTTCAAGTGCAGCTGACACTACAGATGCCTTACCCAGCGAGACCCATGGTACCAATCAGATGGCTACCTCCCCTTCGACGCCATCGACGTACCTAGCTCGATCACCTCGCCTTGGGACGGGTGAATTCTCGTCGCCCGGCGGCAACCCTGCCCTCGGAACAGGGGTTGGGGGACCAGACGGTCTGCCAGAGCAGAAGATTTTCCCGGGCATCGTTCACGAGAGGGTGCGAAAGGGAAATATGCAATAGAATTACACGTCAAGCGGGTTCGGGTGACGCATATATCGCAGCCTAGGGGAAGAGAGCAAGATATTGGAGCAATATCAATGGAAATCGACTCCTCACTCAATGGAGTTCAAAATTAAAGTGATTATCTTCCGACACAATAGTGCCCTCGTAGTACATACCATGGACATGCTGCACATGCACAATCCTATGAGAAAAGAAAAAAAAGAAAAAAAAACATAAGAACGCCAGATGAAATAGCAACGGTTGGGTGAATTCAATAGGGACCCATTTGTATGATTTAAACACGAATGCACTCCTCTTCGCCATAACATACAAATGAAATCTTGAAACCACTTCAAATAGCCCAGCTGCCTCTCCGTTCTGGCAGTCCCCAGCCTTCAAGATTTGTATCTTCTTCAGCCATGCCAGGCTCCTGTCTCGCCCACTCCTGGATATATAGACGGAGAGCTTTCCACCGTGTACAGGTATCCGCGAGATCATCCTTCCCTGAGGCCACAAGATAGCCTCTAGCATCAGTTTGCAAGTCGTCCCGGCGAAGATCCTCGACCGGGATGCCCGAAATTCGGCTGAGTTCGTAATCATAATAACGGGCAAGGCACGGGTAACCCAAAGACAAGTAATTATAAATTTGAGTCACAAATCCATCATGGAATTCGGACTCAATGGCTTTCTGGAGATTAGGGCTCGCGGGCTTCCGGGAACTAAGGTTTCCGGGCGAGGCTGCGAGACGGTCCAGATTTGTATATGAAGGAGATGGGCTGAGTCCCATGCTAATGCCAGCCTCATCGACACGAGGCATGGGGGTAACAATTCCAGGTAGGAGACCGTGCACTTCCCGCTCTTGGCCGTCGTCTTTGCAACAAGTGCCCATCCAAAGTCCAGCACCCTTTCCGCCGCCACGAGGAGGCGTTGCGTACCACAGGTCATCACAGCCAGTGGAAAGATCATCCACAGCACGGGAGGCTGCATCAGTGGTAGAGTGCTCACATATTGTTCCCTCGGGTGAGTCGCTTCGAGGAAGGACGATTTCACTGCCAAGCATGGGCGGGTTCTTGCCATTCTTATTGTGTTCTGATGAAGACTTTGGTTGTCCAGATGCTCCCATAGCCCGGATCCTCATTTCAGCCTCCTCCTTGTGGTGGCGCATGTACTCAAGTTCCCAGGACAAATCTACCGAAGATTGTCGTCGAGATTTGATATGATGATACTTCATAGACACATGATAACCGTCCGAGTCTCCATCGTCTTCATCGATGGCGAAATGATCAACAGGCTCGTACACCTGCTCGTTGGGAAACGCAGCCAACGCCTGCTCCTTTAACTGGATCTGTGCAGATCGAGCGGCAAGAGAGAGCAAAAATTCCGAGATCTCCCCGTCGCAGATTTCACGGGGTAACTTGCTCGTGCATAAATCCCGTGACGCTTTATTGGAAGGCCCAGGGGGTGAAGTGCACGCCGAATGCGATCTGGAGTTATCCGATTCTTCGCTGCTGTTAGAGGGGATCGATGGGAGGTCCGGAACTCGAAACGAGTGTCTGCGGGCTTGTTGTCGGCGCAAAAGACTGGAAAATGAGAATTGAGACTCTGATGGCAGATAAGTGGGGGCAGTCGGCTTTATCTCTGGCCACGGTGTCGTGTCTGGACAAGTGATTGTATGGGGTGCTGAAGATCCTACGGCATTGTGCCGTTGGATAAACCGAACAGGTTCCCCTTTTCGGACTGAGCGAGTGTCGGTTTCTATCAGGTCGGGTTTAAATCTTCTTGGAGCGGTCGATGTCTTGCTTTGTGACGCAGAATTCCTCTCATGTACCTCGGAAGTCGAATGAGACCGTCTATTACTAGTTTTGCTTGTTTCAATTGGTTCAGGTAGGAATCTTCTGGTCGACCGCTGTTCACTGGGTTCTTTTGAGGGTGTTTCGGGCTTTGATAGAGCGGATTGGTTTGCTCCACTCAAAGTGGACTGTTGGACGTTGGAGCTTCGTGATACGGTTTCGATTGGCTGGGCCAGGAATTTCCGAGGGGGCCTGGGTGATACTTGACTTTGTGAAAGTGCAGATCCGAGTGCTCGATGTCGATTATCCGAAGAAATTGGCTGACACTCATAAGGAGTGGTCAGATCTTGAAGTTTGTCCGTAGATCGACACACTTCTCTTCCATCCTCCGTGGGCATGTTAGGTTTCCCATGTGCTTCTGGGGGATGGCCCATTGTCAAATGCTCGCAATCTATGACAACTCTGAATCATGCTATCAGGTGTCAAGATGGTTGGCAGAGAATAAGCATTTTAGGGTTCAGATTCAAGGCACTTTCGTTCTTATCGGTGTGTTTTGTTTATGAGGAGCATGCGGGGTCGAAAGAGCGGTCTCGATGTGACTAGAAAAACAAAGAAAGGGCGTAACCTGATGTGTGTAATGCATCAGACATCATGGAACATCTTGTTCGAAAGAGAAAGAAGAAGGAGGAGGAGAAGGAAGTTGAAATTATGCCGCAAAAGGTCACATCACAAGGTATAAGGGACGTTGGGCTTCAAAAAAAAAAAAAGGGAAGAAGTGGTATTTGTTATGTTATGTACTGTAATTTACCAGGTCTCTCCAATACCGTATGTTGTACCTTTCTAATGACATCAGCTCTGTTACAATACCTAGGTATGACCATACATATGTACCTAGGTACACGATAAGCCCGATAAGATAATATGTCATTTCTTCACTCTTTTCTTCTTTTCCTCTTCCTCTACTTCGGCAATGGATTCTAAAGACAAGCGGAAGTTTGAGAATGATGATCCTCATCCTGGTTGTTCGGTCTCAAAGCAGCGGAAGGTAATTGGCCCTTCCCTCCCTCCTCCTCAAGAGGCCGATGCAGCGAACAGTGAAACTAGCAATGATGATAATGATGATGACGACGATGATGATTTCGGTCCAAGTCTTCCTCGTCTGGTCCAGTGAAAGGCCCTGTACTCCCAGTGCCTACCACTTCCACGGCTTCTGATATACCTAGACCGGTGGAAAGGGAAAGCCAGCGAGATCAATGGATGCTGCAACCTCCCTCCCACTCCGACTGGTCTTCCAAGGTCGATCCTACACAACTACGAAATCGCAAGTTCAATACAGGCAAATCAGCCACGGCACCTAAGAACATGGATTCCTCGTGGGTTGAGACTCCAGAGGAGCGATTGAGGCGTCTGCAGGATACAGTTATGGGCGTTGCTGCCTCAACAAATCAGCCCGAGGACAACAAAGGTGCTACAAAAGCAAAGATGATGGAGGATCAAATCAAAAGATACAAGGTAATCTCTCGCATGTGCCTTTCTCGGAGAGGGCACTTGATACTTTATTTCCTCCGTGTTCTTCGTTTTGTTCTAACATGAATGTTCTTGTTGTAGGACATGACTGGGAAGAACAGTCGATTGGAAAATCCAGGTCAGGCTGAGAAAGAAGATGATGATCCAAGTGCGCGTGCCTTTGATCGAGAGAAGGATATGGCAGTTGCTTCGAAGATATCTAGTGCGCAGCGCCGGGAGATGGTAAAGAAGGCTGCGGATTACAACACACGTTTTACAAAGGGCAACTTCTTATAGCTATTCCTAACTATAACATATGTGTTTATAACTTGAATGACCCGGTTTACAATAGTCCAGTCCTATCACAACTCGTTTTGTCACGGCCAGGTGCCTACTCTCTATATATCAAGTCCGAACTTCGACCACTCCGCAGATCGTGTTTACATCCAAACCAGCTCCAATCTTTAGCCACGAGGGTCCCGGGGCCTACTGTAGACAGATCACCGGTGTATGCCTCAACAAACAGGCAATTCTTATATGAACCGAAGTCCCTAAAAGTCTGGAACTGGACACCGCTTTCAGGAGGTTATGGGGGTAGATGTAGGTAGAAATGTAAAATGCCAAGTCTAAGTACATTTATAGAAATCCAATATAAGAAAGGAATAAATCAAGCCAGTATATTGAATTACAACATAGAAATGATAGGGATTGGTATTCATATTTATGTTAGGAGCGTATAGTTGGATTCCAACTATAACGAACTCTTTTGCTGTGGAATCGTTACAAATAGGTTTTAATGTACATATCTGGCGCACCCATAAGGGCTTTTGTGTTATTTTAATCAGATAGCGAGAATCCTATGGGGTCATACATGTATAACCTTCCCGATGTCGAACCCATCCTTTGGCCCCTTCGAATCGGTCCACGGCAGGACGTACCCCCGTTGATTTGCCACGACCCGTATTCCCTGACTTCTGAACTCCGTGGTGTAGTGTGTGTGCCCGAAAGCCCAGACTTTGATGCCACTCGATTTTGAGATCTGCGAAAGGATATCAGTTGCAAAGGCGGAGCTCCAAGCGTTGTTCGCGTGCTGCAGGCTGGATGTGCCCTGGAGGGACGGGGCGTGGTGTGTCACGACCAATACAGACTGCTTTTTGTTCTGTGTCTTGCTTTGGATTTTTATTGACTTTATCTCACTTAGCAGCCAGGCAAGGTCCGCCTCATGAGATCCATTGTGATCGTTAACGGACCAATCTCGAATTTTTTTTGAAGTCTTGTATCCTCGAACAAACAATGTCCCTTGCTTCATCCGGAACTCTAGACCAAAGTGTACAGCCAAGGATAGTGATATGGGATCCGGGAATGTCATAACGTCCCTGGTGGAGGAGGACAAGGCGCCCGTTCAAACAATGTTCCTGCTCAAGTTGCCTAGCCCTCTGTAGTCCGGCTGCAAAGATGTCACTGTAGAACTCATGATTGCCAAGTATCAGAAAGACAAGCTCGAATCGGTCTGTTTGCTTTTGTAAGAAACAGCGATAGTTGTCGTAGTCCACCAGTCGCCCCACATCACCGGCAAGGACGAGATATTTAGCGCATACGGGTATCTCAAAGGATAAGTATTGTTGATTGACCTCAAGATGAAGGTCAGAGAGAACTTGGAAAGAGACTGACGATTTGTCGAAAATCGAGAGTATTCCCTCAAACATTATGGAAGAGTAGTCTGAAACATGGACAGGTGAATGCGTAGGAGCTGACAGATCTAAGGACAAAGCATGCACTAGGGTGGGGCCTAACCGACTAATATCTCATGTCTATCCATGAGGTCCCTTGTGCTCTGAGTCACCAAAGGGGGTTGGAAGCGCTGTGCTAAGACTTCACTAATGGTGTCTACGGAAGACCGGACCGTTTATTTAAAGCAACGGCTGATGCGTTGGACTCAACATTTGACCTTCTGCATGAGAACGGGGGAAAAATGGACCTTGTCAACTTCATTAAGCCAATTCTGTTCGCCTTCAAGGAAAGAGGCATGCCGGTTTGTGTGGTTGGGGAGATAGCACTAAACTACTACAATGTTCCACGAGTGGTTCATGTGAGTGCGCACCATACTGCCATCCCAAAAAGCCCTTTCTTACTGTTGACAGGATCTTGAGATATGTGTTCCGGAGTCTTGACTGTCCGAGGCCATATCCATAGTCTGCTCGACTAGCGAGTGTGAACGCATGGAAATAGCAGATTATGACCTATTCACGGAATACAAGAGAGGATTCCCTACGTTCCAGGCGCCGAGTATAGGTCTTCGATTACTGCTTTTCCCGGATTCCTACTTTGGTCTTTCTCCTCTGCATCGGAATATTATACCGGATGACGAAAGACTGTCCACTACCTGCAGCGAGTAGATACTAGACCTAGTCTCTAGGGCCGATGTTCAGTATCTCCCTATACCCCGTCTTACCTTTATAACACTTTTCGAATTTGGGATACCTTTATAAAAAGGTCTCTAGGCGCCCGAAAAGCCCTTATAGTTATCCTAATTGTTATCTCTTTTATCTTCCGCCTCTTACTAACTATATACGCTATATAAAGCTAGGGAAATAGAGGCTTTAATTCTCTCTTATCCAATCCCTATAGATAATCAAACCGCCGACTTTATATAGCCTTAGGATACTAAGTCCCTTTCTAATCTATATACTATAAAGTAACTAAAGGACTAATATAGTTATCTCCCTCCCCTTCTTTTAATCTAAGCACTACTACCTCTAAAGATACTACCTTAGCTATAATCCGGTACTAGCTAGTAGACTTCGGCACTACCCACTATAACCCGAACCCAACCCAACCCAACCCAACCCAAAATGGGTTTTAGGTCCATTGCCTCGACCTAACGATAGGTTTTGGGTTATAGGTAATAACCTAAAACCTATTAGGTAACCTATTGGGGCCCTAATATAGAGTAAACTAGCTAAATAGCCTTCTAGAGTAGAGCTATATAATTAATACACTTTTTACTTATAATATTAAGTATTTTATTTATAGATAGGTCTTCTAGAATAAATAAGGATAAATTAGATACTTATATTAGGATATATTTCTCTAATATTACTTAAAATCATTATCTACTCTACTCTTATATTTCCTCTCTAAAGCCTATATCTAAATTATAGATTCTAATAAGCTTTATTACCTCTATATCTACCTATTAGATAAAGAGATATCTCTTATAGTCTACTATCTACTCCCTCCTCCTCCTTTTCCTCCTCTTCCTTATTATTATTAATTAAATTAAGTTTAATATCCTTTATATAATTATTAAGTTCCTCTTTTAATAACTTAAGCTTAGCTAATAAAAAGAACTACTAGAGCTATTTTACTTTAGCTTCTTTAAGATTAAATCTTATTATATATAGAACTAATATAAACTCCTTAATTATTTCGGACTTTAGATAACTATAATAGTAGTAATAAATATCTTAAATAGTATTAAAAAGCTATTTAATACTAATACTAGTTACTAAAATAGAGAGAATATTATAAATAAATAATACGATTATAAAGAAATAAGATTAGTTCTTCTATTAGAATTAAAAAGGTTTAATCTTAATTAGATCTAATAATATATAAATAATTAATATTATCTTTTATAAAGAAGAAATAGAATCTAGATTATTAATATACTACTATTAAAATATTATATTATCTTATTATTAGCTAGCTTTATAGATATCTTATTACTTTTTAGTATTTTATTTAGCCTAGAACTAGAAGCTATTATTAGAGTATTAGTTGATTTATAACTTATTATAAAACGCTTTTAATATAGAATTAATAACTTTTAAACCGATTTCTAATAAGTATTATATTAATAAAGCTTCTAATTATTAAATAAGAAGAATTAAAATATATTATTAGATACTAGTATTATCCTAACTATATAAATATATCTTTTAAGATTATTAGTTTAAAAGTAGTACTTATTAAGCTTTAAACGACTAGCTATAAATATTTTAAATATATCTAACTTCTATAGAATACCTTTATATTTAAATAGTAACTTTATTTCGAAAAAGTGATTAAAAAGGGTATTATAAAAGTTTAAAATAAGATATATTATAGCCTCTTTTATCTTTAAAAGTTCTATTATATAATTAAAGAATAATTAAATGATTTATAAAAGATAGTTAATTTAATACTATTTTTAATTATTAAATAATATCTTTTTATAGTTATATTCTTTATAAAAGAGCTAAAAAAAACTATATAGTCTTTTTATATAATAAAATATTAGGAATATAAAATTCTATTAAGTCTTTATATTTTAGATTAGAATAGGCTAAGGTCCCTTTTTTTAAAGTTAGAGAAAGGCCGTTTAGTATTAAAGGTTTATATAGATATATATAGTAAGTTAGTAGACTTTATTTAAAGTATATAAGATCCTTTATATCTAATATTAAATATTTATCTTTACTATAGATAACTTCTAGTTAGTCTATTTTATTTCTATATTTTTATTTAGAGGAATAGCTTTTAGATAATTAAAAAGCTAGTTTAAATATAGCTAGATAATATAAATAAGATAAAATATTTAGATTACTATTATATTATTAGAGAGCGCTTACTATATTATATTAACTATTATTTTATTATTAGTAGTATTATTAATTATAACTTTAAAACCTAATCTTAGATATAATATTTAATTAGAGTTTTAAAGACTATACTATTTAGATTTAAACTAGTATAAAAGTTATAAAGTAGTTTAAATATAAATAAAATCTTTTAATATATCTAATTACTATTAATAAAATAGTTAGTAATAGCTATAAACGTCTAATTATATAAAGAAGTCTAATAATCTAATATAATTAAGATTTTTTTATTATTAAATAGCGTTTAAAAGATAGACTTCTATTATTCTATAATAATATTATAAAAGCGATAGTATATTATAGTAATAGAGGGTATTAGAGGGATAGATTATATAAAATAGGCTAATTAGAATAGCTTATAAAATATTAGATATTTAATAAAATAGAATAGAAATCGATTAAAGATAAAAAATTAAAGAAGATACTCTTTTTAAACTAACTATAAAAAAAGAGCTTCCGATTAGCTATTATATTATATATCTAAAAGTATTAATAAAATCTAATAACTAAATAAAATAATAAAGGTTTACTACCTTTTAAAGGAATTTAGTAATTTCTTCTTTTTTTTTACTAAACTTTATAATAGCCTACTATCTTTAAATATTTTAATATTATTAATATACTATAATAGTCTTTACTACTAGATAATAGAGA